TGCACAGCATCTTATTACTGGTAATCTATGAGATATACTAGGTAGTACTGAAAGCCTTGCGTTGTTCCCAAGCCTCGCTGATTCCACCTTCTACTACAACTGCGAGGAAAGTGGTCACGACGATCCGTTTACGACTCATTCAAAAGCCACCAAAATCTTTGCTCATCTTGTTGTCTCAATCTCCACGATTCTGCATTTCCTTTGTCAATACTACTACCACCACCATGTCCAACTACATAACTCTCACCCACCCTCGCCCTCTTGTTATCTCACCCCCACACCACTTTGACCACGCCGCACACCCCAGCCCCTCTGCCGGCGCCGGCTAAAGAGGGAAAAATACCCATTTGCGGGACGCGGGACGATTGGGGGGGCGATTCACCTTGGAACAAGAGAAGAACTTCTTGACCCCAAAAACAGGGGACAGAGCGTCTGTGCACCTCAGCATAATTCTCCATTCGACTAAAAAAAGAGAGCAGGGAAAAAAACAGCAGCATGTTGGGTTTTGCATCTTTGAAGCAGGTTTTCCCCCCCAGCCAAGGTGCAAAGAATTTCTCCTTTCAGATTGGTGCATATTTACCCCATTACCACCATCACGTTTTCCCACTACCACTACAACATATGTACCTACTAGATCAGGGGTGCAGGGGTGAGAAAAGAGGGCTAGTCAGGCACGCGGAGTTGTGGCTGCTTGGAGGGATGGGGGAGAGAAGAAGTTGGTGTGGGTGGGCAAAGCGGGCGTTGGAACCAGACCAAAAAGTACCCAGAAAAACTTGGGTGGTGTAATGTCCGCAATTCATGTGAGCTATCATCATTCTGGGATTAGGTGTCGGGAGTCGTCACTTTTTTTTTCCTTGTCGTTTTTGGTTCTGGCGGTTTTCTGTCTTGTTTTTCTTACCCCTGGTCCCAGCTTTGCAGGTCCCGAGGCTGGGCAAACTGGATGGGCTGGGGGAGAGTTTGAGCCATGGCGAGGAAGAGGAAGGCAACAAGAGGGGGCGATTCTGATGCTCCCCACAAGAAAAGTCGGTTCTTTGTTTGTACTCTCACTTTTTCCTGTTTTGTTCGTGGTTGGGTTGAAAAAGGCAAGGCGGCAGGACTCTGGGGAACTGGAACTGGAACTGGAAGGCGCTGAACACGATAGAGAGAGGCTGATATTGGATATCACTATTCAGACGGTGAGGAAGATCTAAGCAAAGAAATAATCATTATCAACAACAACAAATTCGTCATGAGCTTGTCACTCACCTCGTCCATGCATTTGCTGCTCGGATCGCAAATCCCAATTCTTCACTGTTCTCATCGCGATCGTAAACTGCGAATGCCTGGTATCAGGGCCCTGGCAGCACCTCGGCGAACTTGTCCGTCCTCTTCTCGCCGTGTGGAGCTCTCCTCATCCCTGCTAGCTCTTTGCACTCTCTGTAACGCTGCAGAAAACAAGAGGTGCTCAGAGGCAATGCAGGTACAAAGAAGTAATCACCACTACCGTGCTGAGTGTTAGAGTTCGCATATTGACAGGGGGGCCATGGAGGCGAACCCGTTTGTGGTTCGTATCCATCGCCGCGGAAGAAAAGGTACGGAGTCGCAGTCAATGTGTGGTTTCTCGAGGTGTTCAGCCCGCGAGAAGAGAGGACAGGGCAGCTGAAGAATCTGTTCGCCCCGTATCTTGTGTTGTTCTGTCTCGGCCTCGTCCTGGTTGGCTATTACTTGTTGATGCTTTCGTTCGCATGTCTGGGCGAATGCGCCCGCGCTTCCAGTAAACGCCAATGCATCCTTTGCGAATGCATCATATATCAGATTTGCCAAGCAGCCTGCGCCCTTGTCGGCGGTTTTCCAACGGAGCTTGACGCAACTGGGAAGTGCAGAATCCCGATGGCCTTCACATGACAGTACAAGGAGAGTCGTCCTTGTTACAGTATCGTATGTACATACGGGCGTAGCCAACATACACACATACTTGATTGGGAAGTGCGGAGTATAAAGTGGTATCTCGTGGATAGGAAATCGCAGTGGTGGATTCCATCGCCACACCACCGTTTTTCTCCTTCTTCCCGTCTCCTGGCGCGTGCCGGCGTGTCATCGTTCGTCAGCATTTTTTGCCCGTCACATTGCGACCATACTGCAGAGTAGCAGTGATGGCTAGCAGCAGCAGCGCGATACGACCGTGGCTGCGTGGGACATGACACCCCCGGCTCACGCTGCCCAGTTGCGACGGCCATGCTTGTTCGATATAAAGCGGCCCTGATTGGCCCTGCTTGCTTGCCGGATCTGGATGGCCGCACTCTGCGTGCGCGCTCCGAGTTGTCGCCAGATTCCGGAAACCCGGCTGGGGCTGACGAAATGGGAATATTCTACGCGGGTCCGTCGCGGAGCCTGCTGCGCAGAGCGTCTCCTGTATCAACGCTTGGCCGATCAAGCTGAGCGCATCCGTGCGCGCGTAGAGGGTCCGATATGCTGGTTACTGTGCGAGTCTGGGAAGCCTGGGGAGGCATCAAAAACCGGAGCATCGTGATCCGGTCCAGAAGGTTATGTCGAAGCGGGAATCGCCTCGCTCCTTAGGGCGGAGGAAGGGTCAGGGGCACCGGCTTAGTGGTGCGGCCGAGAGCGTCAACCAAGCTGTGTGAATCGCCTTGACAGCTTCCCTTGGCCCTGGAGACCTCATCAAACCGCCGCCAGGCTCTCCAGACCCCTCGAGTCATGCGCACACCAGGTCTCGATTGTGCTAGCATTCTAGACAAGCTACTGCAAGAAATTGGCCAGGACAAAGATGCCATGGATCAACAACAACCCGGACGGCAACGTTCTGGCACAGGAGAGCCTGATTTGCCCAGAGTCGCCAGAGCTGCATCCGCCTTGGACCAATTTCCCGGAACCTGGTTCGGAGCATGAGCTGCAATAAGGACGCTGTTCTTCTGGCTCTCCGTGTATACACGTACCTTTCTTGATGAACGAGACCGCTCGTCGTGGGGCATCCTCCTCATGAGCAAGGCTCTCAGCTCCTGGACGCGTTCGGTTCCTTCGGCACGAGGATGGAGACGAGAGCAATGACCCATGGAGCTGGATATATGATCTTCTCGCTTGGCACGTGGCGAGATGTCTCGAATTGTTCATGATCATCGAGCTATGCTGTCATTCGAAGTGTTATTAATCGGGAACTTTTTGCGAGCATGTTTGACTGTACGATGCGGCTTGAGAGCTTCTTCGGTGTTCAAATCGCTGCGCAAGTTCTGTTGTCATGTTTGCATTCTGTACCGCTGCGTGCTACTGTTGCAATGGAAACAAGAGCAATTCCCTCAGCGGCGTAAGCACGCCAGGGAACTTGGCAAGGCAGGCAAGGAGTTGACAATTCCATTCCACATGATGAAGTGGGATTACGGTCTGTTCTGCAGTCTGTAGATTCCGCTTTGATCATGGCTGCAAGTTCTTGAATGTAAGGTCATGAAACTGGAACTAGACAAGGAACATAATCTAGATTCCAGCCAATTGCCCGGATTGAGACAGTGATCAAGGTGCGAAATCGCCTTCATTTCCAGTTATAGCTGGTAGAAGCAGCAGCTGGTTGATGGCCTCGAGGCGGTCAGGAGAGGCTTGTGTTGAATTAAAACGTGTTACAGGTGAAAGATCGGGCACAGACCAGTGGGGTTCACCGCGGTCAGCAGAAGCGTTCGCTGCTCCGACCCTTGACTCGGGTCGCTGGGGCAGCCTCGGCAGCTCATCCCTGCCGCTCATCTCCTTGCTTTTGCTGAGATTTGCTGTGGGAACGCTCTGTTATCCGCAGTGGATGGAGGTTAGCAGGCTAGCATAGGCTACTGCTGGGAACGTTTGCGAGACACTCTGCCGTTGTGGACATGTTCTCACACAAGGGGTCTCCAGTCCTGCCTCGTACAACGGTCATGTGGAATGCTCCCTGTGGGACTCCCCAATGGTAAGAATGATAAGAGTCGGCTGTCGGCCCAGCCTTCAGGCGCCATGAAAAAGGTATTACTAGTCGTAATTCGTACTAGGTAGTTGGTAGGCAGCAACCAATGGATCTCGTAGCTGAAGTTGGCAATGCAATAGGTTGTCGATCAGGTGAAGTGTGCGTGTTGGACGACTTCCGCAACTCAAGCTGCTCCAACAAATATGATCCGCACCAAGCATAAGAGTTGCATGTCCAAGTCTCGGCTGAGAATGACAGCTTTGTCCGAATCTGTCTGGAGGCGTTCGTTGCCGGCAATTCAGAGGGTATATTTTGATGAGATTTGTACCAGACAGCACCTCAGTTGTCCTAAACGGATGCACCATCAAGCCTTCGCCGAGACTACGTCGAAGTCGACGGTTCTGACGTACCGCGTCGCAGTCGCGATAACGCTCAACATGATTCAGGTCAATTGCCCGGGAGGCCTCGTTGTACCAGGTTGGGCTGTCGTAAGTATCAAGCATTCATTTCGGACAATAGCGATGACGTCTGGCAACAGCTCGAGATGCCTTGTCATGGTGAGCATCTCAACTTGACCGGGGCGAGCTCGGTCTTGCATCTCAGAAGAAGCTCCTGATGCTTGGTGCTACCTCAATCATACGAGGCTCTTGTTCTGAAGCGAGCCCTGCGTTAGTGTCTGTCAGCCATCGACACTTCTATTGATATGGATTCCCCATCAATAACATCCCCATGGAGGGCTGACACTTCGAATCTCATCGAAGCTCACTCCGTTCTTACAGCTTCAGAGAGAGACTGCTTAACGCCTATCGAGGACTTGAAGGAGCCTCTCGGCCAATCAAGCTTCAGTGGAGGCGATGCGGCGAACTGCCGCTTGTCTTCCCGCTGCCGTATGATTGGTCCTTGGATATTTCCAGAATGGGACAATGGCCAAGAAACCGATCGAAAGAAGTCTTGTCTGGATCCATTTCGGAAGCCTTGAGCCTCATAACTTGCTATTTTTGACGGCCACCTGATGAGATCGAGGTAATTCGAGTCATCTCAAGCATCTCGAGCATACAGAATACTCGACAGCGCTGACAAATTTGGCCATTTGTCATGAGCATTCCAGTTATGGCCGATTGTTTTGACGGAGATAAGCGATTGCGTCTTGTGCCCCTCACAACTCCATTGATTGGATAGGGATCGGAAGTGCGGTGCCGTCAAGACAGAGAATTTCACTGCGTCTTTGCAACGCGCAATTGCTGTCATATAAAAAGGCGAGGAAGAGGAATCGAAGTGTCAAGTCATTGAGCTCAAGCCATCCTCTCACTTGACTGAAGCTCTCTCATCACCAGAGACGTGACCGACTGAAGGAAAAGCTGCCGAAACGAAGATCAATGGCCGAAGTGAGGGAGGAGGCCACGGCGGGTGAAAAGGCCACGAGCAGCCTTTCCAAGTTCTTTTGGACACCGCCGTGGCTGAGATGGAATCCGGACAAGAATTATGAGATGTCGTGGGCCATGGCCTGTTTCTTTGGATTTGTACGACCGCCCGTTCTCGACATGGCGACCGGCGAAGGTGACTGACGATCGAATGTTTCTAGGTGGCTGCATTCAGTGTCGCAAACCTCTATTATACCCATCCCATCCTTCACATTTTGGCGCAAGACTTTGGTATCACGGATGAGCGTGCTTCGCTGGTCCCAACGCTGCTGCAAGCTGGCTATGCCACCGGTCTGCTCTTCATCGTCCCCATTGGCGACATTGTCCCTCGCCGGCCGATGATCATCAGCCTGGTATTCGTGACATCTCTGATTGTACGTTTTGGGTGCCCTGTTTTCTCCACGTTCCCGTGGCTGACACGATGGACAATAGTGGCTTGGCTGTACTTTGGCCAAAAAGTTCGAAGTCTTCCTCGGTTTGTCCTACGTCGTCGGCCTCTTCACCGTCACACCGCAACTCATGTTTCCTCTGACGGTGCGCTATGCCCCTGCTCGACACCGACCCACCATGACTGCCATTGTCATGTCTGGACTCGTCTTTGGCATTCTGGTCGCTCGGTTGCTCTCCGGTATTGTGGCCCAGTACAGCGACTGGCGCAACATCTATTGGATGTCGTTTGGATTGCAACTCGCAATCGTCATTTCCGCCTCGCTGTTCATGCCGGATTTCCCCGTGCTGTGGCCTGGCGCAACCTATCCCGGCATCCTGCTCAAGATGGTACAGATGCCATTCCGGCAGCCTGTGTTGACTCAGTCAGCGCTCATTGCTTTCCTCCTCATGGGCATGTTCACCTCGTTCTGGACTACCCTGACGTTTCAGCTCGCGGGTCCTCCGTTCCATCTCTCGACTCTCGTCATCGGACTTTTTGCGCTCGTGGGCATGTCGCCAGTTCTCTTCAGTCCCATCTTCTCACGTCTCGTCATGACACGCCTCCATTCGAGCGCCACCTTGATCATAGGACATCTCATCCTGCTCACAGCTGTCTGCATTGGAACCTTTACCGGTACGTTCTCGTTGGCGGGACCCATTATCTGGGCCAGTATCGGAGACTTTGGCATGAACATCGTGACTGTGTCCAACCGGATGGCGTTTGCCAACATAGAGCCCACTGCTCAGAACGCGGTCAACTCGGTCTACATGGTCTTCACGTTCTGCGGCCAGCTCTTCGGAACGAGCGTGGGAAACAAGCTGTATGCAAGTGGCGGATGGATCAGAAGCGGCTCTTTGTCCATTGGCCTGGTCGGCGGAGGGCTGCTGCTTGTCCTTATTCGAGGGCCTCACGAGAAGGGCTGGATTGGCTGGTCAGGTGGTTGGGAGGTGAGGCTCAAGAAGCTGCGGGAGAGAGAGGCGGAAGAGGCTCAGGCGGCATCTGACGTGACGGCACATCCGTCCGACGAGGAGGCGGGCATCCCGCAGGAGAGCGAGGCCAAGGAGAAGATGTGAAGCGGCATTCCTCGGACTTTGATGATATCACGAGAGATGAAGATAGACTGTAACGGTTAGATTGCGCTTTTTTGTCCTTCTCTTGCAGTTTTGCAGTAGTTATGCTTAGGTAATAGGGAATAGAATAACATCATCAGTAATGGCTGCTCTTTCCCTTTCTTTGTGATAGGATGGCGCAGACGACGGGCAGTTGATGAGGTTGTTCTTGCCTTGCCCTTGAGCCTCCTCAGTCGATGACGTGATTTTCTCGCCATGTGCTTCAAGTCGGCGATCCAGGAATCTTAAGGGCCCTTAGACTCAAGTCGGCTGTATCTTCAAATTGCATTTGAATGAATGATGGGTTCAGGGGTATCAAGTATGCCAAACGCTCGGCTACGACCGACGATCAAATATACCGAATCTCCAAACAACAAAAGAGACGCTATGTGACCGTGTAAAAGTAAAAGCAAACGCCAAATCCCTTCTCCGGACATGTTCATCTACTCAATAGTAAACATTGGTGAGGCTCATCACCATCCCCACCAACAGACTCAGCGCCACTCCAGAGCCCACAAAGACCTGCCATTTCTCGCTCCAGACATCCGAGCGAAGCAACCAGGCCAGGCTGCCAAGGGGGAAGAAGAAGCCCACCATCATGCCGCGGATCATCATGTCCAGCACGGTCGACATGCCGTTGAAGTCGTCCTCGGCGGAGGCATCGGCCGAAGGGATCTCACCAGCGTTGCTATCGATCCACGCATCCTCCATGCTGCGCAGGGTGTCTGGCGAGGGCATGGCGTCCGGCGCGAAGCCTTCTGTGCGGATGGAGGCGAACTGTGTGCGCAGCGTCTCGATCTCGGAGTGGGTAAAGCCTGTCTGGAGGAGGCGGTCGAAGCCGCGCGGCCGGGGGCGAGTCCACGATGAGGGATTGCCGTTCAGGTGAGACGAGGCAGCGCTCGAAGACTCATCGGGGGGGTTGGCCGCGGCGGCCTGCTCCTGGGCCAGCTCCTCAGGCGTCAACTCATCGCCGATGGAGCAGTTGATGTAGATCCTCACGGGAGCCACGGGAGCATCAACAGCCTTGCCCTTTCCCTTGGATCTGCCCCAAGGCTCATCGCTCTTTGAAGGGGGTGAAGCCGGAGGAGCGGGTGGTGGCTTGATGCTGGCGCTGAGGGATGCAGAGTCGGAGAGGAGGCGGCCCTGGTAGATGAAGCGGAGGCGGTTGCGCGAGGAGATGCGCTCGCGGATGAGGTTCTTGAGCGACGCAACTGTTGTGGTATGTGGAGACGGAACATCCAGGTCGAGATCGGGGAGGGAGTTTGAGAAGCGGATGGTGAGATGGTAGGGGAGAGGCGTGGCCGACGAGGCCGAGGAGAGCGGCAATGCAGGTGCTAAGGATGCCATGATGGCTGCATAGTTTGGTGCGCTGAGGCCTGTCCAAGAGGGCTTGTGTGCAAAGGAAACGATGGAATGATTCTGAGGTGAAGGAGATGTATATATCCTTTGCCGAGAACTGACACAATTGCTGATTCGGCTATGCACGTGGAATCCAAGAGTCTTGCTGAGAGTCCACAACTTGAAGCTGTCGATGCTTGGTATAGAAGCTCTCATATAGGGTGACACTTGATAATACCTAAGGTGCCTGTAGCTGAAGCTCCGAAAGCTGGAGGTCTGGGGCCCCACCGGATCGATCCCTGCTTGTCTGCAGAAAAAGTGGCGCTGACCGCCCGGCAGAATCGCCCCAAGTCCAAGTTTCCCGAAAGCGAGGCCAAGCTGCAGCATCAGATCGCCTTCCATCTCTGCTTGCATCTGCCAATCCCGTCGTCGCCTTTTCCCGCTAGCCGCCATCACGCAGCTTATCGAGAGCTGCGCGGCTTCTTGCGAGAATCTCAGCGACAGCACGAGCAGGTCATGGCGCTGAGGGGAAGGCTGTTGTCCTGCTTCTATTGCGGGAGGCGGTCATCCATCCGCTACGATGGCCGGATACGCGACTGGCTGTGCACCAACTGCGATGCGACAAACTATCTCGACGAGGTTGGTCAACAACTCTCCTTTGCTCCTTTATCGCAAAGATGCGATATGTATCCATATCATCAGAGCGTCGATGGCTAACAGACACCACCGCAGAATGGCGACATCACCGATCCCCCTGCCCTCGAATCGTCCACGCCGAAGCGATTCGCCAAAGAGCTACCATCCCGACCGGCATCACCCACAGACAGCGTCTTCTGCGAGAAATGCCTGAAAAACCAACGCCTGTTTACCAGATCGCTGGCGCAGTATTTCCCCGACGACCCATCTCACCCAGACTACCCCGAGCTAGAGCGCAAGTACTACCGCTACCGCAAAGACCTCGAGAAGCGCTATCCTCAGGTCTGTAACGACTGCGCCAAGAAGGTCGAGGAGCGCATAAACCAGGCTGGATACACGGCCAAAACAGACCATCTGCGACGAATGATGGAAAGGAGTCGAGGCAGGAGGGCTCCTACGAAGACGACCCCCCTTGATATGGCAAACGCCATGGGACGATGGCTGTGGTGGGGAGGCTTTGTTATCCAGCTTCTTTGGCATGTGGTGAGCGCTTCGAATGTGCTGGACAAGAACGAGAACGGCATGTACGATCCAGACGACCAGAGCTACACGAAGCATCTGATTACATGGTTGAAGCGGCTTTGTGCTTTCTTGCCCTCGGCCGCGACCCTGATTGGATGGAGTATCAAAGCCGGATTTCTATCTGCTTGGTGGAACCCGCACTTTGTGCAGTTCAACCGTGGATTCACGCGGCATCTGATGGGGTTCACGCAGTGGTATTGCTTTCAAGGCCTCATCATCTTCTTCCGATACATCTTCCGCTCTGTTCTGGATATGCAGGGCGGCCAGGCCCAGTCCACAGGGGCACAGCTCAGCGCGCACTTTGCCATGGCGTGCATTATGGCAGTGGTAAGTGGTTGTCTGTTACTTGGTTTCTGCTTTTCTATCCTGTCATGGCCTAGTCGCCTGTCCGTTGAGCTGACTAGACTCCAGATATACTCCCTTGCTAGGGGCTCGATCAAGGTCGACACAACACCCCTGTTTGGTGTGACCGAGCGGACAGTATCTGCAAACCAAATGTCTTCGCCGCCGCCCAGGAAAAGAAAGATACGAGAACCAAAGACGCTAGCCGAGGCTCTGACCGAAGCCCTCGAATCAGCAAACCCGTCGCCGGTCAAGACTCCATCACGGATGCCGAATATATCGCGGGTGCGGGATGCACCGTCGGTCTACAATCCATCACCACTCAAAAACTTTACGCCCCGGGAACCGCAGAGCCCGTTGCCGCCTCGCTTCAACCCACATCCCTTCCAGACGACTCACGATGAGCTTTCTTTTGCCGGCTTCAGCATATCGGACAAATCGCCCCAGAAGCTTGCTCGCGGTCAAGACGCCGATGCAATGGACTGGTCCCCGTTGCCAAAGCAGACGCAGAAATCTCCGTACCGCGCATTCCAGGACGCCCCCGTATCCAAGCTTGGCGCCCGTCCTTTTGGGCAAGCTCCCACGCAGCCAGATGCAGGGCCATTCTGGTTCAAGGTGCCATCGGCGCCGACGAATCCGGCTCAGCGACTACGCAACCCCCCTAATGCCCCGTTGATAAAGAGGGCGTTTTCCGTCGAGCCAGTCAAGGAAGAGAAGAGCTTCAGCTTCGGGAGGAGCTTCATGGATGAGAAACGGGAAGAAGTGCCTCGAGCGAGCAGTGTGGACTTTAGGAGTCCAAGCTTTTTCGCGCCAGAGCGCCCCGACGAAGCGGATGCACTGGCGGATGCCCTCGGGCAGAGCTTCAGCTTTGAAAGCGTGCTTGGCGACGACCACTCGGACTCTGAAGAGACGGTCGTCAACGAAGAGCTGCCTATTCTTTCGAGCGGCGAAGAGTCGCACAAATACGACCTCTACTTGCTGACGGCCCTGCTGCCGTCTTGGTTCCTTCCTCTAGCCATTGCGACCCCTTATACCCGGGAAGCGCGGCTGGCCATTCTCTCCGTCGCGGGTATCATTGCGATCCGCAGCATTGGGGGTGCCACGCAACAGCTGCTGGGCGGCGACGGCAAATCATCCAGCCTGGCCATGTACTTTGCGTCCCTTGCGAGCGTGGTGGAGCTCAGTGCTGTGTGCTGGACGGGATGGCAGCTGTGGACGAAGGGGGTGGATGTTTCCCAGCATGGTCCCAACGTGTTGGCGTTTATGCTGGCACACCAAGCGCTGAGGGGCGTTTCTTTGAGACGACAGCCATGATTTTCATGGCTCAGATTTTCTAATACTTTGAATGCATTGTTTGCGAGGCACATTATAGACTGAAGCATATGGCCAATGAGCCGACGAGGAAGCAGGGGATGGGACTTGATTTATATAGGTAAGCATGGTGTAATGGATTCTGGGAGTTTTTGGGTAGGATGGTCATGTAACATAGGATTAAGCATTGTACGAGAGTCTGAATATGAAGAAAGGGCATGGGGAATGGGCTGCTTTGATGGGAAATGATGTCTTACTACCTATGGATGAGTTGCACGTGCAGAGTTGACTCGAGAATGACGGTGACTTCTGTTCCGGATCATGTTGTTTACATGCGGACGCTGTCCATCGGTTGAATCAATCATCTCTCCTTTCTTCTATTGCCGTCTCCTTCTCCTGTCATCTCCTTCTCCTGTCATCTCCTCTCATCACCATCGCCATCACGTCGCTGTTCTACTATGCCCCAGCAACGTCATCCAGGAATGGCTTAGCGCAGTCTTCTCCCCGATACGTACCCCATCACCTCGCGACTCCACCAAATGGCTTGAACCCGCGAATGACATGTGATGCAACATTCATTCCCAGAGACTCAAGTTGCATGTTTAATAAGTCCCCAGCAAGCAAAACGATTTAATTGCCAAGGCCTCCAAACGTATTTTCTTCATCCCGAGCTTATTAGGATGGAAAGCAGTTCACAGATGAAACATCGTTTTCCAGTCCAGGCTGCTCTTCGAGTCCCCATATCCTCGGCGTAGATGCCGAGGTCCAAGCCCACCGCCCTCAAGCTGCCGTCATCACTAGAACAAAACATCAACCTCACTCCAAATCCATCTCACTCACCCTCACCTATCATCACCCAGCCTCATCCATCTTCACCCTCGCTCATTCAATTACCCAAAACAACACAAAATGTCCACTCCCCTCTTCACAGTCCCCATCCCCCCCCTGGGCTCCCACCCCGGCGGCTCCATCACCCTCACAGAGCCCCAGCCGTCCGTTTACCTCCTCACCTTCGTCTCCCCCCCGGACAACCGCCTCACCACCGCCGTCTGCAAGGCCCTCCTCGCCGCGCTCGACCTCCTCGAGTTCGGCGGCCACCCGCCCGGCGTCCTCGTCACCACCAGCGGCATCCCCAAGTTCTACAGCAACGGGCTCGACCTGCAGCACGCCATTGACACGCCCGGCTTCTGGGCCCTGTTTTACTCCGTCTGGCACCGTTTCCTGACGTATGGAATTCCCACTCGAAAAAGCATACCTGGATAATAATCATCATCATCCCGTACAATGGCTAACATTGTCTCAAAAGCTTCCCCATGCCCACCATCGCCCTCCTCAACGGCCACACCTACGCCGGCGGCCTCATGCTCGCCATGTCCCACGACTACCGCCTGGCCCCCTCCCCGCGCGGCTTCCTCTGCCTCAACGAGGTCCTCTTCGGCGCGGCCCTGCAGCCGCCCATGGCGTCGCTCTTCCGGGCCAAGCTGCCCTCCAACGCAGTCTTTCGCAAGGTCGCCCTCGAGGGCCACCGCTTCACGGGCGACGAGGCCGTGGCGGATGGGCTCGCGGACGGGCTTGCGCCAAACGGGTTGGAGAGCGCGCTGGAGTTTGTGCGGGAGCGGGCGTTGATTGAGAAGCCGAAGAAGGGCGTGTATGGGACGATCAAAGGGGAGATGTACAAGGATCTGATTCGGGAGCTGAGGGGGGCTGGGCTGGAGGCGGAGGATGAGCGGTTCAAGAATGAGATGAGGAGGGAGGCGGAGAGGAAGGAGTTTGGAAAGGTGTGGGTTGAGCAGTGGCGGAAGGAGAACAAGGCGAAGCTGTGAGCCGCTTTTTTGTGTGTTGGATCATGTATGAATGTTGTATCGCTTTGGCAAACATTTCTGTACCTTTTTTGTCGAAGATGGACTCAACGATGAGAGGATCAAAGCTACACCCTCTCATGTGTTTCGGCATTTGTGCAGGAACTTGTTGTGGCTGAAATGTTTGGAGTTTCACTGACAGTTTTGTTGCTAAAAGGGGTTTTTGTTTCCTCGCTCTCCTACAAGTTGCCTACGTTTAATCAAGCTTCCGGCGTTGAGGACTCACTCCTTCAATTGTCTTTCTTGACCCGTTCGGCGACTTTCTTATTTTTGTCTCTTATCGCGTTGAGTGGTAACAAGGTAAGAGTAAATGTTTGTTGGGAACAGGCGCCTCTTCTCATCTGGGTAAGGTGAAAATCAGAAAAGAAAACGAGGCGTACGCCATGAAATGTCGCTTTGTTGCCGAGATCTGTCATGTGGCTTGCTCGTTCAAATCATGCTGTAGACTTGTTGATCTGATAAGCTTTCTCTCTTTCCTTTCGTTATCCGCTTTCCTATGTTCCCGTGAGAAAATAAGGAAAGACCATCTCATGCCGCTGGTCCAGGATACCTTCTGTATAGGCTGTCCCTTGATGGAAAATATGTTGTCAAATCAACAACCCCTTACGCGAACGACTGGCCTCGGAGCCTTTGTACAATCCTCGCAAAGATGCTTCCCAGCTGTTCCAAGAATATGCAGCCTCTATCGAGCCTTTCGGACATTTTTCTTTCTCTCCGTCGCTTAAAGAACGAAAGGTCTCCAGTGTTGGGTCCGATACACACTGCTGGAAGAGAAAGCAGGCTCAACACTAATCCCTCCCACGTATATAAAGGACGATGGCATCCTCCCCTTTTCGTTTCCCTCCAGCTCGCAGAGCATTTCAACTCGTCTCTACAAAAACCGGATACAACGACTTTTGCTTCACAACCACGCAACAAACATAAGCATGTCTCCTGCCTCTACCGCCCCTTCCGCCCAGCCTCCCTCCCCAGAGGAGGCTCATCTGTATTACTACGATGGGATCCGCCTGGGCAAAAAAGCTTATCGCCCGCACAAGCACCCATGTCTGGGATCTCTCTGTCAATATAGAGCAGCAGATCTTGGAGGAGAGCCACCCCGCCGTGCTGGCCAAGATGTTTCTCGAGCAATATAAACCAGCAGGTCTCGGACGAGAGCCATCCACACACCCTACACCAGATGTTTCTCGACTAAACTAGACCAGCGCGTCTCGGACGAATCCCATACACATCTGGGACCTCTCGACCAACACAAACCAAGCCATCTCAGGCGAAAGCCACCCACGTCTGGGACCTCTCCGCCAGCATATGAAGAAGTCTATCTATATTGCTGCAACGGCATTGCCCCATTTCTGGAACAGTGTCGATCTTTGCTGTCCTGAATCTGAATCCCCTCAACTTCAATTTGTTGAGGCACTAGTCTGTATGCTGTCTTGCATAAAGTTGACAACTACCGTAATGAGACTGTGCAAGAGAGCCGGAACTTGTCGTCTTTGGCTTGGCGGATCTTTGGGTTTAGGGCCAAAGGGGGCTTGTGAACTTTGTTACTTGCCCCCTTTTTCCATCTTGTGTTGATTTTCTAAGTTACTCTGAGGCTTGCATTGCTGATGGCTTGACTCTAGGATGCATAGAGACAAGGCTCTTAATTTGATGGGCTCGTTTAGACGTAGCTCTCGCGAAGCACTCATTTACATTCGATTCTACCTATCGTAAGGGAGTGAACTACGCTCAAATCGTCCACGCACACTCCAAAAGGTATCGTCCTTTCACCTTTGGCATAGACTTAGAAAACCAGCCTTGAACTGTCAAACGACAGCCTTAAATGATAAAATAAGTCCGCCAACTCCGGTCAGGAGAGTGATCGAGAGCACATCTCCCCCCTCCTTGGCTGGCATATAAAAGGCAGGACTCTCTCCGGGCTTGCAGAAGACTCAACTCAGCTCAACCTTCTTACCTTTCAACAAGCCAGAGACGACCTGTCTACAAGAACTGTTTACGACAACCCTCCACAAACCATCTACAAGTTCTCTCGACAAGTCTCTGACCCAACACCGCAACAAACTTATAACAACCTCCCAAGAAAGCTAAGAAAGAATTCTTTTTCTTAAACAAAGATTTAAAAATGCATTCTGCAAAGGCCCCCAGCCCGGAAGAGGCATATCTTTATTACTACGACGGCATTCGTCCGGGCAAGAAGAAGCTCATTGCCCGGACCAGCACCCACGTCTGGGACCTGTCTGTCAACATAGAGCAGCAGGTCTTAGAGGAGAGCCACCCTGCCGTTCTGGACAAGATGTTCGCTCCTCCAGAGGATGACGACGGGGACGTCCTTATGGACCAGATTCTGGATGCAACGACGAGTCTGCGCATCCGATACATGACAGTCACCCACACCGGGACTAAGGATGTGGACTGGCAGACTGTCCTGCTGATTGACGTCGAGGCGGGCACCCTCTCCTGGGAGGACGGCTACAGGATTGCCATGCAGTGCAAGGGTCTCATGCAAGATTGCGGCCTTTTGGACGTCGAGGTTGAGATCCGGGAGAAGGTGGAGGATGATGACGGGGCGATGGCCAGGCTGTGGCATGCTGTGGCGCTGGCGTGCCAGGATGATGTTGACAACATTGACTTCTGGGAGTAGAAACTCCTCTGTCGCCGCGGATTGGGGTCTGGGGGCTATCTTAATGGCAAGGGGGGGAAGAGCTTGGGCGTTATGGATGATGAAGGGATATTCTGTACAGGAAGTACTTGGACGCGCTTTGATTTTTTGGGATTTCGATACTATGGGTTTGGTTTATCCAATGTGCCGAGTTTGATTCAGTATATTTTGAGTATACACGTATAGGTAGAATGACACTATACACGAGTGACATTCATGAGTCGTCTCGATAGTAACAATGGCAATATACACGACTTGTCATCCATGAGTTGTCTCTTTCAGGAACAGGCGTATGTGCAAGCCATCAACACAATCTGGCAGACCCATGATACACCGACAAGTTTTCTACCAAGCAACAAAACAAACACTTCACATAATCATCACCAAATCAAAACTCCATCGTGACATCGTGTCATGGCGTTTTGTATTCCCCATCGACAGCTCCTGTCTCGCATCGATGGGGCGTTTAGATAACCAATCATCTTGGTTGGTATTTTGGGCATTGGTGTTGTTTTATGAAACTATACCGGCGTTTTTGTTCTAGACCAGTCAATTGCTGGGAAACAACCCCTGGGGTTGGGGCTCGATGTCTGTCTATCCAGCGTTTCTGGGTGTATGAGTTATACTGATGTACATACATGGTGGTAGAGTTTGGCAGTCATGTTTAAGGAGCAGGGATATGACGGCTTCAGAAAGGAAGAGATCATACTACTTACTACAAGGGTAGCCAAAGGATCAGAAAATGAACGTGATGATATTCGCTCGACGCCATCCCTTCAGCATCAATGCCATCTTCAAGTATGAGGACAAGAGCTTCATGGGTCAAGAAGGCACCCACAAATTCTCGAAACTATCAGGAACTCTCCTATCATCGATACATCAACAGGCTACACCTACCTTACGCAAACGACACAACACTCAGCATCATCATCTCAAGAAGCTAAAGACTTTGAAACTCATCAGTGAACTTGTGTCATGTCACCTGTATTCCCGTCTAAAATGCCATAGCACCCAGCTTCAAACTCCCACCTCACAGTTCCAAAAGACATCTGCATTCGCTTTGTTTTCAACTTCTATCCCCCACCAAACAATACAGCAGAAGAACAAAACAAGTAAAACAAATAAAGAAAAGCAGCATAGGCTACATTGTGATGGGTATCATATTCAACACACCTCCAAACCCTTTCTGAAACTTCTACTCTTCCTCTCTTCTTTGAACCCCCCTTTCAAAGACAATATCAATCATATCCCTACTCCTCATCGCCCTCCTCCCCATTCGCTTCCCCAGTCTCCGCCTCAACATTCGATACACCCAGCCCCCTATTCAATCCCAACCCCTCCCGCTCAGCCTGAATCGCCTTGGCCCTCCGCGCCTCCACGTCCTCCCGCCGGACAACCTTCCTCAGCCCCTCGCTCGCCTGGATCAGCCCGTCAATGCTAATCGCATGCTCCGTCATATGATGGTTAATGTACGTATACACCGCCGCCGGCGTGTCGCACTGCAGCAGATTGCTCTCGTTCAGCTTCAGCAGCGCCAGCGCGACCTGGAAGAGGAACGTGCTCCCGTCGTTGGTGCACAGCACCACGTCCCAGACGCGGAACAGCGCCTCCGCGCACAGGCAGTCGGTGAAGACGGAGAGAAACCACTGGAACGTCAGCGCCTCGAGCTCGACGGACAGCGAGTCCAGGTGCGCGGACAGCTTGGGCAGCACCGTCCGGACATACTGCCTCAGCACCTGCTGGTCCGCCCTCGACGAGATGAGCGAATGGTCGTAATACCCCTGCGGAAGGATGTTTTCGATAAACGACGCCAGGATCCAAAACGCATCCTCCGCAGACGGCGTGATCAGCAGGATGTTGGCCGCAATCAGGTTCATCCCCTGGCAGTAGCCCACGTCCTTGTTCCGCCGCGAGTACGCCAGCAGCACCTCGTTGAGCTTCTGCACCCCGGGCCCCTTGCGAAAAAAGATGTTGTCCGTCAGCGTCCGGTTGATGTCCATCTTGATCTGGCTCACCACCGCCGCGTCGTCGCCCTCGCCGCTCTGCGACACCAGGCTGTCGTAGTAGCCCGGGATGCGCAGCGCCGCCGCCCCGGAGCACTCGGCCCAGATCTTTGCGCGGTACGCCACGGGGATGCCGCCCAGCACCAGCGCCTTGAAGCCGTTCCACTTGGCCCGCCCGACCTTGCCCTTGTTGCCCAGGTTGGAGATGCCAATCATCTCTCCGTCCGCCACCCGGGCCTCGGGCAGGATGATGCCAGGGCGTTCGTATCGAGCCTCCGCCGCTGCCGTGGCCGCCGCGATGGCAGCTTCGCCCTCGCGGTGCCTCTCCGCCCTCACTTTGCGCAAGAACTCGTTCCACTGCGCCGTCTTGTCTCGCTGCAGGGAGTCGTGCAGATCGCTCAGCTGCTGGAGGAGCAGCTTGACCGGCTCCGCATCCTCCTTGACGAGCGTCCCCGGCATGGAGTCCTGCTGCTGCTGCTGCTGCTGCTGCTGCTCCGACGGCGGCTGCGTGAGCGTGCTCTCGTTGTCAATGGCCGTCGTGGTGCTCGCCAGGGGCACCAGCCCCGACTCGGTCGGCGTGATGCCCGGCGATCGTGCCGAGCGCTCAACAAGCCGCTGGCTGGACGCGGTGCTGGCCCGGTCGTCGGTGCCCTCGGTCACGGACACGGCCGTGGCGCTGATGCCCGGCGTGTGGCTCAGCAGCTCGGTGGGAAACGTCGCGATCTTGAGGTAGTCCTGCCAGCGCTTTGCCTTGTCCTCGCCGGTGGCTCTCTCCTCCTGCGAGCTGGGGCTGCCGGGCCGCTGGTCGCTCGAAACGCTCATCTTGGGACTGGGCGGGTCGTCCATGACGTTGGGCAAGATGCTGCCCGCCCGGTTGCCGTTGCCCAGCATCTCTCGGCGGTCGCCGTTGCGGAAGTTGTGCGCCATCTGCGAAGCCTCTCGCTGCCGCTTCTTGCGCCGCTGGTCGTATATGAAGCCGAAGCGGTCAGTGAGATACTCGCTGTTGGGGTAGTTGTTGTACATCTGCGTCAGCGTCGGGGGCTGCGACTCGGGAGGCAGGATGGCGTCCATCTCGACGGGCCCAAAATTATCGGGCCGCAGGGAAGACGAGCTGGGTGAGCTTCCGGAGCCGGTGCCTCGCGCCTCCTGGGTCTGCAGCTTCGCGCTGGCCGAGGCCGTCGACGGCGTAGACCGGCCCATAGCCATGAGCGCCTTGGGGCCGCCGGCAACAGACACGGCCCGCGACGAGCGGCTGGTGCGGTTGCTGGCAACGGACCCCGTCCTGGCCGCCTCCGTCCGGGCAGCGCTGCTCGCTGCACGCCCCCTGGCTTCGGCCTCGCGACTGGCAACGGCGCCGCCAGCAACGAGCCGCAGCGTCAAGCTGGCGATGGATTTCCGCTCGGGAGTGGACGCCGAGTGTATGCTAGACGGCCGGCTGGAGCTGTTGTTACCAGGGTTGCTGGCCGTGGGGTTCGGAGGCTCAAAGAGGTCGTCCTGCAGCGGCGGACGCTGGCCGAGGCTCGAATGCGATCGTATGACAGTCGACCTGTTGGAGCCGTCTCTGAGAGACGTCTTCTTGGATGTGCCGCCCCAGAGATAGTCCTTCCACCCCTTGAGCGTGCCGGCTCCCTTTGGACTCTCCGAACTGTTGCCCGGCGCAGAGGTAACGCTGCTGGCCCGAATCGTACCACCGCCAGCCCCGTCCGTCTCGCCGTACGCGCTCTCCGTGACCGTGTCCCGCATGGCGTCGTTCATCAAGTCGCTGAGCCCGCCGCCGTCGCGCTGAAAGTGTCCGTTGCTGCGCAGCTCGCTCTCCACCACCTTGAGCCTCGTCTCCAGCTCGAGGCTGGACAGGCCGCACTCGCGAATGATCTTACGCAGCGCCCGCTCGCGCTCGTCCGCCCGGCGCCGCAGATTCGCAATCTGGGCGTCCCGCTGCGCGAGGTCGCCGGCAATCTGCCTGACGAGCGACACGGCGCCGTGCCTCGCAATGAGGCGCTCGAGGTGCTTGTCGTCGGCCTTGTGCAGGGCGCCGGGGACCGTCTGCGACAGCGGCGCATCCTCAAACAGGGCCTCGCGGGCCGAGTTGCGCCAGGTCAGGCTGTCGACGATGGAGGAGGAGGCGCTGGCGCCGCTCAGGGCCTTGACGCGGGCGGGCCTGTCGGGCTGGCGGATGGCGGCCTTGAGCTGGTTGTGGTCGGGGTTGTCATGGTCGTGGTCGTGGTCGTGGTCGTGGTCGGGGTCGGGGTAGCTGTCGGCGAAGCGGTCGGTGCCGGGCAGCTCGGGGGAGAAGCTGGGGAAGCTGGTGAGGGACTTGTCGCTCTCGGCGATGCTGCTGGCGGAGCTGCTGAGGTGGTGGTGCTGGTTGAGCAGGCCTGCGCGGGCCTTGCCGGTGCGGACGCTGCGGTGCGAGCGGTACGAGACGTTGCTCGACTGCGAGACGGAGCGTTCGAGGCGGGGAGCGCCAGAGCCGGGCAGGTCCATGACTCCTGTCGCGCGTGGGCCGCCGCGGGCCTCGGGGAGTCGCTGTGTGACGCTCTGGCCGGCGCTGTCGATGGTGGTGGAGGTGGTGATGTCGATATTGTTGAGCAATCGATGACGATGCTGGGGGTTGGGTGGGTTGTGATGTCGATGATGTCGTTCTTTGGCCGATGCTGTCGTCTGCGTCTTGGAGCTGCAGAGTCCTGAGGTAAAGGGAAGAAGAAAGAAGAGTCGTGCAGAGGAACAGACGGAAGCGCTTGGCGTGACTCGAGGCCGGAGGAATGCAGAGCCCTTAGACGCAGCCGAGGGGCATGGCGATGAAGATGAACGGGGGAGAAGCTGGTCGTCGTTTTGCTGGGGGGGGAAGCAGAGCTAAGGCAAGGTAGCGGCCGATCAAGGGTCCACGAGGAAGCTCTGGTCGGGGTACCTTGACGTTGGTAGGAAATGACGAAGAGGGCAAGGTATTGATTAGTATTACCTAGTACCTTATGTCAAAGATGCCCTGTCTCTCCCAGCAACAATGGCCGTGTCTCATGTGATGCCGGCAAGAATGCACCCTTTTATTTGCTTGGCTGGGCGCTGAACATGCAAGACTGGCTGTTCCAGTCGATTTCAGCAAAAAGGCGAAAGGCGGGACGAGGGGCGAAAGTCATGACATGGCGCTTAGTACCCCATGATGGAAGTACACGAGCTTCTTTTCTCTTCTCTCCATAGTCTGTAATTGATCTCGCTCATCCTTACCTTAGACCACCTTGTGTATTACAATACTGATGCTGCCAGACGTCAGACGTCACGAGAGTCCAATTCCTGCATTACATTACAAACTGCAAGCTACCTTACCATACATGGTGCTTCTGAAAGAAATAGCGGGCTTATTCCACCACAAATCGGAGCGCTGTTTCTTTGCTTCTTCCTTCGCATTCGAGATGAAAGACGGCTCGCTTAACAGCAAGTGACAGCACAGGGGCAGTTTCTAGATGACTCTTCGTCTTAGTAGTATTTTCAATTTATCCCTCCTATCTGTTTTACCAGCATGAATGGGCGGTGCTCAAGCTGAGACAGTTCTTTGTACTACTTACTCTACTAGCTCCAGCTTCTTTTGAGGCCCAACTTGCGTGAGAATGACGCCCGAGACTCTCCCCGTTCAATGCATTGGCTGCCTACCCAGGCATCGAGCAGCTTCACACGCCAGGCACTCGCTCCATGCTTGGGTATCGGATATTCACCATTACCATCAGACACAAAGCAGTCATCACTCCTACTAGTACTACAACTTCACATGCAAGTCCTTAATCCTGACATCAAATCAGACATCCTCAGACAACTTCACACCATACAGTAAAACAACCATGGACTCGTATCCCCCACCTCTCTCACCAAGTCTCGTCAAATCACACGCCCATACAAAAAAAGAGTCATGCCAGCACTCACACTCCACTCCCAACTCCTCCCATCATCGTCATCCAGCCTTAGCACCTAATTGAACCATCCAATCAAACAATCTAAACCTACAAAGTACAGGACATCCATGTCCTATCAGAGGGAATGCCACGCATTTAACATACATACATACCTTAGGTACTCAATATCACAGTCCTAGGTAGTGTCATCCTACCTACGTCAAGCCTAGAAATGCGCACACTCACCACCTTTCTCACGTATAATCCCAACCCTCCGGTAACACACATCCCACTCCTCGTTTGCATACAGAGTATTATTATTACTACTATGAATGCTCATCACACAAATACATCTCGAATCAAATGGCCCTCAATTCAACCAGCCATCTAAGAGCTTTTCCAAATAATGTTCCTCTCCCATCATCCCTTGAAACGCAACAAACATACTCGCATTGCTCTCCCCTCCTAAAACACCCCTTGACACATCCCCAATCCGCACCAAAAGCGACCATAATAACAAAGCTTCACAAGAGAAAGATGTCAGAACAAACAAGATGAAAAAAGCTGTCTATGCCTCATGAGAACAAAAAAGACGAAAAGGTAGACAGAAGATTAAAAACTAAAAACTACCAAGGTATGGATATCATCATTTGGACCCAAATCCCCTTCTAAGACTCTTACACAAAAAGAAGACAAAACTCCCGGGATCATCAAACCAAGATCCGACACAAACAGAAAGTCTTCTGCCTTTCTTTCCAGGGCCGCCAACAGTAAGAAAAAGGCCAGAAATCATAGCCCCCAAACCCCAGCCCTCGTGCCAATGTCCTTTGAAACACAAAACAAGATAGAAATCAAAGAAACGCCACCTGTCAGAGCCAAAAGGCTCCCTGTCCTGCCTGCTCCAGTCATGACATGCCAAATGCCGTGCAAATCGAATCCAACGTAGTCCTTCCGCATGGTAACTACCAATTGCCAAAAAAAAAACGCCCCATTGGGAAAAAAAGGTCAAAAATTATCATTACCGTACTTTTGTTCAACCCCCTTTTCAAAAGGGTTCGTATATGCCCTAGGCAAAACTGTCCTCTGCGTACCACTGGCTGTACTTGACCAGTTCGCCACTTTCTTCAGCAGGCCCCTAAGTCGTGCTGATTGACGGCGATGGAGCCGCTCCTCCGTTGTGTTGCTGTGCCGATTCGGACTCACCAATCAGCGTGTCCTCCAGCTCTGGTACGAGCCCATCGTCAATGAGCCTTTGCAAGAGCGCATCTTTGGCCAGCGTCTTCTCCCTAACAATGACCAGGCCGTCCAGTCTGCGGAGGCGTTTGCAGCTAGCCACGTATACCACCTCGTGAAGACGGCGACGGAGCCTTGTAGTCTCGTCCAGGCGCTTCGCAAAAGTCTCGTCTCTCTCCATATCCGCGTCTGGCATCACAAATGAGTCGGCGCTGCCCATCTTGTCCGGGCTGATGAGCATCTGGACCGGAGGGTAGAAGCCCTGGGTAATGGGGTTGTCCCGCAGATCCAGTTCCGTGAGGTGAGGAAAGTCGGTCAACAGCTCCGTCACCGCCACCGTGTCGGAGAGTCGGTTCCCGGCCGCGAGCAGCTTCTTCAGTCGCGGGATGAATCGCAAGGATGACAGATCCCGTATGGCATTGAAGTTGAGATTCAGCGTTCGCAGATTTGGCATTAGCTGCCCACACTCGTCGGGCAATACCTCCAGGCCGCAGTTTGCCAGCTCGAGCAGCTGCAAGTTGAGGAAGTCGGCCTGTAGCTGGAACGAGCCCAGGTAGTTTCCAGACAGGAACAGCTTGCGTATCTCACAGGCACTGATCAAGAAGCTCAAATCAAGCGGCGCGTCGCCGCGCTGTTCTCGCAAAGAGAGGCTGTCGATCCGGCGGACGTGGCGAAAGCCAGAGATGTGGCTAATGCGGTTCCGATCAGCGTGGAGCGTCTGCAGACTAACCAGATGTCGAATGTCCAAGTCCTCAAGATCATTATCGCTAATGTCGAGCTTCCGCAGCGTCCTGTTGGCCTTGTCAAACACGAGCGTCTCGAGGTGGTTGTCAGAAATGTCCAAATGGGAAAGCGAAGGCAGCAGATCAAGACCCTTGACCGACGAAATCTTATTCGACGCCACGTCGAGTTCCGTCAAGCGCCCCCACTCAATGTTCGAAAAGTCAAGCTCTTCAATCAGGTTGTGGCGAGCCCTCAGGTTGAGCAGGCCATCGTGGGAATCCAGCCCATCAAGGCTTGTCAGCAGATTGTTATCCGCCCGCAAGCTCCGCAGGTGAATCAGCCTCTTCAACGCCGACAAGCTCTTGACTTGGTTGTTGGAGATGTCCAGGTACTGCAGATGAATGAGATGGTCCCACGACGTGAGCTCCGTCAGCATGTTGTTCGACACCTTGAGCTGTCGCACGCCTTCGGGAAGACCCTCCAGATGCCCCAGCGAATTCTTTGACACGTCCAGCGTGGTGATTCGGGAGCAAAGCTTGTTGAGGCCGTGCAGGCTGGTTAGCTGCTTGTCTTGGAGAGTGAGAGAGGTCATATCCTCCCAGTACGGCTCGTGCGGCTGCGCCTCGGACAGCTTTTCCACAAGGTAACGCAGCGTCATGGACATGACCTTCTTGGAGCCGTCGCCCGTTGCCATTCGTCTCTGTCCCATGACATAGCTCACCTCGAGCCCGAACGACTTGTCGTGGTTGTTCATCGAAAACTCGGAGAGCGGGCTCAGCGACAGCTTTCCGACATTGCGGCCAATCATGAGACTGTCATCAGCCTTCAGCGAGACGGCAGCGTGCGCCGGAGTGCTCATGAGGAACCCGAAACCCGAGCCCCCTTCCAGCGACTTGAGACTCATCATCGTATTGTCACCAATAAAGCTGTAATGGCGGTCATTGGCTGGTGTTTGCTGCTGGCTCTGGCCCCTATTGCGATTCTGATTTGGCAGCTCCACCGTGCTCTCCTCGTCCTGCTCGTCAATTCGCGAGACTGGTCTGGGCGTAAACTTGCCAGACGACATGGACGTCGCGCGGATGGTCCGCAGAGAGTCTTGCGAAATGCCCTTGGAGCCGCGAAAGGGAGTGGAGTGGAGCGGAGGCGACTCAGATGATTCACCAGGCACGGGGTCGTCTTCCAAGCCTTCTATATCCTCAGGAAGCACGCCCAGGATGATGGAGGCAATGGGCGAAGTGAAGGATATCGTGATATTGCGACGCTTCGATGACAGCCCATCGCTGCTTGTCTTGGCCTTGAGAACAGGCAAGCGGCTTCCTCCGTCGTCGGCGCTCTTGGAGCCTTCACCGGGTTGAGCATCGAGCTTCTCAATCTCCCCTCTGGCCCTTGCCGCTACCTCAGGGTCAAGCGGCTCGTAAGCTGCCAGAGTCGTATAGCTTTTGAGCGAGTGCGTCTGGGCCGAACTCTGGCGAGAGGTCTTGCCCTTGCTGCTCGCCATACTTTCGCGACCCCGAGGCGTCTGCTTCAGATGCTGCATCTCCTCCGTCATGTCGACGGACAGATCCGGGATGTTTGCAAACGGGTCTTCCTCGCTGTCGTCGGACCCTGAATGGTGGGACGTCAGAGAAGCTTTGGAGTCCTTGTTTCGGATCCAGATGTTGTTCTGCTTGTCCAGGTACATGCCGCCAATCTTGTCCGGAATCAGGTGAGAAACGCTCTCAGGGGCAATGACTTTGCGCGACTCAGAGCCTCGAGACGAAGAGGTGGGAAACAGGTGGCTGGTAGAGCGGGCAGAGGCGCTGGAAAACAAGTCATGAACCGGGCTCGTCGTTTCACTCGCAGAATCATAATTCGAACCGCCGCCGCCGCCGCCCCCACTGCTTCGAATGCGGCTGGCTCGGTCGACCATGCGTTCAACTTCTTTCGCCGCGCGGATTGCGTCCTTTGCAAGGTTCATGGACCTCATTGAGGATGAAACAACGTCACCCATGTCACTCATCTCCTGGTATTTCTTGAGCCGTTTCACGAGTTCGGGGTCCTCTTGCTGTCGCGCCTGTCTGGGAATCGGCTTCCCGTCCCGACTGGGCGGTCGCGAAAAGGGCTCGGCCGTTGATCCGTCGGACTCCTCCATTGTAGCATTCTGCGTGGCAACCCCACCAATCTCCAGCTCAGATTCCTCCAGACTAGAGAGCCCGGGCTGGCTGACCTGGTTGCGAATCATGGCCATGATCTGAGCAGCTTGGTCTACAAAATCCTGGGTCCGTATCGATGGTTTGCGCTCGCCAGTGGTACCCGGGCTGTCCGGCTCATCTTCTTCCTGAATCGACGACCTCGTTGGCGAGCGACGCGGCCTCCCCTGAGAGACGTCATCCTGAACCGACCTTGAGGTGTGAGCCGACGATTGGGACTGCCGCCTAGGCATTTGGTCTCCATCTTGAAGATCGATGGAGTTTGCGCGATCCGTCTGAGAGCGCCTCCGCACTTTGGATCCAGGACGAGGTAGCTTTGGCACGATTGACTTGCGACCCTCACTGCCAAATGCGATATCGGAGCGATGAAGCGTTCGTCGGCGCTTTGGTGTCGGGTGCTTGGAGGGAGTCGCTCTGGGCCGCTTGCCTTCGGATCCGTAATCCCGCTTTGCGGCCCAGGACTCGTCGTAGGCTTCATCCTGTGAGCTGACGGAGTCGTCCGGTGAGCTAGACATGGAATCGTATTCAACACCAGCATCGACCGAGGGAGTCTGCGAATTGCTCTTGCGACGGCTCCTGCGGACATGCAGCGAGACGTCTTCGTGGAGCCAAGATGACGGAGGAACGAGCTTGAGGGGGCCCTTGGCGGCCAAGGGAGGATGTAACGGGGTCGTCTTCTCCTTGAAAAGGAGGCTGGAATGCTCGGCGGGCGAGTGAGACAAGTCGTTGGTGAATTCATACCCTTCCAGTTCACCAGCCCCAAAATGGCTGACATACCTCGTCGCTCCGGAGTTGCGATCGACTCGTTTCTTGCTAGGGTCGCGGCTGGGCGTAGTAGGCGAAACATCTCCTCGCGAGTTCATACCAGACAAGCTCTCTTCAAACTGACTGATGCGCCGCATCAAGGTCTCGTTGGTAAACGTATCGTAGGGCCCAAATAGCTTGAGGGGGCTCGTGTTGGATTGGGTGCTCGTCTCGCGGATTTGCCTCTTGTCAGGGCTTGGAAACGGTGCGTGAGGCACGTTGGGGCTATCGAAGAAGGAATCGAGCACGTTCGAATCGGCGTCCTGCGTCCGAAGGGTCGGGAACTGTTTGGGCGTGCTGGCCTGCATTGAATCCTCGGGCAGCAGTTCGGACCAGTCCTCGCCGATATCAGGACTCAGGCTATGGTGCTGCAGAGACCCCTCGGGCGAATCATTGCTCCCATAAGAGGTGTCAAAATGATATTTGATCGAGGAATCGTCACCAGACTCGCCGTTTGAAGGCTTCGCGTCCACTGCGCTCTCGGAGGCATTGTGCGAAGGATCCAGAATCATCTGGTTGAGTTGTAGTCGTTCAAGCCTCTCTCGCAGCTCTTCCGTGGGCATCTCAAGAGGGGTAAACTCGACCTTTCCGTCCTCGTCGCTGCGCTTGCCGATCAGAATGGGGCTGAAGTCTTCGTTTCGCGTATAGCTCTGGCCACTGGCTTTTCTAGATGTGCCGTCAACCAAGGAAGGGATGGCGAGATAACTATCGTCTTGATCGGCTGCCTCTTGCTCTTGTATTTGTCCAGCCTTTTCCTCTCGTTCCTCGTCTCCAGGCTCTTGGGTAATCTCTTTTTCTCGGCTGACCTCGTCTTCTACCGCTTGTTCCGCAGAGGGCGCCGGGGGATCGACAGGGCTATGGCTACTCAGAAAAGATGCATCTGAGTGGTCGTCTTGGTCGTCCTCAACATTGAGCTTGTACTTGACCTCCCGCGGGGGCCTCCTAGGGCTCGGGCTCGGTGTGACCTGATTGTTGGAGAAGATGCTGTCCTCCTCCTCCTCCTCCTCGTCAGCGTTCAGCTCCTGTTCGGATTTCGCGGTATTCGTCGGGTCGTTTTGCGCTGGCGGGCTCGAAGGCAAATCGGTGGTGTCGTATGAATCTGCATTAGAGGGTGATTCGAGGTGTAGAGAGGCGATATTGGGGAGCGGCGAACTAGGCATAGGAGAGGGAGGTTCGAAATTGGGCGATGGAGATTCGAGATTGGGGGATGGAGAGTCGAGATTGGGAGAGGGCGAGTCGACGTCGGCATCACTTGACGGCGGCGGCCTGAACATGTCCTGCAGGCCGACAGCTGCCGAACTAAACAGGTCGCGCTGCTCGCCATATCCAAGCTTGCCGTGCACCAATCGTCGCTTCCACTCAGGCGTGTCGGATCGCCCCGGCGCGGCAGGCGTTCGCTGCCGGGCGTTCTTGTGCACCACGACGGAGCCCGTTGTTGAGGAGACGGAGCGCCCTACATGGCCTTTGTGCGACGACTTGCGATCCTTTGCGAACTTGAGCAGGCGTCTTTTGGGCGACTTGTTGTCCTCGGAGCTTCGATCGCCCTCGAGAATCGTCATGCTCTTGTCCTGCGGCGGCGGCGCAACGACGCCCGGATGCCTCCAGCGCGGGATGCGGCTCGGTGTGATTTTCGGCGACGGCGACGGCTGGCTCTTCTTGGTCGACTTGACGAGAGGGAGCGGCGCGGGCGAGGATCCTCGCTCGGACACCCAGTCCTCGGTCAGCGAGTCCAGCCAGGCGTGCGACGACATGGTGACGGCCGGGAGAGACGCTGCACACAGGGGACGAGATGCTCACGCCATAGATGGAGGTGCTGGTGCTGTAGAGATACAGGGAAAAGTCTATGCGGGGTCCGCGTTCCAGGCAGGGGGAGAGGCAGAGCAGCAGGAGCTGAGACTGTGAAGCCACTGGCGATGCGATTGCGCGCGCACTGCCGTCGGGGCGCGCAGAGGGAAGAAATACTCGGCGCAGGCGGGGCGCGGACACGGCCGAAATGGCGGCGTCAAATGTCGACAACGGATAAGATGAAGGCTGAAGATGTGGCAGACGGACGCATGGGAGCGCATGCAGGGGATTCGGTCGGGAGGCTTCGTTAACGGTATTACTCCGTACTTGTACATAAAAAGAGGGAAGCGATGATGCGCGACCTCTTGAAGCGGGAAATCAAAACAGGGATGTTCATTGGCCGGCCGAGTTGCCGTGCCAACTACAGCGGGGCGGACAAGTCACGTGCAGCTCCCGGTGCGGTGTGTACAGTACTTTGTATCTGAGAGCAGATGGAGCGAGACAAGGCTAGCAAGAGCTTAAGATTGCCGGAATCTCGCCAGTTGAGCTGTCATCTGGTTTGCGACCCATCAAATAGAGAGGTGCCTGTATTTTTAGACCGCAGTAATTCGAAGCAAACTCCTTAACATGCGTCCATCAGTATGTAGTATCCCTTATACATATGCACAGCAGGCACAGGAAAAAGGAGCAGATGCAGCGCAGAAATGAAGTGCTCCATGCATCCTGCAGCTCGCCAGCGATCAGGGAGGGATCCGCTCTTTACGCGCCGTCACGTGATGGCGCGGGACGCGTCTTTCGTCATGGGCGGATCGCGAAGAAAGCGGGCCAAGGTAGGTAGAGCTTGACTTACCTTAACTCGACCCAACTCACCTTGAAGCTTCACCACCCAATTTCCCACACTCCCCTTGCGTCAGCCACTGTCGAAGTGAGACGCAGATGAGGAGCTTCGCACGAGCTCTTGGCCCCGTGCCCGTGGTGTTGCGACTCTGATGCCGCCCGCATCCCTTCGATAGCCCGTTGATGCCTTAGCAACCATCACCATGGCCGCGACGCTGCGAGGGGGCTCCATCTACTGCGAGGCGGTCCTCCCGCCGGAAGACGTCTACTTTGAGGGATCCGAGGACGAAGACTACGACAATGCAGCGGAGCGGAGGAAGAGGTACGAGGCTGCCGGGCAGAAGTTTCTCTCTGGCAGCGTGCCATTTCTGCTGTCCGCAAGCTTGAAGGGCCCCTTCGACGAGGCATCCGGCTGGGTCAATCCGTGGCGGTCAAAGAATCGCACCGCTCATTCGCACTCTCGACCGGAATCCGCAAAACTAGGCGCTCAGTGCACCAGTCCAATGCGGCCTGCAACGTCTGCCTCTGCTTCTACCGCAACGCAAGCCATCGAGGTTCTCAAAAACGCCGAGTGTGCCCTTCCTAGTCCGGAAAGCCTTAAGCAGGCTCCCTTCACTGCGACACCTTCACGGCTCCGAGGCAAAGTCGCGGATGAGGATCGCTGGGGTGATGGCATGGCGTCGCTTACGTCGACCAAAGATGACACTGACCCCTGGATGGCGAGTTCGCCGTCACGGAAGCTGAAGAAGAAGAGATCCAAGTCGTCAATTGGCGCGAACAGCACATCAAAAAAGCGCCAGAAAACTGAAACAACAGAGATTGAGACCCAAACTCCCACCTCAGGACGTCGGGCTACGAGGTCAAATGCCGATGAACTACGCACAAACACCAAGGCTGACATGCGCAATTCATCCATATATGCTCATATTCGGGAGCTTACGTCGAAATTTCCAAGGCAAGACCTATCGAGCGACGATGAGATTGCTTTTGATGACGACGACAGCGACGCTTTGCTCACCAGCCAATCAGTTCCTTCATCCTCTGCAAATTTGGTTTTGTCGCCATGGAAAGACTCGTCCAGCGAGGCATTGCGGCAGAGGCTGAATCCACACTCATCCTTTTCATCCCCACCGCGTCGGTTGGGCTTGGCCGGAGCGCTGTCTCCTGTCTCCATGTCGTCGGCACAAACTCCCACCAAACGGACGGCTCTTTCAGCCTCCTCACCCGGCCGTTTGCCGTCCATGAACGGATCATCCGCCTCTAGAACTCCAACGAGGACCTTGCGCTTTTCAGATATGGATATGCTCGACATGGACGGTGCTGACGGCGACAGTGCTATTGGCAACACGATGGCACCAGAAACTCAATCGCAGGAACAGGAGCTCCCGTCACTCAGACAGCTTGATGTCAACGACGTGAATCATGTCAATGGCACTCCGGATCCAATTTCACGTGCAGCTACCGCATATCGACCTGATTGTGAAGCAACCACATCCCGCCACGCACAGGATGATTCTATACTCGGTCCAAAAACCAGCCCCGGAAAGCTCGATAGTCATCTCAAGCCAATCCGTGCTACGCCACCTCGACAAGTGACACATCCCGTGATTTACGATGACGCCAAAAGGGTCAACCGCTCGTCTCCTGGCTCTAGTATTACAGCTCCATCAAGTTCACAACAGCCCGCTGCGAGTCAGAACGAAGTCGCCAAGTCTCCCAGCGATTCCAAACTTACAAAGACGAGCAAATTCCCGAAGTCGTCGGCACTTCAGTCGTTGAGCCCTCGAAATGGTAGAATCAACTCGCGACCTGCGCTCAAGAAGGCTGTGCGGTCTTATATGTCGTCACCACTCAAACCATCAACATCGAGCGTAAACAGATCTTACTTGCACAAGGAAGACGGCCAGCTGTCAAAGGAGAATGTTGAGACCAAAGACGCAAATGAGAGCGCGTCACTGCTGACAAGAAGTGTCAACATCTCAGCATCACAGCCTGAACCGGATGAAGTACTTGCCACCTCCACTCCCGAAGCTGATCCTTCAAAGGCGAGCGCTATCCTGGAGAATCATTCCGCTCCTAAAGCTGAGTCTCCAAAGGCGGACAAAGTTCAGCAGGGTCCTTCGGCTCCCGATGCTGCAGCCCCATTACTCTCCCCCTTCGGCCTTGCGCCACCTGGTATCACCGAGCCTACAGTGATGGACGATACAGTCCAGGGAGCTGGGCAGTCTAACGTACCGGAATTAGTAGAGCCAAGCTTCATCCAAGAGGAACTTCCAGCACAGTCCGAGTCTTCTATCCCCCTGGCAGACGCGGGTCTCGGCACGCCTGAAATGCAAGCATCCGAGGACACGTCAGAAAACCCAGATGTGTCTGACTCAACAGGTCCTGCGATAGCTAGCCATACCCCTACGCAGGAGCAGCAGAAGCAAACGCTCGGCCCTATCGACGCCGCCAAAAGTCCCGTCCTACCCCCACAAAGCGTCGAGACGCATCAGTCGCCTTCTGAAGATATGCCTCCACCTTCCGACAAGGCGTTCAAGAGACCATCCACGCCAGAGCCGCAGTTTGCCTTTACGTCCTTTTCGTCATTCATGTCACCTTCTCCCAGCCATCGCCGCCAGGTCCGTTATTCTTGGGATGGGGCTCCGAATGGCGTCGGTCCTACATCGCGAGGCATCCTCCTATCCAGCAAAAAGGGGCCGTTGACAAGCACAGCATCCAAGAAACGGGTCTCCTGGGCTCCTCTGCCGCATGAAGAGACGGCGAGCACCGGCGAGGAGACTGCATCAGAGACGAACACGTCATCATCGCCGTCACGAGGCAGGGACCGAGCAGTTTCACCACCTCCACCGCCGTCTACCAGCCTCGCTTCTGATTCGCTCGAAGAGAGAGACATGAATTTCAGCCACCACTTTGCTGCCGTGGCCGACCGTACCAAGGGCACACAACCGCAGAGCGCACCAACCGCATCGGGAGACGGATCCTACGGCCCCGGCATGGAGACGACCGTCACTGCAGCAGAAATCGCCAGTTGGACTGAAGTCACAAACAGCCCCAAGATGATTCTGGAGGAGGTGGATAAGGGGGCGGCAAAGTTGACTGGCGGATGGGATGGCGGTGAGGAAGCCACAGATATTGTGGAGGACATATTCAACGAGATGGACGACTTTTTGCAGGTCTGGGACGTCGACGCTGAGCTGAAGGAGGCGCGAAAGGCAGACAAAGCGCGGGCAGCTGGCGAGAAGAAGCAGGATGAAGGCATGCTGGAGGCTGATGCGGGCATGGCCGTGGACATGGACATGACTTCGCAGTTTTTCTTCTGAACACTGCCTTCACATATCGAGGAATTGCTGCTCTGTTCTTCCAACTACACGACACTACAAGAGTTATGATATCATCCGATTGTCACTGAGCATAGCGTGCCGATATCCGTCTTTACGACGTCCTTTCTGTCTGGTTTCACTTTCTTCTTTTTTGGGGTCCGAATATCTGGTCATTCTATGAGAACGGGTTCTTTCTTACATGTACATTATGTCGAACCATACCAATGCGAAGATGTAATGCCAGATCTTCTGTTTCATAAGTTTTCTACCTACGATTCACCACTGTATCTCAAATTCTGTGGGAGAACATTGGGTTTCTCCAGCTACGTGGGGATGAGAACCCACTCCTTCTTCTCCTTTTCCTGTCTCTAGTGTATATTCTTCTGAAGAACTCAAAGACGACTGGGCTCGTGATGGAGCTCATTTCTTGCGGGGCGAGAAACGGGCTTGCCTAGGTAGAAACAGAACGTATGGCATGCGAGTGTACATGAGGGCGCCTATGTGCATATAGTAGGTAGGTAGGGCATAGTAAGCCTTATGAATACGAGAGAAGTGTTCACGACACAAATATACCACCATTTATTGTGTTTTTGGGGGCTTTTTTGGAACCACTGGAAATTGGTCTTCATGATTGTAAGATACCGGTGGTTGTGACTGTTGGGACAGGTGCTGGAAGTCCATCGCACCCGCACCCATCATGGCCCCCTCCCGCGAAACATCGCCAATGATGGGTCGGGCAAGAGAACGACCACCAGCATCGCATTCTATAACCTCATCCATTTCAGCCCTCGTCATTCTTCCACCTTCTTTACTTTCCTTTGCTCTCGTTCAAGAAAAGGCCACATCGCCTGTTAGGTTCTCAACCGTCGCTACATCATAATTTACAGGGTAAGTCAAATAAGCACACATGAACCTACCTACATATGTAACAAAGCTAATCTGCAAGCCTCCAATAGGCAGAGAGACGGCATCAGTCAAGTTCTCACTTACATCAGATACATACCTACTAGGGTATCCAACATCAGGGCAGAAAAGGCCGAGACAAAAGCCTGTGCCGTGCATATGCCAACAGCACAACAAAGATCGTGACTAGACTTGAATTTACTTTTTTTCTTGCAAAAAGGCCTGCAGTCTGCTGCAGTTTGTTTCCCCCTTGCTCCGGCAAAGGCGGCTTTTAGTCCAATGAGTGTGGTTAGACAGAGAACGTGGCTTGCTTTGCTGGCGTGGACAACGCTTCATCCGAGGGGGCCCTTTTCATCTGCTTCCTTTCTCTCCTGCCTGTCTCACTCTCCGCTCGCCGCTCTTCATCTTCTCCCAAAGGTGGCATTTGATTAGGCTATACTTGGCCCGGCCTTACTACCTACCTACCTCTGTGTCCCCTACTCCCTCTTTCTGGGCAACAAGGGGTCCTGTCGTCGGGTAATGTAGTAAGAAGAATCGTGGTGGGCGAATGTCACCCAGTCGACGGGAGAATCTGTCGAGACTGACGCATGCGTGTAAACCACCGATATAGAGCCCGGCTCCCGTTTTCAGAAGCTCAGTCTCTTGAGAATTGTCACACATTGGAAAGTCGGCTGTTCATTGCAACCGTGTGTGCTTCGTGCAGGCAAATATCCGAGTGAAACTCTACAGCGAGCAAACGCTTGGTGACGTCGCGAGCGGTACGAACCCGACGAGTGCAACGGCATCCGACCCCAAGAGGGCGCAATCTGTTACGAGATGAAGGAGGAGGCGCCATATTCTACTATTGGCCAACGCAGATCCCCCAACCGGCTCATTTGACCTGTCCCCTTTCTCCAGGCTTCGGGGGCTGCGTAGGTTTCGGCCGGCCTAACCTTAACTGACATCCAGTGGCATCTGAGGGCCTGTGTGGTGTCGTTGTTTACTTGCAGTGAAACGACACTCCCCTCGAGTAGCTCGTGAGCCCAACTCCGTCTCATTGGACTCCGTACCTCGTACGCAAACGCCATTTGCTCAAGAATGATATGCGTCCTCACACAAATAGGAGACAGCGCAACTCTGTCCACCAACGCCTCACGTGGTAGAGGCCATCAAATGATTTGGCTGTGTAGTCCGCCCACGTGCCCCACGAATCGCTTATCTGAGCCAGACACCAAGGTCCAGATGCCCTGGCTCTCGGTAGCCGGGATGCTCGACGCCTGAGTGATGGCTGTTCCTGACTGCCTAATCCGGCTCCAAGGAGAACCGAGCGTCATGGCCCTAGATGGGCTTGGGATCCCTGTTTAGATCCAGGAGATTGGGGACACCGCAAGTCTGGTGGAACGTACTTGGCATGAAGCCCACGGCATGAAGAAAGCTTGTGCGTTGTCCGACTCGCTGAGCTTCAATTGTGTGACGTGCATGATCCGAGGATACGTAACGATGTGCGATGCTGAAAAGGCATACGCCAGTCAGGCACTGGCGAGGCACACGTGGGTGAGGGAAGAAGGCGTCGGTGAGCTCGGCAGCTTATGGAAGAAATCCAGGCATGCCGTTTTGAGTTTCATAAGGGCCGTCTCTGTTCTGGCTGCTTCGCCAGGAACGTCGCTGACGCAATTGCCCGCGAATGGTTGAGCAAGATCTGTGTCGTGCTCATTCGCAGGCTTCTCCGCGAGTGAGCAGCTGGTCTGGTTGCTCGGCAGTGATGAGGCATGACTGCAGACGCACTCTGCATTGCGACTGGTAACGTGGCGTCACCGGTGGGCTCGCCTCGAGGAGCAAATGTACTGGTAGGCTCTGCAATAGCATGTCACAAATGTCGTACAACATGATAAGTAGGGCTGCATATTGGCCGTCAGTTTGCATTCCATGTCCGTTGTCCTTGACTCCTGACGGCGTGCCCCGGTCGTTGAGCTTGCAAGATTGTTCGTTCCAGCTACCAGACTCCGGGGAAGGCCTGGCCTTGCCGGGCAGCCCGTTAACCAACCTCTTTGTCGTCGGTGAGAGAACAGGCCGTAGGTCGGACTGATGGGCGTCTTTGCCTGTCCCACGTGGGCTGGAATGACGTCCGGGCTTCTGGAACACGACGGCAGGCGGTGGAGTCGGCAATAAGCTTCAGGCCCCCGTGCGTGCCATGAAAACTGCTTGCGTTTGATCACGCCCGAGAGCTGTTGGGAGGGCGCGGAGCAAAGAAGTGTTGTTGAAGCAGCTTTCCCATCTTGCTCCGTTCTTTGTGAAGCAATGCAACGCATTGGACTCGGCGGAATGCCATCGCAACTGCGGGTCTGAAACGGCGAGAATAGAGGCAAAGCCGCCAACAACGAATCATCGAAACAAATCCACGCCATTGGGCACCGGCGCCGTCAAGCCACGTCTGTCCTAGTTTGCTGCAGTCAACTCCCCCAAGCCCAAGCCAAGCTGGGTTGCTATCCACAGGTATTAGCGGCAGTTGGAGAGAACCTGAAGGTGTAGCACTAGCAGCTATAATCCTCCGTACCTGGCGGCCATCGTGTGCCTGATAAGCTTTCGAAGCACCTTGTGCGTTATCTGCGCGCCGCTCGATGCCCCGTCAGCAAGCCGGGGATGGGGTTCGTATCACAGCGAAGGTAAGACAAGGGCATCGCAGTCCCGCCAGGCAGCGCCGGAAGTGGCCCAGGATTCCGCGAGTGCTAGCGGGCTCGTCTGGCCTGGAGCGCCTGCTGGCGAGCACGTCGAAGCCGGGGAACACGGGAGAGCGTCATGATTTGCTCGTGTCTTGGTTTGATTTGCGTCGTGTTTGTTGGGGGCTGGCCGAGCTCAAAGGACGTCGACTGTCGCTCCGCAGACCGGCTGCATGAGCCAGATGCCGGCCTGTGTCACGGCCAGCAGCATGTCTCTCGCTTGGCCCTCACCGATGCTTTATCTTTTGCAGGTGGGTTGCAGCTTGTTTCTCCGCGTTGTGTTGCACAGGGCGTTGGAGAGGACGCCCCGCTATCAGGGCGGTGATGGGTGAAGCTTGATAGCGGAGTTGAGGGAGTGAGTGAGTGCCTTAGGCAGTAACAGCTGGAGCTGTGTATCAGTGGCAGAGATAAGGCAATGGAAGCGACTGGCCTCGATTGGATCCATTGATTGATGTCTCTTCTGGATCAATTCACTGCCATTGGCCTTATCGGGGTTGTTTCTGGCCCTTTGATGGCGGTGCATCTTGACAGCATTCAACCCTCAACTTCTTACTGTACTTGCCAGGGAGTAAGCAAGCCCTCCGATAGAGGCTTTCCGCCGGCTCTCCTGAAGTATGACGGACGGACAGACAGGCTTCAGAACCGAGCTTACTCTCTTGAATCCCTTACGGCACCTCAGCAAGCAAACTTCCTGTACTCGCACTCAGCCCCTTCAAATCACCTACGACATACACCGAATCCAATCAACGATGCATGTCCATGTTCAATTCCAGGACTGGGTTAGATTGGATGCCTCAATCCAATCCCGTCCAATCCAATGGCAGAATCCCTCCCAGCGGTCCCTCACTGGCCAATTCGCGCCTTACCATGCACCTGTAGCGCATTCGGGCCACTAAGACCCCGCAGCCGTGCCTTGTGCCTCAGCAGCCGCCTCTCACTGCTCTCATCTCGAACATGAACCCACGACGGCAGCGCAGCGCCCCGCCCCTGAGCAGACGTGAGTTTGCTCCAGTCTGAAGCTGCGGCTAGTCGCCGTCATGCAACCTCGAACGTGCTGCTTGGCGGCGGGGATGATTCGGTGCGAGGAGCAGGAGGTAAGAAGGAGGGAGGAGTGCCTGTAGCATTGAGCCAGCCCAGCACTCTCGAGCGCCTGTAGCAGAGCCCGTAGCAGAGCCCGTAGCGCCGCCGTCGCCCTGTGCCTCCCTGTAAACTCACTGGACCGCAGCATCGCACATCGAGGGCCACCACATGTACAGGGCATGTCGGGTAAGGTATGTGCGTCCATGCGCTAACAGCCCAGGGCTCCACCCGGCGGCGCGCAACTGAGTTCCCCCATTCATCCATCCTGAAAACCTGGCAAACCGCCTCCCTCCATTTTCAATCCCTCCGCAACCTCCAGCTCACGGCCTGCCACCACCCGTCTGCCCGCGAATCAATCCTCCCACGCAGACGCTCTGCCGCGCCAGATGTCCTCCCCATGTCCAGCTCGCCTTCTCACGCCGAAAATGCCGCACCTGCTGCGCTGCTGATCGCCCACGCCCACGCCCACGCCCAGCCCCATGTCCAGCGCCAGCCCGACGAACAGCCGCTCCCGCTGCACGACGCCGACGCCGACGCTGCTGCTGGTGACGCTCCCGACGCCGCAACCCCAACGGGCGATACCATGGGGGCCAACGCCTCTGCTAACAGCAGGGCAGATGCCACACCCCCGGCCCCGGACAGCGAGGCCGCTGTCGCTGCTGCCAGGGAGGGCCTGAACTCAAACCTGGACCCAGACGGGGGCCGCAGCCAGAACCAGCCGGATGGTAGCGGAGCAGACTCTCCCTCATCTCGTCTCCCAGCTGCTCCTCCTGTTCCCTCTGCTACTACGACCGCTCATATAAAGACTGCCCCTAGCGCCGCAGCCCGCCAGCGCCAGCAGGGCCCTTCGCTGCTTTCACAGGCTCTGGCATCTGCTCGAGGCATCCTCCGCACAAACTCATCCCCTGACAAGTCGACGAGGCCAGCGCCTGCTGCCAACCCGGCCTCTGCTACCCCGTCGGCCGCCGATACGAGGCCTGTTCGGTCCTCGCCCGCCACTCCTTGTGCAGAGGCGCGAGATGCATCAGACTACATCGACGTCGACGGTGCCCTGACGCGAGGCGAGCCGCAACCCGCCACAATGGCTACGACGACGACTACCATCACAGCTCCTACGATCCCCATTACCGCTTCTCTTCCAGTGCGAGACCGCGCCGGTCCTGCATCGCCGTTCAAACCCGAAGTCTTATCTCACGCCAACGACATGCTCCTGGAACACCGCGAATTCCTAGACCGAACTCGAGGCAAGACTCCCACATCACTCGACCATGACCCCACGCCTTCGACAACATCGCATCACGACCACCACTTCTCCCGCTCGTCGAGCCCCGAAGATTCGGTGACACCGACCAATGGTAGCTACTCTAGTGCTGTGCTATCTGCCGACCACTCTACCGACGCAGGAGACGAAACCGATTCACAAGGGTCACACCGCGAACATCACAAATTGACTGCCGTGCCAGAGAAGACGGAAAAGATATGGTCCATTGGCTCTGGCGACGGGAGCGAAGAGGATGGCCTGGTGGAGCAGTCGGTTGCCGAGGCCATCGCCGGGGTGGAACACAATGCACGCAGTCGCAAGTCCAGCTACAGCTTGCGCTTCTTCAAGGAGGGACTGCCCCCGGACGACAAGCCGCGGCGCAAGGATACCAAAGCCTCGCATCGCGACAAGCATGTGCCGACTATTGACGAGGAGCCCACGAATATAGCCGAGAAACAGTCACTGGAGCAGTGCAACAAAGCCGGCGGCAAGGCCACACAGGCAGAAGACACAAAGTTGCCGGCAAGACTAACAACTAGGACGCAGTCGTTCCCCGCGGCGGTGACTGACGAGCGGCCCATTGTTGCATCACCGCTCGAGGAAAAGAGCTTCGCTCTGCAGCAGAAGCAGCAAGCGGAACAAGGTGGCGAAAGAGGCTCGGCGCAGCAGTCATCATCCGCTCATCATAGCGAGCCAAAGCTGGAGCCACCGCTTCACCCTGAGGTGGGGCCGGCGACGGACCAAGACGCCGAGGTGGAGAAGCCGCGGCCGTCACATGACTCCGAGGTCGGCGGTCCGCAGCACCACGCCGGCGACAGGGATGCACAAACGGGCACGGCTGCGGGCGCAGAGTCCCTGGCCGGCGCCGCTGCCGAAGCCGAGGCTAATGCTGATACAGATGAGCCGGCAGTGACGCAGAGCAGCACCGACAAGGCCGATGCCCGTGCCGATGCGAAAACCATTGACGCCGAAGCCTGTGCCATCAGCGGCAAGGTCCATGCTGACTCCGATGCAGACACCGAAGGCGATGGAGACGGCGAGGCAGACGAGTCTGGAGAAGAAAAGATTTCGTCAGCCGTGTTCCATCCCCACCAGGAGCTGGACGATGGCCGCGCAAGCGTGAGTGAGGGCAGTGACAACGACGCGCTGCGGCGGCCGCGGTCGCGCTCGCAGACTAAGAGTCACCCGTGGCTGGTCAAGGCCGACGAGCCTGAGCCCGAGATCCAGAGTAAGGATGAGAGTCCGTATCAGGTGTCGCGCGTTGCCTCCCGTGAGAGTCTTACCTCACGCCGGGCAGAGGCCCCGGCAGAGGCCTATGCCCCGACCGAGCCTGCCGTGGACGAGAATGAATTGAATCAAGCCACCCCTACTCCCAAGCCCCGAGCTGTGACCCATCATGAAGACCATGTCCATGAGCACCAGCATCACGCGCGCCGACCGCTGCAGGCCATTGAGCTCATCCCCTATAAGCACCAGGTCGGCGGCCACAACACGCTGTGGCGATTCTCTCGCCGGGCCGTTTGTAAGCAGCTCAGCAATCGAGAGAATGAGTTTTACGAAACAATTGAAAGATATCATCGTGATTTGCTGCCTTTTCTCCCTCGGTATGTCTTGACCGTTCCGTTCACCACTATCGGGCAGAAGTCCTCGATGTCGCGACCCTTAGCCTTTTCTGCTTCTGCTTTCGGACTGCCCCGTTCCTGAAGCAATGCGACGCATCACCCTCACCCACTCCTGATAGTTGTCGACGCTAACATGCCCTTTTCTTAGGTACATCGGAGTGTTGAATGTTACATTCCAGAGGAAGCCTCGTAGAAAGAGCACCGTCAAGAAGGACGAAACGGCCGATAAACGCCAGCTGGAGTCCAATGGCAGCAACGAGGCTGGACAGACGACGGCTACCCCTTCGCGGGTCATCAGCCAATCGCTCTCCAGCTCCAACGTTCCCATTCCCACCGTGACATTCGACGACAACTGGCATATTCTTCCTCGCAACCTTCTCCAGCCGTCACCCGCTCTCGACTCGTCGCATCGCCGTAGCGCGTCACTCAACAAGGCTTCGTCCGCGGCGCCCCTCTCGGCCAAACCGCCGGTGCGGCCTACCATGGAGGAGCGTCCCAATAGCTGGGGAGCAACGACTGTGAACAAGCGACTGCGCAACGAGGTGTTCAACGACGCGTTCTTGAAGCAGCCCATCGAGGTCCAGAAACATCGACGCCCCTATCAGCGACCTGTTCCTTCGCCGACTCTGCAGCGACTGCTCCGTACAAGCAACTCGGACCCTAGCCTTGCTCAAGGGGCCAAGGCAGAGAGCGGGCATCACGAGGCCAGCCCTCTAAAGCCATTGACGCCACTTGTACAGCAGAAGAGCGACCCTGGGGCCCAAAGCGATCAGCAACCAGCCGAGCAAAGAGAAGACCCAGTCGAGGTTAAGGACGTGACGGGTACTAGTGCTCCCGAACCGGAGACATTGACAACCAACCCCGTGCTGGCCAAAAAGAAGCGCAGGTACTCTGGAAGCGGACTCAGACGCAAGCCACAAGATGTGCGAGACTCAAGGGGAGATCTCAAGTATTTTGAGGAGGCGGATGACGTGGGTTACAAGGACGAGCAAGGCAATGGCGGCGACCGTGGCCAAGGAGACGCGCCAAAGACTACTGCTACCTCGGCCAACGACTTTCTTGAAAAGGTTGTCTCGGCTTCGACTTCCACCAATGCGAATACTACTACTGCCACCAACGCGAATACTACTGCTGCCACCAATGCGGCCGTCGCTTCGCAGGAGGATAAAGCTACGGCAATTCAACAGGCCCTGCAACATCCGTCGGTCGAGTTTGCGCAGATGCCGGTCCTCCGACCCAACAATCCCAAGGAGGCAAAAACACAGCGCGACCGGGTGGAGTATTTCTTACTACTGGAGGACCTCACTGCTGGTATGAAGCGGCCTTGCATGATGGATCTCAAGATGGGAACCCGCCAATATGGCGTTGAAGCATCCCCTAGCAAGCAGAGGTCTCAGCAAGAAAAGTGCCGGACAACGACTTCGTACGAGCTTGGGGTGCGCATCTGTGGACTGCAGGTCTGGAACGCAAAGACGCAGACGTACGACTTTCAAGACAAGTATTTTGGTCGAAAGGTCCAGGCCGGCAAAGAGTTCCAGGCGGCTCTCACCAAGTTCCTTTACAACGGCGTCGACTTGCATTCGATCCTTCACCACATTCCTGTCATTCTGCGGAAGCTCTCACAGCTGGAGCAGATTGTGAGCGAGCTGAGAGGCTACCGCTTCTATGCCGCGAGTTTGCTCATGTTCTATGATGGCGATGCGTCGGATGAGGGCGGCGGCTACGAGACGGCCTACGACTCCATGACGGACGCTGCGACGGATACCGAAGAGACGGTCAGGAAGAAGCGGAACAAGCGTGAGATCGACTTCAAGGTGGCCGACTTTGCCAACAGCCTCACGCCGCTGGACAAGGTGCAAGACAAGCCGTGCCCTCCACAGCATCCCAATCAGCCAGATCCCGGCTTCCTCAAGGGGCTGCGCAGTCTGAGGAAGTATTTCCTGCAGATTCAGCGAGACACGAGAGCCGAACTCGGGCTTGACCCGCGCGGCTGGACCTCATCTCAGGGCGGTGATGCCACCTTGTCTTTCGACGACGAGGAAGATGAAGGAATGATTAGCGTATAACCTGTCTTCCATACGAGTAAGCTGGGCGTGGTACCGGCTTACCATTTACCTTTCCTTTTTCTTTCTTTTAATTTGTTCATTTTGTCTTCGACTCCATGCCTGATCCATCCCTCTTTTGCGCTTCCTTTCCTTCCTTCTGAATTACTCTTTTTGTTTTTTTGGACGACCTACTATTTACGATTTTCCTTGTCTGCAACGACATATAACAGGCTGAGTGGATGCATGATGATTTTATTATCATTGCCTACGCTTGAGCGAATGACGACTACTCACGAAGCCCTCTCGCAATGCTGAGCATACCATTTACACACTGTCCCATCTTCCTCTTACTTAAACTCTTTTCCTCTAATTAATTCTCGCTTGTCGTCATCATGGCCGGAGGGGGATTTTACAAAACAAAACTCAATTATGTCTTCACGCGGATCAGGGGGCGACGCAATCCCCGGCTTTGCACTATCATGCCATTGGCCTCTAGACGGACTCGCCAAGCGTGGAATTCAGACTGTCTTACTATGGGCTTATTCTTTCTTCTTTCTAAATGCTTCAAGTCTTCTTGGCGGACAGGCGGATGGATGGCACGGCACGGTACGGCACGGTATATGGCATGGCACGGCAACAGGGCGGATACTAGGGGCGCAGGTTCTCTGTTTCTTTCTGAGCATTGGCTTTTTTCGTAATGGGTCTGATTTCGTGGCTGCTTGTTCTTCTGTAATTTGTGTTTTGATATGGTTTTGTGTGGTTTTGGAACGGGACGAGATTGATACTCTAGAGTGGTAGATAAAATTGAATTGACTATTTCTGATGATACATGTGCACTTGGGCTGGTGAATGTTACCAGAGCTGTCCTGAATAAGCACTTGATAAGCTGTCCAGCATCCTGCAACTGCGTGGACCAGGCAGGTTACAACAGTATTCTACCAGTTGCCACTTGTTGATAGTATTTCATGCGACTGTAACTATACTTTTAGTATCGTGGCATATTGCAAATTGTATGAAGAAGGTTATTCGAGCCTGCGTATAATCCGTTTAGATATAGATCGCTCGCTTCTGAGCGACATGCATAGACAGACATGGATCCTTTCTCCGCATCTTTGGTGCTGCTGATAAGCTGCAGCTCACGCACTAAATGTCGTGGAGCATCAACTCCATCTCTACCCTGATCACGAACAGAAACATCAGAATCGTCCAACTTGAACATCGTATTATCGCCGTCATCGTCATTGGATACTTATAAAAGATAATACACTCATCACATAAAAGGAGAAAAAAAGAACAGGAAAGATGGGCGCAGTCATATCCCACCTTCGCAGCATCTACAACACCGCCACGGCCCTCCTCCGCACCATCTCCGCCCTCAACGCGCGATACGGCGCCCTTTTGGCGCGGGTCCACGCGGGGCCGTTTACGCCTGTCGAGAAGCCGACGGAGTCGTTTTGGATGCGGGATCCGCCTTTTCCGGAGCTTGGGGATGTGGTTTGGGATGGAAGGCCGTCTCTGTCTTCTGTTGCTGAGGATCGTGAGGGAGGGGGTGAGGTGGAGGAGGAGGAAGAAGAGGCGGATGTTGTGGTTGTGGGAAGTGGGATCACGGGTGTTTCTGCGGTGAAGACTATTCTTGAACTGTCTTGTCCGTCGACTGAAGGAAATAGTGACGACGGTAAAGAGGACCAGGAGCTAAAGAAAACAGCATCACCGAAGATCATGGTCCTGGAAGCACGACAGCTCTGCAGCGGCGCGACGGCGCGGAACGGGGGCCACATCAAGTGCGCCCCCCACGAGGAGTTTGCTCGTCTGCGAAAGACGCTCGGCGAAGAAAAGGCGCGGAGAGTCGTGCGCCTGCAGATGAGGCACCTGCCCGCGTTGAAGGAAGTTGGCGAGAGGATGCCGTGGGGGGAGGTGAGAGAGGTTGAGACGGTGGATTTGTTTCTTGAGGGGGTCGATTTTGAGAGGGCGAGGGGGCATGTTGATGGGATGAGGGAGTGGTTGCCGGAGGTGGATGTGCATGTCTGGGAGGCGGAGCAGGCGAGGAAGAAGGTGAGTCTGAACGATCTGATGGGATTGATGAGATTTGATGTATGAGTGATGATGCTGATGTTGGAGGTGGTATGTGCAGTTTGGGGTTAATCGTCAGGTCGTTGGCGCGATATCATACCAAGCAGGCGCTCTGTGGCCATATCGTCTTGTCACGAGCCTATGGCACGACCTCATGACGAAGTACCCCGGCCTCACCATTAGCACACACACACCCGTCTCATCTATTACCCCCAACGCCTCCCCAACGCATCCCTACACTGTCCATACTTCCCGCGGCAAGATCCGGACGCGGCACGTCCTCCACGCCACGAACGCCTACACAGGCCATCTTGTACCCTCCCTGCGAGGCTGTCTGACAGGTGTAATTGGGCACATGACCGCTCAGAAGCCAGGAGACGGCTTTGCCCCCGTGTGTCAGGGCAGGCGGTCGTGGTCTATGATGTACGGGACGGGATTCGACTATGTGACGCAGAGACCCGATGGAGAGGATGGGCAGCCGGGAGAGCTGATGCTTGGAGGGGGATTGTTTCGCAGCAAGGAAGAGGGGCTGGATCAGGTTGGGGTGTGGGACGATGGGAGGGTGGATGCGTTTCCGCTGATGCATCTCAGGGGGAGCATGGCGACGATATTCGAGCCGAGATGGGGTGCTGGAGGGACACTGGAGGCTGCTTGGAGCGGGATCATGGGGTTCACGGGGGATATGCTTCCTTTTGTGGGAGGTTTGCCGCCTGGCGTTGGGATTGGGAAGAGGAGGAATGTGGGTGGTGTTGGGGATGGGTTTGGGGAGTGGATTGCTGCTGGGTTTAATGGCGAGGGCATGGTTTGGGCATGGTTGAGTGGTGTTGCGGTGGGGATTATGGTGATGGGGAGGGAGGGGGATGAGTTGTATGAGGGGGAGGGACGGCCGGGGGGGAGGTTGGGGGAGTGGTTTCCTGTGGAGGAGGTTTGTGTTGATGGGGGGAGGATGAGGAGGGCGAGGATTGAGAATTTGGCGAGTGAGATTTGAGGAGCGAGGTTGCTGATATCGGGGTCTAAGATCTTTAGGGGGGTGAGATTGTGTGATATTTTGGAGGTGGATTTGGCTCATGGCTTGATGTTTGTGTAGAACATTTCAGTTTTGATGGATAGACTGGGAGCCAAATAGGGTGGGACATTGTCAGTGAAAATATACACTGAGATTGAATTTAAGTATTCCAGGCAGCATAATCAATTATATCAACTTGAGTTGGTATATCTCAGTCATTCCCAAGGACAGACCACGATTAGGCAGTTCATGCCCCTTGTTGGGACAGCGACATAGATATTCGTCTGATGTGTTCCAGCAGTAGCCGTCTGGGATGCCCCCTTAACCTTCGGACGGACCTTACGCAAGTCATCAGTCTAAGGATGAGCATGGCTCCTGTCGTCTTCTCGGCACTTGAGACTATCTACCTAGATTGAGTGAAGCAATTCAAGAGATCGTCTCCTTTCTAAGTGCCAGTACTGAATCTTCGTCCTTGCTACATCCCTTTGAGGCGGCTGGATCATGCGTGGCTCAACTGTCGAAGGGAGTTACACTTCTCTTACGATCTTGAAGAAGGGTCACGACACTGGGCTATAATAGCAGAGCAAGACAGATAACCGGAGAAGGGAACGGAAAGGGGCTTATGGTTAATCATGGGCAACCAGAGAATAAGGGGGAATAAAGGAGAAAAAGTGATATCACAAATGGAGGCCGATTAAAGCGCAGTAATAGTAGACAAACATAGTAATCATACTCTCAATATGAATATTCATTGCTTTAGTTCACATTATTGGCAAGTGAAGACTCTCAAGCTATACAGTACTCTTCGGACGTCTGGTTATAATGTCCCAACAACCTTGACCGATTCACGAATCTCGCACGTCACATCGGAAATGCCGTGATTCTCCAGAATCGTTTTGCACTGCATAGCAATCGGATGGCCGTCCTCCCGTGAAAGCGTGCCCGACACAACGGATATCATAAGAGTATCCTGATATTTGCCGTTCAGCTCGATTCCCAAGAGGTCAATCGCCGTCACGCTGGTTGTCTTGACCGCGTCCAGAATTTGGCCTCTCAAAGGCGACGTGCCCTTCCAAAAACGCTTCAACAGCGGGTTCCTGAGTGGCCCAAGCCACTTTATATCCAAAGGATCAGAGCTGTCGTCATCGCTGGATTCAGACATTCGAGGTCCTTGCCAGACTTGGGTGCTGGAACGAGCAACAAGCCGAGGGTGTGAGGCCAGCCCATGATAGTAGAGCTTTGCCTCGTCTTTGCTGGGGGCCTGCATTGCGTTGTTGAGTCTTTTGCTTGCTGAGGCTTGTGGCACTTGCTAGGAACTGTTGGTGGTATCTGACTTGGGTGCAGGGCCGAGTGAGCTTTTGTTTCGTCGAAGTGGGAGGGAGAGTGGTACGCAGATTCGCAGGGGCCATCCTGTCTTTTATATAGCAGTTATGGGCAGGACAGCGTGGCCTGATAGAGCGTCTACGCTTGGCCGTTCATAGGTAGTTGGAGGAGAGAATTGAGGGTTCCATGCTGAGTGATAAGGTTGGTGTTGGACTACGGTCAAGCCGGACGGGACAAGCAAATCAGAAGAGGAAGCTTCTCAGGGGGGGGTTTGTGCCAACTTGAGAAGGTTAGCATCAAGCAGCCCAAGTATTCGCCCAACAACTCGACTTTAGTTGAGTAGCTCAAGGTTCAATGGCTTAGCCAAAGAACAAGAAAAAGGGGGAAAGTATCCGGCTCGCCTAGAACTCAGTTCCAGCTTTAGTTTAGCCTTTGATCTCGACTTCAGGCCAGATTTCGTTTCAAGACGAGAAACTGGCAGGAGGGAGCAGGCAAGGCAGGCTGAAAGTAGCCGGCCGCCGAGAAAGTAGTAGACTGAAGTTGATAGAGAAGCCAGACGAATGAGAAAGCTGCCGAGCAAACAAAAGCAAACGTTGGAAGCGAGAGAATGGCTGAAAAGCATATCTTATAAGGCAGTGATCCGGATATGGGACACCATAGTTTGGCCAAGAATCTCCAGCTGCTGAGAAACTCAATAGAGGTCGATTCCAACCAAAAGAAAGAACAAGGTCCAATAGCTTGTCAATTGCCTTAGTCGTGTACCCTTTTCTGCAGACGTTTTGGGCGGTGGTGTTCCTCTAAATCCTTCGTCTTTTAGGTCCATGACGACGTCTCTGCGCAATACAAGGTTGAGATCGTAGAGTAAGACAAGTCAAAAGCACTTTCTGGTCAAAAGAGGGTGAGGTAAGGTGCAGTAGACGTTGAGAATACTAAGGTAAGGTAGTTTCGAGGAGGCAGATGGGAAGACGGGAGTCTCTGTCTCATTGATTGTAGAAGTAAGATACCTAATAGCACCTTATAGAGAAGTCGATGTCTCTAGCTACCAGCTCTAAGCATCGCTACCTCTATCGAGTGGAATTTCTTGACGACTTCGCCGATATGGCTGGATATGAAATGTCCTCTGTTTCCATTGACTGTAATCTCAGTGAAGCTTGACAAGCAACAAGGTACGTACCATCTGGTGGTCAACCCAGCATCACACTAATCCAGCCTTGGAATAGCCCGATTCACCCCACAATGTGCCTCCATTCTACAATACAACAACAAACAGCTTGAAGCTCCGCCAAAGCTCCGACCTGTCCAGCGTCCCTGCAGCTGCATCTCCAGCTTCACCAGCACTTCGAAATGTCGTCGCAGGTGGACGCCCGACCGCCTTCCGGCTCGCCTCAAGGCACCATCGTCTTCTTCCATCCGGACCTGGGCATCGGCGGCGCTGAGCGGCTGGTCGTCGATGCGGCGGCTGGACTGCAGGAGCGCGGGCACCACGTTGTCATCTTCACCAACCACTGCGACCCGAGCCATTGCTTCGATGAGTGCCGCGATGGTGAGCCCTGAGGAGGAAATAGTGAAGCATACGCCACTAACATACTCATTACCATCGTCTAGGCACCCTCGATGTCCGTGTTCGCGGCGCGTCGCTCGTCCCCATGTCCGTCTTCAACCGCCTCACCATCCTCTGCGCCATCTTGCGCCACTTCCACCTCCTCGTCCAGATCACACTCTCCGGCGAACTGCAGCGTCTAGAACCCAGCGCATTCGTCGTCGATCAGCTATCCGCGGGCCTGCCCCTCCTGCGCTTCCTCTCACCCGATGCGCCGATTCTCTTCTATTGCCACTTTCCGGACCTCTTGCTTGCGCAGGGTCGTCAGTCGGTGATCAAACGACTCTACCGGGTGCCCTTCGATTGGATCGAGGAGTGGTCTATGGGCTTTGCGCAGGCTGTGGCCGTGAACTCGGAGTTTACAAAAGGCGTCGTTGCCAGGACGTGGCCGCGACTGCAGGAGAAGGTGGACACCAAGGTGGTGTATCCATGTGTTGATACGACGTTGAAACAAGACGAATCAGCCAGCGAAGATGTTGCCTTGGGTGATGGTGACTACAAAATTATCCTCAGCATAAACCGATTCGAGAGGAAAAAGGACATCGGACTGGCTGTCAAGGCCTTTGCGGCCATTCCCGAGGCAACACGCAAAGGAGTCCGTCTCGTCCTAGCAGGTTCGTGATGTCTGCCATCTCTACTTTACTGTCGCTAAATAGAACAGGCGGCTATGACCATCGGGTTGCCGAAAATGTCGAATACCACGCCGAACTCGAGCAGCTGGCTTCTTCCCTCTCGCTTAGCCACCACACCGTCACATCATTCGACGCCTCCTCTCCATCTTCCATCCCGAGCGATGCCTCCGTCCTCTTTCTCCTCTCCATACCCAACTCCGTCAAGGCATCGCTCCTTCGTACAGCACGCCTTCTAGTCTACACGCCCTCCAACGAGCACTTTGGCATTGTTCCTCTCGAGGCCATGCTGGCTCGCGTGCCCGTTCTCGCCGCCAATACGGGTGGCCCCGTCGAGACGATACAAGATTCCAAGACCGGCTGGCTGCGGAACCCTGACGATGTCAATGCCTGGTCCAATGTCATGAGCGATGTACTGAGCATGCCCGACGCTGACCTTCGCCGGATGGGTGCTGAGGGTGAGGAACGTGTGCGATCCCTGTTTGGTCGCGACAACATGGCCTTGCGCTTGGAGAGATCGATAGACGAGATTCGTTCCAAGAAGCACGCTCGTCCATCACTGTTTATCCCTATCGGGATACTTGTCTCCCTGGTATTGGCTGCACTCGCAGTCTATATGCAATCCTCATGAGCGTTTCCATCTTTGTCTTGATCGCATTTTCTCGCATTTTCCCTTTCTGCTTCATGTATACCAATTTGAGGACAATTTTCGGCTTTCAAATGAGGAAGCAAATGATAGAACACCTATAAGCACGTGGACACGCATAGAGATAGACATCTTCACGAGAAGATCTGCACTTTTTGATACGTTTGTCTTTCCGCTTACTTTGAAGATGTTTTTCGTCACTGGAGAGTCCCTTTTCAGCGACGGCGGGCGGGCGGTGAACCATGTCAGAACGTTGATGCAAAGTATCGTACCTTATCTTCATTCGCCTGTCCTCTCTCCTCCTTTCACTCAACCCCACACTCTTCACCTTCTGTCATATGCACTTCCTTTCCACTCTACACAGCTCGATGCATCGCACGGCAAATCAGAATCAGAGTTGCGCATCTTTCAGTTCCGTCTCAGCCGCATGCGCGCTTCTCCTCAACAATACCGACGCTTCCTGCCCAATCAACGGCTCTCCTCCATGTCCACCATCCTGCAAGAGTGCATATTCTGTCTCTTCTTGGACAAGCACCAACGGTGACGCCCCGAAAATAACTGTCCTTCCACTATGCCGCCTGGCCGTGAGAATGCCGTGGCCATTTACGGCTAAGCGGCCTGGCGATGACAAGCAGCCCAATCTGTGTGGCATCTTCTCCTCACACGGACGCAGCCCAACCGACCACGCAGTCTTAAAGGGCCAGTCCCAAAGGGCCTTTGCTCGCTACTTGATCTCCTTGCTTCATGAAGCCCTGGCCCGTATGTACTCTGGCAGTCCTCGACATTGGCAGCAGCTATTGGCGTCCAAGGATTCACTATGCGTCTTATCAACACCAGCACATTGAAGCTGGAGGAATTCTCCGAAGAGGACGCTCCTCCTTATGCGATTTTATCCCACACCTGGGGGAATGACTCTGAAGAACTCACATTCCGTCAAGTTGTCAATGGGGAAACCGACAAAGGAAACCTTGGCTCAATCAAGCTGAGGGGATGCTGTCGACAGGCCCAGAAAGAAGACCTCGGATATGCTTGGATCGACACCTGCTGTATTGACAAGACCAACCTCGTCGAGCTCAGCGAGGCCATCAACTCCATGTATCGATGGTACAATCGTGCTTCCGTCTGCTACGCATATTTGTCCGACGTTCCGGATAACGACGATCCCCCGAGGCCCGGATCCAAGTTCCGGTCCAGTCGATGGTTCCAGCGAGGTTGGACTCTGCAAGAGCTTCTAGCCCCGAAGCATCTGCGGTTCTACAATGCGGAATGGCGGTCGATTGGCACCAAGGGCACCATATGCACTGTTATCAAGAACATCACTCGCGTGCCGCAGCAATACCTACTCGGTATCGCCAGTTTACATAGCGCGAGTGTTGCACAACGCATGTCATGGGCCGCGCAGAGGCGCACAAAGCGAGCCGAAGACATCGCATACTGCTTGCTAGGCATCTTCAATGTGACGATGCCAATGATTTATGGAGAAGGAGGCGAACAGGCTTTCTTCCGCCTTCAGGAACAGATCATGAAGACCACGAGGGACGATTCCATCTTAGCATGGGGCCTGAGCGATGGGGTCAGCAAGCCTTCCATGAACGATAGCGCTCAAGTCATGGGGGGTGAAATATTGGCAGTCGGCCCGTCCTCGTTTGCAAACTCTGCACAGATTGTCGCCCGGAATTACACGTCCAGTCCGCTGCACTCGCTCGATGTCTTTGGTGGGAGCGTCCGCGTCCACATGCCACTACTTACCACCTCTGGCGGCGAGACGTATGGGTTACTCAGCTGCGGGCCTGGATCCAACAAAGAGCAAGTAGTCGGCATTCCCCTTGTTAGGGTCGATTCGGGAGCTTCCAACGAGTATATTAGGCCAATGGGACGCCCTTCAGTACTGCAGCCGATAACCGCAGCCGGCTCCCCGCCTGAGCTTATTCACATCAAGAGAGACCGCCAAAGAGATGCATCCGCTACGAAAGACCAGCGGTACTGGATATACGATGATGATTTGTTTGCCCAGCTGAATCTGACGTTGGTTGCCGTGGAGCCTCCTTCGTGCTGGGACAAACAAATGAATCTGATTTCTGCGATACGCTCCGACGATGTCGTCCCAGACGCAATATTGCTACGATTCTCCCATAGCGAAGGAAATTTCGTCATGATGCTGGAGACAACGCCGGCGTCAAAGGGTGATCCGCAGTTCCATCTGGTGACCTGCAGCAGAGACACGCCATTGCCGCAGCTGGCAGAGAGTCATAGAGTCATCTCGTCCAAGGCCTCGGGAAGAACCAGTGCCAGCAACGGGACTCTCCATCTGCGGATTACACTGGATCCTGATGAAGAGGGACTGATATCCATCAGCCCTCACCCAATGGACACGCCGCCGGATGTCACTGTCGACGTGTCTGAAGAAGTGGAAAAGTGGAATCTGGTTGCGGAATTCACGCAACTGCTGAAGGAGAGGAGACAGGAGAAAGAAAGGGAGGTAGAGCTGCACGCCAGGTCCAAGCTCCACGAAGATCGCCTACATCTGGCCAAGAAAGAGCGAAAGGCGGTGGAGGATCAGATAAAGCAGCTCGAGGACAGAAGAAGTCAGCTGGTTGAAGAGGAGAACGAGAGTGCCAGTGAGGTCCATGCTCTTGAGAAGCAGCTGGCAGCAAGCTTAGAGATACAGGAGGAGACTTCCGTTGAAGCGTCCCGGGCATTCAAACGGCTGGCAGATCTACGGCTCTTTGAAGACCTCGAGATGGGCAGCACACTATTTCAAGAAGCGGAGACGCTCGGAGATGCTGAGGTGCTGAAACTGTTTAGTGACGAGGGTCTTGAGGCGGTGTTGATGAGCAAGTATGGAGCATCGTTGATTGCGGCGTCCAGCAGAGGAGACGTCGACATGGCTGCGCAGCTACTCGCCATTGGCGAAGCCGACATTGACCGCAAGGACAGCATATATGGTCGGACGGCGCTTGGTTGGGCGAGTGCGAACGGCCACGAAGCTGTCGTGCAGCTGCTCCTCGAGACGGACAAGGTGGACGTCAACACGACAGACAACAATGGCTGGTCGCCTCTGCGCTGTGCCTCAGAGAGAAACTATGAGGGCATCATTCGACTTCTAATTGATTGGGGTGCCAGGATTGGCTGCCAAATGACAATCCAGTGCCAGACTGACATCGTCTCGTCAGTGGCATCCTCTCACGGCTCAACGGCTGCAGCCTCAGGGTCGCCGGAAGATCATACCAGGATCTGGGATAGCTCAACAGGCAAATGCCAGGAAACTGTCGAGAACCGCAACATGGGTGTCTATTCAGTGGCTTTCTCGTTTGACTCAAAGATGATAGCTTCTGGGTCAATGTGGGATACTGTCAAGATTTGGGATAGCACAACCGGCAAGCGGATACGGACTCTGAGCAGTAACAGAGTCGGTCAGATTCTTTCGGTGGCGTTCTCAAATGACTCAAAGCGTCTGATATCTGGGACACGTTATTATTTCAACGACACCTGGGATCTGAGGACGGGAAAGTGCTTGAATTCATTCGGAAGTTCAGGGGGCCAGCTGTGTGTTGCCATCTCGCCCGACTCAAGGCTTGTGGCATCGGGTTTGACTAATAATACCATCAAGATCTGGACGACGACCGATACGGGAAACAAATGCCTTCGGACGCTGCAGGGCCATGATCGAAGTGTCCAATCAGTGGCCTTCTCGCATGACTGCAGATTCATAGCATCTGGATCATACGATGCTACCATTAAGATTTGGGAGGTTGAGACGGGCGACTGCTTACAAACGTTGGAAGGGCACAGTCAGGGCGTTAGCTCGGTGGTCTTCTCGCACGACTCCAAGATGTTAGCTTCTGGGGGGGCCGACAAGACTGTCAATATTTGGGGTGTCTTGACAGGCAGTTTCCAAACGCTCCAAGGCCATCGTGACGGTGTGACCTCGGTGGCCTTTTCGGACGACGCAAGGATGCTAGCTTCCGGGTCCAGCGACAGCACCATCCGGCTATGGGACGTCACAAATGGCAATTGCCTACAGGTGCTTGAGGGTCATTGTGACGGGGTCCTTTCAGTGGCCTTTTCGCATGACTCAACTCGGTTAGCATCTGGTTCGAGCGATGGTACTCTCAAGATATGGGACATCTCCATCTTGCTTACCATGCTGTCGCCCAGCGGTGTCAACTCGCCAACCGCTCCTTTGCGAAGCTTTGATCGTCGCCCAAGCCTTTCAGAGAGCCTCCACAGCGCGGACGGGACTATTGAGTTTGAGTGGCGACGGCGCCCTAGCCGTTCAGAGAGTCTTCACAGCGCGGACTCTTCTCGTCGCCCTAGCCTTTCAGAGAGCCTTCACAGCGCGGATGGTTTTTCATCCGTTGAGCGGCGACGGCGCCTCAACCAGGACCCCAGGTCTTATGAATTGACGGACTTGGAAAGGGAGGGCCTGGAAATGGGCCAGGAAATTGCCAACATGCTAAAAGCACGAGACAAGAAATCGACAGACGACTTCACCAAGGAGGACCAGGAAATTGCCGGCATCCCAAAAGCACAACACAAGGAATTGGAAGACGACTGGAACAACATGTCGATTGCCGAGGTCCGCAGAAAAATAGCACGAGACAATAAATCGGACGAACCCCCTGCACGGAAGAAAAAAGGAAAGAGTTATAAAAGGCCGGCACGAACCCTAGATTGAAAATAGTCGGTCCGAGATACTTCTGAAAGATGGACCGCACAAAGGTGCTCCGTATCGGGTCTGCAATCGACTAACAGGAGAGACTACGTCAGGCCTGGATTGACGTATCCAAAGCGGAATAACCGACGGTTCAGGACGTGGAATCGAAGACTAAAAGGTAAAGGGAGAGTTGAGGAGCAGCAGCAGTCCCAGGGATCAGAAAGGAGATGCTCTGAAGGCTCTCTCAGTGGCACCTTATCGAACAGCAGTGCCATACATCAGTTCACCAGTTGCCATCATGACGTGGCATACCTAGGTATGAATAGAGAGCCCGTTGAAGTTATTGCGTTCATCAGTCCATAAAGTCATCATGTTACATATACGTGTATATCCAGCATCGTCCCTCTCTTTAATTTCCCTTGCTCCCCTTTTCCTCATAAAACTCCTGCACCCACTGCTTCACATTGGCCACCTCGCTATCGAACACCTCCCTCACGCCCTCACTGGCATTCCTGTTCCTCACGAGCATATCTCCGCAATGCGCAGCCCCCGGCACAACCCACACAGGATGCTGCTTCGTCGACTGGAGCGGTCCGCCCGGTCGATCCACGGCCATGACCGTCGCGGGCCGCCAGGGGTCGTACTCGCCGGCGGTCCACGCCAGGCGGTGCGTGTTGACGTTGTACCATCCGCCGGTGGCCTTGTTGACGCGGTACGTGGTGGCGCCCTGCGCGATGCCGTACGTATACTTGCCCTCGCGGGGGAAGAAGAGGCCGCACTGGCGCTCAAAGTAGGGCTGCGTGACGAGGCGGGAGACGAGGTTGCCCAGGCCGCGGACCTGCCACCACTTGAAGCTGTGATGGGAGTCAGCACGAGAACGCTCTTTCCAACGGGGGTAGTGATGGGGTGGGAGTTGGAACTTACGGCTCGTTGCAGAGGAACCACATCCATTGGCGGTTGGCAGTGTTGGCGGGGGTGAGGTCGGTGTAGAGGGGGCTTGTGGCGTTGTAGGTGTCGAAGCAGTCAGTGTTGTTGATGCCGGTCCAGTATCCGTACGAAGCGCAGGCTGTCGATGGTTAGGGACATTCCAAGGGGGATCCAAGTGATGAGATACTCACATCCAGGCAGACTGAGGGTGGTGAACCACTTGGCGTATCCAGCCAGCGCCTTTGTCAGACCAACGCCGTTCGGCCCCGGAAGGGGAGCAGTGCTACCCGGCCATTGGCTCTATCAAGCAGTCAGTTCAACTGTCCTCTTGCAGGAGGCATTCAGGGGGGCCGCCACTCACCTCGACGTAATCGCACATCCGATCCGTCGCGCTGTACCCATCCGAGAACAACACGCTCTGCCAGGTATACAGCCCACTGACCAACGCCGCCGCAAAGTCATCATCATGCTCCAAATCGCCCAGGTTGAACGACGCCTTCAACTCATCCTTGGCCTTCTGATCGTGCCCCAGCAGGATCCCATCGACGTACTGGATGATCTTTGCGTAGTCCGTCGTGCAGTTCTGCGGCATCGCGAGCTTCACCTGCTCAAAGTACCTCCACAGGGGACCGATGGCCTCGACGACGGGGCTGGAGCACTGGTACGCCCAAAAGGTGCCCGGGGCGAGGTCCTGGACCCAGGCGGCGAGGGCGCCGCTGTAGGAGCAGCCGACGAGGACCCAGGGGGCCTTGTCGGGGGTGCTGGTGCGGTTCTGGTCGAACGGCAGGACGACGTTCTGGGCGAAGTAGACGAGGTCCTGGACGGCCTGCTCGAGGGTGAGGTAGCGCATGTTCTCCGTCGTGAGGCTGTCAAAGGGCGAGCTCTGGCCCCAGTAGCGGTGCTCGATGATGAGGGCGCCGGCGCCGAGCTCCTGGGCCATGACGCCGGGCAGGGTCAGGTTGGTGGTGTAGCGCTCGTACCCGTCCAGCGCGCTCTCGTTGGGGCCCATGAGGATGATGGGCGAGCCGGGCCCGGCGTAGAACTCGTCGTTCCAGACGTAGCGCTGCGAAAAGGTGCCCAGCTCCGGGTGGTCGTGGTCGATGAGCTGCTGGAAGGTGCCGTAGGTGGGCGTGCTGTTGGCTGCGGCTGTCGAGGCGAGCCAGATTTTGCCGTGGACGTCGACGTCGGGCTTGGGGGGCCGGAGGTCCTGGAAGATGAGGGCGGAGGCGGATCCGGCGAGCAGCAGGAGCTCTGCTGCCGCCGCGGCGAGGGACCACATTGTTGACGAGGATCGTTGGGCTGAGGATGGTTGAGATGAGGAGCCACCACAATCCCACTGACACTTGAGGTTTTCTGTGTCGGGCGCCTTGATCAAAACCTCTTCTCCATCTCAGGGGCAGAGACGGAGGCCGAAGCCTGGTTTATATACTCCCGCTCACACCCCCCTCCCCATCACAACTCTCCGATCCCGACCTGGCCTTGTGAAAAAGAACTATTGCATCCTCAGGGTCACATCGTACAAAAAGGCGCCCATCTAGCCTACTCTCGTCGCCAGAACAAAAAGTACCACGGCATGGCAACGAATCCCTGGACCAGCGCCTTGCCGAGTTCTACATAAACGGATAGTGTCCGGGGCTGTGGGGGCCGGGGGGGAGCTTACCCACCGAGAAGGAGAACAATGCCGAGATGGCATCTCGCCGTCCCGATCCCTGCCCCTTGTTTGGGGGCGCGCGGCCGCTCGTGTTTGCAGGTGGTGTTTTCTTTGGACCTGGTGTGTGGCTGCAGAGCGGTAAGCCTTGTTGGTGAGTAGACAACTTTGTGGTGAGGTAGGATTTGGTGAGAAGGGGGGGGGGGATTGTGTTTGTCGCAGCCTTGGAAGTGCAAAGGGCTTCTACTAACTCCCATGGGCAAGGCTGACTTGCATCGCTATAAGAAAGAGGTAGCAACGAAAGCCTTCTCAGCCGAACATGTGGTTCCTATACGAACAAAACCCAGGACAGTTGGGGGGGCACCTGTTTGTCCCCCTCCCCCATTGTTCCAACAGAGTTGAGTTGACGGTTCTTTTTTTTTTTTTTTTTTTTCCTCTCGACTTTTGACAAGATTGTCAGCTGCCGGTCTCCGTTCAACTCAATTCAAAAGATCCCCGTTCCCGCATATAACATACATGCCGTTTTTGCGACCTTCCCGATGGGGCATGATTTGCAGAGCCGGCCCCCTGCCGGCCGGAGGCTTTTTGTTTTCTTGGAAGAAACGGATCTTTGTAGTAGCACATACAAGTACTCGTATGTAAGGAAATCAAAGGGAAAGCCAAGTGAGCACTGCTGTTTTGTTGGCAGCTGATGAGCGGCGGATTTGGCCGGCTGAAGGAGTGTAAGGACTCTTTGATGTTAAAAGCTGAGGAGTTCTTTTTTTCTTTCCGGGAAGAACACATGGGTTTTTTGGTGTTCGCGATATACTTGTACAACTGGTCAAGTGAGTTGGGGCTGTTGTTCATGCGCTGCTATTCTGCGAGTTGCCATCTTTACTTGCATCTCCAATCATATTTCCTGCTTGCTGCCATGGTTTGTTAGTAGTAGCTCGAGAGAAGTCGCTCTTTTTTTTCCCCGTTTATTTCGTCTGTGGAGGTTGCGGCGATGGGGGCTTTAGAGATCACAGGGCCTTTTTGTGTGTTCCGGCTGGCTGCATGCATTGCGCATGGCCATGTAATATGTATCTCGGCGTCAGCCATGAGCAAACAAAAGGCTTCCTATTGTCCCTTATGCGCGCAGCCGCCCTTGTTAGCTGGGCAGAGGCAGAATTTGTTTTACATGCACGTTCTTCGGACACCCTTTTTTTGCAAGGAGTTCAGCTTTGTTTACATAGTGTGTCTTTTGTATGCTGTTGTATGAAAGTTGCTCTAGCCCAGCCCAGTCCAGTCCCCCCTTTTTCGCTGCGCATGGAAGAAGCACATGCTGGTGCCTTGACTTCTATAAATGTGCATCCAAAGCTTCCCAACTTCCCACTCATGCCTGCAGGGTAGACTGCACCCACTTCACAATACCTCCCTTGGCGATGATTTCCTGGACATTGGGAGGCATCGTGCCCACCTTTTGCACCCAGGACGTGCCATCCTGCTCCGTAATGGTGACCTGAGACCGGCGGACATCCCATAGCAGCTTCCAGCCCGTTCGACGAGTCAGAGGCTTCTCTGCGTCATCCTTGTACGCTTCACGAAGCCGCTCGACCAGTTTGGGAATCTCAAGCCCAAGGAGAGCATTGTTGATACCTGTATCGTTCACGTAAGCTGGTGCCTCAAGTAAAGGCAGCAATACCTGCCAAGGGGACTTACTGTTGCGGAGAAAGATGGAGCTGAAGCTGCCGGCAACGACGAGAGGAATCTTGTTGGCCAGGATAGAAGTAGCAGCCTGTTCCCTGGAGGAACCAGAGCCGAAGGTATACCCGGCTACCAGTATATCGTTTGGTCGAATAACATTGCGGAAGTTGGTATCGTAGTTCTCCATGCACACCTCGGCCATCTGCTCTGCCGTCATGCCATCCTGGTATGTATATTTTCCGGGATAGATACCATCAGTATTGATGCCGTCGTTGTCGCCTGTTGCGGTTAGCAGAACAACTCATATTGCGAGCACCGACCAGCTGCTTACAGAAAACAATCTCGCCCTCGATTCTCTCGGGGAAGCCTGGTACAACATCCGTCAAGACCTCGTCTTCAGCAGCTATTGGGCTTGCTGTTGCCTCGGCGCCTCCTTCAGCGGCGCTGATCATGCTCTCCATCTCGCCAATGAGCTTTTCAAAAGCATCTCCGGTATATCGAGCCTTGTCAGCTACATAATCACCGGTGCCCTCGCCGATAATGACCTTCTCAACGCCATCAGGCTTCAAGTACCAGTTAGGGGAAGCGATATGGCCTTTGATAGCACTGGCGGCAACCACCTCGGGGCTGGCGAGATAACACAATGCCTTGGGGCTGCCTAAACCAACGGGTCAGTGCCAGCTTCTAACAAACAAGTAAAAGCTCGGGGGAATTTACCCATGCGGCCTTTGTAGTTTCTGTTGCTTGCCGATATGCCCACCTCGCCTTCTTCCAGCAAGCCCTGAGCGAACGATTAGCAGATTCATGTGTAAACAGAGGGGTTTTCGGATACCCACACGACCCAAGCCAATGCAAGTAGCACAGCCGGCGGGTAGAAGCTCGGCCCCAGACTGGACAAGAACCTGCCAGTCACCGGCTTCCTCCGACATTCGTTGTTCAGCCAGAGACGCCGGTGCAAGATAGAGCTTGACCCCGGGGTGGATCTTGGCAGGTTTGCCATCGGTACCAGCCTCGCGGAAGACGCGAGCAGCAGCTGCAAAGTCCGTGCTCCTGCCGTTGGTGCAACTCAAGAGATAGGCTTTGTCAATAGCGATGTTCTCAGTCTCGAGCTTTGCCACAGGGGTTGCGACATTGACCGAGTTGGGGCCGGCGACCATGGGTGAAAGAGTAGATCTGCTTCGTTGTTAGAATGAATGAAACGGAGTGAGCGACACAAGTGCGTCTCTTGCGTACAGATTCAGATAGAATTCCTTGGCATACACAGCACCAGGATCAGCTACGGGAGAGTTCTCCAGGAGCTCATCAATCCGCTCATGATTGATACGAGACTGGGTAGGACTATCCGTAACTGCTGCGGCTGATGCCCTGGCACGGTACCAAGAAACAAGCGTGTCGTCGACGGGGAAGAGTCCTGATAGCGCCCCCCATTCGCAAGCCATGTTTGCGATAGTCAATCTTTCCGAAACAGGGATGCTTGCAAGCGTCTGCTCAGACCCCGTGAACTCAACGCACATGTTCAGCACATCGGACTTGAGAAAGGCACAGAGCGCAATGATGACATCTTTGCCTGTGACGCCGGGCGGCAAGACGCCTGTAAGGGTGACTTTTGCAATCGGCGGGACTTGCCAGAAGATGGTCGAGGTCGCGAGAATACTCGCTGCATCGGAGCGAACAATGGCGGTGCCGAGACAGCCGATGCCTCCGTATATGGTCGAATGGCTGTCACTGGCAACTATCCCGCGTGTGAGTGGCCGATGAGGAGATCCTCCGAGAATGCAGGCAACATACCTGTAAGTGTTCCTGGCCACGCATAACCTTGCTCAATCATGATTTGATGGCCAATGCCAGTCTTGGCAGGATCTGTCCCAAGTCAGCTGGATGCTTGGGAAAGTTGAATCCTTCGGAAAGCGAGCATACAGAAATCTATGCCATGCTTGTTGGCAAACTCCTCGATCAGACGATATTTGCGCAGATTCTGCTCAGAGTCGTTCTGCACATCGTGATCAAGTCTGGGATCGTTAGACAGAGAGCATGTATACCGAGGTCAGAGGGCGAGAAAGGGGTGGCTCACGTCATGACGACCTGGCGATTATCGCTGACCGAGTTGGCGCCCATTTCCATGAACTTGGTAATTACAGGGAACGAGTTGTCGTGGGTCATGCTCTTGTGAGGTCTGGCAACATGAACAACCTGATGTCAGCTCGGTTGTCCAATGGGCAAACCAGGGCTAGATAGACTAACCGCAGGATCACATAGTCCCCAGATCTGACTCTCCTGCCTTGGCCGAGGCCAACTGCGTGACGTTGTACGATCTTCTCGGTAAGTGTCTGCGGGTTCGTTCGAGCGGCGGAGTCTACGAAGGATGGGAGGTCAATGGTGTTGGAGATGGTGTTGGATTGTGTCTGCCGGGCCTGTAGCCGTCGAGCACTGGTCGAGACATGGCTACGAAACGGGGTCAAGAGTTGCGAGCGAGGAATCGAGGCCCGGGCATGTCGCGTCGCAAGGACGGAGGCATTGAGCCAGATCGCCCTCCGCTAATGAGACACTGTTAGAACATGTTGTTGCAGGTGTTCAATATGAGATTGAGGATTGGTGGTAGGTAGAGCAACATACAAACACAGCCATGGCAGTTATGATTCCAACTCGTCCTTTTGCATGGTCAAGTGAAGTCAGAACACAGACGATTACTCTAGATGTTGCATCTCCGATGATTTAGCACCTCGAATTTTATTGCGGGGCGCGGAATTGTCATAGTCCCGCGCCGACCAATCATGGCATTGCTAATACACGGCTTAGGTCATCCAGCTGTTCCTGAGCTGCCGATGCCGGCTGGGGATGCGGATAACCTCTTCAACGTCGTCATCGGGAACGAACTTGTGACGAGGCCCTGCTGTTGCTGCCTCCATCTCTGCGAAACGTCCTCGGTGCTGGACAACGGTCCTTCGATTGAAAGTTGCGAGATTGACCTTTGTGGTGTTGAGGGCGGAAACAACAGACAAAATCAAGCAAGCCGTCAAGTCATTATGTGCCATCAGCTGACACGGTATTGGATAGGTAGGTAGAACCGCAAACCTCGGCACCAAACCGCGCCCTTTGCCTTGAACAAAGACAAAAAGCCCACCTCAACTAACCAGCAACCGGCAATCAACCAAATCCCCCCAAATCGGCGCTCTCCGTTGCCTCATTTTACATAAGCCTACCTTATCGAACTTCCCCGCATAACGATGAGCGGTGGGGAGGCTAGAGACCTCCGGCGGCTTCTCCATAATGGCTTACAGGGGTCTTGAGATAGCTCTTCATGCTCTCCAGCAGTAGCCGACAAGTTCGCTGCTCTGCGGAGTAGTGCTTCATACGATGCCTATCAGATGATACGGAACATGAACCGATGCCCTGTATCTATCAATTAGCCCCGACATGCACAGTATCCGTATGCGCCCTCTCAACTCTTGTTGCCTCGCCCGCTACCAGCAACTCGACTTACACGCCGAGGTCGGTTCGGTCCTCCCAACCACCCATGTTCACGCTGATCTGGGTATCATCTCACAACGCGCGATATCGTATCTGGTCCCTTGACTCGCACAATCAATCAGAAATGCGACCCCATTTTCACCATCTAGAGAAACCCCCTCAGTTGGGAAGACGGCCCCGGTTCGAGGTTGGCCGAACGCCGGTGAACCATGGACGGCTATTATTACCTAGTATCTCTTAGTTATTTGATGTATCGTCTGTTTCCCCCCATGTAATAAACAATCTGCTCCCTTATTTCAGCTTTATTCGCTGTTTTCTCTTTCCCCTCTCTGTTTCTGATTTACCCTCCCATTGCAGACGTTGCGTCGTATTGTCATCTACAAAGAACAACCCCGTATGAGATCGACGCCCGCCTTGATAGAAGAGAATCACCATGAGCGAGGAGTATAGCAAGCATGAGAATAGCGATGACGCCCAGCTGGCGGCCATGGGTCATCAGCCGGAGCTGAACCGCAACTTTTCCACCCTGTAAGCCGATCCAGACAATTGCCCTGACATCAGCAGATCAAAGTCCGGTCAACTCACACAAACAGATCGATGCTGGGACTGGCCTTCGCCGTACTCAATGTAAGTCCTACCATCACATCATCCAAGGAACAAGCATCGAATCCAACCGACCAACCAACCAACAAAGACCTCTATGAACCCAGGACTAACACCTCCCAGTCTTGGACCGCCCTCTCCGCAAGTCTGTCCCTCAGCCTGACCTCGGGAGGTAGCACCGGAGTTGTCTGGGGTCAGTAACCACCAACTCGACACACCCTTTCCACACCCTCATGCAGGGGCAATTGCACATGTGGCTGCTGTACTTACTTGAATTGGGCTAATGCATATGTGTGTGTGTGTTGTGGTGTACAGGCCTAGTCACGGCAGGTGTATGCAACCTCTGCATTGCTGCGTCTCTAGCCGAATTCTTGTCGGCGTATCCAACGTGAGTCTTTTGAAGGGTCCAAGACGAGAGACTTGAATGGCTTGTCCTGATGATGGTCACCAAGTGCTGGTGGACAATACCACTGGGTTGCAGGTGAAGCTCCCTCCTCCTCATACTATCTACATGCAAGTAAATACTGACTTATATGTCAACAGCGAGTATGGACTTCCTCTCCATTCGATCGATGTCACCCACCGTCTCTGACAGCACCTCGCAGTCTCCTGGCCTAAATGGGTTCCCGTACTCTCATGGGTAACGGGATGGGTCAACGTCGCCGGCTGGGTACGCATCACACAAGCACTCACTTCATCCCATCCACCACATCCCGTGTCTGATAATCTTCACAGGTCGCCCTCGTCGCCACAAACGCTCTGCTATCCAGCCAGCTCATCCTCGGCATCATCTCCGCCACCCACCCCGTAAGCTCTTCCCCCCCTCCTCACTCAACTTGTGTAACAAGGTCCATCCTCTCACACTTCGGCTAGGACTACGAGCCGCAGCGCTGGCACCAGTTCCTCATCTACATCGGCTTCACCATCGTCTCCTTCATCATCAACGCATTCCTCAACTCCTTCTTGCCTCTGCTTTACCGCGGCGCCTTTGTGTGGTCCATTGGTGGCTTTGTGCTCGTTTCGATCACGGTGCTTGCGTGTGCTTCGCCAGACTATAACACGGCCTCCTTTGTCTTTCGGGAGTTTATCAACCAGACGGGATGTGAGGCTTCATCTCTATCCACCATCATGTCCATAATCTGTTCTAACTCGCTTGGATAGGGCCCGATGGAATTGTCTGGCTGCTTGGTGTGCGTATCTGGTATCCAAAAACAAGGGGTTGAGAGAGACTGACAACATCCAGCTCCTCCAAGGAGGCCTCGGTGTGACCGCCTTTGTAAGTCATCCTCACACCTCCCATCACCATTACTGAACGTTCCCAGGACTCCGTCGCCCACATGATCGAAGGTATTGACTAAACTCCCTCATCGATACGACACGCACTTGCTCACCATGACAGAAATCCCCAACGCCGCCCTTGAGGGCCCCAAAATCATGGTCATATGCGTCGCCATCGGCACCTTCACCGGCGCCATCTTCCTCATCGTCCTGCTCTTCGTGGCCGGCAACATTGGCGATGTCATCAGCTCCGCCGCGGGTCCTCTGCTGCAGATTCTGATCCACGCTACGAGCAACACCGCCGGCGCCATCTGCCTCCTCATGTCCGTTTGCCCTACAAGATGCTTCGTTGTTGTTGTTGCGGTGGAAAAAGATATACTGACTGTGGTATGAACAGGCTTCCGCTTGTGTGTCTCATCTTTGCAACCTTTAGCGTCATGACAACGAGCAGCCGCATGATCTTTGCCTTTGCCCGGTTTGTTTTATGCCATTCGGCCTCTGAAGCATAGCATAGATACGGGCTAACCCCTTGCCCAGCGACGGCGGTCTCCCCGCCTCCAGAGTCTTTGCCCGCGTCCATCCGAAGCTCGGCCTCCCCCTGAACGCCCTCATCCTCACCTCCGTCGTCGTCATCATCTTCGGCCTCATCTTCCTCGGCTCATCAAGGTAGATTTCTCCACGCACAATGATCTCTGGCCCGTTTCCATGAACTTACAAAAAGCACTCACAGCGCCTTCAACGCCATCATTTCTGCCTCCGTCGTCACCCTCGACCTCTCCTACGGCCTCCCCATCGCGGTCAACTGCCTCCAGGGCCGCCGGAAGCTGCCCGAGCGGAAATGGGTCCTGCCTAGCTGGTTCGGCTGGACGGCGGACATAGTCTCCTTGTCCTACATTGGCCTTACCACGGTTCTTTTCGTGTTTCCGCCTGTTTTGCCTGTTACTGGCAGCAACATGAGTGCGTCTCACACAAATTGATTTTGTTGATTCATTCTTTTGTTTGTTTGTTTGCTAACTCTCTTGTCTATCAGACTACTGCATCGTCGCGTTCGCCATCATCATCGCCGTCTCTCTCTTCCAATGGGTCATTGACGGCCGAAAGAACTTTACCGGTCCGCGGGTCAACCTCGTCAGTGGACAGGTCATTGGGGAGAACGCCACGGAGGTGACCAGCGTGGAAGAGGTTGCCGCTGGGAATAAGGAGGCGTGATTGTTTAGGGCTGTGTGAGGGCTTGAGCAGGATGGTGACATTCTTCTTCCTGGCCAATGATAAAATGGGAACCCAGAGCACCAACAGAGATCAGGATGAATTAAGAAAGTTCAGAATTTCCATTGGCTCTTTAGTCGTCCAAATCAATTCCTCCGCTACCTACGTATAAATAGATCAACTTGGCGTGGTTGTTAAGGGCTGTGGGAGGGCTCGAACAAAGTGGTAACATTTCTTCATAGCCAATGGGAAAATTGGAACGAGAGCAAATTATCAGGACGAATCAATAGAGTTTACGATGTATTGCCTCTGTCGCCTTTTTGTTCTGTCCAAATGGACTCATCCACGCTCCGCTACCTAAATATGAATCGCTTCACTCGGCGTGATTGTTCAAGGCTGTAAGCAAGCTCGAACAAAATAGGAGCATTCTTCCTAACCAGTGATAACATGGGAACCAGAGGTAAAAGATCAAGACGAATCAATAGAGTTCACAGTACAGTCGAATTTCTATTGGCTCTTTACTCTGCCCAAATCAACTCGTCTACGCCTCCTCTACCCAAGTATGAATAGCTCAACCTCGCTTAACCCTTTCCTGGATTCTCACAACATACAAGCCTTGTTTCTCTCGTTGCTCTCAGCCTTTGATAAGGAACGCCTTGTTTACGAGGAGGGGATTCAGCAGCAAGTAGTTAGACTCATCTACGCCATCAAATTGTAACCGAGTTGGCGCCTACCCCTATTCCGCCTGGCCTTGACAGCATCAAACTCTATTCTCACGATGAGCCTCAAACTTAAATCCAACTTGTAGCAGCAGCATGAGATCAGTACACCCTAGCCTGTGGTATAAAGGGGATGAACATCTCCCATGGATCTCTTGACAGTCTTTCACTCCTGCAATCAGTTACAGCTGTAGACACGCAAATCTCAAGATACTCTGCACAACTACAGCCCATCAACAACTGGTTACAACCAAAGCCTGCTTTTTCTTCTCTGAGCTTTTCTCCCACAAAGCTCGTCCACTGTCGACTCTCCCTCTTTAGAGCTCTCGATAGGATCCTTCTCTCTGCTCCTTCGAGCAAGGCCATTGCCTTCGACATCACCCTCGTCGTCGTTGTTCTGACCCGGACCATCTCGATACATCATCATCGTCGAGACAGCACCAGACAACATTCACAATGCCAACCATCGCAGCTACCAACCTGACCCTGGCCTCAGCGGCCCCCGCTGCTCCTGCAGCTCCCCCGGCTGCTCCTCCAGCTCCCCCATTTCCGCCAGCTCCCCCAGCCCCCAGGAAGTGGAAATGGCAATGCCACAGATGCGGCCGCTTCTGGCCTCTGTCCTCCGGCCGCCGCTGCCTCAGCACCAGGTGCGGCCATGAAAGGTGCACCCGGCTCGAGGCCAAGCTGAAGGTCAGGAGCTGCGGCACCCAATTCGACACCGCCGGATGGCGAGCCCACGCTCGGTGGCGCGAGCAAGTCGACGAGCAGAGGGCCGCCCGCGGCGAGAATGTCTTCCCCGGCCCGCCCCAGGGCGATCCGAACGCGGAGGACCTGGCCGAAATCATCGCCAGCTCGCCGCGCTGGGCTGCCAAGATGATAGGCGGCACCTACAGCTGCGACCACGACTGCGCGCGTGTGGGCGACTGCCACTCCAAGGCAGACGAGGTCAGGATTTTCCTGGCACGCGTCCAAGGGAACAACTTCGTCACCGATCGCCGCTTGACCAAGCTCTTTGCCAGTTACGCTCGCAAGCCGCTTCCCGAGAACCCGCCGAGGATTCGGAAGTCGTTTTCCCTGATGGAGAAGCAAATCATAGGCTACCACGAGCACAAGCCGTCGCGCCTCAACCCGGCCTGGAAGCCTGCAGATTACCACCTCTAGTCGGGTCTTGGGGGAAGCTCCACGCGATGAGCTTAAAAGGGGGCTGGGCTTCGTGATATGGGTAATGGTTGGGGACACGAGGATCAAGATTGGCTTTGGCTTTACGCCACTTTGTGTTTCTTGTTTTATGCTTAAGTTAATGTCTAATGGACTGCCCTAGTGTAATGCCTAATACACGTAAGCTAGAAAAGGAGTCGAACTCCAGTATTGTTACCAGTTTAATAAAGTTTTGTTCTTTGTGCCTGCGTTTGACTCTACCCTTGACATTACCTGTCCACAATTCGTCTCCATCTCTGACTTGATTATTCCTGCTTCTTCATACTCGCCATCTCCGCCGACCTTCAACATACTACAATCAAAACAATGATGACGAGGCAGAGGACAAGCTATGGTTCACCTTTTCCAACAAGGCTGCGCTCAAACCGTGTCAACCACTCCGAAGCCAGAAGACAACTCGAACTCCGTCCCAAGCACTGGGGAGCTTGAGATTATCTCCATTTCACCCTGAGACACCCGCTATGATCCTACAATTGATGGAGTTTGGGCATAACCATCCCTCATACTCGCCATTTCAGACCTGCCTCGCGTCCATTAGACTCGGCCCATTCCGACCCCAGGAGCAGGAGCCTCATATGCCAACTCAAGAAAATAGGCAGCCCGCCTACAGTTTCTGCCTCCGATATGATCCCGATTCGCCAGCCAGCTCAAACCCCCGACTAGAATTCAAAGTTTGGCGCTTTATGGCCCAAGATTCCAAAGCTGTCAGTTGACTTGAATTACTCGGCATCAGTTATAGTCCCTGTTGGCAAGGCATCTTTTGAAACTTTCAACCGGAAATTGAAGAACGATACCTCCATCAGGTTAAGAAAGGTAATGCTTCCGTTAGGGACGCGGTCCTCGCCACTACATATCTCTTTCTGACGACCTCCAGCATCAAGTCGATTGTTTTCCTACATCGCCCCTGATTCCTCCGACGCAAGTTATGTATTTCTTGATCCGTCGACCAGTCGATGTGAAAATAGCCATGGGTGACATTCGCTGCGTCCTCACCACCTTCCCCAGTCGAAAGTGGCTCATTCACCACCGTCGGGATGGTCGACGCCCTTGTCGACACCGCCACCTTCATCGGACAAGCATTTTTTCTGATGCTCTGCGCATATCTCTACGTCGCGCAGTGGCCCTTGGAGGCGTTGGCAACCGATGTCTCGAATCATGTTGACTACCGTCGCAATACGAGACGTTTTCCAGCCGAATCGGAATACACATCCATTGTTGGGGGGCCTCCTCGACTGGTTCTCCCAGCGTTTTCATCGCCTCAGTTCGAACGATCAGGTGTAGCCACACAAGTCATGTACTTTCCCTTCCTCTGGCAGCCAGGGGCATCGGCATCGGTAGACGAAAGGAGACTGGGCAACTATATACCGCTTCGGTGGCATTGCGGGTGTGCGGGAAAAGAGAATGGAACGGACAATGGATCCATAATGACTTGCGGGAGAGAACGATTCGGATTGCAGAGTACGCTTACCTATACCGCCGTTCGATCCCAAACTGATTTCACCTGTATAGGCCTTTTCCGAAGACGTACTGAAGGAACATGAAGACATCCCACTCATACGGACAGCCTGTCAGGATGGCCATCATGGCCGGAATTGAAGTTTGGAGTTACATCAGCCCAAGGAAACTCTGGTTGCCCACCGCAAGACAGCAGAGCATCCCGCACTATTCGACAAGGTCTTTGATAACCAGGGCGTACTCTCATGGCGTCAACAGACCCCTGACGACTCCCTCTGAATATCCAACAATTGGCTTGCTGCCGCATTCTATATCCCCACTATGAAGAAGCGGAAATGGTATCGGCGTTTATACGCTACCTGATGATGAACAGCGGGCAAGATTTAGTGAGAATCATAGCAGACTCGATGCCAAAGCTGCTCAAATAGTCGAGGGAGCGCTACACGTCGTACTACCTGATGAGGGCAAGGCCACGATTTACAAGGGCTATGGTTGGTGTCTTGAACGAGATTCGAATGACTCTACTCAGTCAGGCTATCATATACCACTTCATAACAGGGGACGCACAAGCACGTCTGTGGTATCATCATGTCACAAAGCATCTCATCAAGTCTCGCGGGTCTCATTATCGGGATGCAAGATCCAGGCATTTGATGAGGTAGCATGAGGAAACGATTTGTGGTGGATAGGTTTGGTTTTTGGAATCCTATTCGTTGATACAGAGCTCTCTTTCTAGTGACCGAGACAGGGGGATTGGCTGTTTCACTGTCACTCACGTCGAAGGCATCCCCGGACGGACTCGGTGATTGCCCGTGGGACTTGGGTGCAACGCCCAGCCAGTTAGAGCTGAGTGCCACCATCTTTCCCCTGCTCGCCATTGCCGTGAGCTCTGCATGAGACCTCTGGAGGGAGCATTTCGTGCCCCAGGTACATCTCCAGGAGGACCTTGAGGCTGCCTTCGGAGTGGAAAGACTCATCAGCAATAGCACCAGCGTACCTCGTCTGCCTGGTTAATGCTGTTATTGGTCCTGGGTCTCGGGTTGCTTTCACTCCTGACCTTGATTTGTCACTAGCAGCCAGTACATAATGGTAGCCATACAAGCATAGACGCTGTATGAATAGCAACGACAGGGCATGATTTGCCTTTGACGCTGTGTGCACACCTTCATGTCAAACTTGGACAGCACTTCGATCTCGATTGTCTCGACATCTAGTGGCCCAGGTAGAATCTACGGGATATTACTTGGGTACACACACCGGTGGAGGATGGTGAAGACACTTTACATCGTCGAGAGGGAAGAGGTACGACTGTAGATATGGTGGTCTACAGATTTCGGCTCCCTGAAATGTGTCGAGGGTGTTGCCATCTGTCGAGGTTGATCATTAGTTTGAATGAGCGGTTCGTTTGAAGTCTGTCTTTCCGTTGCTGTAGTCTAACTATTAGTGTTCTGACCAAGCTACTCGATCATTCTCCTCTTCCATCCATTTGGTCCAGGGTAGGATATCATGTCGTCGATGAACCTTGTTGCTGGGACATTTCAAGTCCAAGTCAAGTTGTATATATTCATAAGGCCAGCATTTGGAACTTGGGTTCACATGGAATTACAAGATATACATGTCCGTGTTTAGAGCTCTACGGGTAATTGGTGACAGTCAAGAATGGTGGTGCTCTAGGAATGAAAAAAGCGTACGAAACTACTTGGCAGTGCATGAATCACATATAAGGTATGCTAACTCCCGATCTGCCCAAAGAGACATCCATCGCTAGGCCATCGTCGTTCGGTAGCAGCCTCGTCCCAAGATGCCATTTCCTCAAAATCCGTTCTCTTCGAAAATCCTCGTATGTGGGAGCCTTGCTTCACCGACCTCTGCTGTTGTCTTGCTGTTTTGGTCGACACTGGGCAGCGCCACTATATCCACAAAGAGCCTCACGAACCGGTAGCGACAATCGATGCACACGATAAGAAAACGCGTCATGTCCTTTTTTTCTCCTTTTTTGTTTTAGATAACCCCAAGATAATCTTTGCCAAACGTCAGCCGCCCATTGAGCTGTTTTCGTCACCAATAACTGCATAACCGTCCATCTCCAAACATCGTCGAGCACCGTCAATCAAAGAAACCAAACAAATCAACTGTTGTACATGGCTCGCGCGGCAGGCAACAAGATCGACTAGAGGCAGAAGGACGACGGTGTAGTCCATCTGTCAGCCTCTTGTCCTTCGCGGCCGTGTGTCCAGAGCCTGCACAGCTGTCCAAACCGCGCCCGGTCCCATGCCCATTGACAGGTTTGGAAGTCTCTGCAGGAAAAATCAGATAATAAAAACTTCCGTATCCGCATTCCCCAGCTCATCCCCAACAAGGACCCCGGGATCCGAACAAAAGGTATTCAAAGGCATTAAAAAGAGCGAGAGCGATTCGTGCGCGGGAGAGGAGAGAGGTAAATCGAAGGCGTTTACGCCTCCAGAGCCTTGGCCTTCTTCTTCTGCTCGACCTTGAGGAGGAGGGCGCGGTTGATGTGAGGCAGCACACCACCGAAGGCGATGGTAGCGCGGATCAGCGTATCGAGCTCTTCGTCACCACGGATGGCCAGCTGGAGGTGGCGAGGGGTAATGCGCTTGACCTTGAGGTCCTTGGCTGCGTTCTGCGTGGCCGTTAGCATTGGCTGAGAGGGGCTGACAAGGGACAACTTACGCCTGCCAGTTCCAGCACCTCGGCAGTCAGATACTCGAGGACAGCTGTGACGTAGACGGCAGCTTTGGCGCCGACTCGCATCTTGTTCTGGGTGTTTTGCTTGAGGAAACGCTTGACACGACCGCAGGGAAACTATATGCGCCGGAAGAAGACGGTGGTTAGTGACACTTTATGTTTTAGTTGAGACAACTCAGCAGCTTGAAAAAGAGACCCCGTCGGATGATGTGACTCTCGGAAGTTGAGTGAGAAAAGTTCTCTCCCCTCCCTGCGCCCAGCAACGCGACTAGGCAACCAAGCTCGCAAACCGTCGAGTTCCGCACGGTGACACAATTGCGCGGCCTGGATCTTGCGAGATCCATCAGCAGCACGCCTCTGCATTGCCATGCCAGGTCGTAGAAGCGGCGACGAGCGACTGACGAACGCGTCCGGCTGAAAACTCGTCCGACAATGCCATCGCGGGGAGGTTGGAAGCTAAAGCGGGACTCGCAGGATGTGCAGGCGGGCGTGCATGCGCGCAAATCGGTTTGGGCATCAAGCAAGGCGAGAGAATCCAGGCCGGGACGGCGAAAAGCACAAACAACAAGCTGCCGGGGCTGTCGAGCACCGTAGACTCACCTGAAGACCAGCTCTGGCCGAGTGGCTCTGCTGCTTCTTGTTTCCCTCGGCGCTCGTCTTACCGCCGGAGCTCTTTCCTCCAGAAGACTTGCCCTTGCCTCCAGCCATTGCGTCGTTGCTGTGGTAGTGATGCGGGACGGTGATGTGAGATGCGGGTGCGGATGCGTCGAAATGGATTGCGAGAGGCGACGAGCGGGAGCGGAGGCTGATGCGCGTGCGGAGGTGGTGATGATGCAGTCGGGAGGTGGGATGTTTGGTCGAGGGCGCGGGCGTGGTGGCAGAAATTTATTAATGCTGGCAGCAAATCGACGCAAGCGGGCAGTCCAGTCGTTGTCATGTTTTTTTTTCCGCCTTGGTCTTGGTGCTGGTCTTGGGCGTGGGCGAGGCCCGCTGCAAGGAACAGCCAGCCTTCTGCGGTGCTGCTGGCCTCACCTCACCTCACTGTAATGCGGCGGAATGAGCTCCAGCACAACCCCCAGCCTCCCCGAAAATCCAGTGGCTAGGGGGACCCGAGTGCTGCCTGTTTGCCTGCGCGTCCGGTCGAGCCACCTCAGTGTCCGGTCGGGTCGAGTGTCTCGGCGTGGTGCTGCTCTTAGTGTGAGGGATGCTTGGTATGCCCGAGGCAAAAAGAGCCGCAGTATATCCGAAGGCTGGCCGCCACTGGCGCATCGCAGGCGAGCTGGAGATGGTGGCAGGCAGAGCAAGTGCTGGCCGTCAGGCGAGGACCAACGCAGCCAAAACCCTGGAGAGGATGCTGAACGATGACGGCTGAGGTGGCCTCGAGGAGACGGACTCAGTGAATCATCGTGGAGGCATCGCCAGAGCAGAGGAGCCACTGCCGATGGCGACAGATGGCGTGAGGATATACTGACCAAGCTGCCGGGCTGCCAGCAGAGCAGCGGTGCCAATGCCTTGGGCTACCCCATGGCGGTGGGAAAGGTAGAAAATGAGAAGAATAGGGTCATGACAAGACGCTCAACTGTCCCATCTGGGCTCATGCGAGTTGCCAGCGTGAGCGACCATCGTGAGCCTTGGTGAGTTTGGAGTTCATCGTCTGCATGATTAAAGCGTTTCTAACTCGGCGACTAGAGTTGACATTGTCCCGCTGTGGCTGCGGGCTGTGGCGCGTGCATGGCTAAGGCCCGGCTATTTGCCGACTGCGAGAGCTCAAGCCACCAGACTTGACTTAGGTCAGCAGCTGCAACGAATGCCGCAGGCAGTGCTTTATGTATATACCTAGTACTTCTGTCTTCTTCAGCAGAAAGATCGACTCCTGCAGCAGATACATTCGTGAGACTCTCCGAAGAGACCAGGAACAAGCTTGATTGAACAGATGCAGCAAACAGATCATCCGTGGCTATCCGCTGTATGTACGGAGTACATCAAAGCATACTTAGGTAAGGTACGGTAGAGTGCCGTATTCGGCTTAGCTACCTTAGCCAGACGTCACTTCAAGTGCAGCGCACGAACCATGTTAGCGCCACGAATCGGTACTTTGTACTTGTTACTCGCAGCCTCACGCATCTGGGAGAGCTTCATCATCCCACCTCCTAGGCCAGAAGTCAGTCTTCATTCCTCGCGGTAGCCTGCTGCGTATAATCTCTTTAGACGTCCTCCAACATATACAGGCTAAAAATACTCCTTACCAAGAAGAGAATCACAACTGCATCATGGCAAGCGTAAGGCTGTCCCGAAACACGACGTGGTCCTGTCACATGCCACTGTTCTCTCGAGATGGCTGCTAACCGGCAAGGCTACAACGACAGCACGGCGTCACCCGCAGCACCCGAATACGCACCGAAGAGCAGCGCCAGCAAGACCTTGAAAAGATTGCAAAGTATCGCCACCTCGAAAACCAGATACGCGCCCAAGTGGCGGCTGGAGCCTACAACTTGGAGCTCTTTGATCTGACGACCAAGCTGCTCCGCCAAAATCCCGAGTACTACACCATATGGAACGTCCGTCGCCGCTGTCTGCTGGCGTGTCGGCTCTCCGGAGCAGCGCATCAAACCACATCAGACGCCCACGGCGAGGCACCAGAGACATCAGAGGCCAAGAACCAGGAAACGGACGGTGAGGTGCTGCAGACGGAAATCGCCTTTACCATGCCGCTGCTCATGGAGTTCCCCAAATGCTACTGGATCTGGAATTTCCGCCAATGGCTACTATCACAGGCCATTCAGCGACTGCCGCTTCCACTCGCGCGCAAGATCTGGGAGACAGAGCTGGGCCTGGTCTCCAAGATGCTGAACAAGGACCAGCGCAACTTCCACGCCTGGGGTTATCGGAGGCTTGTGGTAGCGAAGCTGGAGAGCTCCGAGCTCGACGGCAAGAGCATGGCCGAGGACGAGTTTGCGTACACGACCAAGATGATACGACAGAGCTTATCCAACTTTTCTGCGTGGCACAACCGGAGCCAGCTCATTCCAAAGGTTCTAGAGCAACGAGGTGCCGACGACAAGGCTCGGGCGGAGTTCCTCACCCAGGAGCTGAACCTCGTGCGAGATGCTTTGAATGTTGGTCCGGAAGATCAAAGCTTATGGTACTATCACCAGTTCCTGGTATCACAAATCGTGGGAGATGGGGATAGGCCAAGCATCACACCAAACTTGACCGTTGACGAAAGGGTTGCCTATCTAAAGCAGGAAATTGAGGAGATCAAAGACCTGCTGGAGGACTACGACGACGTCAAGTGGATTTACGAGGCTCTTTCGGAGTACACGGTGGCCCTGGAAAGGCTACAACAAAGCAATGGCAACAATGGGGACCTGCAGGTCTGGCTCACGAAACTGCGGACTCTGGACCCGATGCGCACTGGTAGATGGAACGATGTCCAACAACTGGCAGCCTGACGGCGATTATTAATATTGCCCTGTGCGACCAACCTCCATTGACGTACTGTAGGTAAATGCGTTTGAAACGAAGAATTGTTGGGACAACTAGGTACTGGAACATGTATCACATATCTAATGAAGATCGGCGGTTAGCGTTTACGTCTTACTTACCATGCAATTGCTCGGCTACAATATGAGATGCCCATATACAGCACAGATGCAAACTGTCCTCTGTCCTTCCACGATCCGAGCAGTCTGCTGTCGAGGTGTTAGACAGACAACCTTTTCTGCTGATATATCCAGCGCCTTTGGACCTTGCTCGTAATGACGTCAAGGTTCAAAGACCCCGCATCCTTGTTTTGCAGAGTTGGTCAAGTGGACGTTCCCCATGTACCATGGATGGCACAGTCTGATTGAAAGGACCTTGTGATGGTGTTTCGAAGAGCTTTGATACTTCTGACAATGCTCGGCATTGCACACTACATACTGTGCTGCCAGGACATGACCTGCATACTGAGGGTTAAGCTACTGCGTAATCCGTATGTTTTGAGATGATCCAGGTCTTGACACCCAGATTTGACCCTTGTTGCTTCGTATTTGATGTATCCCTTGCTCAAAAGGTTATTTGGATCGACTGCAAAGTGCGGATACAGAAGTATTGTGTCCGTCCGGGGATCACAACTGCACGTTTGTGGTTACTGCCACCATATTCAGAACGCGAATCTCTACTAGATCTCAGTGATTTGGCCATTTTGTCGTCGAGACTCGAGGGTTTCTGGATATATAGGGTATTAGATAGTTTGCCAACCCTTTTGTCCTATCTGAGTCTACCCTGCACGTATATGTATACATACCACCATCGAAGCGCTTTCGGGGTGGAAAAAATCCAGGCATCACGATGGCTTCGTATCAGGAGTGATACAGTTTGACACCTATAAAGATAAGAAAAGAAAAGGAGAGAGAGAAAGAGAAAAGAAGGGCCCAACATTGTACTCTCACGGAGTTTAACCCCAAATATAGTACAAAGTCGTGTAAACAGCCACAGCAGGAAGGCCATGGAAACAAGGGGCCATGTTGGCTGAAACATCATACTCCGTAGCCACATGCCGGATGCCCGTCTGTACTCCCCAAAAGCCGTCCCGAAGCCACAACAGCTTCGGCACATGCAGAAGGCTCTCCATAGCCCACCAGTGAGCCGAGCCAACTAAGCCACCGCAAACATGCAGGTTGCTGCAGGTACAAGAGAGGAGCCAGGCTGAAGGCCAACCAATGGCTGGCTGGGACAGGGTGGGAGTGTGGGTTTGAGCGTCCTGCAGTGAGTTTTAGCCATAGAGGTTGGACATCGTTAAACGGAGGAGCTGGCTATGTGAATGTATACGAAGCACTATCTACCACGATACAATGTGAAGGTAGAGGATGATGATGCTGCGTTGTTGACATAAGGTAGCTAGGTACTAGACCAGAGCCTTGTTCTTTGTTAACTTGGCTGCCGGTTTTCTACCTCGGTAGGGAGGTAAGGGGAAACGTAACGTAGTGACCCAAAAGCTGGAGGCAATCCCACGTTGCGACAACAAAACCTTGCCTCTGGCTGCGTGTATCTGGCCTGGCAACGTCTCCAACAGCCTGCAGAGATGGTCGTGCTGTCTCAGACAGACTCCCCCTTTTGCACGGATGACCACGTCCGGTTGCCCTTTTCATTTACATCGAATAATAACAAAACAACAAGAGCAAAGCGTCTTTACATTATACTGTCTAGAGCTCAGTAGACGGTAGCTTTTCAGTTATCTTCTAGAATGAAGAGAACAAATGGCTGGAGGATGCAGGGTCCGGAGTCTCGAATACGGAACGTTGCCATGTATTCCAGTATAAACAAAAGCCGGCCTGGGAATGAAAAACGACGAGATTGGCACCGTACACTCGGCAAGATCAAGGAGGGCTCAACTGAAGCGCTGAAAGGGGGGCTGAAGTGAGTTTGTATCACGGCAGACAGACGAACAAGAAGAAAAGAAGGGGAAAAAAGGAAGGAAAATTACAGGTAGAATGAGGGGCTCGCGGACGGAGAAGCCAGGTACAGCGTATACAGTGCGACGAGCAACATCTGATAGTTGCATTTCTCCTCCTCATGACAAGACGGACGTTAAGACCAGTTTCCAGCGCATTTTGGGGGCCGTTCGCTCACCTGGTCTGTCTTGGTTCTCGTGGGCTCAAGAGAACGCAGAGGAGGCACCCGCGTGACTCTGCAAGCGAATTTGAGTGCGCTTCTTTTGCTTGCAGCAACAAGCGGCTGAGCAACGGAGGCTGTCGTCTGACTTGAGCGAAGTGCGCCAAAAAAGCAACGAGACGAGCTGTCGGATCCCTGCCGATTCGGCCAGCTACGATTCCGATTCGCTACGGCAACCCTGATCGCTGGTGTGGGCACATCAGAGATCCATATTTTGTTCAAGCTGTCAGAGTTAGTACCTTGGAAATAGTAGAGGTTCAGTTGAGAGGAGACGGAGAGTGATTAAGGGGGTGAGATTGGAGGAAGGCTTCTGGAAATGACGGACCTGAGAGCGCAGAGATTGGACGACCAGCGATTTCCAGACTCTTGGCGGAAGACCAGTCGTGATATTCAATATTCGATGCACCCACTTCGCAGACTCTCAGTGAGCTGCTGCGCCTCGTGATGCTGTGCATCTCAGACCATCGTGGGAGAGGGAGCCAAAAGCCGGGATCTAGTGAAGCGCCACGCCGTCCCGTTGCTCCAAAGCATAAATATACCTGCTAAGACGACCAGGTCAGGGCTTGTCGTTACTTGTTGCCACCGTATGCTGTTGGCGCACACAAAAAGGCAAAAGGAAGCGGCAATATTGGCCATCTCGTGCGACTGGCTGGGATGGGCGATGATGAATCGTAGTCGTAGTAGGAGGGCGGACTCCAGCCAACTTCCTTGACACCTACTCTTGGTAGAGTGCTGTAGGGGCTCGTCCGCTCACTGTCCAACTGCCGTCTCCTGCACTGAGTCTCCCCCCTTTCGGTGCCGGGCGCGTCTGATTACACTCATCCATCGTGTTTCAGGGCCCAGAGGCAGACCATGCCAGATGCCGCTAGAGCGAGGACGTTTCGACGATCCCGAAATTTGATGGGCGACAACGTGGCGCAAAGGTCCGCTGCACGGGAGACGCCCTCCAAGAAGGTAGTTTCCGTGAAAAGGGAAGGATAACAAGAGCACGAATTGGATCACGATCGAAAGGGATCAAAGGGGGGACTCTTCAGTGAGATGTTCTACTGCAGTGTGAGATGTTCTCCTGCAGTGGGAGCTGTTTGCTGCAAGGATCTGGCCAAGCTGGGAGCGCTCATGCATGCGGAGGAGAGACGATGATCCACGGCCATACGAGGTACAACTGAGGTGTCATTCCCATCTTCTCTGCCTGCGTTTCGTGCGTGCATGTGGCGTGCAGCGGACGCTGATCAAGCGGAGAGATTCTCCCTGCCGTGGAGGAGATATTCTGGGAAACAAGGCCGGCGTGATGCCCGGAGATGCGTGGCCTCGACTCCTACTGGACGTTGTGTGCGGTTGCATCTGAACCCCCAAATGAAGCACCCTTGCGCCTGCATATGGGCCATGTATGGGCCAGGCAAGGAGGCGACATGTGCGCGTGTCTGTCTTGAATACTACATAAAGCCTACAGTACGCAAGACTTTTGTACGTGTCCTACCGCGATGATGCATGCCCGCATACGATTGTAGCAACAGTTGAACACGCCAGAAGCAGGGCAGGCCAGATGATGCAAACGATGGCAAGCCGAGCATCAAAAGGGTCATGTTGAATAACAGAGCTGAACGAGTAAACAAAGCCACGACGTTGGCTGTCCTCTACGAGCGCTCCGACGCCTGACAGACCCCTGGCCGCCTGTAGCTGAACTACCTGCTGAACCTCCCGCACAGAGATCCATGCAGATGCCATCACCGGATTTCACAGTAGAAACGCACACGGTACAAGCTGGAAGCCACAGTTGTGGTCGTGGCGCACACACACAGTGCTCATGCATACATGTACCTACTCATGTCGTCTCTCCTCAGCTCCATCTGAAGACTCCGTGTCAATATCAGGCGCAATGCGATAGGTATTGAATGGAGCGCCCGGGTCATTTCGCAGCAAATACATATCTGATGGTAATAATAAAACAACCGCGGCAAATAGGGGCAGGCTTCCAATTTTCTAGAACGATGGCCGCTCAGGGGGCGGAGGAAATAAAGAGAGCTAAATGAGATTGATGGGACTGCAATCGGAGCATAAGCGAGAATGCCTGTAACTTGAAGGTAGAGACAGAATGCCGGTACCTCTGCTACCCCGCTGCTGTGCACCGGCTGGCAAGGTAGATCCGTTACGCTGATCGATTTCGTCAAGTGCATATCTGATCCTGGTGTAAGTGCATGTTCGGGTACCCAGCAGCCGTTGAGTTTGGCCGAGCTGGGCAGAGACAGCACAGACGAGACGGCAGAGGATCCGCGTGAGACGGGGACAAAACAGGACGGCAGGTTTGTGCAATCATGCAGTGAAAGGAGGCAAATATGAGACGATAAGGGAAATGCCTACGACAAGACACAAGATAAGTGAAGAAAGAGAGAGAGAGAATCGGATCACGATGCTGTGGTGCTGATGGTAAACTGAACGGCACCAGCTCAGCAGGGCTCAGGCGCAGCAAGGAGGCATTGGATACCGTTGGTACAGCACCTGCAAATTGCACGAATAGGGGCTCTGCGCAGCGTGATTGGCCCTGCCCTGGCGCGTATGCACCAAAGCGGTGCTACCTCCCTCGCGGTGGCAGCCCCTATCATCTAACTTGTACCCTGGCCAGGTCGACGCCAGTGGGGCGCCCAAGAGGCTTCTCCCCTAGTAGGTTATTATGCTCTGCCGTGGAATTTTTCTTCCCTTAGCCTGTCTTCAACCCGTCTCTCCCTCTTCGCCAACCTCGGAGGCTGTAACTCTTCTTCCCTCACTTCACCCTCATCGCCTCTCCTCCCGCTCGCCCTCTCCTGTCCTGCCCTGAGCCGCTCCGCCTGTCCGCGATCCAACCGCTTGATTAGAGCCGCGTGCGGGAGCTGCCATACGCCCTCTGGACCAGCGACAGTTTGCCATTGTGTGGACGCGGGTGGTGCCGACTGACGCTTTGGACCGTTTTGTGCAGAGCTCCGCCCTAAACTCTCGCGCATCCTGCCGGCTTCGTCGTCTGTCGGGTTCCGACCAGAGTCCAACGCGCGCCCGACTCTGCAGGCCACGCCTACACGCAGCTTCTTGGAAAGACTTGCTTGGGCCCCAACTTGGCGACCCTGTCTCGATCTGCCCTGACGCGGTGTTTCAGTGAAGAAGAAAGAGGACAAGAGAAAAGAGAAGGAAAAAAAGGACATAGAGAGCTAGCGCTTCACCAAGCACCGTGGATTCCAGGATCCCTTCCTACGACACCTCGCTCCCTACTCTGGCTGGCATACAGCTCGCCAGCTAGCTTTGCTCTGCAATCGGCACGACTGCTCTTTTGCTGGGTTGGCTTGAAGTTCTCGCCGACACCCGATTACGACCGTCACGACTGAACGAACCGACCAAGTGCATCATCTATGTTGCCATAACCCGTCCGTCTCTATCGCGTTCCTGAGTACAACCTTCCAGTGCTGGACTAGAACATCGTCATCGCCGTCGATTACGTGTTCCTTCTCCACCCCTTTTATTGCGCATCTCCATCCGCATTCACCCTTTTTTTGGTTGTCCTGGGAGGCGTTTCGCGTCGCAAGAGTAATCACCGCCATTTGTGGGATATTGCGACATGGCTCAGCAGCCTCACGATATGAGCTACCTTGACTACGGCTCGGCGCCTAACCGGTCGCCCAGCTCCTCGAGACAGAACTACGCCAACTTCCCTTCCGGCCTCACCATGCCCCGACAGACCCAACGGCCCTTCGATGCGCCCCTCCCCTCGAACGCCCTCTATTCTACCGATAGACTGGCCAGCAGCTACGGCAACCGAGCCATGGACACTGTCGGCGCTGGCAGCATGCCTACCTACATGATGGATAACAACCAGTCGTGGAGTTACAACGCTTCCGGCGTGGCCACCGTTGGCGGCGCCGTGCATGGCCCGGGAAGGCAGCGAAGCGTCAACCGGCGAGCAGCTTTGCCAACTGTATGTATATCCTCGAACCGCTGCCGGGGGCAACGGCGTTTGTGCTGACTGAAAAGATGCAGAATTGGACCGAGCATGGCGGAATGGGCATGCCTAACCTTCAGTCCTACTCCAACGGCCTCGGCGCCGCAGCCATGGCCAACGGTGGCCTCCGTGTCGATGGCCCCGGATCCCACCCGTCTCCCAACAGCCTCCAGTCTGCCGGCAACGATGCCGACCAGCTCATTCCCACGGCCATTGTGATCAAGAACATCCCCTTTGCTGTCCGGAAGGAGACGCTTGCTTCCATCATGCTGGAGATGCACCTTCCCCAGCCCTACGCTTTCAACTACCACTTTGACAATGGTGTTTTCCGAGGACTCGCTTTTGCCAACTTCCAGTCCGCTGACGATACTCGCCTTGTCATTGATGCGATGAATGGAATGGATGTCCATGGCCGGAAACTGCGCGTCGAGTACAAGAAGATGTTGCCCGAGGCGGAACGTGAGCGCATTGAGAGGGAGAAGAGGGAGCGCCGAGGACAGCTCGAGGAGCAGCACCGCGCCCCGTTGCTGCACAACCAGAGCTCGATCCAGTCTCTGGGCGGCATGTCTCAGGCCCAGCCGCGCACCGCCAGCGCTGCCGCTGGCCCTCCTACGTCTTCTCTTCTTGGTAGGTTTTGACCTCACGGGAGAAATGCTGTTGCGAACATGCTAATGATACTTTATGTAGGCGACATCGATATGAATGACCCCCAGACGCTCGAGTTTTACACCGAGCTTGCCATGTTCCGAAGGGACGACAGCCGGGAAATCCTCGTCTTCCCTCCCGGAATTGCCCCTGAGCACCGACGATGCATTCACATCCTCGCCCACCACATGGGCCTCGAGCACCAGTCCATCGGCGAGGCCGACTCGCGACAGCTGACGGTGCTCAAGCGACAGCAGCCCTCGCCCACGGCGAACCTCCAGACGCCGCCTGCCAGCAGCCTCGATGTGCACAAGCGTGGCCTGAGCCGGGCCGCCACGTTCGACTTTGCCGCCGACCGGGAGTCTCGCACATCCAGCAGCACCTATGGCCACCTTGTTGGTCGACACGGGCCCACGCTCGAGCTTCCCGGCAGCCCAGACGGAGGCGGAATCCCCAACAACCTGCGTGCGGCCAAGAGCTTTGCCGACCTCCGCTCATTCACCCCTAGCCCTTCTCAGGCGTCATCGAGCTATCTTGCTCCCGGCAGCGGCTTGAGCAGCATTGCCCCGACCTCCACGGCCCGGTTTGGCGACTACCTCAGCAACGGGAGCCAGTCGCAGAGCGGCAACCCCAGCACTCCGGGGAAGAACGACAACGGTCTCGTCAGCGGCCTCAGCGGATTGAGCCTGTCCCCGTTTGAAGCGAGCTCGCTGCAGTCTCAGGCGCGTAACACCCCTGGGGCTATTGGCAGCCAGCGGCCCAGCGCAAACGGAAACGGGGTCAAGAACATCCCTGAGAGGCAGCCGCGGAACCCGGAATGGGAGGCGTCCAATGGTTTTGGCCGTACTCGGGCAAACGGCCACATGCAGCGCGGTAGTGGTATGTCGAAGGCTTGATGACCATTTTCCATTATACAAACTAACGTGATTGCCAGATTCCTCGGACAACGGAGCTCGCGTCGGCACCAGCTCCACTAACGCTTCGAGATACCACTAAAGCCTCGATATGCGTTCACCTACTCTCTCACGTGGTGTGTGCTCTGCGCCTCTCTCGCTGGGAGAGCTGATGGACTGCTTTTGGAGGGGCTAGACCAGGTTCCTGCGTCGCATTCCTCGCCCTTGCTCTCAACCCATTGCTTTTTACGAATTGTAATATTGATTTCCAAGACGACGGAGGGTTTTTGGCTCTGGTCAAGCACCCGGTGCAAGGTCTCCAATCGCTGGAAATCCCCCGATGCTCGTCAAGGACTGGCATCCGCCGCCCGTAGCTGGAATTTTTCGATGATGATGATGATGCCACCCCGATGAGAATGTGGAAAACAGGATCAGGATACAAAAAAAAGTTTCGTTCGACAAATGGGCAACCGTTACGACAACACGACGACGCGGTTCCTCGCGCGCAACCTGGAACATCCCTCAAACCCTTCAAGCGTACTCCTTCCACCAGATCTACGACCGATTCTTGACGATTATGACATTGATTTTCACGACTTTTACGTCTAGACAGCTGCAGCGAATCCCACCTCGGCGTGCTTCGCATCTCATAAGCACTGAGTGGAGTGGCTTCGGCGACGATGACGAGCAGTTACCTATACCCCAACCAAAGAAACAAAAAAACTTCTTTAATACCCCCATGTCTGACGTCCAGATACGACCGTGACGACGACGAATTGAGACGGACCCAGCTTCTTGTGCATGCTTGGGAGGCCGAAACGAGAGTAGCGACGTGTTTATTGGTCCGATGCAGTGGGTGGGAAGAGCAAGCAGTAGAGAGGAAACGGAGGGGGAAAAAGACCCAAGCCCTTGTTGGTGCATGGTATACGAGCTTCTGAGGGGAGATTTTGTTTGCGTTGATTAATATGTCCTGAATCTGGCTGCTGAGGCGAGTCCCTCACGCGACCAGGGAGCAGGGCGATTCTGTTCAAAGGGGACGTTTCTGATTTTCACTGTGGCGTTACTCTGGCAGCATTTGGGCTTGCTATGCTTTTTATCTTGGGCATTTTCTCCTTCTGGAAATATGCATCTATGGTTTATTATTCTTATTCCTGAAGACTTATTAACCTGGGAGGGGTGGTTGCTGGGAACAGACTCTGACATGTTGAGTCGATGCAGGAAGAAGACGGGGGCACAAATGCATAAACTGATACAGGGCTATGGACAGCAGGGATTCATGTGGAAGAAGGGAAAGAAAAGGGGAGAACGAGAGAGGAACGCGGCGAATTAATCTTTGTCTTCTTTTCTTTGCCGTGGGCTTTACTTTCGTTCTTTGTCTCTTGTTTTTAGTTTTCTGTACATCTTTGTTCCTTTTCTACTTCTTTTTCTATTTCCTCAACCTGTGTAGTCACTGTATTAGGTAGTCCCATTAAGAGTTTTATTTCTGTTTTGTGTTATACGAGACTTGCGGTGGTGATTGTTTCGAATGTGTGTCGTGTGACTTGCAGATGCATGGAGTTTGATAGTGGGATTCTGTACATACCTGAAGCTGTGGTGTTTTCAGGTGTCGACTGGTTCCATGTTGGCTGACTCGGTCGGTTCCTGGCGAGATGGAGCCGCTAAAATCGGTGGAGAGTCAGTCAGTCACTGACTTGACTGGGTGATTTCATGTGAGAGCTGAGGTGACGTATGTCTTGCCGTCGGTGTGTCATTGGCTGGCTGTTCGACTTGACATCTCACAAGCAGCGCCCTTTCTTCCGACATCGTAGCATTTTCATCTTTTCCTCTCTCCAATCATTCCTCCCACGTATTGATGATAAGACACATCCATTTTCATCTTGATCAAGTGATCAAGTCATAAAAGTGAAGCTTCTCATTGACTCTCGAGAAAAGGAAAGGGGGGAAAGGGGGCTATGACTACGGTCCCCGCATCAGAAGCTACAGATACTGAAAGGCAAGAAGCTCCGCAACGGGAAGAGATTGAACGGGACTGGGAGGTCATCATGGCGCCGACAAACAAGCAGTGGGTGAGCAAGCTGGATGGCGTGGACAAGCTGGAGATGATCGAGGGCGAGATGCCCGTTCCCAAGGACGGAGAGGTGCTGGTCAAGATTCATGCCGTGAGCATCAACTATCGCGATATCGAGGGTATGCTTTCCCTCTGAACTCGAGTCACTCACTCCGCTTCTGATTGGATCCTGTTTCTGACAACGTCGACACAGTCTGCGAGGGCAAATACAGCCACCACCAAACCCCCTCCGACTCCCCCTCTGGCGTCGTCATCTGCTCCGACATGTGTGGCACCGTCCTCGAGACCACATCCCCGCTCCTCCGCGCCGGCACCCGCGTCATGTCCGTCTACCTGCAGACGCACCTCCGCGGCGCGCTGCGGCAAGTCGACCTGGAGTCCGGGCTAGGATTCCCCTTGCCGGGCGTGCTAGCGGAGTTTCGGTGCTTTGATGCGAGGGCGCTGGTCCCCGTGCCGGAGTACCTGACGGACGAGGAGGCGAGCTGCTTGCCGATTGCGGGGGTCACGGCGTGGATGGCGCTGAATTGGATGAGGCCTGTCGGGAAGGCGTTTCAGGAGCTGGATTTGTATGGGCAGGGTGGGAAGAAGCATGATGATGAGGAGGAGGAGGAGAAGAAGAAGAAGAAGAAGAAGGAGAAGGAGACTGTGCTGCTGCAGGGGACGGGGGGAGTGAGCATTGCGGGACTGCAGATTGCCAAGGCGGCCGGCCTCCGGACAATCATCACGTCGTCGTCGGACGACAAGCTCGAGGAGGCGAAGAAGCTGGGCGCGGACCACACGATCAACTACCGCACGTACTGGGAGTGGCAGGATCAGGTGCTCGAGGCGACGGAGGGCAAGGGCGCGGACTACGTGCTCGAAGTGGGCGGCGCCAAGACGCTGCGCAAGAGCTTCGCGAGCGTGGCGTTTGGCGGGACGATCAGTTGCATTGGCTACGTGTCTGGCAAGGAGGACGATACTGGTGGTGAGGATGGCGGCGGCGGAGATGGAGGGGGAGGTGCGGGGGATGGTAAGGGTGAGGCTGCGGGGTGGAATCGGTTGAATGTGAATGTGCTTGCGCTGAGGAAGAATGTCACGCTCAAGGGGTTGATTAATGGGGGCAAGGACCGGTTCGAGGAGATGGTGAGGTTCTACGAGGATAAGAAGATTCGGCCGGTGGTGTGCAAGGTGTTTGGGATGGGGGAGGGCAGGGAGGCGTTGGAGTATGTCAAGGGGGGGAAGCACTTTGGCAAGGTTGTGGTGAGGGTTGACAAAGTTGATGAAGAATGAGGGATGATGGAGGAGTCAGCATCACGTATAGCATCACGCTTAGAGAAGAGCGCGTTAGATAGATGTGCATATTGAATCTCGAGACGAGGCCGGTGTCTTCTGTTTGTACTTGGTACTGTAATGCAGTCACGTGTGAGAGTTGACCACCTTCCTCTCCTGCCTTCTTCACCAAACCATCAGTCAGCATAATCATCACCATCATCAACTTCAGCTTAACGAGTTCGCTCAAAGCTGGACAAGAACAGGCCATATGTGCATGTGCATGACATTGATGATGCATTTGCCTCTCCTTGCCTTTCTTTGCCGTTTGTCTTTGCTGGTCGAGTGATGGACGATCACAACTAATTTTGTCTGGATGAAGATATGGACGTGGAGTCCTTCGAAGGCGGAGGCCTTGTGCTCCTGTTGCCGCCGTTGGTTCGAACTAAGGCTGCAATTACCCAGCCCATGGGTCCCATGGGCGGCCCAATGGGCTTATCCAGCCCATTGGGTAAGCCCAAAAGTGAGTGGGTCTGCCAAGAACCGCCCATTCTTATCTTATCATGCCCAAAAGCGTGGGCAGGAGCCGCCCAAATGCCAAGAGATACCTTTAAGTATGCTATTAAAAATCTACTAAATAATAACTTTTATTACTAAAAGAAATAAAAAATTAAAAAAAAATTATAATTAAGGTTATTATATCTTAATTTATATAAGAATATTTTTTCTCTTTTTTTATATATTTTATTAAGCTTTTTTTTAATGAATATAGATTTTGGGCAGAATGTAGGGTATTTGGGCTGGTGGTCAATGCACCTTTGTTGTAAAGCCGCCCAATTTGGGCCAATTTAGGCCCGGGTAATCCGTGGGCTGCCAAGCCGCCCAAAACTTGCCCATGGGCCAAAATTTTGGGCCGGCCCATGGACACCCGTGGGTTATTGCAACCTTAGTTCGAACAAGCTGTCATGAAAGATCCCTGCTCAGAGGACTGACTAGTCGGAATGATCCATCAGGCGCCCCCATCGAGTCCCATATCGTCAGTCCGGGATTGAGCGGCCCGGTTACGCCAAGCAACCCTGTCAAGATCTTGAACTTGACAACATGAGTCGCTCGCTTTCTGAGCCTCGCAGCTTCTTCTTACTCATCCTTCCACGGGGATGAGGGTTAGTATTAGTATTACGCAAACGATGATTGCGTACAAGTCCCTGACATGTGGAGTCCCACTTGCAAAGGTACGTTGGGTCAACGGTTGCAATCACATCTCCATCTCCATCCCCCTCCTCCACTTCAGCGCCAACCATCCAGGGTTCGATATCTCGTTTGTCCTTGCCCTTCTTGGAGCTCTGGGTTTTCTGCTGTGACGTTTGCGGATAGCTGCAGCTCTGCCTCCACCGAGATATTGACTCGTCACTTTTCCAAGGTAACTGTTGTTATCGCGGGAAATGCGGTGGGCAAGGGCTCGTCGTTCCCCTCTTCTGCAACCGGGCGATCTGTTACAGGACGGGTGAGATGAACATCTGATATTACACTTTTTCTAACTACTGGCTAGGGATATGGTAGTATTACTGACTGGCCTCGTCCGAGTCGCGGCAACAAACGCCTTTGCTGCGGCTTCCCAGCTTCATTACATCTGCCAAGATAATCATTACTACCACCTAGAATATCCAGTGTTTACAGACTATACCTCAGTATGAGTGAATCAGCAAGTTAGGTCAGGGCCACGATTCAGGTCTGCAGCTGGTATTGGTCCGGACACGGTCCGCGGCCACTAAGGTCCCATGCAACCACAGGGAGCCCTTGCTCTGTTGAAAATGGCAACCAGGGCGACAAGAGCCGATGAGGGCATGGGGCACCAAGTATAAGATGCCCAAGTCGATATAAGTGCTGCCATGCCTCGGAATTTCAAGGCAAGCTGCCTTCTCTCGCTCAACGTCGTCACCCTGTCCGTTCGTTGGCTTTGATAGCCACATCTCTTGGATATGGCGGGCACGCTCATCGTCCAAGTCCTCATCGTCCTGGTGGGCTACCTCGTCTACCACCAGCTCCTCCGCAAACCCAAGCGCAACCTCCCTCCCGGGCCAAAAGGCCTCCCTCTCCTCGGCAACGTCCTCAACCTACCCCCTAAAGACGTCCCCGACTACGTCCACTGGAGGTCCCTCACGGACAAGTATGGCCCAGTCGCCTCCGTCACCCTCCTAGGCCAGCCCATGATCTTCATCGCCGACAAAGACGCTGCGCAGGAGATCCTAGAGAAGAAGTCGGCGGTCTCGTCCGGCCGCCCCATCATGCCGTTTGCAAACTACTGTGGCTTCGCAAAATTCACCAACATGTACCAGCTAGAGAAGAGGTTCACGGCGCAGCGAAAGGCTATGCATAAGGCCATCGGCACCAAGGCTATGGTGACAAAGTATGCCGAGATGCAGGAGCGGGAGGCGGGACGGCTGTTGGTGAGGACGCTGGATGAATGTGATAAAATTGTCAAGCACTTCGAGACGTGAGTAATTCATCATATTTACCTTTCCGACAAACCAAAACTGACTCCCCCCACCCTTCTAGTGAAGCCGGCGCGGTCATCCTCAAGATCGTCTACGGCTACACCATCAACCCCCGCGGCCCCGACCCCCTGGTCATCCTGATCGACCGCATGATGGCCAACTTCTCCCGCGCCTGCGTCCCGTTCGCGCGGCTCGTCGACTTCATCCCCGCCCTCAAGTGGCTTCCCGACGGCTTCCCCGGTACGGGCTTCAAGGCCGAGGCGGCGCAGTACGGCAGAGAGATTCGCGCCGTCGTCAACGAGCCGTACAAGTTTGCCAGGAAGCAGCTGGCCGAGCACAACTTCACGGGGTCATACGTGACGAGGCTTGTGCAGGAGTATGCTGGTGATGAGGGCGAGTTGAGCGAGGAGGATGCGTACACCATCAAGTGGTCTGCTGCGACATTGTACGCGGGGGGCGCGGACACGACCGTCTCTGTCCTCATCAGCTTCATCCTAGCCATGACCATGTTTCCCGAGGTCCAACGAAAGGCCCAAGAGGAAGTCGACAGAGTCACCGGCGGCACTCGCCTCCCCGTCCTCGCCGACAGAGAACAGATGCCCTACGTCGAAGCCATGGTATCCGAAGCCCTCCGATGGTGCTATATCCTCCCAATGGGCGTCCCCCACGCCTTGTCGGAAGACATGACCTACAAGGGCTACGATCTGCCGAAGGGGGCATACATCCTCCCGGCCCTCTGGGACTTCTTACACGACGCCTCCGTCTACACCAATCCGGACGACTTCGCCCCCGAGCGCTTCCTCGCGCCGCGAAACGAGCCCGACCCGCGATGGGCCGCCTTTGGCTTTGGCAGACGGATTTGTCCGGGGCGATTCCTCGCCGACTCTTCGCTATTCCTCAACCTGGCGTCTCTCGTGGCCGTCTTCAACATTGACAAGGAGATTGATGAAAAGGGCAACGTGATGGAACCTAAGCTGGAATTTGAGGCGGGCCTGATTGCGAAGCCAAAGGCTTTTCCGTTCAAGATCACGCCGAGGAGCGAGAGGCATGCGGAGCTGATTAGGGGGTTTGAGAGGGAGCATCCGTGGGAGGAGAGCAATGCGGCGCAGTTGGGAGAGTTGCCGCTTCCATCTCATTTGTCTCATTAAGTCTTATATATGCCCCCTGAACATATTGTAAATGTGATGTGGTCTTTAAATGTCTGTTTGAGATTGGATACCAAGTCTATGCATAAGTTCGCTACGCAGTTTAACACGCCACCCATCTTCATCTCCCATCACTTCCACACCCCAGTCTTGGGATCCATCCTCTCGACCACGGGCGCAAACACCCAGTCCTGCACCCCCTCGAGCACCAGCAGCGCCCTGTTCCAGCGCCAGCCCAGCAGCGGCACCACGGCCCCGGCGACGAGGTCCAGCACGAAGTGGTTCGCCGTGGCGACGACCGTGACGAACATGGCCAGCGGCCACAGCGGCGCCAGCACGCGAACCAAGACATGCGGGCTGAACCTGGCAAGGCACACCGCGAAGAAGAGCGACGTGCCGAAGTGCAGGCTCGGCATCGCAGCAATTGTCAGGCGGAACCTATTGTCCGTCCAGACGGACGCCGGCTTCGACGCGTGCAGGATATCCACGAAGCCGAATTCCGGGGGCAGCATCCGCGGCGGATAACACCGCCATAGCGAGACGATGACAAAGGCAATCAGATTGTCCATGGCAATGGTCCTCCGGATGCGACGGAAGAGCGGCGTGGGCAGGACGGTGTACGTGTAGACGATGAAGACGACGCCGACGATGATGTGCGACTGGTAGATCTGGCGGAGGACGGGCATGAGACCCGGGTGCCGGGTGAGGATGTAGGCCTGGAGGGACTGCTCGATGTCGATGCCGAGGGCGTGCTCGATGGAGAGGAGCTGGAGGGCGTGCTGCTTGGCGAGGAGGTAGATTTGGGGGTGGGGGGCGATGATGCGTGCGGAAAAGGCGCGGCTGAGTTGGTAGATCCTGTTTGTTTGTTTACTTTCTGTCAGTTTTATGTACTTGTTTGTATTTTGTGATGGGGTCATGGAGATGTTGGTGTTGAGTGTGAGGGAAGAGGGTGAGGATGTATAAGGGGGGAGGGGAAGAAGAAGACGAACCAGTATGTAAGTAACCAATACCAAACCTCCTTCAAGAACGGAAACGTCGCACATATCCACGACAAGACCCTAAACACGAGCAACTTTGACCCTCTTCTCTTCTTCTTCCTCCTCTGCGCAGCAGCCCCAGCCGCCGACGAGTCTGCCGACCCTACTGAAGAGGACGAAGAGACGACATCGTCATCCGTCTTCTTCTCGACGGAACAAGTGTACTCCGGCAAAGTCTCGATATCGCGGACGGTGGTGTGCGTTGTCTGCGCGGCGTGCAGCTTTGTCCGGCGGCGGTTGATTATGGTGCCGGCTGTGAAGGCGAGGGCGATTGCTTTTCCATTTTGATCTTGTCAGTATGTATTCAATTGCGCTATGATTGGGGATTGGGTTTGAGGGGTTTGTAAGGAGGGAATGTAGTGAGGTGGTGGAGGAGTTGTTTTGTTTTACCTGCTGGTTCAACGACATTCTTAAAGAATCCCATGTTTCAACACTGTATCCAAGATGCCAACATTGATCGTTCACAGTACAAGGAACCCGTTTAATACACGGGAGCAAATAAAGAATCCAGATCCAAGATGTGTAACTCCAAGATTTGCAACTCCTAGATCTAAGCAAAAGGAGGAGAAGAGCAAGAAGAAGGGGGGGAAAGCAACGTCATCAGATAACAGAAGTCACATAGTGCGCAGAACTTATATAATATACGAATTCTCCCAATCACAGCAAGTATCACAAAAGGCAATTGCAGGCAGAGAAAGTAAGATATATGACGACACCATCACGCTTGCTACAACTCTAAATGCCCCCTATACGAACATATGTTGCGAAGTTCCATACAAACTACTGGTGGGCGTTGGAGAGTTTGGCGTTTCCCCCTGGCTTCTCCTCGGGAGACGCGGAAGCTTGTCTGGGCACATCTGGCCGTCTTAGGAGATAAGCCCACCAACCACCTCAAGGAAACCAACTCCTCCTTACCCTTACATAAGGTTCGTTGTAGATTTGGGGGCTTTCTTCACTAGGTGCTGCGCTGGAATGTTCTCTGCACTATTGGGAGAGGCTAGTGTAGCTTAGAAGGGATAGATGGTTCAATCTTCAAGTGAGGAATTCACACTTCATCAACAACCATAACCAACGCCAACACCATTAACAAGAAATCCCAAGACTCACAACCACCATTTTTTGAATAATTCTAATCCATTCATTCTATTACCTCTCAAAATCTAAATATTAATGATGAAAATTTCAATCCACGTTGTGACTCGCAAGACAGCGTAACAAGGTCACCTCAAAGCGTGACGTGAGGAATTACGTCTGCGGCACACTGCTTTTAGGAAGCCTCATGTATAGGCGCGGATGGATAAGACGACTATAAAATACGGGCGGCGCCATCTCACTCCAGATAAACACTAACACTAATACTTGCTTAGCAAAGACAGATGGATGAATTATAATGCTTATTTGCCTTTGCAGTTCTTAAGAACATGTGACACATCACTCTTTAATCCTCACTACAAACACCAAAATAAGGGGCAAGTATTACATTGTGACTAATTACTCTACATAAACCACATATCTCACAAGAATAAAGAAAAGAAGAAGAAAAAACCATATCTCCTCATCCACGCGCTGCTCTCCGTCGCATCCAAACATAGGCGCGTGCAGACTGCAAACGAACTTTTTGGTATCATTGCTTTCCTCCCCCTCACAAACATCGTCAGGGAGGTAGTGCGAGAAAAGCGTCCCAAGACTGCTCGATACGACATTCCTCACACGAGGCGATATCCAGCAGCAAGGATAAAAAGGCAGCAAAAACAACAATAACGAATAAGCCGCGGTGGACTGTGATGATGCAGCGTAAATAACAAAAGTCATCATGCCATGCTCAGAATCGGTGTTTTTTCAGATGCGCAGCGAAAGCATATATGCCAGGCCTCATCCCTCAGTGTACATCGAATCGTCAACTCCATAACCTCGTTCTGCAGCCATGTCCAAAGACAGCGACACAGCAGACAGTAAACACAGCTCGCAAGCCACAAGCCGCAGAATGCCTGCAACTCTCAAAACCATAACCCTCGAAATGAAAATCAAACTTCCGCCGTAAAAGCAATAAGCTTGGGAATCATGCTGAAAGATGCCGATAGAAAGACGTAGGAAGAAACTTGATTGCCGCAAACGCTTGATTAGGCAAATGTGTTCAGGATGTGCCTGGACGACTGCACGATCCAGTCCAGCTTGCCTCGCTCGAGGTTGGCGAGGAACGGATCGGTGGGAAAGCCATCCTGGATACCAGCAATCAGAGGCTGCACGCGGTTAATGAGCAACTGCATCGTCTGAGATGTGCTCTTTACGATTTCACGCGAAGTGTCATCGTCCCAGTTCTGCAAATGAAAACGTCAGCATATCGAGTCTCGATAGGAGGCGCAAAGGAAAGAAAAACTCACGTAGTTGGGCAAGCTGGCGCCAAAGGCCCTCACGGCCATCTCAATCCACTCAATCTCCTCCTTCAGGCGCGGGTTCGGCCTCAGCTCCTTGGAGATGGTGGCAATCACCACAAGCAGCATCAGCGGCTGGAGGTTGTCAAACTTGCTCGGGGGGTATCGGCTCAGGCAGCGGCGGAAGATGTCGGTCTCGCGGCCGCTCTGGATCCATTGGATCATGGCGTCCTGCAGGCGGTTCTCGGCAATGGCCTGCTCAATCACGCGGATGCGCTGCACCAGGTCGTTGTCGGCCTCGGCCTCGGTCCGGTTCATCTGGCTCGCGTAGGCGCCGGCGAGCGCAGTCACGTTGTTGACGGGCCCGACGTGGTCCGAGGGGGCGGCGGAGCCGTGCGGGCTGGCCATGTGCTGCGAGCCGCGCATGTACTGAGGGCTGCCGTACTGCTGGGGGTGGCTCGGGGCCTGGCTGGGCGGTTGGCTAGGCGGGAAGCTGGGCCGGTGGCTGGCCACGGTGTTAGCGTAACCATGAGATCCGATGCTGTGGGCGACACTGCCGGGGTGCGGCATGTTGACGCCGCCGGGGACGGCGCCCACGGGGAGCTCGACGGGCTGCTGCTTGAACTTGATGAACTCGGCCTGCAGCGACGAGAACTCGGCCTGCAGCGACGATTGCGAGGCCGCCATCGTCGACACCATGTCCGTCAGCCGCGTCACGTACGACAGCAGCTGGTCAATCTTGTTGTTGTCCGCGGCGTGCTGCGCCCTCATCTGCTCAAACTGGTCGTGATACTGCTGATGGATGTCCGTGGCCACGCGCTGGGCCGCCTGGGTGGCAATCGTGTTCAGCGACGGCGCCAGGCGCTGCGTCAGCGTCGACAGCACCTCCTGCTGCACGCTGGCCGACACCACGTTGCTGACTCTATCGGCAATGGCGTTGATGAAGTCGTTGGACCGGAGCGAGCGGCTGACGGCGTGCGGCAGGGCGCCCTGGATCTCCTTCTGCACCGACAGCATCATGTTGGCCTGCAGCTTGTTCAGGACCAGGTCGGCGACGGCGTGGCTGGTCTTGTCGCTGATGGTGGGAATCACCACGTCGGTAAACTGCTGGTGGATCAAAGTCTCGAGCACCTTCTGGGTGTTCTCGTTCAATATATCCGAAACCATGTCGAGGAGTTTCCGCTGGTGCTGGTTAAAGTTGTCGTCCCTGGCGCGAGCGTTGTCGTTGATCTTGCTGTGCAGGTTGTTCAGCGACGACTTGAATGCCTCCGCCATGGTCGCCCCGAGCCTCGTCTCCAGGCTGCTCATGGTCGACTCAAAGGCCTCGGCCGAGAGGCCACCGGCGCCGGCAAGGCTGCCAGGGGCAACGCCCTTGTTGGCACCAGCAGCCTCGCCCTTATGCGACGGCGCCGATCCGTTGGCGTTGAACTCGGCATCCTTGCCCTTCTTCTTACGTTGCTTGCGCTCGGGCTTCTCGCCGTGGTTCTCCTTTGATGACTGTCCAGGCGTCTCCGTCTCCTTGGCGTCGTTCTTGGGCTTCGCGGGCGTGGTGGCGGCGTTGAGTGACGGCTTCGGACGAGGAAGCGGCGGCGACCTGGGCAGACTGCGGCGGAGCAGCATCCTTGATTACCGTCCGCGTGGCAATGCGCACCGGAGTGGGAGCAGGCTGCTGCTGCTGCTGCTGCTGCTCTGAGGCGCCGTTGGCGACGTCTGTCTGCACGGGAGTCTTGAGCTTGGACACGGAGACAACACCCTCGAGGACGGCATCGACCGGGTCAAGCACCTTGTTGTCCTTGGACCACCCCAGCTCGGCCTGCTTGATCATCAGGCAAGCAACGCCCTTGGAGTGCATGGCGTACAGCTCAAACAGGGTCGGCTCGTCCGTGTCCTGCACCATGGCGGGGTTGGCCAGGATATCCAGGGAGCGGAGGATGCCGCGGTTGTCAAACGAGTATTCGCGAACGCCGCTGATGACAGCGGTACTATCGGGCTGGGGGATCGAAGGGTCCTGCGAACACAGCTTCTGGATGTACTCGGCCTGGGAAACGCTCTTGAGATTGTACTTGGGGGCCGAGAGATGCGCAAAGTAGACCGAATTCCGGGTCGGGTGACCAATGATGATCATGCCGCTGGCCGGATGATACATGACGCTGCAGACGGCGTCCGACTCCTTGCTGTGAGGCAGGTTGAACTCCTGGACGGGCTTGCCCAGGGCCAGGTCCCACAGCTGCAGGGTGTGGTTCTGCTTCATGCCGACAATCATGTACCGCAGCGCGCACCGCTTCTGGTACGGGCGCTGCTTGTCGAGGAGCAGGACCGACGTCGGCCAGGCCTTTTCGCCCTCGGGCGTGCTGGCCAGGGTCATGAGGGGCTCCTTGACCTCGAGGTTCGAGTGGGCGGGCACAGGGTTGCGAGGGTCTGAGCCCTCCTTGACGGCGGTCAGGTCGCGGACGTCCCAGAACTTGACGCGGCCCGACTTGTCGAGCGAGACAACGACGGTGTCGTCCTGGCTAAAGGTAAAGTCCTTACCAGCCTTGCCAGTGTTGATCTTGAGGGAGCATTGGCTCAGCAGCGCCTCGGTGTCGGCGACGCGGTCGTGCTCGTGTCCGGGCTTGAACAGCTTGTTCTGCAGGATGAAGGAGGGCCAGATGAAGTGAATCGACTTGCCGCGGCCGACGGCGAAGAACTCGGGGTGGTTGGTCGAGGCGCGGGCGCGCGTCTTAAGGGCACCGCCGGGGGCGTCGCCCTCCTGGGAGTTGATCGGGGGCAGGGCAAAGCCATACTGCTCCAGGTGAGGGTCTTCGAGGTGGTCCTTCTCGCCGTCCTTGATCAGGACCCAGTAGACGGTGCCGCTGATGCCGGTACCGATGATAGCTTCCCGGGCAGGGCCGTCGTAGTCGTTCGGGGTGACGGACATGGCGACGTTGAAGATGCGATCCCTGGTATCTCTAAACACCTTTGCATCTTTTCCGTCGTCCTGGCGAATGACGCGCAGGCCGCCCTGCTTGGACATGCCGTGCGTCATGTAGGTCTGAGAGGCCGTGTACAGGTTCCGGTCAATCTGGTCAAAGTCCTTCTTGAGGTGCGCAACGTCCATGATCGACTCCTCTCGAAACTGTGGTCGAGGCTCGGTGGCGTCTTCCTGGAGCGTGATGGAGATCCAAGGCTTCATGGGGAAGTTGTACACCTTGACAGAAGCCGGCTCCTTCTCCTCGATGACGACAATCTCGTCTTGGTCGGCGCTCTCCCAGCTGTCTGCGACGCCGTGGTTATCCATCTCTCTCGCCTCGGGAGCATCCTTGGAGAGGCGTTCCTCAGAGGAGCCGAAGCCGTGGTGCTCATAGCCAGACTTGATGTCCTCCATGGTGTGCTTCTCAATGGAGCGCGTAGCGTCAGAGTAGTTGGACGGCTGCACCCAGTCGCTCTCATCATGAGGCTTGACGGTGGCGCTCTCGGCATAGTTGGACACGGTCTCACGCTCGGCTCTATCCAGGGCCTCCTGAGCGTCGCGGTCGGCACGGCTGGCAAGGTCATGAACGGCCTCGGAGACAGTCTCCCTGTTCTTGTCAATGTTGACGAAGCTGCCGAAATCCGAAGTCGGAGGGGTCGGCTTCAGAGATTGTTGCGTCGAGTGGTGGGAGTGGTGAGAATGGTGAGAATGCAGCGATGAAGTACGATCCAAGCCGTGCCTGAACTGCTGAGGAGGACTCTGCAGAGGACTGCGCTCGCTGCCGCCAAAGGGATTGGAGCCGGCCGGCGAGCCCTGGTCCTTCTTCAAGATGTGAAAAGGAGGCGGGGCAGAGCCGTGGACGCTGCCGGTGCTGTGCGGCGACATCTGGTTAAGAGTGCCGGCCAGCGCCTGGTAGAGAACCGAGACATCGGGCTGGTCCTTTTGCGTCGGCGAGAAGATGGGGTTGATGCCAGGATGTCCATGCGCGTGCCCGTGGCCAGCAAACGCGTCTGCCGGCTGCTGGTAATGGGGCTGCGCTTGGTACGAGCTCGCAGCTTGCTGCTGCTGTTGTTGCTGCTGCTGCGGAATTTGCTGCTGCTGCTGCTGTTGCTGCTGCTGCGGATGATGATGTCCGTAGTAGCGACTGCTCGTCTCTGACAAAAGCTCCTGTGACTGCGGCGTGTGCTCGGCAGAGCGCGAAGTCTCGTGCAGCTGGTCTGTCTGGCTCGGCTTGGGAATGAGAAGATTGAGGAGATAGCTCGTAGAATGGGCAGGCGGCGTTCCGCTAGAAAAGGGGTTCGCGGGCTGCGCGTGAGCCTGAGGCGGCGTGGGAGCTGGCTTGGGCTCTTCCAGGTCGTGAGCACCTCTCATGAAAGCGGCGAGCAGCCCCGTGGGCTTGTCCGCCGTGGGGGCGGGCTGGTGGATGCGGGTCGAGAACTGGTTGGACTGCATCTGGAGATGTTGGAGGCGTCGGTAGCGCTGCTCGTCTTCGTCGTCGTCGTCGTCGTCGTCGTCGTCGTCGTCTTCCTCATCGTCTTGCCTCGAGGGCTGCTGCTGTTGCTGGGCCGACGGGGGCTGAGATGGATGAGCGTGAGCGTGTGCTTGCGAGGACGACTCGGCGTGCTGCTGGGCGGACGACGAGGACGGCGGGGCCTGAGGCTGCTGCTGGGCTTGAGCCTGACCGTGGTGAGCCGGAGCCTGAGATTGACCCTGACCCTGGCTCTGGCTCTGGTTCGACGGCTGCAGCGGCTCCTTGGAGGTGCCAGGGCCACCGAACTTGAGCAGGTTGAGCAGGTTGGCGGTGCGATCCGAGTTGGGCCCAATGCCGCCAGAGACGGGCGGAGTGGGCGCAGGAGGCAGATCCATGATGGAGAGGAAGCTGCGAATTGGGAGACGCGGCGAAATGCGATGCAATGCAGATGACTGCCGCTTCCGCGCTGCGCGAGAGGGCGAGGGTGGACGAAGTGGAGAGGCCCAGCCGTCGGTTGATTGATGTGGTGTTTTTGGGGGGGGGTTTCTGGAGGGGGTGAGAGGAGATGTCGATGACGGGGGGGAGATAAGGGGGGATAGATGCGAGAAGGGGAGGAAGAGGGAGGAAGGCAGAGAGAAGTGTCGGTGATATAGTCGAGGTTGTGTTGTGGGCAAAACACGGGACAGATTTTAGAGGCAAGGAAAAAAAACTCGGCCCAGTTGAGGTTGGGTAACAATTCAGTCACTGGCGCTTCCTGGGCTGCTAGCCAGCGGTAAGGCACGTTGTAGGCAGCCTCGCACGAGCTTCAGTGAGTCCGGGGGGCGCAGTTAGTGCCCGGGGTGAGGCGCACGGCGCTTGTTCGCACTGGAGCCTCCACTGAAGCTGCCCTCTGGGATCCCACCGGTTTGCGGCTCGACAGTGCGCACGGGCGATTGCCGGTTATGGGAGATGCGGGTTTGCAGGGGTTGAACAAGTCTCACCACCAAGTAGAAGAACAAAGGATCCAGTGATGAGAGCCGAATGGTAGGCAATAATAGCGGTGATGGGGCACAGCAGAAGAAGACAAGTTGCATAAACGTACGCACGCGACGCTCGCGTCAGGTCAGGCAACAAACAAACACCAGAGCTGTTTGCATCTCCCACTAGCCCGTACCCACCGCTGCCAGCGCAGACACACCCAAAGCACGTCACAGATGCCCAACCACAGCGCCCGAGAGGCTGGCCGATAAGGAGACAAGTAGACAATACGTGGGAGCCAAAGAAGTTATCAAGGCTATATCTAGGTACATTCACTACTTCAAATTATCTAAATGGTGATAAGGAAGGTTACCTTATGCAGAAGGGTACACTAGAAGAGAAAGCAACAACATGGTACTTCAACAGCCGCAGCCTCGTGTGGCGCAACCTCCAAAGTCCAGCCTCGCCTCGGTCTATGTCACGGAGTTTTTCCGTCATGCAAGTTGAACGGCCTTGTGTAATCATTTCCATCAGCCCTTCCGGCCTCATTCACTCAACCTTTGGCAACACTCCACCTCTGTGTTCTCCAGTCTTGGTGAATGAATGATTGACCAGCTGCTCATAACACAGACGTGATCCTGCGGCCTTTACTGCAAATACCCTCTTCAATCATACCGACCTTGAACATCTTACCTTACCTAACCCACCTTCTTCCCCTTCTGCTGATCATCATCCATTCCCTGTCTTACACATCTCTCTCCCTTTCAGAGGCGCAAAAACAGGGAGCCTCGGGCAATTATTTCGGCCTTGCCTTCTCGCTCCTTCGGACGTTCCCAACGTTCTACTTCCACCCCTCGCCATTGCAATACAAACTCCAGCATCTACAACACCCGAGAATCCGCAACGCCTCGCCACCTTGCTCTAGCCACTCCCGACAACCACCAAAAGAAAAAGAAAAAAGCTCTGGGAAGCTTCCAAACACCCACCAACGTCCAGCCTCAACTACACACAGTGAGCAACAATGTTTTGCCTCCGCAGGTTCGTTCCCCCCTCAAACCCCATCCAACTCCAACATCCCCCAATCACGCAGCAATCGCTAACTCCCCTCGTCCCTTTAGCTGGCTCCCGCTCCTCTTCATCCCGACAAACGCCTCGCCGGCCTTCATCTTTCTCTTCTTCATCTGCACCTACTTCCTCAACCGCCCCTGCGTCTACTGCTCCGTCCTCCTCGTCATCCTCTTCCTCACCTCGTGCAACTGGTCCGACCGCTGCTGCTTCGACCTCAGCAGCAACTGGTTCCTCCCTCGCCCGCCGACCACCACCACATCAACAACAACAACCATCCCTTCTTCCTCCAGCAGTAGCAGCAGCAGCAGCAGCGTCGCTTCACATCTACCGTTCGACCACGACCATGCGTTCAACGACACGGTCGTCGACATGCTAAACACCACCGCCAAAGCCGCCGCGCGCGCCGCCGCCGAGGAAATCGCCGTGCTGAGGAACGAGTGGACCGGCTTGGGGGTCGAGTGGCTGCGCAACCTGCTGGGCAAGCGGGAGTGGAGGATTGACTGTATGGACATCTACATCAGATTGTGACGACGCGAAGAGAGAAAAAAAGCATGTCTTAATGGGATTGTAATGAAGGCAAAAATTGCTACTAGCTCGCTTCTTTTTTTCTTGTTCTTGAACAGCGATATGGGGACTGCATATGTGGATAGCGCTTGATTATAACTAAGGTATACTGGATGTAATGTTGATACAGGCTTTCATGTCAATTGCGTTCTGGCCCTCGACTCTACTCCCTCAATGGGCGTTGGTCACTGAAGCAGGAGACACGGTATGCAAGATACCAATGAGATAAAGCATCATCTGTAAGGTAGGTAGGGAGAAACAAAGCACTCCAGATGCCGTCAGCAAAAGGCGCATAACGCAGCTCGCAGGACTTCTTCAGCAAAAGCACAAAAAGCGAGACTCATCACAATGCATAGTTCGCCCAACAGGAAGAAACAAACGATGAAAGAAAAGCGGAAATATTCTTTTTGTACTAAACAAGCCACCCGTATTATTGCTCAATCTTCAACTGTTTATCCAACAGCATCATCCCGTCCATATATTCAGAAACCCCTTCCCATCTCCAAAGCCAGAAGAAAGACAAGAGAAATGAGAGGCATAAGCTAAACTTTTCATCGCGGGCGTCTTTTATCGGGCATCCGTGTATCCAGCACTCGTTACTTACAAATTCGTGGTATCCTTCGTCCCATCATCGCTAGAGTCATGGTGATAGTTGGTAGGTAGGGGGGACGTGTCGAATAAATACTTTCAAAGAAGAAAAGAAAGGCATTAATAAACAAGCAAAAAGAGGAGAGATAGAGGAAAGAATAAAAGAAGAAAAAACCCATCAACATCTACCAGGGAAACTTGAAGCGAGTGCCCCATTCCCAGTCAGTCTGCCCCGTCGTCTGCTGCTGCTCCCCAGCGTCCTCCTCGCCCGGCAGCCCATCCAGGTAGTGAACCCCATCGGAATCCTTTGCTCCCTCAAAGCCCTCGTCGTTAGCCTCCTCCTCGCCGTCCTCGTTGGTGAACACATCATCATCGGCGTCCGGCATGTCGGTGCGCGCGACAGTGGTCCTCTCCGTCACGGTAGCCGTCAGCCACTTCTCCACCGTCTGCGGCTCCATGGCGGCGCACGGGTTCTCGCCGTCCGCCTTGGCCTGCGGCGTCAACAAGATCTCCACCACGGCAGAGGTCGGCGAGAAGGAAACGTCGCCGTCGCCCTCCACGCCCACCTCCACCTGCACAGGCTGTCCGTCCTCGCCAACGTGGTCGCTCACAACCGTCGTCGGCGTCTCAAAGTTGGAGGACTCGGTCAAGACGGGCTGCTGGAAGGTGACAATGTCGTCGTAGAACCGGTTGCTGACGCCGCCGCGGACGGCAACCGCCACGGTCAGGACGCTCAGAAGCAAAATCGCCAGGTTCCGCTTGTCGTCCAGCAGCGCCTTGAAGGCGTTGACAACCATGTCGGGAAAGCTACCGGCAGCGAAGCGGCTTCGCTGCTGCTGCTTCTTGTGCTGGCCGAAAGTATCGGTGTGGGCGAAGCCCATGGATGGCCGGCTGCTCCTGGACGCCCTGCCCGACGCCTGCCGGGACTTGCTCCTGTACGTGTCGCCGTATCCCTCGAACGAGGTCCGCGGCGTGCTTCCGTCCTGCGGCATAAATGACTCCTGGCCCATGGTCTCGTCGGCGTCGAGGTCCTCTTCCGACTCCCGCTCGTCCTCGACGTCCTGCACGCGCGACGACAGCGGGCGCCTGTCAGCCCTGCTCTTAGAGTGGATGACCCTATCCTGGCGCGCCGCAAGCCGCACGAGCTCGTCCTGGAGCTTGGCGTCCATCATGGGCTCAATCTCAATGTCGACGCGCTCCATCTCCTTCCAGCAGGCCTCCCAGGCGCCGGCCCGCAGCAGGCCGTTGCTGGCGTAGACCTTGACGCGGTAGATCTTGCCGGCGCCGAGGGCGTCGAAGCGGATCTCGCAGTGGCAGGTCGAGCACCAGTGCGTCTGCTTCTCGGGCACAGGGGCGCGGGGCGGCGCGTCTTCGTCGTAGGCGTCGGCATCGATGTCGTCGTCGTCCTCCTCCTCCTCATCGGCAAAGGGCATCTCGTTAGAAGGCCCCAGGTAGTGGCCGCACTCGAGGATGCGGGCGCGGCGCTTGAAGGGCAGCTCCAGCGCCTCGAGCAGGCGCTCCTCCATGGCCTCAAAGTCGTCCTGCGGGTGCGGCAGCAGCACGCCGCGGTCCTGGATGGTGTCGCCGATGGTGTCCTGCAGCTGGCGCCAAGCCTCGCGCAGCGTCTTGACGCCCTCGCTGAGCTCGCTCGTCTTGGCGTCGTCGAGCACGTCGCCCCAGCACCAGCGCAGCGGCAGCAGGGTGACGTGGAGGAGCACCAGGGGCGGGTCGTTCTTCTTGAAGCGCGGCGGCGTCTTCTTGGGCGAGTACTGCGCCGTCGGGTTGGGCGAGGCCGAGCCCAGGCGGGACACGGTGGGCAGGGCGCTGCGGCGGCCGGAGCGAGGCTGGGGCTGGCCGGCGGGCGACGAGGCGGCGGCGTGCTGGGCAGCCTTGCCGGCGGAGGAGGAGGCGGACCTCAGCGACGACCGCGGCGCATCGTCGTACTGCTGCTGGATGTCGGAGATGCGCGGCGAGCGCAGGCCGTCGTGGTGAGCGGCCTTGCGCGGGTCGCCCTCGGACACGGACCCCATGGAGCTGCGCGGGCTGTTGTTGTCGCTGAAGACGTCGTCGTCGTGCCCGTGGTGCGAGCTGGTGTCGGCGGCGTCTGCGTGGGACATGGTGTCGTCGTCGTCGTACTCGTGGTGGTCGTGGTCGTCGTAGCGGTAGTCTTCCATGCTCGGGTGAATTGGCGATGTCCGGGTCCTGCTGCCTCGTGCGCCGGTGGGGGGGCGGAGAGACAAGAGGATGGATGGATTGGAGGGGAGAAGAAGAAGAAGAAGAGGGGAAGCGAGAATCAAAAGCCGAGAGATGTGCTTTTTCTTCCTTCAATTATTGTGCGAGTGGAAAAGCAAGGGCTGGCTGGCGTGTTGCTTGTTGAATGTCGTATCCGCTCGCTCAGCCCAACAAACGGCCGGTATAACCACTGATAGATACTATCCAGACGGACTGATACGTATGTATGTAGATACAAGTCCACTCTCTGGAATTGAGGCGTGGAACAAGCAAAAGAGAGCAATGAACAAGATGTGAACGAGTAAGAATAAACAGGCAAAATACAGGCACAAGGGGTGAAGAGAGGACCAGAGCCCGACGGCGCGTGTGAGATGTGATGGCGGATGCTAATAAGGGCAGAGCTGCAGTGCGTGCAGATCGTGGCCTCGCGTTATTGGCCCAGCCTCCCGACAATGGTGGGCTTGTTTGGGGGTTGCCGGGCCGACGCGGGTCTTGCTGCGAAAAGGCGCTTCGACAGGAGGCTGGACTGGATACTATCAATCAATTCTCGAGGTGGATCATGTCCTATATAGAATGATGCTGTACATGTACTATGTACGAGTACTGTAGGCTTGACGCACAGAGGCGAATCTTCAGTGCGTGCCGTGCAGCAGCGTAAAAGTCAATTGAGTTTGCCGTCAAAGCTTATGTACCTTACCCCCAAATCTTGCCTTTGAAGGTACGAAACCTTCGCTTTGTGCCCAGACGCAGACGCAGACGCAGACGCAGGCACTCTTCAGCAGCAGCAGCAGCAAAAACCAATTGGTTTGTGCTTTTTCCTCCCCCTTCGTCTTTTCCTTTCCTGCCCGAAATCCAAACGAGTCGATGCCTTACATGTGCAAGTCAACAAAAGTCGCCTTCATCACCCATGTTTGCGCGCGATCCACAAATTCCGGGTTTTGGCTGGTGCTGGCCAGGGGTGCATGAAACGATGGACGAGACGCAAAGCAATGTTGGAAAGTGTGCGTCGTTGTTGTTGTTTGTTTACGTTTTGCCTGCAAACGCCTGTTGCTGATGGTTCCCCTGGAAATTGTCGTCGAATTGAACGTCACTGGATGCTCGTCGTATTTTGATGAACAGCGTTTCTCTCGCATTGATTGGTGTGCGATTTGCTCATGTATGTACAACGTGCTTCGTGTAAGCCGTAGAGTGACAAAGCAAATGCCCAGTGGCGCGAATTCTTCATCACGAGCATGACAGACTAGCCTGAACCCAGCAAGGCGAGCACGTCAACAGTTTCTTCACCGCCAGATCCCATCGACTGTCCGCTGATCCAAGTCAATGACCATCGAGAATGCAATCCGTGTTATTACTCGTATTACATGTGAAGCAGCTCTTCATCTTCTCATTCATGTACTCATCAATCAGAATCCTTCACTTCAATCAGACTGTCGTCTCTTTAGATCAAAACCTTGGCGGCCTCTCCCGCATCGCTATTCTAGATTGGGTAATCTGACAGCTTGGCGATGGGCGCTTCTCACCAGACTTGTAAACTCAAAATCTCTATGCAGATGTGACAAGTTGCCTTGGAAAGGGGATGAAGCCAAACAAGTACGGCTGTTTTTGTATTAGTGACAGCCTTGCAGGATTTGAAAGGGGCTGTGACACTCTCATAACGCACCGATCTCGTGTCTCCTTCGACTCTCGGGCCATCCAGCTCTGTCGAGTCCTGTGCAACTTGGCCGTCTTCGAGTTGGCACCGGGTCCTACTACTAGTATGACTTGCAATCTCGTCATACAAAATTTCCTTATATAACAAAGTATACCAGGTGCGAAACATTGTTCCCAAGTTGGGGTGTCACAGTGCCACTTGATCCGGGACTGAACGCCGCTTCACTAAATCGCCGTGGCTCTCACTTACATAATACTACCTCCTTTCTTATCATGAAGATGCGCGAATAGCACAACAGTCAAACATAGCAAGCTCAAAGACAAACATTAAGTATATTACGCTTCCGCTCTATGCAAACAGATCAGACAACCCAACAGCCTCTATCAGACGACAGTCTCCCTGCGACTGTCCTCCTCATGTCCATATACAACTTATATACACCATGATATACATCTCCTGCAAATTCTTTTCGACGCACGTTCCACATCCAACAGTATATACAAACATCTTCAAGCCAAATAGAGCAACAACCCATCACATCGAAACTGAGGCTCACTTGAAAAGAGAGGCAGCGTGCTCCAGCAGGTTCGTCTCGCCAAGAGTGTTCTGGGTGTACCGAGAGTTGAACTTGATCACGTCCTTGACGCGCTCGTACGTAGCCTGGTCAATCTGAAGAGGCTTGCTGCTGATGTACCAGGTGACGCCCTCTGTGCAGGGAGGAGTCGTCAGAGACCCAGAGTACCTTTTTTTTATGAGAAGAGTTAGCCAAACGGTGTCACAGGTTTTACATGCATGGGGGAAAGGTAAAGGGGCATTAGGGGGGCTTACGTGAAGATGGGGTTCGCCTTAAGATGAGCCTCGAGAGGAGCAAAGACGAGAGGGCCGGTGGTGGTGGCCGAGCCGGGCGTGGCAATCATGCCGACGGAGGCGAAGACGGCCGTCAGCAGGGGGTCGGGGAGGCCGAGCTCGATCAAGAACGAGACGACAGCCGTGGACTTGTCTGTTCACGGCGAATATCAGTATAACCGATAACACCAGATGATGGTTGAACATGGGCAACTCATATAGGGCTGCATATGAGAACCATGTCTTGAAGGGGCAAAAAAAAAAGAGTTCTCACCAGGGGCGGAAAACACAAAGTGCGTCTCCATGGGAAAGTACTCCTGCTCCAGCCGATGCTCGCTGGACGAATGGAAGTGGAACTGCGCCAGGCTGTACATCTTCTTGTCGGCCCAGAGCGTCCCGTTGACGGGCACCTCGACCGTGGTGCCCAGGTTCTCAAACTCGGCGCCAAAGGGGTACGCGTCGACGACGAACTCGACCGAGCCGCCGGCAATCTTCTTGATGGACGAGTCGATGTTGATGGGCGACTGGTGCTTGCCGGTGGCGCACAGCGCGTTGGCCGTGGCGTTGAGGCCGTGCCAGTTCAGGGGCCCGTCGAGCGCCGTGTAGCCAAAGGTGCTGATGGGGACGGCGGCGCCGGCGGAGCGTCGCGGGTTGAGGTGGGTTCCGTAGTCGCAGGCGGCCAGCGCGGGGGAGACGAGGCAGAGGGCGGCTGCGGTGAGGTGGGCGAGACGAGGCATGGCTGGGTGTTGTGTGTAAGTGGTGGTGATGAGCAGAGAGGGCGTGTGTAAGTGAGACAGACTGGGAGAGAGGCTATATATATATATATATATATATATATATATATATCTCAATATATACCACAGAAAGCGAGAAGCAAAGGAACGAGATATATAGCGAAAAGAAAAGAAAAAGACAGAAACAAGAGAACAGTCTTTTTCTTTTTTTATGCAATTCCTTTAATCAACCGTGTAAGCCAAGAACAAGGACGAGCAAGACGCAGAAAAAGAAGGCGGACTGCTGGCTCTAATTGTAGTGCCGGCAGATAGGGGACCGGAGCTTATATCTGGCTTATAATCTCGTATGCATTGACGGGGTCAGCCCTCTCTCTCCTCGAACCCCCCCGGCCGGAACCCCCTCGTGTCAGTCAGTTTAGGGCACATTTTCTTTCCGTGACTTCGGCCGTCGCCAACCAATCTCGAAGCTTGGAGCCCAGAATGGAAACAAAAGCTCGTCACCCTTTTTGCCAATGGCCCCAGGCGGCTGGGCAGCTTGGGAGACGGGGGTGTCAAGGCGCAACAAGACCCTGAACTCCTGAAAAGTCGAGTCTACGGGGTGATAGAAGAGAAAATCCCTACTAGTAGTCGGGCTGGCTTACAGCTTGTTGCCATTGCGGATTTGGCACCGCCACATCACACCACATTCCATGTCCTCGTTCAGCAGCGCCAGTTGCCGGCGCGGCTATTGGGGAACCAAGACATGGCCAGCCCAAAGTCATCTATAAAATCTCGGCATTGTGATTCCGGCAGTTATCCATTTCTCTCTGACTCTCTCTTCGTGCTCATACTCTCCTTCAAGGCTGAGTGCAGAGGCCGTCCCCCCCCCCGGGGTCCCGGACGCCCGGATTCACGGGGTTCATGTCAAAGTAGTCATCTTTGAGTAAAAGATACTTCACACACAATGAAACAATCTAGACTCCATCGGCAAGAAACGTCAAGTATGTGTGGACTCGGAGGAGCAGCTGCATGAGACAGTCGTCAAACACTTTTATTTTTAAGCTTGTCTTGCGCAGCAGATGGGATGGATCAAGCAACGTATCAGACCGAGCGCTATCAACTTTCACATCAAGTCCTTTATCAACTATGCTTGATCCTGGTACCGTGTGACGAATCTCTGTTTTGTGAGGAGATGGCATCTGTTGGAGTCGAGGATTTCTTCGTGATGTCGGCATGTACAAAATGTGGCGTCTAATTGCTTCCCCCCTTTTTCCCCGGCTTTGCGGCGGCAATAGTTGTGCCACCGCGGCGCCTGATCTAAGCCCCATGGAGAAGCGCTGAAGATTTCCATCTTTTCTTCAATGTTCTGTCTCAGCCACTAAAGACATGCGATTCTGCAGCGGCTGGCCTCCGCGTTCATTCTTCCCTTCCCGTCCCGTCCTCTTGGGGCACCTCGACTATTTTCGGCCCAGCGTCACATGGCGGGATGGGGGATGCATGGAATTGATGCCCGTTGTTTTATGTCTGTATGACTCGGCGTGTTCCAGGCTTGGGGATCTGACATGGTCCTTTCTTGGCAGGATGCTTCTTGCAATCGCCCAACTGGATTGGAATCCACGCCTTTAATGGCACGCTCGTTAACTGTGAAGCATGTGCATGTTTGTTTGAATTGGAACAGTGCAGATCTTGGCAGTGTTCCGAACCGATTCGGATGGGTTTCACAATCGGCCTCAGCTTCACCGGATGCCGCGAACTGGTCTTGGCTGCTTGGCCCTCGTACGTTGCAACGCAAGCGCCCAAGCGTGTTCAACCAATAGCACAAGCCTTGATGCCATCAAAGTTAAGGGACGTCGTCCATGAGACCCTATATCGACACCTTGAAAGTCAGACCAGGACGTGAGTACTTGTATTTGTTGACCTGCTAAACGAAGCTTATAAACAGCAATTCGGCCCTTCATATCATCATGAGATGTCGTCAGCTCTTACGAGTGCCAAGCACATGGCTGCCATCAAAATGCGTCGACCATGACCTTGAAGCGGCAAGCCTTTTGCATCTCGGCATCAACATGCCTTCCAGCACGTAATCCAGTGCCCCCAGTTTCAAGACTCTCAGTAGTCCATGCCCGCTCATCCTCACATCACTCGTTGGAACCCAGCCCCTTCACAGCTCGCAGTAAGACTGCGTGACAGTGACAATCTCGGTCGCGGTAGGAGTAGCAGCGGTGACAGTGGTGCCGTGGATGCCCCAGCAAGAGCAGGCAGATGAGTAATGAGCAACGTCGCAGGGGTCGGCATAGTTGGGAATGGCAGTAGGGGTGACGGTCACGGGAGCGGCGTTGGCAGCGACGCGCTTGGCCTTGGGAGTCACCTCGGGGTCGACGGTGATGGTGATGGTCGTGGTGCTGGATAGAATTGTTAGCAACGAGGCTGCTTATGAGTTGTTTCCCGGGGGGGCATCAATGTGTTTGTCCTGCAGAGTCCGTACGGGGAGAGCAGTCGCCCCGAATGATGGACATACCTAGCCTTGGGAGTGACGGTGGCCTGCATGAAGCTGGAGCAGTCGGACTGGCGAGAGGTAATGGGCAGGAGGCCGGGACGGGTTCCGGTGACGGCACGAGCGCAGTTGTCGGCGTTGCACCCGTTGGTTCGCTCATTGATAAGACCAGCCATGGCGGCGGCAACAAATGACAAGACAACGGCGGCCTTCATATTTGCGGCGTTTGGGCTTGTCTGGAGGAAAGACGGGTGCTGTAGTAAGATTGAGGCTGGCAACAAGGCTGACCGGCACAAAGGAACACGGGGAGGAAGAGCAATGGGACCGAACAGAGCGAGACGACAGGTCTATATAAGCAAACAAAAAGCGCCGAACCTGGAGGAGAGGAGGCGAGTGCGAGATAGAGCTGGACGGGACCGAGCTGAGCCCCAGGCCAGGCCCGCCACGTATCCCTGCGAATGCTCACGATGCGACCAGCCGAAGCGGAAGCGCATGGCCTCCCTGCCAGCTAGCAGCAGTTCCTGGGAATCAGCCTCACAAAGGGTCCTCTGCGCCTATCAGAGCTGGGGACCACGGCATGAGGCGGGCATGGCGAGCAGTTTGGTTTCTCTGACAGCTGTCATCGGTAGAGGCCACCAGCATCTGTCGTGCTCGTTGTGCCTAGTGCCGTACGGAACAAGCCTCGATGCCTACCAAACTGGAGACGCAGCCCATAACAGAGAGGAAGCGAAGCAGAAAAGGGCGCGGATGCCTCGTTCGGTGGCCGCGTTGGGGAAGCTGGAGACGATGCCGCCTCTTGCTTGCAGCCAAGCATCGGCCAGGCTATTGACAAGCTTGTGCCTGTGAGACAGACCAGGGTCCCTGTCCGTCAATGTCCATCGAGCAATCAAGAGAGAGGCACCCCCGGCTAATATTAGCTGCTACAAAAGACTGCATCAATCGAACGCTTTCCATGCTGGGAGGTAGTAGCAGTACTGTAAGTATTACGGGAGTGTATCCGCAGGATCCGTCGCTCATCAGAGAGACCGAGAGCGCGAGGCCAGCCTCTGTGCTGTCTCGTTGCCTGCCTGGTTTCACCGTTGATTGCTTCCTAGAGGCTTGATAAATGGACATCTTTTTTCCAGCTGCGGCATCCAGATCCGTGGGCCTCAGCTGAAGATCCGCGGCAAGGCGCAACGCGTGAGTCTTCCAGTTGCCCGGTTGCCGAAGCAGCACACCAGAAAGGAAGCCAGACGTCGACATCAACCATTACGGGCATGCTGATTGGTTCCGAGAACAGACACTCACACCCGCCTCGTACAGCACGGCTGGTCGGTCACTCCTAACGATCTGTGTCCGTTATCCTCGCAAAGCGGCTCAAGTCCAGGATACGGCGTCTTCTGGCATCTACTTCGTGTCTGCTTGTCTGTGTGTCGGTAAGTGTACAAAAGTCAACAGAGCAATAACCGTATACCAAGTCATTTGACAGCAGACAGAGTGCCACCATCATGGCCTCATGCAGTCATCATCAATAGGCGGCGGCGCGGACGTTAATATAGCCTGATGCAGGTTTGATGCAGGTGGAAATTGGCCGTGGCTGGCTGGAGGAGAAATCTCGCACTCTTTTGGCCGCCCCAATTTCTGCAGGCCCCGACAAGTCCGGATGCCAGAGACCGCTAAAGAGCAGCTAACAGCGCTATAGCCCGCTGTGGCCAATTTGACAGGTGGTGGAGTTCCATTGGATCCTTCGATGTCAAAAACAGGAGGTTTTACAGGCACGCTTTATGAAATGGAAGACGTGGAATGACCTCAACCAGTCCTGGCGTCAATCTGGCTCAAAGGTTTCCTTGAACTTGTCCTCACCCGTATGTTGCCGGCTGAAGAAATTGCAAAGAAGAATAGCAAAGAGGCGCACAAAGGGCCAGAATGAAAAAGTTCCCGTGCCAAGGCGCCGTTCTTGGAATCGGCCAGGGGGCACATCCCATTCGAACATCCATACAGGGACCATATCCATGCCTCTCCCGTGCAGTACGATATCCATTGACCATCCATGCTCGTAACCATGTCCAGAATGAGGTAGTCTCTCCCGCACGTGGCGGCCACGCTTGTCACCCATGGTTTTGTATCCAGACAATTCGTTCCGTCCGTGCTGTTGCCATTGACCAGTTTCTTGTGTGCCAAGAGCATCGGTTCGGCATCTCGGTCTTCAATCCGTCGCTGAGCTGAGCAGCATGTGGGCCGTGGGAGAAGAACGAAGCGGTGGTTTACTGTACCGTACCGCGTATTTGTGCGAGTGCGAGGAAAAGGAAACCCATCTCATAGACCGGCCACGGGATAACACAAGTCTGGACTGGCCCTCAAATAACATGGGACAACCTGCAGCCATTCAGGAACACTCCCTGCCAAGAATACAGTCGTTGATCCGTTCGTCCTGATACTACCTTCACCCATTGGAATTGGATCATTCTGGATTCAGCAGTCTCCCATCGAAACAGCATCTGATCTAGCATGGAAATGACCAGATTCATTAGCTGGGACTTTTTCTCGACGCCCATCTCCGGCAGCATCCGAGCCGAATCGGGCAATCCTCACGCCTATCGATCGCGGGTTCCAGCCGCTTGATTCATGTCTCGGGAACCCTTGACGGCCAAATTTGGGACACCTGGTTGTGGAAAAGACAGAACGAGAGGATAGTAAGGATACGATCTTTTTTCAATGCATTGAAAATCATATTCAATCAAAAGTTCAAAGGGGAAGAATTCATCAGGCACACCGCAAAAAAATCGCAAAAAGACAAAAAAGTAACTGCTTGACCGAGACAGGGGTCGAACCTGCAACCTCCTGATGTACTAAATCGTAGTCAGACGCTCTGCCATTGAGCCACACGGCCATTTGAATTCGATGTGTTCCGGACGTCGCTATTCACTTCAAGGATTGAAACGCAGGGACGGGGGAATCAAAAGAACCTGCGCACTCTTTCTCCTACTACCCTGCAATCGAGAGTAACTTGCGTTGAGATGAGCTATGAAGATGCGCTTCTGCTTTGTCGATTGAGATCATGTGTCGCCCTGCCTCCCTAGATATATAAGAACAGCCAAGGGAGGCCGATTTCGCTTGTGCAAGGAGTGCAACGCCAAGCGAGCCGCATCAGGCCGGCATCGAATCACCAAATTCGGACCGGGAACACATGGCAACATGAATAAATACAATACAATCATCTCACAGTTCCATCCGAACTACACCCACAACCCTCCCGCCTGAAACAAAAAGCTGAGCAAAGGAGACGAAAATAAGCTTATGACCACCTCTAACTCAATTCCCCCCTGACAACCGTTTCCTCTCGTGTGCTTTTGTTACCCTCTTTCGCGCAGTGGCAGGGAGCTGATGGTGGCACTAGTATTGAAGACTGCATGCATGCATGCATATGCAGCACTCCTTGCCTCGAGTAACAAAACAGGCAGAATGGGACGTTGATTTCTTCAGCATGGCACGCACTGGATGGAACAGTAAGTCCATGCGAAAACACCACATGGCTTCGTCCGCAGTCACTGCATGATGTGAACCTGTATCGATTCTTCCAAGTACTCCCTCAAAGTATTAACGAGATAAACACACATATTTCTGAGCAAGAGAAGCGCCCAAAAAAAACACCGGAAGGGGGGGGGGGAAAGGTGAAGGAGAGGAAATTTGCAACACAAAGTTGGAGGGTTTGCGGGAAACAGCAAAAAATTGACCGAGACAGGGGTCGAACCTGCAACCTCCTGATGTACTTAGTCGTAGTCAGACGCTCTGCCATTGAGCCACACGGCCTATTTGATGGAAGGTAGAGGCACTATTGTAGACTCTGAAGCTAGCGCCACATCCATCGGGCTGGACAAGTCGCCCATCCAAGCTTGCTGTAAGGTAGGAATGAAGGCGTCAACATGAGAATGCCGGGAGTGTGGTGTTGGTACGAAGCACTCATCTGATATATATCCGAAACTATTTCATCTGAGATATGTTCAACTCTGTGTCTGATTATGTGTGTCCGCAGTACAATATAGAATAACGCCATGGTATACGATGCTAGTAAAACAGCAGGTCCCTCCCGAGCCAAACAAAAGACATTAAAATAGGAATCTATAAGACACAATTATCTATAGCACAATCATACACTTCCATAAGTCCTCTTCGACATAGGGCAAAAGAAGTGCCCGGGCCTACCTCCTCTCACTTCCGTATAGTTGATTCCAAGCCCAGTTCGACCGGCCACATGGTCCCTGGATCCGTAGAATCCATGTGATTCCTCCTCAATTCGATAATCATCAGGAGAAGTAACCTCTGACTCCCGGAGCAAGCCTATGCTCCTCATCCATTGATAGGCGAGCGGCGGACGCGTGGCCACCCTCGGAAGGTCGGTGGGGGGGACGTCCCGCGCATTGTGTATCAGCGAGTCTGCCGCCAGAGTGGCTGCGTTTGACGTTCCAGCCAATTCTTGCGCAAGCGAGCTTGCCTCAAGCTCTGTCGACATCATGCTGAGCGGCGATGGAGAGCTGAGCTGCCTCGGTGACACATCGTTGATAGCTGTGGGCGATACGACGTCCGTATGCCTTGGATCCGGCACGACAGCGCCGCCACCGTTGGCATTCCGTGTCAGAACTTGTAGCGGAATGGCCCGAGAGCTTTCTTGCCTCCCATGCGCTCCTTGTATCAAAAGATCGCCAGCTCTTGTCGCGATAACCCCATTGCGACGCTGCCGATGACGGCGGTCCGTAGACCTGGCCTTTCGACGAGTTCGTGAGCGCCGTGTCGACGTGTTGGTCGAGTCTGTCCGTGAGCTCCTGCTGCTCAGACTCGATAAGCTCGTCTGCTTGGTTGCCGTTCTGGAACGAGACGAATTGGACTTCCGAGACATTTGCGCGGCCAGCTTATCGATGTGGCGGATCATGACACAAGCCGCCGCAATCACCAACGCGAGCAGGGCGATGGCCCCTCCGATGATGCCTCCCAGCTGAGTTGTCGAGAGACTCTCATCCCCGTCATCATCGCCGTCTGTCGCAGTCGACGAGGGCACATACTTCGGGACAGAAGTCGGCGTTGAGTCAGCTGCTTGGCTGTCATTGTCGTCATTGGTTCGACCATCCAGCCCATCCGGACAGCACCCATATCCAACAGACGACAGACATGGGTGTTGACCGGTCGGGCATGAGTAGATGGATGATGAGGCGGATGCAGTCTCGGTGCTGCTCGTTGTCGAGTAGCAGCCATCTGACGCGCACTCATAGCTTTCCGGGCAGCAGTTTCCACCCAAGCTTGCCGGACACAGCTTCATGTCGATGCCGCAGACACTGTCTTTCCGCTGCAACACAGTGGCAGGCTGTGTAATCTGTGGTGACTTGGCCATACGCTGAATGTCATCATGCCGCCTGATAGCAAGGGCATCGACGTTTAAGCCATGGATTGCCGCCAACAGGACCCAACCGTATATTGCAGACGCTGGCACAAGCATGATGACGGATGGCTGATGTTGGCCGTAGAAGATCACCTAAAGCCGGCCGACAGGTATAGGAAGGGTGATGTAATGTTGGTCATCCGTGATAAAAAATGATGGCTTAAAGGGGAGGAGAGGTATTATAGACAAGGCTGTTGGTGAAGACCGTCTCCGTTGGCGTGGTCCAGAACACAGCAAGGGATCTCGTTAGACGATTTATCTGGCCGAGAGCGCTTATTGAGTCGCGAATGGTAGTCTATGTTGGTTTTATGAAGCCAGTATGTCGATGGCCCACCAGACGCAACGAGGGGGCCGGCGACTATAAAGTCTGGCCATGATGCGACAGCTACAGACACGAGGCTGAACATCGAGGCTGTATACTATCAGACGGAATAAGCGCCCTGAGATCGCAGATCGAGTGCATTACCGCCGAATGCCCGGTGGAGATGCTGGCAGGAGCCCAGCCAACAAGCAGGCGGGCTCACGGCTTCGAGAAGATCCGCCAGTATATTCCTCAGCACAGCAGTCGAGGGTGGTTTCACTGCAGGACTCAGCACCGAGGCTGAGGTCTGCAGTGTGGCGGCAGCACCCATTTGCACTCATTCGGCCCTTGCCGCTCTCGGTCCCTGCCATTGGCTGCCCCAGAGCCGTTCGCGTGGCTCCCGGCTGATGTGCCAATCGTGGCCGCCGTCTGGTGATGTCGAGCGTCCTCCCCCCCCCCACCCTCTGGCAGTTCATCGCACAAGGCCGCCAATAATGCGACGCTGCGGGAGAGCAGCCCACTGCAGTCGAGTGTGCCAAATATAGATCATGGCCCGAAGACTCGTGCGTCAGAAGGCTTGCCTCACTGCAGCCACATCGACCGGCAGCAGAATAGGGGACGATGCGGCGGGAGGCAGGGCAACGCAATGCGAGAGCATCCCTTGTCGATGCTGTCAGACGGGAAGCTTAGAGAAGCAGTGAAGCCACATCGTTGATGATGAATGATACGTTGCTCTTACTGCCAGTACCTAGTGCATGTGCTTTGGCAGCAAGTTTTGCTCAGGGAACATTGAATGATCGTACGAGTAACTTCATCGCCTGCCTCTCCTCTCGGATAAGGCCGCATTATCTAATCGGGGCAATGATGATGCGCAGCAGCCGAGCGGGAAGGAAGCCAACAGAAGGTGCCATTTTGCCCGCTCTGGGCCGCAGCAAACGACCCGTCCGTCGGTATTGAAAGCTCTGCCCAGGCAGCAGATAATCAACAACCGACCAACAGACAGTGACAATCGTGGCGGCTGCATTGTGGAGAGGCTGCAGTGCATGACAGTTCACGACGCTGTCGGCCGACGACGAGCGGACAGGGGGGAGCAGAGCAGAAGCGACAGCAAGTGCCGGACATGTCAAAGAGATCGGCCCCCTCACGCGACAGCAGACGCCTGACAGACGCTGTGGCGAGCATAAAATAGATCTCGGCGAGAGGCCCGACCCGTCGCTGTCGATACAACCAAGGTACGGTAGGTACAGCATCCATGCATGATGACTTGACCTGGCCCGTGGCCACTCAGGCTCTGGCCTCTCTGGAGGGCAACCCGACGGGATTTGACAGACGGCATTTCGCCCATCTCCGACATTGTGTACCAATGCATCATTACTGCTGCTGCTGCGACCTTGTCGTCCGAGAAAAGGCAGAGGCTAACAGTAACTCCTGATCAGTCCGCATCCTCCATCCTCCATCCGCCATCCGTCGCATCGACGTCGCGGGCTTCGCATTCCAGGCCCTCGGCAGATTCGCTGCGAGAGAGGAAAACGTGGAGTAAATCCTCTCCACGAGCCAAACCCGCTTCCCCGCCCAGTAGGCCCATGGCTGACTCAAAAGGCTTGCGTCTCCTGGGCCAATGCCAGGGGGCCTTGGAGAGAAGAGAGGAGACGTCTGCTCGCCTGTGACCAATCATACCGGAATGGGGCATTTCTCCGTCTGTACTGCGGAGTAGAGGCCAGGACGAGGAGACCTGGCTGTATTACCCCAGGTTCGTTCTTCTCGTTCGACGCACTGGGCATCTTGAGCGGGCAGTAGGACGCCGAGAGTACACAACTGGCCCGGCTGACGGAATCGCAAGGGAATGAGAACGACGGCCATGGCTCTCGTCGAGCATTGATCATCACCGTGCCTCTCTCTCCGGGCCCCCCTCATGCAGGACAGGCTGAAATAACCATACGAGTATCCCGTCCTTGCAGACGACCCGTCCCATGCTGAAAACCACGATCTTCAACAGCGCCTGCTGGTGCCAACCCCGCATAGGGGCCTCCACCTTTTCGCCTCCAACGGGCCTAGCAACGGTCGAGGGGACCCGGTGCCTTGAGCGTGGCTTGAGCCGGTCCGTTAAGACGCATCGTGTCGTGGTGAAGAATGCGTGACGTGAGTCGGTTTGGTAACTGTTTGTGAGGCGAACAAAGTGGGACGCCCTGGGATGGGTTCGGAGAACGGCTAATCGTCCTTGTTCGTCTCCAGCCTCCAATCTGCTGACCTTTTCCTCCTCGTCTGCTTCCTTTCTCTCCATCTGCTCGTCTGCTCCTTTATCAATCCTCCGGCCCGCCATCCGCATTCGACGCCCTTCGCGCCTTGTCTTCGCCCGCGACATTATCCGCCGTGGAGGCAGCTCGTTTCGCCATCATCCTACGCGGCCCGAACATTGATTGTCTCGTCTGCAAAGCCTTCGCCAGCAAGCAGGTTTCTTTTATCTTGTTGCCGCTGAACCAACAGTGCAGGTCCAAAGCGCCAGCCGTTCCAAGGCTTCTTGAAAGCGCCCTTCCAACTCTATAGGCTTGTGTCAGTGGGTGACGGGCTCTTGAGGGCTCTTGCCACGCCATACCGTCCGCGCCGAACCTTGAGACTACCTTACCAAGCGAACCCGGACAAATCTCTCTGAAACGCCGAAGAAATGCTGCTGTATACCCGGCTTGCTCCGCCAAAGGTGCCAAAGCGCCGGTCCAGAGCCGGTAAGTTGGACCTGTGTTGCGCCGCTCACCTTGAGCGCGTTGATGAGAAAGCGAACCATACTGATCTCTGTCGCTGGATTTAAGGATGCAATTACTGGTAAGCTGTCTCTTGAGACCCTTTTACCGGCTGCTCCTATGAAGAAGATGCAAGTCGCTAACACATGACCCATATTCGCAGCAAAGAAAAGGTAATACAATCCATCCGACTGCAGACACTCTGGAGCTCTCTAACATGTGCGCCACAGAAGAAGAAGTGCGATGAAATCAGACCCATTTGCAGTCGCTGCCAGGACCATGGACAGAGCTGCATATATGAACCCATCAAACCCCGCCAGCGGCGCAGGCAGGAGTCAATCGACGACTCAGCACTGGACGACATCTCGACGGCCATCTTGGAGAATCACGCGCTACCTCGAGCCTCACAGAAACGATTATCCTTGGAGCACTGGGAAACACCGCTGTGGTGCTCCGACATGGGGCTTGACAGCAGCCTTTTAGTGGATGGGAGCATGCAGCAGCCCGCGTCGCCGGCCGAATACAACCAAGGCTTGTTGAATGAAATCTTCACCACCTGGGCCGCCAACACTATCGAGCAGGATGCTGGGCTGAGTGCCGTTGGCCTTGACTTTGTCGCGGCCACTAGCCCCGTGAAAGAGGAGGGAGAGGCTGGAAACGACGATAGCACCGACGGTCAACTCGTTTCCCTCGACGATGTGGTCACCTCAAACTCTGCCTCGCAGCCTCCGTCTCTCGCGATGATTGCTCCTGCATCGGTCGCGTCTCCTACGATCGAGGTTAGGATGCCTGCCTTTGCCGAATTCACCCAGCAAACCAACAGGCGAGCCCTGATTGCTCACTTCACCAATGTGCTGTCCCACCTCATTGTTCTGCGTGAAGATGAGGGCAACCCGTTCCAACGGCTCGTTTTACCCATGTCCCAGAAGAGCCCGGCGGTCTCGAATGCAATCTTTGCCTTGGCATGTGCCCATCTGGAGCACCGAGGTGTCCACAATAGCGAGAAGAGCGTCTACTTTCACAATCAAGCAATCCATGGGTTGACTGCTCTGCTGGCAAAGGGGTGCGATGCAAACAGGAACGAGCTATTGGCCGCCATTATCCTCTTGATTTACTACGAAGTGGTGAGTCGCTCTTGCAGTTGCTTTTGTATTCGCCGCCGTACTCTAACAATCCTGAATAGCTTGTCCAGAACGGGCGTTCAAACATTGTCGACGGTCACTTGAAGGGGGCCATGGCAGTCATGTGTAGCAGCCAAGCACTGTCTGACCCGACGGCCGTCTTCTTGGAAAGGGTGAGTCTACAGCAGACGAACTTTACCACGCCATCAGGGCTAACAGGCAACCCTCTGTGAATAGGCATTTCGATTCTACGATGTCATCGCGGCATTGTCGTTCGACTCTACGCCGCTCCTGCCTGCGCCCGAGAGCGGGAATTTCGCCATGTTCCCTCCCGTCAACTGTCGCGGTGCTACCGTCCCTGATGGAAACGTCGACACGCTGCTTGGGATGGCCACTTCCTTATGGCCCATCATCTACCGGCTCTCGACCCTCGGCGGCCTGAAACGGAAACTTGCTTTGGCTGAGCTGCAGGGCGATGAAGCAGAGACGGCGATGCTGCGAGCGGAATTCGAGATGACGGCATCCTCGGTAGAGCTTGCCCTGGAAGAGTGGGTGCTCCCGACAGACGAATCTTTGCCCAAGGATACGGAGAATCCTATCCTGGCTGGGATTTCAGCGCAAAGGCAGATGCAGAGCATCCTCAACAGCGCCATGGCTTATCGACACTCTGGATTTGTCTACCTTTACCGCAACATCTACGGCTACGACCGGCGTCATGCCGTGGTGCAGCACCATGCGCACATCAGCCTCACCCACTGTGTTGGTACGGTCAAGAATAAAGGCCCCATGGGGGCTCTGCTGTGGCCGCTCTTTGTGGCTTCCTGCGAGGCGGTTGACGAAGCCGACCGAGAGCTTTCCAGGCAGGCGTTTGCGGCGGTATGTGAACGACAGGGCATGACGAATATCGAGCGAGCAAGGTGCATCATCGAAGAGGTCTGGAGACGAGCAGACTGTGGTGAAGATGAGAATGACTTGGTTTTACATTTGGGCGAGCAGAAGAGCGATTTATGGAGAAGGGTCAGCCAAGACATGGGAGTCACAGTGGTCTTTGGGTAGGATGGTGGTCCCCAGGCTTTGATGCGCGCAGTGGGAGGAGCGATCCAGAGGTTTCGATTACCACTTATGACCGGCTGGACAGGCGTACAGGAGTCGGATGGCGATTCTTATTTTCTCGGACGAGGCGTTGGAGATACTATTAGTTGCAAGAACGGCGAAGATATCCATTGGTAGGTGGAGGACCATGATGACAATGATGCGCAGATGAGGAATTCCTGTATGAACATCGGGATAAATTTGATGAATTTGGCCCCTTGGCTTGCTGGAAGCCCATTCATTACTACATGATGAAGAGTGCTTACAAGATGGCATTTGTTGTTGACCGGGTTCTGGAAGATCGTCTCCAAGCTAAACAGGCCATTACCCACAATAATTCAGGGACGATGGTCACAAGATTGGATTTCACGATGATACGAACCGAAACTCCGAAGGATATAGTGATGTGGTCAATGGTATCCCGAATTTCCGTCCAAGGAACAAGCAACTAGGTAGCCGTGAGGAGAAAAGGGCCAGAACAACTCAAGTTGTGCCGCTAGTGGTTAGGCAGACGTATCAACGAAAGGGGTATAGAAGGCCGAGGAGTACGATTTGTATTAGTAGTTTGTGTTGGTAGTTGGTGGACGGGGATGGAATAATAGCCTGAAGACGGTATTAGTCTGGGTGGGAAGAAGCGGTGCGGTGCATTGGGGGCTGGGTAGGTAGTTGAAGCCAGGGTCCAGAGGATCTCTGTGCTGTTGAACAAAAGCTGGCAGATGTTGAAATCGTTGGAGTTGGCCGTCGAGGAGAGGCAGTGGAGTCCTGATATACGGAGTAAGGGGCAGCAGATCAGGTCCAGCCGAGTTTGCTAGTGATACCAGCTGGAGCGTGAGAACTTGGAGGGACGAGGGAGAAGGTACGTACCTCGAGGCGAGGACTGGAGAAGACGCGGGGGTTCCAGTGTATTGGCCATGCACTAACATGATGCTAAAGTGGCCCAATGGTTTCCAAGCTGGACGTTTGCTGTTTCTTGTCTATTCCAGGTCCTGCTCATCGGGGAAACTGATAGACTGAGATCAGCTTGTTCTCCTACTGCCTTGTATAAAAGGATGGAAGGAGTGAGGGCGAGATGTGAGACTGGATCAAGCCCAGTCGAGAGCATCTAGAGACTTGATGGACGATATCCGAGCCAAGCTTTATATCCTAAATTTAGCTGCATGGGGGATGCTGGGATCGAGGGGTACAAGTAGTGCGTACCTTCTTACCTTAGGCGCCTTGGATCGGAGGGGAGTCCAGGGTCAATGTCCGTATGACTTGAAGAGATTGCCCATGTCCGAATTGCATGCTTTACCAGAGAGGACTTGAATGCTCATGTTGATATTTACCCCTGGTACAGGTGAAGCACAAGTACAAGTACCTGACGTGTCTCCCATGTCTGAGCCAAAGAGACATGGCCGAAGAAGCCCTTTCCCACCTTCTAGAAACCGGTTTTGGGGAAGACAAGGCGGGTTGTACCGCGCCGTCGCAGGTACAAGGTCATGCATCGCTGCAACTGGAGCTGCAGATGGCTGCGCCTCCGAGAGGAGTAGCCGGTACCTGACGCAGGGGCGGAAGGCTCACCTTCTGCGGAGTACCGGGCACTCTGCCACCCCTTCTCTCCGTCCTGCATGGGGTAGGCGAGGCGGTACCCGGTACTCTGCCAATTACCCACAAACCGAACTGGAAGCGAATCCTGCAAAGTCGAGTGCAGTCCCGTCTGGCCAACCTCCAACCCCGTTCGGCCTCGAGCATTGAATCTTTTCGCCTGGCCACAGCCCTACGCAGTCGCTTCTTGATGCCCATGCGGTAGCTGCAGGCTGTTACTAGTAGTACTACCTTATACCGACATCGACTTGCCCTCGTCAAGAGACATTCTCTACCTACAGACACCCTGTCGATTCGCCCGCCTGCTGTGCGACCCCGAGCCTTGATTACGCACCCGCGAGAACCGACATCTTCAGCGCCATCTCGAATGGCGTAACCGTCCTTATCAGCCCTCGAGTGCCGACCAAGTCTTCGTGGCCAGCTCGCCGCCCCAGCTGCTGGCCATCTCTGCTGAGCTCGCATGCGTCTTCGTCTCTGCTCCGACTCGCCTCCGTCATGATCATGGTCATGGTCTAGCCATGACAACGCTGCTCAACAACCCGCCGGATTCGGGTCCCCCGCCACGGCAGATTCGCTTCGTACATAACCAGGGCCAGCCGCCCTCCAAGCGACGCAGGATCAATGCAGCGTATGTCCTCCTGGATCCGTGTGACGGTGTTTGTCTGTCCTGCCGCGTCAGCCTCTGGTGGCGAATGGCTGTTCCGGATAGAACAGGCTCAAGAGGGCGCGAGCATAAACGGCTGCGGTGACTATTGAAGCTGATAGATACGCTGAGCTAACCGTCTCTTGCGCGCAGATGCTTGACCTGTCGAAGACGAAAGACGAGATGCGCCGGCGAACGACCGCTGTGCTCGACATGCACTAAGAACGGCCACCAATGCTTGGGCTATCCGGAGGACAGGAAAGACGGCGAGGGCGCGCCAAGGACAGGCGACGAGGATGGAGCTTCAACGGAGGATGCCAACCAAGGCGATGACGACGCCGTGGCCAGGAAACGCGCTGCTTCGGGGCCCGCGAATCGTCCGACGTCTTCTGGAGGAGGCAACCTGCAAGCTACGCCTGCTGTCGCTGGGGCCTCCGCTTCACGACCGCCGCGGCGCAATATCAAACAGACCATCGAACTCGGCGCCGACGCCAACCCAAGCGACGCAGAGCCGCAGCAGTCGCCCGTGATGCATCAGCACCACCACAAGCACCATTACCATCACCATCATCAGGCTCATCTCTCCGTCACATCCGATGACTTGCCTAGCTCGCCCACCCTCCGCCGATCCGCCCCCAGTCGTCGCATCCCTTATTTCCGCTACTTTGGCTCCACGGCCATCGTCCCCGGATTCAAGCAAATGGTCGTCTCCGTTCGCGACCGCCGCCGTTCGACGGGAGGCTCACATTCAGGAGCCTCTCTCCATTCGACTCCCAGCGGCGCGTTAGCCAGCGGCTCGGCCATCGACAGCGACATCGTCCGCGAAGACATTCCCTCCTACGACCCCAACAACTCCGCCCCCGTCCATCCCTTGATTATCCAGCTAGTCAACACCTTCTTCATTCACGTCGGGTGCAACTATCCTTTCCTCCAGAAAGACAAGTTTCTGCGCCATGTCAAGGAGAAACGGGTCGAGCCGATACTGGTCGATGCAGTCTGCGCCATCGCGGCGCGCTTCTCAGATCACCACATCCTAACGGGCGGCAACGACAAGATGCCCCGGACCGAGAGGGGCCAGGTCTTTGCGCAGAGGGCCCGGCAGGCCACCGTCGACACCTTCCCTTGTCCTTCTGTGGGCGCAGTCCAAGCTTGCCTGCTGATGGCATACGAGGGCTTTGGAGAGAACCAGGACAGCGCGCTGTGGATGTACCTGGGCTTGGCCATTCGCATGGCAGTCGATCTTGGCCTTCAAAAGTGCGTGGGTATCCAGTATCAGGGCGAAAAGGATCCTTGGTATACCCGGCATCGAAGTCGGGTTAATGACGACGACCATGACAGCCCGGAGGCGCACAAGGTGGACGGCGTCGATGCACTCAGCCCGGAGGAACAGAAGGAGGTGGAACAGGAGCGCATGTATACGTTCTGGTCCGTCTTCATCTTGGACCGGGTCATATCTTCCGGTACTGGACGGCCGGTGACGATCCGCGACGGTGACTACGAGCTCGCCATTCCCGAGTCCAGCAACGACCTGGCTACCGGCTGGCCAAACCCCTTTCCCGTTTTCATCCAAATCATCAACCTCTATGGCCAAGTGTGCGATGTGCTGAACAATCTTCGCGATGCCCAGGACCTCACGCAGGACAAGTGGGATCAGCTGTCCGAGATGGAGCATCGGCTGACGAAAATGTACAAACACTGGGACCCGCGGCTACAGTTCAACGTCAACAATTTCAAGACGTATCTCGGCATGGGTCAAGGCACCAACTTTATCCTCCTCCACTTTTGGTTCCACGCGCTCTTCATCATCCTACATCAACCGACTCTACTTACCCCCTTTTGCGAACTGAGGAGCGAGCTTCAGCTGCTCTCTGACAGCCGTGAGCTGAGCATGAGCAGCGCCAAAACTATATGTGACATTTTGTCCTTTGCCGACTTGATAGATCCAACGAGTTTTATAGGCAATCCGTTCACAAATCAGCCCATCTATATTGCGGCGTGCGCCTTTCTCATGGAATCGAGCGCCAACAATGCCTCGGAGGGCTCGTCCAGGGAGGGATCGCCTCCCACTCAGGGGAGCCGCTCTAAGCAGCAAACAAAGCACATGAACAAGCAATCTCGGCATTCGCTTCTCGCGTCGGCCGCCAATCAAAACTATCAGCGATGCTACAATTCCCTACAGCAGATCCAGGCATACTGGGGCGGCGTAGGGTACATTCTCACCGCGCTGGATCAGAAATCAAAGGGCAAGTGGGACTGTGAGACGTATACCGTGGAGGAATACGAGAGCACCAAGCTGCCTCCTCCGCGGCCGTCGATTGGCGAGCAGCTCTCCCGGTTCGAGAAGCAGTCCTCGCCCAAGATTGCCGGCTCGCCGATCGCATGGAGTCTTTCCGGAACGGCCAATTCGCCCAACTCCAGCTTGACGCTCATGTATCAGGCTCTCAACGCCAGCAGCGGAGGCCACACCGGTTTCCCCCCTCCTGCGCCGCACACCATGGCGAGGGCTGCGAACGGTTCGTCGCCGGGGAGCATCACGTTGGACCCTATTCGACACACGATGCCGGAAGTGGGCATGTTTACGCCGACGGTTCCGCAGCCAAACATGTCCGCCATTAGGAACTCTCCTCGGCGGCCGTATGCTGCCAGCTCGATGAACGCTGCTGGTGCGAACAACTCGCGCAATCAGCATGTGATGGGATTTGAAGACATTCCAGAAGAGTCGCCGGAGACGAAGGGCCTGATGTCGACTTACACAACATCAGGCCAGGGATACGACGCATATACTACGAGTGTATCCCCGACCAGCGGCAACTCTGGCGGCATGGTCAGTTCTTCCACGGCCGTGACGAGCGCTCCCGGGGGAAACAGCACGAACTCGAATGCAAACAGCAGCAGCAGCAGCAGCAACAACAACAACAACATGTATTTCGCACAAAGCATGGCGTATCAGGCGGCCTGGGGCCCGATGACGGGCAGTAACATGGACGCCATCACGTTCGACAGCCAGGACATTGACATTGAGGCCCTGGGGCTGCAGCAGCCGGATCTGATGGGCGGGTGGCTGGAGTATCTCCCCAGTGACGTGCTGGGGCTGTTTGATGAGCATGGCGAGTCTGGGCAGGGCAGCGGCCATTAAGGACGTTTTTTGTCTGGTTTCTTGGCTTATCTTTCTTTTTCTCTTGTTCTTTGAAGTGTTGGTGTATGTGATGGATTTCTTGGGGGGAGATTGACTGTTTGGTTGGCGCTTTTTTGATATGATATGTTGGCGATGTGAAAAGGTGTTCTTTTTGGGGGGATAATATTTGGACGACGACTTACCTACCTTGTCTTGTTATATATACATAATGTCTACGGTATACGATCATGTACACGCATATAACATACAGCGATAGTACCTCCAATCAGTGCATATATATGACTACGGCCACTAGAGACATAGGGGAGATGAAAGGGCTGTGGCTGAGAAACAGATTTCACATTCATGATGTTTCCTACTACTTGTGTGTGTTGGAAAAGCGATCTGCCTTCATTTTGCAAAAAAGGGTCTATAATATCCTAACCTCGTTCGATGCTCCTATATAGACATACACGTATATGTGTGTGTGTGTGTATATGTGTGTGTGTTTGTCTTAGATCCCAACTTGGCTTTTTTGTTGAAACTTTTGTCGTCTCCCATGTTGTTGAACCTTTTGATATCCTTCAAGCCCACCCTCTCTTCCTTTCGCCCCCTTTCCCCCCCACCTTTTTCTCACGTTGCAAGGAACCCAACTCCCAAACTCCATGTTTCATTTCTTGGGCAAGTTTCCCACGTCCTATGAGCTCTTGCGCATCTGGATGGACACCTGCCTCGCGTGCTGCGCCATGACGGCATCGGCAATGGCCAGCGCGGCCATGGCCTCGACAATGGGCACGGCGCGCGGCACGACGCAGGGGTCGTGGCGGCCCTTGGCAGCAAGCACGCCCTCGCCGGAGCCGTCGTAGAGGGCGGTGGTCTGGTCCTGGCCAATGGTGGCGGGGGGCTTGAAGGCGACGCGGAAGAAGATGGGCATGCCGTTGGAGATGCCGCCCTGGATGCCGCCCGAGTGGTTCGTCTTGGTGACGAGGCGCGAGCGCGGGATACCCAGCTTGTGCTCGGCGGCGGAGACGGCCTGCTCGGGCGCGGGCGCAAAGGGGTCGTTGTGGCGGGAGCCGTTCATCTCGGCGCCGAGGAAGCCGGAGCCGACCTCGAAGCCCTTGACGGCGGGGATGGACATCATGGCGTGGCCGAGCGTGGCCTGCAGCTTGTCGAAGCAGGGCTCGCCGAGGCCAGCGGGGGCGTTGCGGATGACGCAGGTGACGGTGCCGCCGGTGCTGTCCTCCTGCGCCTTGAGCTCGGCGATGCGGGCCTCCATGCGGCGCGAGGTTTCCTCGTGCGGGCAGCGGACGGGCAGGAAGGAGTCGACGTCGGCGCGGGTGAGCGTCTGGGCGAGGCTGAGGAAGACGGGGTCGGCGCTCATGGCGTCGGCGTCGCCAAAGAGCTTGATGTTGCCGACGGAGGAGACGAAGGCGACGATCTCGACGCCGTAGGCCTCGCGCAGCCACTTCTCGGCGACGGCGCCGGCGGCGACGCGGCCGATGGTCTCGCGCGCGCTGCTGCGGCCGCCGCCGGACGAGGCCTTGATGCCGTACTTTTCCAGGTACGTCCAGTCGGCGTGGCTGGGGCGCGGGTACAGGTCGATGGTCTGGTTGCCGTAGTCCTTGGGGCGCTGGTCCTCGTTGGGGACCGTCAGCAGGATGGGCGTGCCGAGCGTCCGGCCGTCCTCGGTGCCCGAGTGGATGGTGACGCGGTCCTTTTCGTTGCGCGGCGTCGTGATGGACGACTGGCCGGGGCGGCGGCGGTTGAGCTGCGGCTGGATGTCGGCCTCGGTGAGGGCCAGGTTGGGCGGGCAGTTTTCGATGATGCACGACACGGACTTGCCGTGGGACTCGCCGGCCCTGGGAGGCCACTGTTAGCTGGGGCTCTATTTCAGAAGAAGGAGGAGGAGAAAGAAGAGTTCCTGGGGGGGGACATACGTGGTGACCTTGAAGTAGTGGCCAAAGGAAGACATGATGAATGGCTGGAGATGTGAAAGAAGCTGATAAGAGGAGATGGAGGAGGAGGATGAAAGGAAGTGAAGACGGGGCAAAAAAGGCGAGGATATCAGTCAATCAGCCTGTTTTTTTGCGTGTTGGACAGTCGAGGCGGAGGAATTGGGACCGACTGAGGGATAATATTGAAGGAATGACGGTCTGAAGAAGAAGCTCGTCTCTTCGGAGTTGCTGGTCTTCGGAGTTGCTGGACTCTGACGCTGACTGCAAATTTGGGTGATGACTGCATGTGCGGTATCAGCGATAAGCCGATTTCGGAATCGTGGTGTCTGCTCTGACCTGGGCTGCCTCTTTTTAGGCGGGGGAGGGGCATTTACTTGATGAAGGGCTACCCTGGAGCTGGACACAGGATTGGGACTTAGGAGATTTACATGAAATGATTATAATGAATCATTAGGTACTTGTTCAACTCACTCATTCAATTGAGGAGAATATCTTATCAAGACTAAGTAGTACTCGGCTGTGTAGTTGTGGTGGCTCAAGCAAAGCCTCAATCCTCAACTCCGGCCAGCTTCGGCTTGTCAACTACACGACGTCTACATCACAAACTTCACCTTTTCCTTGCATCACTCACTCACTCACCACGCCAGCCGCGCATCAACCACCATGATACCCTCAATACGCCTCCGTTAAATAAAAAATCTCTTCAACCCTCCTCCAGCCCTTCACAATGAAAGCCTCCCGCCTGCTGAGCCGTAGCACCATCCCCCGTCTACGCACCTCATCCCTCTCACCACTCTCACCACATCCATCTCCCTCCCCTCCAGCAGCCTCGCCCACCTCCCGCTTCTCAACAGACGCAGCCTCCCACCCGTCCAACCGCGTGCAAATCCACCTCTCCCGCTCCACAGACCCCCTCCTCAACCTCTCCGTCGAGCACCGCCTCCTGCAGACCACGCCCCCCGATTCCACCGTCCTCACGCTCTACATCAACGCCCCCAGCATCGTCTTCGGCCGCAACCAGAACCCATGGCTCCAGGTCAATCTCAACCGGCTCGCGCAGATTGCGCAGAACCCGTCCGCTGCCGGCTGGACTGATGCGGCGATTCAGTTGGTGCGTCGAAGGTCCGGAGGAGGTGCCGTCTTCCACGATGCAGGCAATGTCAACTTCAGTGTCATCTGCCCCCCTGAGCAGTTTGACCGCAACAAGCACGCGGAAATGGTGGTGCGCGCGCTGAAGGCGCTGTCAAGGCCGAACACGCGCGTCAACGAGAGACACGACATTGTCATGGACGTGGCATCATCAAACACAGAAAAGGCGCCGTTCAAAGTCTCGGGCTCGGCGTACAAGCTCACGCGTCTGCGATCGCTGCATCACGGCACCTGTCTCCTCCGGAGCCCCAACCTGTCCAGCATCTCCGGCCTGCTGCGGTCTCCTGCCCAGGGGTACCTCGATGCTCGCGGCGTGGACAGTGTGCGCAGTCCCGTCCGGAATGTCGACGTGGACAATGGCGAGTTCAAGGATGCGGTTGCGAGGGAGTTTGAGAGCATGTACGGAGAGGTGCAGCTGCGCGACGAGTTTGATGACGCGGCGCTCCAGGTGGAAGAGGTTCGAAAGGGATACGAGGAGCTCAAGTCGAAGAGTTGGACTTGGGGCCAGACGCCGCGGTTCACGTTTTCGACGCACCCTACGCAGGAGGATCCTCGGCCGCGGGCAGAGCTGCCCTTTGATGTAAGTGTTACGCTCGTTTCATCTGACGCTGTATTCCTAACTTTGCTGACGGGCCTTGTTCTTCAGCTAAACATGCGGCTTGTTGCCAATCACGGTGTCATTGAGGACATGGACATCAAGCACAGGAATGGCGCTACCGTTGATGGCTTGGACGCCTCTGTCTTGCATGGGACTCGAGTATGGGAGATTGAGGACTGGGCGTCGTCGCTTGCTCGAGCCGGTCTCGGGAGCAGCCTCAGCGAAGAAGCAGGCCAATGGCTGAATCATATGTTTGGCACCGAGTATACCAGGATGTAACAGCAGAGATACCTTGGAGAGTACCATTTCCGATAGAGCGTGCCCTTTCCTCCTGTAAGATCAGAAATTGCTCGTTGTGATACAAGTTCCGGCGAAAACCCCCCTTTCATGCCATGACCTGACGCCTTCACTTCTTGAACTCGACGATGGCGTTGAAGACCTTGACTGTCTCTCCCCGAGCAAGAGGCACGCCTTCCTGTCCCGTGCTTTGGCCATACCACCGGGACCAAGTCGAATCAGCCTTAGTAAAGATGATGACTTCACGCCCTTCGGCAACGAGTCTTGTCTCGTCCTTTACGTTGAACTCGTGCCATCCTTCGAGATACCTTCTCTGGCCACGCAATACGGCGGTCTCGCTCTCCTGGTCCGACATTTCCGGAATGGAACTGAGGTTCGGGGCCGGTTTCTTTTGTTCTGTGCTCAACGGTTTCGTTCTCTTATCTTGTAAGCGTTTTCAGTTGGTTATGCCGCTTACGGGGAGTTGTGTCCAGTAGTTGTAGGGTTTAAAGTCGTTGTTGGGCACCTATATGTATTCGGTGCATGATCCCTGATGCCTAAAAGCCCGGGGGCTGAGAGGAGCCGAGTCGAATCTCGGTCCGGGGGGGGGGGGGGGGGGGGGGGGGGGGGGGGGGGGGGGGGGGGGGGGGTCCAATGTCAATGTCACGCACAATATTGCCCGTTTGCCTCATAGGATATTTATCTGTTTGGCTTCAGTCAAGTTTCGGGGACCCTTTTCCGTCCTGAACTCGACGATGGCGTTGTACACTCTCACCCGATCTCCTGGATCAAGAGGCTCGCCTCCCGGCCCCGTGCCGTCGTCAATCCAAAAGGAATTCCTCCCGCTCTCAGGGTAGATGTGGATTTCACGCCCCTCGGCAACGAGCCTTGTCTGGTCCTTTACGTGGAACTCGTGCCATCCTTCAAAGTGCCTTCGCTGGCCGCGCAGTACGGCGGCCGCGGCCTCGGAATCGGTCTCGCGGTCTGGCATTCTTTTCTGAATGGAACTGAGGACGATGAGCTGAAAAAGATGTTGTGTATATCTTTATGGAGTTTAGTAAATATGATACGGAGTATCATGATACGGACGAGGTGATTGTGTTCGATACCGGACTTGAGGCGTTATTAGGCACCTATTTGCTTGCATATTCTTGATGCCCAAGAGGCTGGGGGCTGGAGAGGAGCCGCGTCGGATCTCGGGTCAAATGTCAATGTCACGTAACATGAATGCCTCCAACCTGCGCGTCAAAATAGATTGCAGCTCACCTCTGCAAAACAAATACTATGAATCAACTGCAAGAAAATGCAGGTACAAACTTCTCCGGCTCCAGGAAGACGCAGGTACAAAACCATGCCCACAATGTAATAAAATCTGCCTCCACTTGGAGATGGTCTCATGTTCTGCCTCAAACGTTGTCTTACCTTGGGTATACATACTTGTTCGGTCGCACCGTGACATTGTTTGGCTGACAACGCGCTCTTATCCGGCGTATCATCTAGAGGAATCCGTCCCTGTACCAAAAAGCACGTCGCTGAAAGTGCCGTCATTCTCAAGTAGCGAAGAGGGTGGTTGACGAGAGCGGCAGGTCAACGTACCCGTTTGCCACGATGCCTTCATAATATGGCCCTCAAGCTGCTCTCATCAATTCTAACCTTTGACATTGCCACAATCTTGTGAAAAAGGACCTTCTCTTGGCCACCGTCATTGACAAGCTATGTATCAACTGTCTATATTGGACATCAAGGCCTATTCGTCCTGAACATGGGCCAGGTCGTTTGGGTCTTCCTGCCGGTGATTGCCTCGACATTGAGCCCTCCTCTCCTATTGTGCTTTACGTCTCCTCCAACTCTTAGACACCGTAGCCATGCTCTTAAAGGGTTTCCATTTCGCTGCAAAGTCTTGCATGAAAACAGTGTCGAAATGCAGTCATTTTCCCATACACGATGGGAAGCCAAGCAGTGCCTGATTGCCCCCTTTTAGTTCATCCACAGCCATGGCTACAAAGCGAATATCTACAGAAAATTAAAGCCAGCGAGAGCGAGCTTGTCCATTACACAAAGAGGCCCCGACTCTCTGCGGCTCATACCTGATCGAATCCCCGCCTGCAAAGATTCGAACGAGCGCGTAATGCATGTAGTGGATGGGGCTGATGCTGCTTCTCCTCTGAGGGGACTGGCAGAACTATGGCATATAACTATACAGTTAGAGGGTGTTGAGACGAGTTGCGAGATGTTTGATGGGGATGAAGTGTGCATATCATGTTATAAGAGGTTGGAATCAAATTACAAGATCGTCATTGGTGTAGTGAAGGCTGCTGCCATCCATCCACCGCACATCTTTGGCTCAACTGGAGCATGCATCATGCCGCATATCGAGTTTTAACCTGAAGGGATGATGGGATCAAGCCTGACACCTACATAAACGACCTGTAATACTCTTCTCCAACGCATGGAAAGCATCGGTATAACAACCCGCGCCACAAACACCATCTCCAATCCCCAATCCTTCGTCCACCTCGACACACCCCTTATCCATCACATATCGTATATCACATACTCACGCTCTTACACTCTCACACTCACACATCTCACTATCTGCACAATAGAAACCGTCGAGTCCCCAATCCGTCGGCCATTCCACGTCGTACAACGACCGTCCCCCGTATTCGCATCCAGCATAATTCTTCCACGCGGCCCGTCATACACGGCCAGACTCATGCAACACGTGTCCATGCATGGGGATGACAAAAGCTCGCATCTTCACAAGACGCCCGCCACGTAAGAGCAAACAGGTAAAGGAGGCAGCAGCAGCAGCAGCAGTAGTGTGTTCGAGGAGGCCAACGTTGGCGTCCATTGCCCATCCATATCTCATCTATTTGACCCGACATCTACCTCTAGCTCTTCAGTAGCAGGAGCCAATGACGACTGCCTGTAACAAGTCATTATCTATAGCTGTCAACATCAGAGTGTCTCAAGTCCTTTGTGTGTGTGTAATACCGTGCACGCGGTACTGTGCCCCGACAACGCCCGTTCCGTATTACTGGTACGTCGCATATAAAGTCCGTCACGCGCCTAAAAATAGCTGCTGCCTTGGCCCAGGCAGAACGTGGTCAAGGCGACGACGTGTGCAAGAAATCAGGCTCTCTGTTGCTCTTCCCTCCAAGTGTCCAAATCTGATGGGAGAGTGGTGCTGTATTCCAAGTCACCACGGCAGTTGAACCACTAAAACGCCGCGCTCTATATGACAGTCTTTCCAAGGGGTGATGGTGTATGTGCAGAGTTCTTGATCGGCTTATTTGTGATTCGTCGCCTTGTTCTTTTCGGACATTTACTCAACAAAAGCCCATCGGGATTGCCTAGTAAGATGCGAAATTACGAATTAGCTGATCGTTCCCAAACAAAGGCACCACCATGTCGTCGAGCCGTAATCTAATAAGCTTTCGCAGTCAAAGTCGTGCCAACAGACTTACTTGCTTAGCTCCCGCCCATGGCGCCGAGAGATCTGCAGCCTCAACTGATGATGACGCCGGGCCGCTGTCTTGTGAAGGCGGGTAAGATGGCCGACGATGGTAGGGCTTGATGAATCTATGGCTGTACGGCGGCTCGTTTGAGTTTGTCGGAATCCACTCGTTCACCGCTGTGCTGAACCGGCCAGGCAGAAAGACGTTGTCGGACTCTTTGACAGTCGGCTTTCGATTCGAGCTTGTGGCTGAGTGTCCCAACAAATCGTCACTGTCCAGGTCGAATCCATGAGGAACCAAAGAGTAGAGCACATTACTATATGCAACATGATCCGAGTTGAAGACGGCCTGATTGGTGCTCGATCTGCCAGACTCGGCGGGCGTGTCATCAGCCCGTATTGATGATGACGTCGGGCCCTCGGGTCTGATCAAGGCAGCATAAGCAGCTATTCTTGGCGTGGTAGTCTGCGAAAGACTTGCCCGAGAGTGAGGGCCTACGGCTGCAGCTAGGGGGGCGTTGACGACGCTCGTGTCCGAAGTTGTGTCTAGAGGTGCCGAGCCACGGTGATGGGAGGCTGCGAGCGGCGCCTGGAGATCCGGCGAGGACTTCCTCAGAGTCACATTGGCTACGGTCCTTGTCAACGTCTTCGTTGTGGTTCTCGTCGTACTTCGTGTCGTCCTGGTTGTCGCCTTAGAATTGGCCGTGAGGGCGTTAATGCCGCTACTGAGCGTCGCGGTCTCATCCTGGCCTAGGAAAACAGCATCGTAGTACTGGCACAGCTGGGCCTCGTCCGGCCTCGGGGGCAGCGCGCCGGGCTCCGTCTCGGGCTCGGGCCTGACATTGGACTTGTTCAGCTGGAGGGCGAGGCGTTTGTGGGCCCTGCGCTTGCGCTGGGAGGCGACGAGCTGCAGGCGGCGGCGTTGGATGCGCTCCTCCGGCGTCAGGTTGAGCGAGGGCCGGCCCCGTTTCGCCATGGAGGTGATGCTGCCGCGGACGACGACGATGGTGATGTCGAGATCAAGATCGTGACCAAGCTCGTAAGCAAGATCCTAACCAAGATCGTGACCAAGATCGTGGCCGAGATCGATCAGGATTCGGACGGAGAAAGAACCATGGCAGCAGAGATGGAGTGAGCATCAAGCATGTGATGTTCCTCTTCTTTCTCACATGTTCTTCTGCTGGGCACAAGTGCCTTAAGGTATGACGAAAGTCGGGGTAGCCGGGGGTTGAAGAAGAAAAACAATGGGGACGCAAGCAAGGGACGGCGTGTGATTGGCCACGGAAATTATTCAGCGTACAAGGCATCTGTCGCCTGCAGCACAGTTATTGAGTGGCCTTGGGCACTGTGACTGGATACTGCGGGTGTCTGATTTGCAGTTGTCGCTGCTACGGTCGCATCTGCTGGAGCATCGTGGTGTCATTGCCCGCTAGAAGAGAAGCATCGAGGTCATCGCAATACGGAGTACAGTCGCATTGTGCTGGAGCCCTGCAGCCGTCTCCAAGGTGTCGTCGCCGGCGCATGGCTGCTGCTGCTGCTGCTGCTAGCAGAAGTGACTCGTCATACGGGCGTCACAGTGCGATCTTCCAATTGGCCCGCGGGCGCAGCACTTATCTCTGCCTTACCTAATTGCATCGCCTGTCCCGCCCCGACTCTCGCCATTGCCCAAGAGGCCGAGATAAGTGCAAAAGGCGCGCCGTGATTGGCCTGGCCGGCGCTGCGCTGGCTGCGAGGTTAATGGCTGGGTTTCTGGTGACGTTTCTGCTCTTGTTTGCAGCTCCACCAAAAAGTTTCAAGGCGAGAGTGCTACTCGTCAGTGCCTGTCCCAACTGGGCGGACAAAGGATTCGGTTCAGCGCTGGCAGTCTTGTCACTGTTCGTTATCTCTCCCCAACAAGGCCAGCGGTGCAGATACAGTTCAGGGCGGCCGTATAACCAGACAGCAACAACTCTGCTTGCATTCAGTGGCCAGCCATCATCATATATAATATATATAGGCCCTCATTTCAGTCACCCCTTTATCTCCAGCCGTCGATCACCACCGTCACCCTCACGTACTCGTACAGGTATCGTATGCCGATTACAGGCGCTGCTGCTAATACTGGCACACACACCACCTCGCTCGCTCCCTCACCAAGGCCAGCCCTCAGCTTATCGCCGGTACGTCGCCTCCAGGTACCTCGCCCGCCCCCGGCCGTACCTTGCGTGCCCCCCCAGGCTGCATCTGGCCCGCCCTCCAGCAATCCCTAGCCGGGATAGTACTAGGCGGTACGTCGCGGCCAAGTACTGCGCAGGCGGTGGCCAGCACACCCCCGCTCATACTCCTACTGTGTGCCGCTTCTGGGCGGCCCCATCGCGGTTGGTAGCCAATCCAACCTGCCCACTTGATTTCTGGAGCAAGACTCGATCCTCGCAACCTTCGCAAACTCCAAAGGCCTCAAAACCGTCGACCAGCGTGACAGCCGCGATTCGCTCCATCCTGCCTCGTTTCTTTTGTTCTCTGCCGCCCTCACACGCCTCGACCATCCTCCGCACTCTGCACTGCTCCGATCTCGACTTCGATCCCGCCGGTCCTGGTGCTCTGCTCGCCGACGAGCCGCTGCCCCTCGAGCCAGTTTTGCACGCGAGACGATGCTGTCCTAGCAGTCCACGCCTCGACAACCGCTGTGACCCGGCAATCTCGAGGCTTTTCCCGCTCTCGCCGCGATCCCTCTCTCTCCCTCGTCCGATCCGACCGTTCCATCGCCGTCCCTTTGTCCCGTCGCAGCGCTCCCGCTCCGCTCAGCGCCCGCCATCATGGACGGCCAGCCCCAGCCGCAGCCGAAGCCGGCGCCCTACACCCATCTGTCTCAATTGTCGTCGCTTCCCCTGCGGACCGCCAACAGCACGCCCACGACGTCTCCCGGCCTCTACAGTCCCGTTGCCAGGCACGGCCACATGCCCAACTCGTCCGTCTCGGAGAACAACTCGCCCGCCCCTATGTTTGAGAGCCCCTACCTGCACCCGCTGCAGACCCACCGAGTCCGAGAGTATGTCCTGACCAGGTTTTCTTCGTCGTCTCGAGCATCCCCGACGTGTCCACGGCATGTCTGGGCGTCAACACCAGATCTTGACCATTTGGTCTCGATCGTGCTGTTCTGCAATCATGCGTCTTACCGCTTTCACTGTCCTTCCAGAGCCATTGACTAATTTTTCTCTTCTCTTTTTGTCTAGGACCCATAAAGCTCTCATCGACTCCGATGCCAACACCGGCCGCAAATCGATCAATCAGTATGAAGTGATCGAAGAAATTGGCCGGGGCATGCATGGCAAGGTCAAGCTGGCCCGCAATACCGAGACCGGCGAAAACGTCGCCATCAAGATCATCCCGCGCTTCTCCAAGAAACGACGACTCGGCAAGGTGACGGCCATGTCTCCCCAGGACAAGACCAAGAAGGAAATTGCCATTCTCAAAAAGATCAGACACCCCAACGTCGTCGCCTTGCTCGAAGTCATTGACGACCCCGAGCTGAAGAAGATCTACATGGTGCTGGAGCACGTCGAGCTGGGCGAGATTGTGTGGCGCAAAAAGGGACTGCCCCATGTCTGCCTGTATGAGCGGAGGAGGGCCGAGCGCGAGATGCGCGGGGAGGCGCCCACCCCCGAGGAGCAGATGTACGACAAGATCCTCGAGCGCCGACACGCCGTCAAGGAGCTCAAGCGGGCCAAGATGGCTCGCAACAACAGCGGCCCCGGCGACTACTGGAGCGTCGAACACGGCGCCGCCGACGACGTGAGCACCGTCCCCTCGTGGTCCCGCATCTCCTCCAGGGAAGACTTTGCGGCTGTCGACGGCACCGTGTCCCTCCCCATCTCCCGCCGGTCCTCCATGGCCCCTTCTCACTCTTACTCCATGGCTTCGTCGCCCGGCGCAATCGGAGAAGACGATTGGCATGACGACGACCTCGTCACCCCCGGCCCCTCCCAACCGCAGCCTCCCCCCCTCTCCACCAGCGCCTTGGAGCGTGCCAATTTTGCGTCCTATGCCAACAATGACGAGACCATGAGCTTCCGCGACCGCTCCCCCAGCATGGCTGACTCCATCATCTCCCACATGTCCTCCATCGACTACAACCCCCGTGCCCACGACCCCTTTGCTGACGACTTCTCCTACGTCCCCTGCTTCACCTTTGACCAGGCGCGGTCCGCCTTTCGCGACACCGTCCTCGGTCTTGAATACCTGCACTACCAGGGCGTCGTCCACCGTGATATCAAGCCTGCTAATCTGCTCTGGAGCAAAGACCATCGCGTCAAGATCTCCGACTTTGGCGTGTCTTACTTTGGCCGTCCTATTCGTGATGGCGAGCCGGATGATCTGGTGTCCGAATCCGAGGCAAAGGACTTTGACGATGACTTGGAGCTCTCAAAGACCGTTGGCACCCCCGCCTTCTTCGCCCCGGAGCTCTGCTACACCGACCCTGATCAGGCCCAGCCCAAAGTGTCCGAGCAGATTGATGTGTGGTCCCTCGGTGTGACTCTTTACTGCCTCATCTTTGCCCGTATTCCCTTCCTCGCAGAGGACGAGTTCCAGATGTTCAGGAAGATTGCCACCGAGGAGGTGTACATTCCACGCAGGAGGCTGATGCCCGTGGACCCCTCAACCTCGCCGGCCGTGACGTCCCTCTACAAGCGCCAGAACACGCGCCCCTACCGTGACGACAATGACGTCGAATACGAAGACGTGGATAATCTCTTGTACGACCTGCTGCGCCAGATGCTCACCAAGAACCCGGAAAAGCGAATCCGCCTCAAGGATATCAAGAAGCACCCCTGGGTCCTCCAGGGACTGCCGAATCCGCGAGCATGGCTGGAGGAAACCGACCCGGCTAGGCCATCCAGTGGCCGCAAGATCCAGGTTGACGAAAGAGACCTGTCTTCTGCCGTCGTGCCTCTGACTTTTCTCGAGCGGGCCCGATCTGTTGTCAGAAAGGCCGTCGGGAGAGTCATGCACCCGTTGGTTGACCGCAGCGAGAGCCGATCACGTCGACGGGCTGCCAGCAGTGTCGCTAGCTCCGGAGGCGACAGCATGCCGAAGCCCGTCCTCCCCGCGGCCCCGGCTACGAATCCTCCTACCCCTTACATGGACAGGCGTCGCAGCATTCGCCCGGATGAGTATTTTCCTCCCGTGCCTGAGAGAAGCTCCCCTCCCAAGATGGAGCGGCACTCCTCCGACTTTGTGAGCACCCACAGCGGCGTGGAAGCTGTTGCCTACGACCCCATGGCTACCGTACTGCCGCCCCTGACCACGCCGTCGGGCGTGACTCGGGGCCGCTCTCACAGCGAGCTGGACGAGGCGGCCACGTCCAACTTTCGGGGCGATCCCAACCTCGGCTCTGGCCGCAATGGCGGAACCCTGCGGGCGAGGAACTTTGGGCAGTTTTTGCCCTTGACGCCTCACACCGTCCCGCCTACGCCTTCTTATGACAGGAACCCTCCCTACCGCCCGGAGCTACCGAGCGCCAGGTCAGAGCTCAGCTCTCTGAGAGTCGACTCTGTCCGCTCGCCCTCAAAGGACCGCGGCCTCTTTGCGAGCCCCGATAAGCGCGCCACTCCGCAAGTCGCCCTCAACACTGCCGTGGCTCCCGGCAACATTCCTGGCCTGCGAAGCACGCGCTCCATGCGCTCTGTCGACCTGGGCAGGAACAGATATAGCCACGCTCTGTCGTCGTCTCCCTTGTCATCGTCGCCGCAGTCCATCCCCACCCACTCATATCATCAGCACAGACACCTCCAGTCTGATCCCAACTTTCATCACCGGTACCAGGATCGCCCGATCACCGCCCACCGTATAGACAACGGAGGCGATAGCAAGTCTCCTCTTACTCGCACGCCTTCCACGATGAGCCCCGAGCCCACTTACCATGGGTCGTATGTCAGCGAGGATGGCTCAGCCGACATGGGGAGCCAATGGTCGCGTCTTGCCAACCAGGACTGGCAGTCCGATGCCCCGTCGCGAAGGGGCACCATGGAGATTGCCAAAACCGCGAGCACCGACTCCATGGATCATCTGGGCACGCCCCTGACAAGCCCCAGCGAGACAGCCAGCCCCGTGGCCGCCTGCCCACCAGCTAACGGCTCGTCTCAGCGGATGTTGGTTTTCCAGTCCGACCCGTCGCTGCCGGCTCTCCTCAGCGGCGCCAGCTCTGTCTCGGCGGACTTGGAGGGCGAGCTGCTGCAGAGGCCGGGGACGGTGGATCCGCAGGCCCTTTTGCAGACCAAAGACTCGCTGACGCCTCCAGCGCTCGGAAAGGAGCCCACTGGCGGCTTTCCCATTGACCAAGTCTTTGAGAACTCATCATCCATGGAAGGCGTCCCCATGCGAGTCAAGATTGACAATAGCGGCCCGACCTCGGACCCGCGTGGCGCCAGCCAGCAGCATCACAAGCAGGACGAGGACGACAACGATGATGACAGTGACGAGGGGCTTCTACTCATGGCCAAGCCTAAGAAGCGACCGCCAGTGACTACGAGACACAGGCCCTTTGAGGCTAGACGGCGGGACACCAACATTAGCAACATTAGCACGGCGAGCGATGAAACGGCTAGGAGAGTGAATATCTCTTGAATATCCCTCCAGACATGAGAGGGGAAACAGGCCTTTGCTCTTCGCGGCCGCCCAATTCCTTTCTACTTATCCTACGGCCTCTTTCTTCTTTCTAACGACAACTATTAATGGGTGTGGAGTGTCCTTGAAGCGGTAACGGTATGGATGAACCACGACGCCACGAAGAAATGGCTGCATCATCAACTTCAACATTATCATTACGGGGGAATTGGAGCTATTGGAATGGTTGGAAATTTACATCTTTTAATCACCTTGCTTGATTATTGGGGATAACAATGGCTGGATGGCGGGCGTTCTGATCATGTCTTGTTTTTATCATGATTGCATCGTGGCTTGCCGGTATCGCATGCCCTCTCGAAATATCCCGGGGACCCTGGAAACGGCTTTTATCATTCTTTTTTGTAATTTCTATACCAGCTTCTGTTTGTTCTTATAGAGGCTGGGAACTAGATTGGGTCCTTTTATGTTATGTTTGGGTCTTTTCTGTATCTCTTATTAGTTAGTCATAGGGAGCTATGGGAGCTATGGAGTTTTTCGCCTAGGGTATGTGGTTTGGGATGAATGGAACGATGCATTATACGGGATAGAATGACTCTGAAATGTCGAGGAAGTATTGCTTGTAGCCCTTATGGCATTATTGTAGCTTGAATGCGATGACTTAATTGGTGAGCTGATACTAGTCTGCAGCTGGATACAGCTGTTTCAACTCAAACTTGTGAAGCTTTGCGAGAAGTTATAATGTGCTGTTTTGTTTCGAGCTCGTATGAGAGAAGCAGGCTAGATCTGTACAGTAAAGGGCGCTTAGAGGCCAGTCACGGAGTGTGAGAAAGCTACCTATTGCAGAGTTGCGTCGTCTTTTCTTTTGGTCCGAAGCTGTAAGTTGTTCCTTGGCTTGGTATCTGCTTTCTGCGTTGTCTATTCCTCCTTTGCAGGTGTACCACCTTCCATGCTTGCTCGCCAAGTCACGACTAGGTTGGGCCGATCAGAGATATCGTCGAGTTTGACAATTTTCACGAAAAAATAACCTGGCTCGAACGGTGCGAGTTGGCGTACACGCGGATAACAAAACCTAACCAAGTTGTGAGGTATGCATGAAAAGATGGAGAATAACACTTCATTCAGGTTCCATTTCACAAGAAACAACTCCGATATAAAGACAACCTCCAATATTACGAAACCCCCTCATGATCAGGGCCTCCAAAACCGATCAGAAAAACGGGTGCCTTCACAAAACCCCCGGAATAACAGCCCACTTGCCCCGAATCTTCTCCTCCCCAAACCTCTCGGCGTACCACTTCTTGCCGTTGACGGCCCGGGGCAGCATCGAGAAGACTTCGTTGACGAGGAACGCGCGGGCGGGCGCGCAGCCCCAGCCGGCGGCCATGTAGAAGCCGAGCCACTCGATCCACTCGGAGAGGTAGTGCGGGTAGAGGACGTATCGGAAGAGTCCCGCCTGGGGAATCTGGTAGTGCTTTTCCACGCCGCCGCCGCTGCCGCCATTGGTGTTGTTGGATGATTGTTGCTGTTGTTGTTGTGCGCGGATGCGTTCCTGGCGCTTCTGTTCCCTCCTTCGAATCTCACGCAGCTCCTCGTCGTGAAAGAAGTTGGACGAGAGGCCGAGGTAGAAGATGCCGATTCCGAAGATGAACTGCGGGAGGGAGGATGAAGAGGCCCATGCTTCGGGGGTGACGGGCCCGTAGGCGGATAGCCACGAGGACAGGCAGAGGGCGTTGCAGAGCTGGAAGCCGATGGCGAGGGCCCAGACGCCGACGTGGATGGGGGACATGGAGGGCTGGAGGAGCGGGAAGAGGATGGCTCTGTAGGAGTAGTGGATGACCTTTTCTCGACGCATCAGCACATTTGATTTCCCACCTGTTTTTGATGGAAACCGGAAGGGGATGGTGTCAAGAGAATGGAGGGTTAAGAGGGGGAAGAGAGAGACGTACAAAGAGGCCGCCGAGGACTCTATTCTGCCACGGCAAGTCTTCGATCCCGACCTTTTGCGGCAGCGTATTCATCACGTAGAGCAGCGTCAGGAAGCCCGGGCTCTCCATGGTCATCCAGGCGACGCGGCCGGGGATGTTGAACGGGCTGGCGACGGAGGTTTTGCCCATGCCGTACCATTTGATGATCCACTGCATGGAGCCAATCTATTTTAGAATAGCCATTTGCTCACTTGTTAGTCCTTGGTTTTTGATTTATGCATTGCTTTTTGTTGTAAAGGGTAATCGTGAAGAGAGAGGGTGAGAGAGAGAGGGGTGATCGAGAGGTGAGAAGTGGTGAGAAAAACGTACGATGGGATACCCGATTTGCCAGCTTCGGAGCAGGATTTCGTAGGTTTCGCGCGAGGGCGGGAATATGCCTTCGAGGAGGGACGACATGGTGTACAGCAATATCCTCTCAAAACCATGTAAAGGATGAAAAGCAGCAAAGGTTAGGTTCACGCAAGGCTCATTCAAACAAAAATCTCAACTTGAGCTTGAAACCCAAACCAAGTGTTATTACCAGCCACACACAAAGTCCACAACAGCTCGATGATGTCAACAAATCAGCAATGACGAAGTAAACAAAAGCCACAGTTCTCTCATTGTATGTACATATGTATGTTATGCTCCCCCCACATTCTGCCGCATAACACCACCTGCCGAATGTCTCAGAGCGCCCCTTATAACCTGCAATAAAAGTAGCCCCGATAACTGCATGGCGTGCTGGCGCAATGGTAGCGCGTAGTCCTCCTATTGCTACCCGCAACAGGGAGATCCAGACTAAGGCTCAGGGTTCGAGTCCCTGGTACGTCGAAGCCATGGTTTCTCTTTTTTGGTCCTTTTTTTTTATATATCTATGATTCGTCTATTTCTCTTTGGCTATGATTTATGTCCTCCTAGGCTTATGCCAAGACACGCAGACATGTAGTCGTCCCTGCTGGATTCACAGATGTTATTCATACACCAACAAGGAGAGGTTGAATTTACAGAGATGTTATTGTTATACACTGGCGAAAGAGGTCTGTACTGCACATCTAACCATAAAGTAAAGGACGAATACTGGAAATGCTTCAGAAACTAGGGAAAAGAGTGTCCATACAGTCATCCACCATACAGTCATCCAGAATATGCCATAAAAATGCACGCCTGCCCATCCATAAACGCCGGTCATCGTAATGCCTCCCATAGGGTTCAAATGGCTCGCTCTCATCAATCTCGTCAATCTCGTCATTCCATCACATCACTACACAGTCTCGGTCTGATTTGTTGGACACCGCTCCAGGAGGAACCGCGGCCCTTCGACCTGCCGGGACGGGGGCACCGGGTCGGCGAGCACGCACTGCAGCAGGCGGGCCGCCGGTACTTGCACTCGACCGGGAGACCTGTCTCGATGCCACCGGGCTGCTTTCGGGATGGTTGGGATGTCCCGGCGGTGGGACGTATGCAGGAACCTGGGCGGCCTGTTCATACGAGGGCGGCGGCGGTTCGCCCGAGTTGTCGACCGGCCTGTTCACGCCCTGTCTTCTCGGTGGGACAAGGGGCCGGACTTGCTGCGAGACAGTTCCGGCATTGCCCAGGGACCGCTGGGAAGCAGAGGCAGAAGCCGCAGTCATGCCGACACTGTTGGAGCTCCGTCGCGGCGGAGCGGGAGCTTGACTGCCACCCCCAGCCGCAGCAGAGTCGCGCCGGGACCCGTTGCTGGCTGCGGCGTTGCCTCGGGCGACAGGTATCGGCAGATGGGCCTGCTCAATGTACTGCTCCGACAGCGCCCGCTCACGCTGCCGCCGCGCCTGTTCCTCCCGGTGCCTCTGGTCCTCTTCCTCCTGTAGCTGCAGCGCTAGAGCCAGGTCTCTATCCTCCTGTTCTGTCGTCGAGCTTGCTTGGCCCGCTTCCTCTGGGGGCGCAGCCTCTTTCGTCTTGCCGCGCTTCGTGACCGTCTTCCAAGAGCCACCGCCCTGGTCGTTTCGGTGGCCGCCCGCCGCGCTGCTCGATCCGGCTGCCGCATCGCCACTGACAGGTCGAAAGTCGCCCGAGAGGAACTGGTTGAGTTCGCCATTGACGTCCCGCAGGCTTTCCCAGACCACCTCGTCGTGGCTCTTGTAGCCCGCATCCGTCACGAGTGTGAGAAGCTGCCGAGTGTCTGGGTGGCAATACAGCGTGGAAAAGTGGTCGTTGCGGAAAAGAATGGCAAACGTGCCCGGCCGGATCGCCTTTTGGATCACTTCGATACCCCAGGGCGTCAGTTGAGTCGCTGATTCGTTGAGGAATATCTTGATGGTGATGATGTCCTGGTAGAGATCCTGCTCCGCTTCCGTCAGGCCCTCCTCGGACGTGGCCAGCTTGTCCTCCAACTCTTCCTCGCGGAATAGTAGGTTCTGCACGTCTTCGTAAGAGGCAGCATGCCTTTCCATGGCAAAGCGGACGGGGTCGTCATGCGGTGGCAGCCACCCGTGAATCAGCGGGATGGAAAAGGTGGCATAGAGACCCATCTCGGCCGTGTTCTCAAAGGTTCCCGGGATGTACTTGCGCCGCTCGCTCGCATCCAGTTCCGTGAGCGGCGTGCGCTCGTATGCGGCCACCATTTCTGGGGTGGGGATGAATCGCGGATTGACATTCATGCCCGTGTGGAGGCTCTGCAGGAAAGAGTACAGTTCCGACACGTCTGGCAGCGAATCCTCTGACGATGTTCTCCGCGGAGACATGAGCTCATCAAAGACGGCATCCAGCAGCAGGCTCAAGCTAACCTGCTCTCGCGATTTCAGGACCTGCACCAGCGCCGTATCGCCAATGTCATCAGGCGTCGTCAAGGTGAGTGCGTTGACCAATGCGACCAGCGGGCACGGTCCGTTCTCGTTTTGTATCAGTATGGGGGACACGCGTGGGTTGTTGGACGAGCTGGCATCGTGCCATCGGATGTTCTTGATCTGGTACGTCTCGGCTTTGCCGTCGACCGGCGGACGTGAAGGGGTCCAGCGCACGCGGCTTCCTGACTGCCGCGGTGGCAGAGGCGGCTTCTCGTCCAGTCCATCTGTCGAGGACTCTTCCTGCGGCTGTCGTGGCGGCGGGCTCGACGGGGGCTCTGCATCTATGAGGCTCCAGTCGTCCAACTGGGCCGCCTGCGCTGGGGTAAGATCGGGTACCTTGCCCTTGCCTTTGGCATCCTCCAACGGCGCCACGTCGTCCCAGACGTGCTGCTCACGGACAAGGTCATCCGGCATGGCAGCGTGCTGAGGCGGGGAGGCCGCATCGCCATGCTCGCTGTGCGAATCATCGTCCCACTCTGAGCTTTTGGAGTGCAGAGAGATGAGGTCCTCAGACCGAGAGACGGGCTCTTTCGAAGGTGGCTCTGGCGGGCTACGGGCCCAAGGGTCAGGCTCAGGATCTCCAGGGGCCACCACAATTGGCAACTCCTCCTCTCTATGTTGGGGAGTCTGTACGCTAGCGGCCGGCTGCCATGAGTTCTGGACGTTGTTTTCTTCCAGGCTCAAGCTGGACAGCGTGGCGGTTGGCGGCTGAAGAGTGATTGTAGGGGCCTGGGGGTTTGCGTCGGACGGGGCTTGCTTTCTCAGGAACGGATTCGTCTCTGCCCTCCGTACGCCCGGACGCAGGGCATCCGGTACCTGGTCAATCTCAGTCAGGCCCGACGACTGGTTTCGCGCCTCGTTCCACACGCCGTCTTCTTCTTCCGGCGAGCCGAAGCCCACTCCCGCTGCCACTGCCGCTCCTGCGCCAGGTCGCAGCGACGCCGGCACTTCTTTGCGATGGATAGAACTTGCGGTCGCGCTGGCTGGGCGCTGAGGAGCCACGTCCTCCCAGGCTCCCGCCGTCGACTCGTCTGGCCAGTCGTTCATCGCCGCGGACTGTTGCGGCCCGTGCGGAGCAGGTTCGGCGTCGCTGGCCGGCTGTTGTATATACATGCAGGTAGGTTGGAGCGAAGAGAGGATAAAGAAGCTGTATCGCGAGGCGGTCCAGCAGTGACTATGCAGCAATGAGGCCAAATGAAGCAATTAAGCAAGCAAAGATTGAGAAAACGAGGGCTGGTGGAAGCAGGTTCGAGGTGGGGAGAGCCGGGCTGGATGTCGTCACAGAGTGGGATCAGAACCAGCAGCGCATGATGGCCGAGAGGGAGAGACACCGCAGGGATTCGGCGATGGCACAGACAAAGTGAAGGCGTCTTTGATTGGGAGAGCAAAGGAGAGGCCGCCTGATAGCTGCCGTAGGAGGTGGTTGAGGGAAGGCGAGGAATCGCTCGACTGACGGCCGTCTGCAGGCAGTGACATGCGAAGCTGGGGAAGTTGGGGAAGCGTGTGGCGGTGCACCACGTTGAAGAGGATCCGAGGCGTACGTAGGCGTGCTGGTTCGGGCTTAGCGGGCGAGGGGATGACGCACGAACGGCGTTCAGCCACGCCGAGCAGGTGGCAAGGATGAGCTGCGCATTTAGTATGTACAGCAGATCCATGATAGCTTAACAATTACTAGCTAGGCAGCTCGAATTGCTTGAGTCATCTGTGTCGCGATGGATTCACGCAAAAGAGTATCGATGCAGGCTGTGATGTTGCACACTCGGGACTTTAGCTGGAGCTGATTCTGGTACGAATTGTGACTGGCATGACTGTTCCTGGCATATGATATCTGCACAGCCACACGTCCGCCAAGGCACCAGGGCAGTAATTGTGCTTAGGTAAGTAAGACACCGGAGCTGCCTTTACCTTCACATGCTTTCAACCGATCTTTGTTCACAAACAACTGCTCTCCATCACTTCACCTTTCACGGCTGATCTACCCAGTGGTATTGCATTCTACCTATTTTCGAACTGCCTTTGATCGCCAACGTTGTACAAGGCCTGAAAAGGACTCGACTCATCTGGCCTCTGTCATTGTGCCTCCCATCGGCCGACATGAATCCTGCCGACTGCACACACAAACACCGAGCCTCATCAACACGAGGCTGATACATTCCAATTATCGAGTGCTGCCTAACGGCCTCTTTGACGGACTACCTGACACAAGCCAGAAACATCTGCGGACGGACCTTCACCGCACAGGCCTCATGAAGATACCGATGCCCAAAATGAGGCTCACTCGTGTTGCCCGGCCCGGAAGGCAGCCAGCTTTTGCTTCCCTCCTGTCTCTCTCATGATGCTTTAAAAGCACCGATGTACTGCGTTCTAGTCTTCGAATCTTTGTCAAAGCAGCATGTTACAACCGTGAAACTGGTAGACAGAGAAAAACTGCTTCTTCCTGCTGAGCATTGCCGTTCTCTCCCATCTTCAAAATGGAGGCGTACAATGGACTTGTATCATTTCTTCCAGACTCCAAGCTCCTGCTTAACGCATCACACATGGGACTCAGCGAACTTGACAGACTACCGACGGCTGAACGCATCATTCGAGCCACCTTGATAGACTCGAATGATGGGCGTCGCATCTTGGCACATCCCTCCGTCCTCAACATATACGCAAATGGATGCAGAGACGGGGCAGGGGGCATCAATTGCACCAAGGCTTGTGCAGACCACGACTTGCTTTTCCAGGACTGGCAGACGCAGTGGAACTGCTTGACCCTGGCGACCATGGCGACGTACGAGCCGTACCCCCACGACTACAACAACTTGGACACCGCTGGCGATACGGCTCAGATCTTAGATTACCTGGCCGTTCCAGACCTGGCCAAGTTTGACTCCGTTGACGTCTTCAAGAGTTTCCATGCCTGTGCGAACGGGAGCGCGGATTTGGGCGGAGATCTTGACCACCTCGCCGGGCCACCTGACGTGTCGCAGCCTGACCACGCGTCCATGCGCCACCCTCCAGACATTCATGCTTGGGGCTTAGAGCTATCTCAGCTGTGTGACGTGAGCTATGTCGAGAATTTCAAGGTAGATCCGGATCTTGCTGGTCCAGGGGTAAGTCGTATCGAGTCGCCATTCGTGATCGATGCTCTTCACCTCGGCCTTCTACTGACCATCGTGTCCAGGTGGTGTTGGCATATATAATGGCCCATGCCATCGTCTTTTACGCTTGGCTGTGTATCCGCCTTCTTCATATTGCGAGCAGCATTGACTGGTTTGCGACGTTGACCCGATATAAAGGCAGGGTTTACTCGTTGATCAGATTCCAGCGCTCTCGCTGGGCCAAGCGCCTCGACTACTCCACCAGTACGTTCATCGTCGAGCTGCAGGAAGCTCAGTGCTTCTTCATCTCTGCCGTTCAGATTGGTCTGCTATACGCTGCCTCTCGGCCGGCTATGGCACCAAATGACAATTGGCAAAGTTTCCTAACCAATCGTTTGCTCATGAGAGACCTCACGATTATCGCTGTACTGCCGCTCCTCCTGAACCAAGTAACTCTCTATAAATTGCAACTGGGTTCTTATTACTCGCTGCTACTATGCACCCTTGCATTGATCATGTCATTCGTGACCACCCGGGCTTCCATTTTGGCGGGACTGGACATTGACGCCATCTGCTACTGGACCTGGTCGTACCGCTCGAAACCCTGCGGCCGCAAATCCGAGGTAACAGCCTTCTGCCGCTTCCGCTACTACGACGGCGCAAGGATCGACCAGCCGGAATTCCTCATGGGCATTGCTGCGACAACGCTGGGTCTCATGTGGTTCAAGAAGCTGTGGGCAGAGTTTGCAGGGACTCTATGGCTGAGGAACTATGCACAAGAGGTCTCAAGGAAGGGAACCTTGCTGCTGTTACAGATGATTCAACTCGGGCGACTTTTGGCATCCGTATTCATCTTTGTTTCAGAAGTCATCTTCATCCGATACATGGTGTTGAATCTCACCAGTCTGTTTTTCTTGCTGGATTACATTTCTGGCTTCCTTTTGGCCCCCGTGTCCTGGTCCGTTGGCCAGATCGTTTCGGTTCTGGTTTGGGCACCTGCCATCTCGAGATACGTCTACTTACTCATATGTAAGTTTTCTCTCGCCTCTTGCATGTCTCAAGCGCGCTGTGTGCCTCTCGATCAATGCTGACGAGCTTTTGTGCTACACTAGTCGGCGTCGAGAGAAGCTTTGCCATCAGGCTTTCCCAAGCTTTTGCTGTTATCAGAACGCCTGACAAAGTGAAAGCGGGCGATTCGCAGGAGGGAATGGACGAGCACGATGGCTCTGCACCAGGGCCTGCTGTCGAATTAACAGCTGCCTTGTTCATGGCTACTGAAATGAGAGATTCGCGACCGCCCTGAAGAGAAGTCCCCAATAATAAAACTTAGGATGTTGTCCTTGAAGAAGATGTGGTAGATTTGTTATTGTAGTGGTTATGACTATATATATACTGCGAGGCTGAAAGGGGGGATGTCGTGTTGAAGACTTGTCGATTCACACATAGCGCGACTTCTTGCTTCATTCTCATCCGCCCACATGATTCGAAACTACCCAAGTAGATATGTTGAAATGTCTATGCATATCGCATTCTTCGCTCCAACAGTGTTTAAAACGCCAACACATTGAGAGACTTCTGTTGAACCACACTCTCCGATCCCGTCCATTCTAACGCGATTCCAAGATGCCGAAAAAAAACTCACAACGCTCACCTGCCATGTGCGAAGAATGGCTCTATACGCCCAACCTCTCGCTGGCCAACTTTGCGCCCTGGACACGGGCCGAGATCTTCTGAAAGGCAATGTCTCTGGCGAAATCCGGGCTGCCGTGGCTGGGCTTCTCGTCGATGGAGAAGGGGGAGAAGCCTATTCGAACACAAACCCAATCCAATGTTAGTTAACCGTCCCCAAACAAATCGGGGGTTGGAAACTGATGGGATGGGAATTTTTCGTACCGCAGTCATCCGTTGCGCCGAGCTGGTCGACGGGAATGTATTTGCTTGCGAGGACCAGCTGGTCGGCGACTTGCTCGGGGGTCTCGACGGCGGGATTGAGCGTGTTGATGACTCCGATGAAGGCGACCTGAATATTACACAACGTTTGAGCACACAAAATCTTCACTGAGAGACATATGAGGATAAGCGATAAGATACCTGCTTGACGCCGTTGGCATCTTTCCGGATATGCTGTGCAATGGACTCATATACAGCCTCGCGGTTCTTCTCCGAAGAGAGCTGGATCAAGAAGTAGCCGGCGTTGATCTTGAACAAGGTAGGGAGCAGTTTGTGGTAGTCCACGTCTAGGGAGTGCACGGAGTCGCAGTCGCCGCCGGGGCAGGTGTGCAGGCCGATGTTGGCGCGCTGGTAGGGGGTGAAGCGCTCGAGGACTCTGTGAATTGTGTTAGTGGGACTTTGAGCGTTTACTTTGCTCGTTGGAGGGTTGGAGTTGTAGGGGCTTCGTACTGGTTGATGAGGAGGACGAAGCGTTCGAGGAGGTCGGCGTTTGTCCAGGGGTTCTTGGGGTCGTGCTTGAGGGCGAGGCGGCCTGTTTCACGGTGTGAATTGTCAGAGATGGAGATTGCTTGTGGATATCTTATGAAGGCTTGTGATACCTTCAGTGAAGTCGATGGAGACGCGCTTGGCGCCTGCTTCGAAGCATCCCCGGATGTCCTTCTCGCACTACACATCGGGTCAGCAACTACACAAATGCCCCAGTTAAAGATCCATTAGATAAGCTTACTTCATCGATCAAGTCCTTGATGAACTCGTTCCGCGGATATCCTTCGAGCTCGCCCTGCAGGGGATACAGCAGGTACATCATGCTCGGCGCGATGACGGCCTGCTTCATTGGGTGGGAGGCATAAGGCTTGGACTTTTGCAGGTTCTGCCACGCATACGTTGCGTACCTTGATGTATCATGTTTAGAAACGCGTGGAATTTGTCAAGTGAATTGTTTATGAGACTGAAGAAGGGGGTTTGAAAGGGGGGACGCACTTGAAAGGTCCTTTGACAAGGCGTGGAAGCTGGCGGTGGTGGCCATCTTCGAATATCGCCTGCAAGTTTTCGCAAAGTTTTCAGCTATAGCTTCTCTTACAAGGAGTTTTCCTTCGTTGCATGACTTACAAAGAATTGGCCATCAGCAGCAAAGTTGCTTGGTAAACCCGCGCCTTTCAAAGTCCTATATGCAACACACCCGTCAGAAAAAACAAGGCCCTTCTGTGAGCGGGTATTGTCGTTGATGGAATGAAAGCACTCACTCCACAATCGGATACGTTGCGAAACTAAAATCTCATCTCACATCAGTAAAACCCTCCGATGCAGACTGGAATATTAAAAAAATATCCATTGGATGAACTTACGAACTGGCACGCTGCTCACCGTCCGTCACAAAGGTCTCTCCCGCGGCTTCCATTCTCTGGACGGAGTCCTGGGCGGCCTTGTCCTGGGCTGCGACGAGCTCATCGTGGGTGATTTTGCCGGCGTCGTAGTCGGCGTAGGCTTGTTGCAGGTCTTTTTTTTTCTCCCTCTTGGTTAGTGCTTGAGTTCAATTGGGTTGAGTTACGGTTTGGAGTGAAGTTGTCTTACACGTTGGGCGAGGCAGAGAGCCTACTACTTCGGTTGGGATAGGCATTTTGTTTTCAAGAGTTGGCTTGATGTCCCAAAAAGAAACGGATATTCTTATGTGAAGTTGAAAAAGTGGGAGTCGGTAATAAATAGAAAAGAAGTTAACAGGAGAGAAAGGCTCAAAAAACTCCGACCCTCATAAACCCCGAAGAGAGAAAGTTGACAACCCAGCCAAACCCCGCATCAGCAGCGTCAGATCTTGGCCGGAGTGGGAATAATAAAAATCTCAAAGGATTGCGCGTGCATAGTAGGGATCCATATTGTGGCTCAGGATACGTTAGATTAGTTATGGGTCAGATGTATGAGTTTTGTCGTTAATTGGTGACACTAGAGGGCTCTGTTGTGGGAAAGCCTGGGATGAGGGACTTGGGACTTGCGCTGGGGAGAGATAAGTTCATGCGCTACTTGAAGGGGGTTTGAGTTCTATCTATCTAGGTGACGGGAGATCTTCAGCTGGAGGCTCTAGCCGGATTGAATAACTCGTAGAGTTCCAGATTGAAGAGGTGGTGGTTGTGAGGCAGTCTGGGTCATGGACTATCCGCAACTTCAGCTGGTGACAGTAGTCCGGGGCCGGTGACATGCCGGCTTGCTGCTTTCTCAGCCAATGAAGCATCATCCTAAACGCCTTGATTACCTCTACGTGGGCTATTAAATGCGAATTAGCGCGTACTTCTGTTGCTCAGTAAGGGATTCAGTTGCATATATAGTGTAAATTTACGAAGCCCTTCTGCTGTTGTGCTGTTGGGGTTGTTGACTCGAATACTTCAATCATCAAGTGTTCAACTACCTTACATATATAAGAATCAGAACTACTGTGCCTACCCCTTCACAGGAACTCCGAACGCTGTTCAACATCCAGTATCCAATACTGTACCTTAGTATAACACGACAACAATTGGCTTCACATGCTAGTCTACTATCCCAACAGAATAACGAGAGAGCAACCAAACTAAACAATCCTAAACATTCCACCGCACCACCCACTCTCGCATCTGTGCTACCCTCGTAGGCTTAATCACACACAAAAGCTCCCGCGCATACGCCGCCGCCGTGGCCGCCGCATAATAATGCCAGTCATCGTTCTTATGCATGTCCGAGTAATCGCAGATGCCCCGAATCACAAGGCACGGAAAGTCGTTCATGAGGCCGGCGGCCTCCATCTCGAAACAGAGCACGTTCAGCTCCGGATCGTGAGCGTACGTGTCCCGCTGGACAGCGTCCTTCATGACAGAGTTTGAAGAGGCAATTGTGCCGTAAAAGACCTCGATGGCTCTGGCAGAGGCGGCGCGAGGCTGGCGGTCCACGACGCCGTCTGGATCGCAATCCGCGCAGGTTTTGCCGCCCGAGTGCTTGCTTTCTGTGCGGAAGAGACGGTCCAGGTCCGGTCGATGAAAGCGAGGGTCGTCATCGAATCTCCTCAGGTGCTCGTCGACGCCTCCGTACTTGCCGGGGTAGTTGTGCCTTCGCTTGACCTCTGGCAGCGCCCCGAGCAGTTCCGTCGGAGGAGCATTCAGATGGCCAACCCGCTGGAACTCTCCATCCACCCGCTTCCCCAGATCAAACTGGACAACCCCCCCGAGCGTCCCGTTGGGTACGCTGACGACGACGTCTCCGAGTCGGATGTCGTGCTCTGAGGTTGGTGCGCCGCCTCCTATGCCGACCATCAACCCGAAGCGAAGCCGGGGAAAGGAGCGCCTCATGTCCTGCGCGACGCGGGCGGCCGAGCTGGTCCCGTAGCGGCCGGACGGGAGGCATCCGATGACGATGCGGTGCTCGCCAATGCGGCCGAAGCAGTACGTGTTGCTGTCGTCTGGTTCGGCCAGATCGGGGCCCTCGAGTTCTTCGTCAAGCATTACACATGCGGCTTCGTATTCCTCTAAAAGGGCGCAGATCCATCCTATAGTGAAGGATTCCCGAGGGAGCATGATATTTGATGACCAGTCTATTCGAACTGTCTCGTTATAAAAAAGGAGGCTCCAGGAGACGAAGTAATGACTTCTGGGGATACCACTGTCTTGTCATCTTGCGAGTATAGGAGCTTTACACAGCGTCTTATATGCACAATCACAACCGCCTGCATCAGTTTGTTCGAGTCCCCATCATCAACAAGGTGTCCAGTTCCCACATCATGGGGGTGTAGCTGGAGAACACCCGATTCGGCTGATGCAGGTGAAGCGGGTGGGAATTCGATGGCTCGGCTGGCGCTTAATTCAGAGACATCCTTCAGCACGATATCCGGCGCTTATACGCCCAATGTCCATTGCAGCGCCGTGTAAGTCTGTGGAGTACGTCCTGTTTCATGCCATCCTGTGGATTGTGAGCCTATAGGTTCAGGTATTGCCGTGGCACCTCATAGTTGAGCACTCCGTATGACTGGCGGGTTTGCTGGTGTACAGGCAAGGAAATATAGACCCTCTTGGCGATTAGAGGTTAGCGACACCTTCTAGTACCTTATACCAACGAGTCATGTAAGCATCACGACATAAAGCTCGAAGACGAACACGAAGCTCGGAAAGGTAGTGGAGCAACTGGATTTCGGTGTCCCAAGGCGCTTAAGACAGGCGGGCGGATTCTTGCTATTGTACAAGATGCGAGATCGTGAGGCTTCCCAACCAGCACAAACAGGCGTCACTGGACTAAATAGACGATATTACGAGGCATCGCCTCCAACATCTTGTCATGCTCACCCCCCCAGCCCCCATCCGCCGTATACGCCAGTCCCACCCTCCGAAAGACCAAATCCGAAGGATCTATACGCGACAGATCGGGCTCAGAACCCTCTGCTTTCGCCTTGTGTCCCACCGGCTCCAGCACCAGCGCGGCAAACACCACCTTTTCCTTCACCGTCGTCTTGATCGGCAAGCGTTTAAAGCTCGCCATGGGAAGACAATACAGCGATTCAGTAATCACAGTATTCATGCTATCCGGGTAAAACACAAGCGGCGGCATCTTTTTCATTGCAGACTCAGCGCTCTCGTCTCCATCTTTAGGTGGCAGCGCGAGGATTCTTCTCTGCTGAATCGCTCTCCCGACGGCACTTTCCTGGAAGACCTCGGCCGACATGGCGCCCAGAAAGTAAGTGTACTCTGAATACTCGGTATCCTTAATTGTAAACGAAAACGGCGCCGCCGCAAGCTGCGTCTTCCAGAGAGGACCTGCGAGGACAATGGCCGAGGGGGGCACTTCTGTGTACATGTCGTCCTTGACCCATTCCCTTGGTTTATCGTGATCGTCGGGGAGTTTGGGGACGTTGTGTGCGCCGCGTATGGATGCTACCAGGGAATACTGGTTTAGCACTTCGTCGTTGGAAAATGGGTAGACAATTGGGCACTCGGGGAATGCCCAGCTCCATGATATTGGAACAGCGGGCTCAGGGAGATTTTTTCTCCGAGCGTCTTTAAAGTAGGCGAGCCGCCACAGCAGATCCAGGGCTGTTTCGGCTTGAGACTTCCAGTCTCCCGTAGCTTGACTGTCTTTCAGCTCGTCGTACCAGATCCCTGCAAAGTAGTTTTTGCCGCCCATTCTTGCGTTGAAGTTCTTCGCAAGGCCAGCTATCGCAAACAAAGTATCGCTGCGATATGTGTAGTCAAGTCGAGAATATGCCTCCACCACGAGCCTCCATGCCTGTCGCAGTTGCTTGTGAGATGGGTTATCGCCCAGCGTCTGGTGCATGTCTCGTCTGCTGGTTGCAGAGGATAGCGGAATGTGGATATCGTCGCCCCAGTCTCTCATGAGGTTACGGCTTTGTGTTTCGAGCTCGTCGAGGCCGCATTCGCATTTGTGGTGGGTGGTGCATTGCCATGAGAGCTCGTCGGGTCCGAAAATGAGGAGGCGGCGTGATAAGAGGCGCTCTTGGAAGACCCACGCTCTCTTCCAGACGGGCATGTTGTCATCTGTGACCATAAAGGTGGGATGATAAAGTGTGTGTCGGTAGTGCAAATCGTGGTCGTTGCCGTGCGCGTCTCGGACTGAGACACGCTTTGAGGCACTCCTCGAAGAAGAATCCTGGAAGAGTCTTTTATCTGTGTGAAGCCCGTGACTCTCGACCAGGGTAATGGATGAGTTGGAATAGATGTCGCTCATTTTGAGCGAGTGTTTCTTCCAGTCGCTCTTGGAGTCTTGTATGATGCACAAGCTGTCGATCCATATATACCGTATCTCCTCGCCGTACTCTTGTTGATGCCATTTCGAAAACTTTCTCAAGAACGTAATCGAATCTTGGTATGTAGGCGAGAGATAGTCCCACGGTACTTCGTCGCACAAAGAAGCAATGTTCTGCTTCAGAGCCCGCGTAGTATCCGTTCCCCAACGATGGCTCAGACAAGCATATCTCGCCTTTGTACCATTTGTGTGTACCACCTTGACACCGGATGCAATACCTGCAGCAGCAATGTCGAGAACCCGCTCGGGCATCTCTGGTGCCTCTCCGACTGCACAGTTCGTATGTGTATCATGACATTCACGGAACCAGGTGGTGGTTTTCTGGAAGGTTTCATCAGATGCCGTGTTGCCGGATGGGACTGTTCGTTCAAAAATGGTAAGTCCACGATCTGGGAACCAAGGCTGTCTCCAAGGCGATGGGAGCTCTAAAGAGTTGTTTGTCAGATCCTTTCACCAAATCATTCAGCATCGTCTCTGTACCTGTCTTAACAAAACTCTCCACAGCCCACGCACGCGCCGGCACTTCGCCAGCACTCATGTGTCCGATCCGAAGGCACTGAGATGCCGAGCTTCCTCCCGTAGCCACAAATCCTATTCCGAGGTCGAGCATCAATTCTTTCCGGGCTGCATACTCCGGACTCGTCTCCATCATAAAGTCATGAAGGCCGCGCCGAAGAGTCACGCAAGGCGGAGTCTGGCCCTCAGTATTGCGATGTGAGGGACAAGGCTGCTCAAACCAGTACTTGAATGGAATTGATTTGTTCTTGATGAGCTCGGCCTTGACGAAAGCTTGCGCCTCTTCGAGTTCGTTGGTGTTGTCAAAGCTTGGCTGTTGTCCGTCGAGGAGGTCGTAGACCCTTGTCTCGACTGCTTCGTGGTCGATAGGCATTGTGTAAATGACCTCGATTTTCTTGTCGTGCTTATGCTTCATTGTCTCCGAGTTGGTGAGTAATTTCATGGAAGCGCGTATCTCGCTGTTTGCTGAGCTGCTCTGGGCTGCATCAGAAGTTGAGCTTTCAGAAGGATATCTCGCAACATCGATTTGTTCGCCTATTGGGCTAGGCGGCCTGGGATTGGGAGTTTCTGAAGCATCTTCTTCAACAGTAGCACGAAACGCAGTCTGCGTGAAGCCAAAGTCAAAGCAGATGGGGCACACCAGGTCAACCTGTTTCGACATCGTTGCAGAACTCGTGAGCCGAGGAACGCCTTGTTGAAGACCTGAACGGATTATATGGTTCCTTGGGAACCGTGTCCTCAATTTGTCAGGATATCTCTTGAGGAGGAGCATCTTATATTTGCCGTTGCAACAATCAGGCAGACTGGTGCTCTGCCTCGCCCCGCTTCCTTCTGCTCTATTCCTGGCATTTAGGAGTTAGCGGCATGAGACGGGATCGTCGTAAGGCATCACTAATCAGCCTGTTGCATAATTAGGATGGTTGCGAAGGCTCATACCTTCTCCAATTCTTTCATGTAGAGCATACTTGCAGTGTCACACAGCAGGTTTCTGTCAATAGTTGCGAAGGATTCAGCGTCTGCAAGTGGGTGGAAGTGGCTTGGTTGGATGGCATGTGCCACCAGGATTTGCGAGACGGATCCTGGCATCGCTTCCGTGAGTCTCCTCGAGAGTTGTCGCAATTGCAATCACCTCTAAACAGGGATCAACTGACTGCGGCTTGTTGGACTCCGAGTGGTGAAGGCGAATGTCTGGAATCCGTTTTTTCGGCCTGCGCGTCTGGCCAGGCAGATATGGCTTCACTTTGATCATGCAGTCCTGCTATGAATGCACCAGATGCCGATCAAGTCATGTCGTCGCCGCTCTTCGGACAAGTCATGCTATTCACGTCAGTGAATACCGACAACCCTTCATCCATCTGTCATTGCATGTTGTGCTGAATTGGTCGCGAATGCCAAGATGAGCGACGTAGTCGGTATCGTGCTCTTGGTGGCGAGCTCGTGAAACAATGATGGAGGTTGACATGCCTCAACGGATGCTGGTCCTCTGGTAGTTTCTGGTTGTGTGTGCAACATTCACCGTTACGATCGTGTCCTTCTTCACAGCCGGCTCCGCGTATCGAATCGAGAACATGGCCATGTCGGCCACTTGCTTCGGGAGAAGTGTTCCATGCAGATTCCATCAGCAACTAGGATATAGGCCCTCACCTAGCTTATTAATTACCGCTGGATGTGATGATGCCGTGGCAAAGATGAGCTGGATTGATTCCGGAAGCTGCTCACCGGTACCGATGCGTACCACAGCCCTTCGACGAGTGTCAAATCTTTAGGCGGCACCGTTGAAAGCGTAATGGATACGGTCGGATTACCCGTGGGACCAGCTGCTGTGGAATCGCAAAGCCCTTGTCGTTGCCTCGTTACTTTTCTGTCAAGCCTTCTCGAGGTGCGACTTTCGAGATCGCTGGTGAATCTGGGGTTGAAGAAGAGAAGAGCGAGGCGCGTGGAAGAGGCGGGGCAATTGCCCGTATATGATACCTTGGCAACGCTCCTATGCGCGGGCAAAATCTTGCTTTCAATTTCAGAGAAGCAAAGTTCTGAAGTGAAATAACGAAAGGATAAAAAGCTCTCTGAGAAATTGTTCTCAACAGACCAGAGTTCACGACTCTTTGCTTTCTGAGAAAGAATTGTCTAGTCTTGATGGAATGACGTGGGGAGGTGCATTGAAGACGTCCGATACTCGGGAGAAAGCAGCGGCCTATCGCTTTCACGGAAGCTCTTTCGCACGCGACGTTACGACTCAGCCTTGAAGATTCTAGAGGTATTTGAATGCACAGTTTTGCAGCTAACCAATCGAAATTGAATATGCATTTTCCTCAGGATCACCCCTCGCTACCAAGCGCTGACACTGATGAAGCTGATTCCTTGTCAACATCAGGAGCATACCTAACCTGCAATAGCCTTCAAAATGGCAAAGCTGCCCGAATCCAACTTCAAGGTATTACATTCATAGAGTCTGATATGCTCGTGCTTAGTGATGAAAATTGGAAACATTTCCGGGAATGGTTATGCGGGTAATCGTAGGAGGATGCTACTCAATCTGCCGGCTTTGGGGGTTTTACAAATGAATCGAGCTCCTGTCAAACGTACCTTTATAAGCCCGCAATCTTTGGTTGGAAGAACAATTCAAGCAAAGCTCACGTTTTGTGTAACAATTCAAACGTTATGGCAATCTTTTTTGATGGTAGGCTCCTATGTGGCATTGTCAAATAGCTGCTGGTGACACAGCTGATCAAACCACTCTGCCACTTATACCGCAGCGATGTGACCAGCTTGGAGTTCTTTGGCCATAGCTCCTTACGTAGGTGATTGCGTTCGCCCCGCGGTGATTACACTATGTCGCAAAGTAAAAAGAAAAGAAAAAGAAGAAAAAGAAGAGGTCCAGAAGGTATCATGGACGCCGTATGTCTGCTGATGAAGCGTAATCTGTGAACATGAACAATGTTTTCCAAGTCTGAAGCTGATTGACACTTCCGAGTGTGAGTGATTGGAGCACCCTGCACTCGTTTAGTGCTACGATGGCAGCGGGGACTTGTAGATGCTCCAAAGGTAGTATCTGCATATGAAAGGAGAGACAAGATGCCGTCAGGTAGGTTTTGAAGCAATCTTTGACAGACATGACACTCATGGAGCAAAGAGACATGGCTGCTGCCCATATGTTCATCATTCTCCCCTCTTTACCTTATGTTCTGTTGGTCCGGCACACGACCGGCTGCATTGGGATGTAACTGTACCAACGATTTGCTATTCAGACCACCGACGCTTCTGCAAAGTATTTTTTCATATCTGACAGCTCCGAAGACCTTCTCTCTCTCCCAATTTTTGATATTGACAAAGAACTTTTCTCTCAATGACCAAAAGTCTCAATTTCGTCGTTCCATGCGCCTCATCGCTGATGCTTGTAGTAGTACCTACTTGGTACTACGGCGGTCCACTTCCGGGACAAGCCCCGTGTAAGCGTCTTGTCCCGTTTCGGCAACTCCCTCCTTCCCTCCCCTCTTGCCCTCTACGATGATTATGTAACAAGCCCCAAGCTAACGGGAGGGCTTGATGACTAAATCCCTCTGTCCATTTCTCCCCATCTTGTCCCACTCACAACTTCATCTCTTTCACCCTCGCTTTTTGCAAGCTTTTCCTCCACGACAGACACTCGACCACGGCGCCCCCTCGGCTGTGTGGTGCACGAAATCATGCCAGTCAGATCTGCCGAGTCTCATCAGCTTCTTCATATGTCCAAGATGCCGCGTCCTCCGCCTGCCGACTTGTCCTCCGGTCCTCTCTCGCTGCATCTCAGCTGGTCTTTCCAAGAATGTCTCTCCGAGCCTCAACGCAACGACGATATGGCTTCACCGATCGATCAGCGATAGCATAGCTGTTTAGCAGCCCGCAAAGGTGTATACGGACATCAGAAGACATGCACATCGCACTGCTGGTGCGTGGTCGAGCGGCGATGCGGATATTCCGGAGTGGACGGGGCCGTGTATAAGTCGGCAGGCGACGACCATGTTGCGGCTTTTGTGCACTCAGCTGCTCTCTTTTGGCTTACTACGAAAGCGAGAATCAAGTGACTCTCGCTCGTTGGTCGTTGCAATCGATGCAACAGTTACTGTTGTGCAATATGTTCGCCGACACCTGGGCTGGAGCGGCTCTACCAAAGTTGGTAGATGAGGATTGAGGGATTTACGTGTTGTGTGGACACGTTGTATCGCGATGCTCAAAGGTGGGGATGGCGCACTAGCATCACCGACAAAAGTCTCTGCGCACGAGTTGGCCACCACATACGATATCAAACGGGCCTCAGCTTGATACAGGGACGAGATATTGGCCCGCGCAAGATCCTCAGAGCCTCTGCAGCCCTTTCTACGCCTCCTTCCGCCGCTGAAACGGGAGGAGGCCTCGCAGCTGGCAGCAGACTTGCGCACGGCCCTTTATAGTCAGGGTTTTCTCTACCTGCCATCGGGGGAGAGGGGCGCCGCGGCATGGTGCAGCGGTCGGGTCAAACTCTCCCCCATGTGGAACGAAGGCCAACAACCGAATCGACGACATCCCGAGTTCGAATCCCGACGACGACGACCGAAAACGACGACAACGAGCCGGACCAGGGGGAGCAGGGGCGCCGTGGTGCAGCGGTCGGGTCAAACTGTTCTTCTGGAGGATGGGTTACTAACAAACAGAGAGAGATGTAGGTGCCAGATTCAACATCTGGCACCGAACTCTTTTGCCATTTTGATGCTCTTTTTTTAGTGTTTTTGCTCTTGCAAAGATGCGCCGCGTGAACGAGAGACGAGGATCGGTTCTACCTCTTTTTTTCCGTTTTCTTTTCTTCCTTCCTTTTTTTTTTCTCCTTATTGTCCTCAATCTCACTCCTTTTCCCTGCTGCAAAGAATGAACTGGCAAAGAAAGAAAACTTTCACAAAAGTTTGGGGCCTGGAGGCTTGCTATCATGATGATTTTGAAGCTGGAGGGACAGGCAGTGCCTGGAGTTTTCACCTCTGCCCCCCGCGCAGCAGTTTCAATTCGAAAGAAAACAGAAAAAAACAATGGAAGAATGAGCGAAAAGAAAAGAAAAGAAAAAATGAGAAGAAAAGGAACAGTCAGAAAAAAAGAAGAGGAAAAAAACTTTGAGCAAAATGAATAGCAGAAGGTAGAAATATACTTAATAAATGAAAGATACTGCATGTTCCTTGCGTTCCTCTGCAGCTTACCTTCGCGCAAACACAGGCTTTCCCTCCGAACAGGGACAAGAAACTCAGCGTACACGCACTTCTTTCGTCGCTTCACTCTCCTTTTACCCCTTTTACTAGCTCCAGATCTTTTCCCTCTATGATCTGGCACCATTATCAGTCGATTTGATATATTTCCAAGGGCCATAAAAAAATCAGAAACCTGCCGTTTCTGTGCCGCGATTCTCGACCTTGTGTCGAAGCAAGATACTGCTGGCCAAACGCTGGCAGGCGCAAACGTGAAAGCTGAGTCATCAAGACGCTGGTTGTTTTCGTGTTCCTCCTCTCCCAGCACTTGCATTATCATCTTCAACGTGTTTTCACCAGAACTGTGAGAATCCTATCCTCCCGTTTCTTTACTTTGGTTGTGGCAGCTCATTCTGTGTGAACTTCGAAGTGACGCGATGGTGACATTTCCGGGACTGTTTCTTCATCTAAGATGCAAGGCCAGCTTGTTTTTGTATTTCCTTGCGGCGCAGAAATTGCGTTTGTACTTGACCATGACCAAACGCGACAGAACAGGCTGAATATCTCCCGAGTCGATTCCCCAGGTTGAACCGCCGGGGCTGGTTGAGGATCCCCTTTCACAGCAGACACTATCCGAACGCTTCGGACGCCTCAAGGAGGTGCTGAGTCTTTTCTTCTTCTTTTTAGAGTTGGTCAAGATGATACATGGTATTAAGTATATGCGCAATCCACAGGAAGCCATCGAAAGCTCGCGAAGACGTCAAGGCCTGAGGATCTGCCACGAGGTATGGGCCACGACCCGTCCAGAATTCGATCTCTTTCTCGTTACATATGCTTCGCCGGCCGATGTGCTGAGGCATGACCTGACGGGCTAAAGATATGTCCAGCGGGGGACCGAAGAAATCTGCGATTCGCACTTGTCCGAAAGCCTTGCGACATCTTTGGAGCTGCTGCTCTGAGAATGTGAGTTTCCTTGCCAGCTCAAGGCTCCTTGGGATTATTCCACAAGTAGCTGACGAGTCACGAAGTTTGAACGCACAGTATACCGGACGAGATATACGAATACGCTTCCACCAGACTGCAGTCACCGGAAAAGTCCAAAATCTATCGGACACGAACCGACGATCGCGCATAGTGGCACCCTGTTCAACTGGTTCAGCGGCGTGGTAAGGCGCGTTGGACCACAACATTAGTCCGCCTGTATCTCGGGATGGGTCTCTCGGACATCGTTGTGGATTATCATAACCCCGGGTCCCTCATTTGTCTACCTTCCAGATTTTCAACGCTGTCACCTTTACAGGTACGGTCCTCATGGATCAGCGGAATTTGCCTGGTACACCAGCAGACCACCCGCCCCATCGCACTTGATACTGGAATCCTGATCCTTTGGACTCCGAGTCGCTTGCCGACATGTTGACTTTGCGAAGACCGGCCTATACATATACATGCTCCAGCCTACGCATGCGGCTCTTGGTCCAGGTCGCAGAGGGGTTGATTCAAGCCCGCCTTGAGGAGAAGTTCGAATGATGAGCAGTGTCTGCCCCCAGGCCGTCCCTGGACACTGGTCTAGATGGCGGAGGGCCTCTATCAGGCATCCGCAGAGAAGAGTCTCGTCTGGAGGGCTATCCCCATCACAGAGCTGGAAAACAACCTCGTCAAAGCCACTGCCCTGGAGAATATAGGTCAATGATATTTGTGTTGTCAAAAAAAGGAAGCGTGATGGTTACGACGCGGCCTGACGAAATGCAGACCATGATAATTAGGACGCAATGGCGATGCTAAAAGCGACCCTGACAGCTCACTGAACGACAGAGATTCGACAAGTCGTCATAAGCGCTTTCTGAGGAGGAATGGTCTCTTGATGTCGAAGGAGTTTTTGATGATTTCGGGCTTGTTCAGCAAAGCTTGTATCTTGTCTCTCCTCCGCCACGACAAGAATAATGGCTACATGTAGCTGTCCCGTGTGTTGGAAACCCTATGACAATGTGGAGAACTCACAGGAACATACAGAGCATACATGGCCCGCGACACTCGATATTTCGTCCTGGAAGCCCTGCGCATGCTCACCACATACAATGGAAATCCTATGGCCCAATAGATTCAAATGGTTGCCCCTGAGGGCGTGGTCTTGCGCGAAGTCCTGGAGGTGGTGTTCCAGACGAGGACTAACACGGGAAGAGATAACGAAGGCTTTCTTAGAAGGAATTGGGATAGGGAAATGGGATTACGGTGGTTTTCTGGGAAGGAAGAATGAGATTATGGTATTACCTGGGAAGTGAGCATGGGATTATAGAATTTGGACTGGGAGACGCCTGGGGGTCGCATTCTTTTCTCCCCTCCGTACATGAAAGGGGCGGAAGGCTCGGAGGGGGAGGGTAGCTCTTCCTGATCACAGCTCTGTTGCTGGGGACCCGGCCTTTTTCTCTTTACGCACACACACGCTAGTTATATATGTCAACAAACTCGTGTCTTGATCCAGCTTTTCCACACGGTGACCATCAGATCTTTCTAGTAACCGGGCCACTACGAGCTTCTTCTCTGGCAATGCCGGTGCCGCCGAGGATCGGAACATCAATTTCCATCGTCCTTTTGCCAGCGTCTACTTACAGCTTATGATGCAGGCTAGGATGACGGAGGCTGCCAGCCAGCGCGGAGACGAAAAGGTTGGCAATGGAGAAGGTGGGTTGTACAACGTTATGAGGTGTGTTCTTTAGCAATTTAACTGCCTCGAGTCCTCGACACATCCAACAACCACTCAGTCGTCATCTCGCCAACCAGTGCCGCCTCCGGACAGCCACCATCCAGCACCACCCATCACCAACCACCCTTGTTGACGCCGGACGCCGTGCCCCCGAGGCGCTGGCCGCCCCCACGCCTCTCGTTCGACGTTGAGCGCCGACGACCGTCGTCAAGTCGCCTATCTCTGCTTCCCATCACCGAGAAATTGATACCGACTGAGTCGGGGTTGTGGGCTTCGCGATAGCGTCCAACCTTCGTCAAGTCGCAGTCTATGTTGACAGCTGGCTTAATATGGATAGATGCGTCAGCTGGGTTTATTGTCTCCTCCAGGCCATAGCGACGACACCCCCATTCAGTTGGATTTTCACATAGCATAACGCTCCTGCCGGGGGAAGAAAATTGCGGGACGATTGGAACAGGGGTCCCCTTGAGTTCCATGACTCCGTCATCTAGGTCTGGCACCTCAAGACTCGGAAGTCCTCTCAGGCCCTTTTTTGCCTTTGCTCACTACCGAGAGGAATGATTCCACTCTGCCTATATGCACTTTATTCCTTAGAGACTTGAGCTGGGCCTGGTGCTTTGTGGGTAGGAGCTTGACGAAGCTGGGGTAAAGGCGCTGTTTGGCGTCAAGTGTCTAGGCATGATGCCTCGCGACAATGGATGATCAGGGTCAACTCCAATTCCACTGGATGCCATACCATTCTCGCAAGCCCCGCAAGAATATCGCACCCCCGTATCAAGACTCATAGAAGCATTCGCAGAAATCCAGGCCATTAAAGAGGGATAATCGCTGACGCCAGAAGGGATTCATTCCGAGGACTGGACTCTGGACACACTTTCGAGGTTCTTTTTCTTTTGAGATTCGTTCCGAGAACTTAACCCTGGACACACTTTCGAGGTATTTTCCTTCTAAGCAAAGACGGTGCAGAGAATATGAAGAGGGCACTTGAAGTAGCCTGAACACACTGCCAATTTGAGGGAATACCAAAGCCCGAGAGACGCGACGGAGGCGACACCTTTCGTGGAAACATTGGGTCCTTGCCGGAAATGGGTCAAGACTTGCTCTGAGATTTTTAAGCCAAATAAAAATACATATCGACGGTTGTCTGTGTCAGGACGCAACCCACCCATTGTGTACTGCCTAGTCCATGTGATACGCAAGCGCGGTCGCCCCAAGACGTTGAGGAAAAGCTCGGTTTCAGCTCTATCTAAGGAGTTACGATACAATGTCCGTCCTCCTGCAGTACATCTTCTTGAAGATAGTCTTTAGTAAGCAAACAAGAATCTGGGAAGCCAATGGCCCTTGATGAAGTCCCACTGTTCCCGCATGCTTCATGACCAGCAGAACAAGTCGTTGATGTATATCAGCAGTGCCGTCCAATCGCCAGGGCTCAGGAAGGCTGGCAAAGATGGGCTCAGAGCAAGATCCTAGGAGACTTCAGAGGCAGTACCTATTCTTCTAGCGCCTTCTCCTGGTCATACCATGGGCCGTGTGGACTTCTGTTGCTGTGTGCCAGCCTGCAGCATCTGAGAGAGTTCCTGTCGCGTGTCGTTCTTTACTTACGACAAAAGCTTGTTAGCAATATTTGGGAGACTGGGACTGCTCGGAGGCTTTTGAGACTACTTTTGCTATACTCCCCTTGTACCCTTTTTCTATTTCCCTTCGTTTCCCCGTTTTCTGTCTTCGTCTGTCTTGCCGAGCATATACTTTCCCGAGCCTCGAACCACAGGTTTCTATATAAGATCGTCGTGGACAGCCACTCGGTCAGTTTGTGTCGTAATGAAGAGGACTTTAGTTAGGCCGTACAATTTATGTATACCACGATCAGTTGACAGGGAAGTGCATGTCTTTATTACATATTCTCTGATCGCCAGTGAGGCGACCCTACGACCATTGTACAGACCAGGACTCTTTGCGGTCGTGTTGTCGACATAAAGAAGCCCCATGTCCGCGTTGAACTTCTAAAATAACTTGGTCGAATCTTTAAGACTGTGAATCAAGAGCCCATGGGGACTCTGAAAGCATAGTTTACGAAGAAGTGAAAGGAAGTGATCGGTCTATTACTAGAAAGTCAATCGCTCACTGCCGGTCAGGTCATATAGAAGGTCTTGTCATAAGTCATATCCAACCAGATCAACCCCCGTGGCTTGTCACGTAGGCACTGGCATGTCATGTTTAAGCAGTTTCAAACTGCTCCCTGCCAAACTTGCCCACCAAATCCATCCTCAATTCGTTCTTCGCCACAATCTCATCCTTGCGAGCCACCAGCTCTTCGACATCCCAATTCGCCGATATGACCCTCCCGCCGAGGAATCCAGACCTTGCTGGATCCGCGGCGATCCACACACACAGCCCGCCCGTCAGCGTGGGGGAGTCGAGGTCAAAGTCGAGAAAGTCCTTGTTCATGTCCGTGTCCACGAGACCCGGATGGATGCTCACGACGTTGAGCGTGTCCCCGTAGGCCGCATGAAGATGGGTGCACCACTGCTGGCTGGCGAGCTTGCTGACGCTGTAGGGGGCTATGATGGGATACACGAGCCAGGCGCCTGAGGTGCTGATGTTGATGATTGTTGCGGGAGTGGTTGGAGTTGGAAGGGCGGAGATGAAGTATTTGGATACGATGAAGAAGCCCTTGACATTGATTTCCTAGAGAAGAGAGACTCGTTAACCCGATAATCAATTGTCAGTTCTTGGACGTAGGGGAATAACGTACAAAATTAAGCCACCATTCGTCGACACTGGCTTCATGGAGCGTCGGACCGCCTTTGTTCGTGGCCACGTTCACCCCGGCATTGTTCACGAGAATGTCTGCGTGTCGGCCATATCGCGCCTTGATCTTGTCGAAGAGCGATGCCACAGCAGCTTCGCTTGTGATATCTAGCGCAACAAGTAGAGTCTCGACGGCTGGATTGATGCGGTGGACTTCCTTCTCGACGTCTTGTAGCTTTGCCTCGTCGCGCGCAACGAGAACCAGGCCGTGGGGGCCTGCCTTGGCGAGAGATGGCACGATGCCCTGTGCACGGCAATCTAGTCAGCCTTCTTATACTCCCTTGACAGCTGAGGATGACAAACTCGGGCCCCAATACCGCGGCTTGCTCCCGTCACGATGGCAATCCTGCCAGCCAGAGAGTTGGTAGGCTTGGATGGGTCGATAGCCGGATAGACATCCTGGAATACATTCTTGGTGTACTGCAGGGAGGCAACAAAGTAATCTTTAGGAAGGCTCGCCATGGCTTCAATGATAGGCTTTGTTCGAGTCTGTAAGTTGCACTGTTGATGAGCATATCTAACGCCTCTCCAGTTTCTCTTATAATACTCCATCAAGGTGATCGGGTTTATCGTACCACTTTAGTCATGTATGTAATTATTTACAAGCAGCTGCGGAGAATTCCCCGCGATATTCCGCTGTCCAAACACTTTCACCTTGCAGACATATCCACTCACATATTTTCTTGTATATCTGATCAACACAGCATGTATTACTCCATCGTCGGTTAATCGGCTGACGCCACAGCACACTGGCGTCGCTATGCTTCTGCAGGGTTACATTTCTTGGGATGAAGTCGGTCAAATACGCCTGTTGTAGATGTCAATACCACTGCGGACGAATTCATTAGCCATCCATTCGGCATACTCGCCGAGGGGTTCGGCTTATTACAACGAATCTCCGGAGTAGCGGTCTCCCTTTCTTGACTGGGCAAATGGTCTATAGTTACAGCGTGAACAGCACCAAATTTCATTTAAATTTAGGAAGCTGTCAGAAATCATGACCGTGATATGCAGGGATGCCGACTTATACTCGTATATAAGCAGCGGCGGCACAGCCTCAACATCACAACACCACAACATCCATCCATCTCATGGAGACTTTGTATACTAAAAGTAAGTAAACGACCAAGTTTATAAACTGTTGCCAGCCTTAACAGTGCACCAATAATCGTCAAGGGACATGGACGGCTGCTTTGAAATCGTATAGTCTCAATTCCGGCCCACACAAGCACTAGGGGGGGCGGGGTCTGTCTATGCATCATGGTTTCCACGCTTACAAATACAGCATCCATCTATCTCCAGAACTTGCTATCCGCTACTATTCGTTGCTTCGGATTTCTCTCCGCAACTTTCAGGTGCTGGGAACAGTTGTCAAGGGTTGAGCGGGTGGCTTGGTAGTGTTCGATAAACCCCTATATCCGCACGCGAGTCGGTTGGCGATTGGTTCCTGACTCCACCAGCTTGTTTCCACTCCTTTCAACTCGTTTAACTATGTCATGGATGGTTGTGAAGTCGTTGCGCCATTGGAAGAAATCAGGCCAGCAACTCGATCTGTGTATCCACGCAATGGCATCATCGGAATTAGCACATTGACGAAGAGCGAGCCTCGGCTGGGCGATGTGCGCGAGTGCATGCGTGGTCTTGGCCATTGACAACTGAGACTGTTTACCTGTGTATAAAAAGGACCATGGCCTCCCGAAACTAGGCTCTTCTCCAACTCAGTTGTTATAGAATTTGCAGATTTACTTCTCGATATTATACAGTCCCTCGATATTGCTCAATATAGTTAATCCTCGAAATCAATAATCAACATGGGATCGGTTAGCAAGCCTCATCTCGTCTTCGGCGCTGCCGGCTTCAACACCGGCAGCGCATTCCCAACCGCAGAACATGCCCGCGAGGTGCTCGACGCCGTTGAGAAAGCGGGCATCAAGCAGCTCGACACGGCCCAGCTGTACGGCCTTAGCGAGCAGATCCTGGGAGAGATCAAGGCGAGCGAGCGATTCATCATCGACACGAAGCACGTTGGAGGATTTGCTCCTGGCGAGTCGACACGGGAAAAGGTCGTGGCGAGGGGGCTAGAGAGTTTGAAGAAATTGGGTGTGGACAAGGTACTTACTCGCCTCTCCTACCTTTACATATAACTTCTTCTCGACGCTTCATGATGCTAAGATTGTGATGCATAGGTCAACATCTTCTACATCCACGCACCGGACAATAGCGTGCCTCTTGAGGAGACTCTGGCCGGCATCGACGACCTCTATCGCCAGGGCAAGTTCGAAAAGTTCGGCCTCTCAAACTTCAACGCGGACGAAGTCAGAGCCGTTCTCAAGATCACCAAAGAAAAGGGCTTCGTCCCTCCGACAGTCTACCAAGGCAACTACAATGCCGTCGCTCGCAAGCTGGAATCGGATCTTTTCCCCCTCTTCCGCGAGAACGGCATCTCCTTCTACGCCTACAGCGCCATTGCGGGCGGCTTCCTGACAAAGTCCAAGGAGCAGCTGTTGCAGGAATCCGGCGGCGAGGGCAGGTGGAGCAAGTCGTCACCGATCGGACAGATGTACCACAAACTGTACAACCGGCCAAAGCTCCTGGAAGCCCTGGACATCTGGGAGAAGACGGCGGCCGAGGCGGGCATTCCCAAGGCCGAGATGGCGTATCGATGGGCGGCGTATCATTCGGCGCTCAAGGAGCAATTTGGCGATGCGATAGTGCTGGGCGCGAGCAAGATTTCGCAGCTGGAGCAGACGGTTGCGGGATTGCAGAATGGGCCGTTGCCGGAGGAGGTTGTGAAGAAGATTGACGACATTTGGGAGCTTGTCAAGGATGAGGCGCCGAGGGACAACTTTGAAATTCAGCGGAAATAGGCGACTAGGGTAGAAGAAAAGAAGTAAATGCTAGAGTTAACCGCAAGAGAAGAAGAGCTGTGAGAGACAACTCCATTGACAATTTCACGATTTCCCATGCACGTAAAGGCTTACGTAGATCAAGGCTGAGTGAGGTTGGAGAAGAGACTAGATATAATGCTCTGCGTTCCGATTGGAGATTCATTAAGCTTACTTTGTCTCCTCTTGCTCCTAGTCAGCCTCACATTGAAGCATAAGACTAAGTGAGTTGAGCTGACAAGAACTGGGTCCCCGCATTTCCATCATCCTTTTCAATGTCGGCGGGCGGCACAAACGAGGTGCCGCGTTTCTGCATCTCCAACTACCGACGCGGGACTTATGCAGCAGCCGCGTCAATCAATTGACTCAACGACCCCGTCACGATTCGGCAGAATGAGCGCCGCATCTACCGAAAAGACAATTCCCAGCCAAGGAGTTGAGACGAGAAGGTCAACTTCCCTCAACCGCACCTGTGAGGTAACCATCACATCCACAACCCCCGTCACCTCCGCTATGTGGACGTCCAATCGTAGGTAGACTCACATTCACAACTCTAGGGTTGTCGCCAGAGAAAGATCAAATGCATCGTCGCATCCCCTCAATCATCCACCAACTCCCAGAAGTGCGCCCGATGTTCCAAACACAATTTGGACTGCGTCTTCCTTCCTCCCGCCATCAGAAGGAGGCGCAACAATAAGAACGAGGCCAGGATCAAGGATCTCGAGCGGAAGCTGCAGCAAATCCAGGATGCCCTTGCCGAGTCACCAGCTGACGTCGACCCCGGCATGGTCTTTTCAGAAGGATCCCACTCTGGCGATGCCATTGAGTCGTGGCATCCAGACTTTCAGCAGCCGTCCGCTTCGTCCACTTACTCACTGCCGCCAGAAACGTTTCTTACCTCAACTTGCCTCTCTTATGTTACCTCAGAAGATCCCATATCAACTAGTTTAGTAAGCCCCGAGCTTGCAAACGAACTGTTTACAACACTCTGCCAGACTCTGGCGCCCATTTATCCTCTGGTGCATCTTCCCCCACATTGGACATGGCAGCAGACTAGAGAAGCGAAACCTGCTCACTTCAGAGCCATCCTAACGGCTGCTTCGAGCGAGCGCGACCCGGCATTCTTCAAGGCCATGTTCCGCAACACAGGCATGTATGTCACAGAAGAGGTCTCCATAAAGGGCAACAAGTCGCTTGACCTGATTCAAGCGTTTCTGGTGCTATCAGCGTGGTACTGCCCCATGGATGATTTTCGAAAGCTGAAGTTTAGCCAGTACGCAAACTTGGCGGCAAGTATGGTATTGGACTTGAGGTGTTCGAATGACGAGCAGTATCGGATACCATCGGCTAGGGAAACGTTTATGAACTCAGAGCAGTTGAACGAGACGTGTCGAACGTTTCTGGCATGCTACTTCTTTTGTTCAAGGTATGTATCAAGTCAAGGACAAGAGCGATCTTCTCGGACTAATACTGGTTTCAAGTATGGCGTTCTCTTATCGACGACCCAGTGTTCTCCGCTACCAATCTTGGGTTGATGCCTGCATAAGAGTGCTCCAAGCAGCACCGGCTATCTCCCTAAATGACTCCCGACTGATAGAGTGGACAAAGCTCCAGATCATTGCGGAGGAATGTATGTCAGCGGCTGGACTCGATGATGAGTCCAATGTCTGTTTAGCGGACGACAGAGTTCGGCGAGTATTAAAGCTTGGCATTGAAAGAGTGGTGTCGTGGAAGCAACAGGTTTCCCCTGAGGTTATCCATCGTAAGGCCACCCATTCAGAAACTACTGAATTGTTCGAGGTCTGCAGTCTGACGATACGCAGAACCGATAATAATCCACTACTACATGGTGCTGATCAGCCTCCACGAGCCGGCCTTTTACGAGGGGCATGATATGCAGGACTTTCGACCGCCATACAGACTGCGTCCTCTACCTCTGGCCAAGAGCCTAGATCATCCCGATTCAATCACCATCGCCAACTCCCTTGTCCAGTGCGTCAGCTTAGCACAAACAGTAATCAACACGTTTCTGAACACCCCAACGGAAACCCTCAGAGTCCTGCCCGTCATCGTATACACCCGAATTACTTACGCAGCAGTCACGTTGATCAAGTTTGACGTTTCTGCCCGGATGCCGCAGAGCGTTGCGTGCATGTTGGATGACATCCAGCTGAGCCCAAAGGTGCTGCTGTTACAGCTTCTCGACAAATTGACCGCGGCTGCGGGGAGCGAGAATGTTCTTGTGCCGGTTGTCTTTCGAGGGGCTTTGGCACGGATGACGAGGTGGTATATCGACCAGTTTGAGAGCTTTCAGGAGCCGGATCAAGAGGAAGTCTTTGAACCGATGATGTATATTGGGGTTGATGCTGAGAGCAGTAGCGGTTTGGATGCTGGTTATGGAGGCGGTGTTGAACCGCATGGGCTTGTTACGGATGCAAGTGTCAACTTTTTGGATGTTATGGGAACTCAGCATGTAAATTATCCATAGCTCCATGCACATAAAATAACAGCCCCAGTGGTAGCATTTTGTGAGACGGACTACAGAGTCGTCTCCCTCAAGTCAACTTCTACAATCCATCTATCGGACGAGCTTGACACGAGTACGTTTTGCCTTTCGAATCAACGGTGGAAACGAGTTGCGTTCGAAACTTTCAGATACTTATCCCATCATGTTCAATATGGAAGATGCAGAAGCCAATGCTTTCTACTTGTTGTCGCACGCATACGCGGATCTTCCTACGCCCCAGCCAAGTGGCGCTCCTATAAGCGCGGTTTTTGACAAGGGCCGCGCTCCGCTCCAGCGCGGCAGATGATGGATGCTTTTCGCACCGAAATGGCCAGGGGCAGCAGAGGCTCCCCAAGATGAATGACTGGGAAGTTATTCTCCGTGTCCCACTATCAGGCCTCAAAATATGACTCTTGACGTCGATATGCCTGTCAGGGGGGTCGAGACAAGGCGTTCTGACGCGTCTTCGTGCTGTCGTATTGCGTGGCTGTATCCCGTCTATGCTCCAGGAGCACATTTACACCAATGCCCTCATCTATATAAACCACCGTCATTCAGGACTCTACAGCTTAAAAGTACTTCCGGACAGCAAAAAATTCTTACAAATCCAGCAATTACCTTCAACCCGGCGACATGAGGTTCAAGGCTCACTTTCTGTTGGTCATTTCTGGTGTAAGCCAGCTAGTCTCTGTGAACGCTGCATCCTGTAACGATACGAATGATGCCTCAGCCTTACTGGAAAGAGTCATTGACTCAATCGGAGGACCGAAGGCTCTAACAGAAGTTCAAAGACTGGTGTTCAAAGTTGAAGGGTAAGCTTCCTCCACGACTCCATCTCAACAAGCCAGAAGAGACATCTAACGAAAAGCATAGCATCTACCGCTCACAAACCCTGACCCAAAACTACAACCTCTACCACTCCGATCAATCCGTCGCCGAGGCAGGCTCGGAGACACTCTCCTTTGACTTCTCGTCAGATCTCCGCGCTCGCCTCGACCGATATTACCGATACAATGACTATTGGATCTGGGCACAACCGGGCCTAGAGCCGTCCATGAACTACAGCATCGTTCTCAAAGATGGCGAGGACGGATATGCTTGCTTTACCGAGAGGCAAAACTCCTTCTTCGTCAACGATCCGACCCAGACGCTGGGCTATGCGGATTCGTTCCTCGCGGATTATTTGGTCCATCAAGCGAAGCAATTTGCACTTCCCTGGTTGCTGCAGCAGATGACTCTATCGGCGTCTCGCCTTCGGGCATGCGACACGATCGAACCACTTACTAAGAATCGCTTCACCGTTCTGGAATTGGACAACCTTGGGCTCAGTCTCATCGTGAATGCAACGAGTCATCGACCTTACAAGATACGCTCTCTGGAAACACACGCAACGTATGGCAATGTCACAAACGACTTGCTTCTATCGAATTACTCCACTGTCGCCTTTGACAACAACCCCGACCTCAAGCTTCAACTGCCCCATCGCCTGCAAACAATCTTCAACTCCAGCGACGTTCTCGAAGATGTCAAGCTGGACAGCATCTCAGTCAATTCACCGATTAAGGCCGGTTTCTTCGACCCCGACTTACCAGCTCAAGACACTTCCTCTCCTCAGGCACCCAAACAAAGCTCCCTCTACCCTCGCTCCGAAGTCCACGAATTCTTCGAAGCCGGTCTCTGGGGTGGTCCGTTCGAGGCCTTCTTCAACACCTCCGACGTTGTCGTCACGCATCCAATCCCTGACATTCCCCAGATCATGGCCGTTTACGTCGGTTACGCAGACTACGTGCAGCTTGTCCTCAATTTCACCGACGGCGTCCTGATTACCGATGCGGCGCCTCACCGGTCTCGGATCCTAATTCAATGGGTCAAAGAAACGCTTAACAAGACCGTTACGCACATTGTTCCAAGCCATCACCATCGCGACCATGCCGGAGGTGTGCCAGACTATGTCAAGGCTGGGGCAACACTCGTCGTCCCTGAGGTGGCCAAGAGATTCTACGCTTCAGTCAACAACGGCAACGTCAGATTTGCCACATACAGCGAGAGCAAGCCGTTTGTCTTGAAGGATGAAAACATCCAATTCCGTTCCCTGTGGAGAGATGAGAGTCCCCACGCGCGAGACTGGTCGTACGGCATCGCAACATTGGCATGTCCGACAGGAGACGAGGGCGTCGTCGCCTTCGTGGCAGATGTATGGAGCCCTGATCCAGACGATTGCGGTATGGGAGATGCCGTGCGATTCGACATTGGATATGCGAGACAGTGGCTGGATGCAGCTGTGGAGGACGGGCTACCGAGAGGGACGGTCGTGGTGGGAGCGCACGGGGGGAATACCACGATTGACATGCTGGAGAGTCTGATTGCCATCACTGGGTATGAGTATCCTGACCTGGGGGCAAAAGACTGGAAGGCTGGTGGTGCACTTTGCGAGCATCATAGGTCGTGATTGGGCTCGGTCTGTTGATCAGATACGAGAAGAGGCGGTAATCTTCTATTCGCAATTAAGCAGGCAGCGTGACTGGTCTTTCTCAGATCAGTCACTGCCTTTATTCTTGATGTAGACTATGTTAATGATACATTTAGAATTGTTGATATAAGATTCCTTGGAGCTGCCTGTCGCGAGAGTTTCGGGCTCATCATTCAAGTTCAAGGCCTTTACCACGCTACAACAGGAACAGAAACAGCAGCAGACAGCCTGAATCACGGTTTGACAGCATGGGAAAAAGTACGTCAATGAGTCCTATTAATGAGACGAGAATGCACATCTTGAGAAGAATATACCATCCGTGCGTAACTCGATCTGTGCAGCAAGTACACTCTTTATGCGAACAGGATGCATCTCCAGGATCATCTCTCCCGCTCTCACGGTACCCTATCCTATGTCACATCTACGTCCAAGGGCAACACAAGTCCCATTTCGGTTCTTCGATTGGCGCAGGGCCCAAATTGCCCGATCATCGCACCCAACACGCCAAAACTCACGGCACACGAGCAGCCAAAACCCCTTGCATGAAAGAAATGGCACGGTCCCCCGATAATGACAAATTGTGTGTCCCAGCTGTTGGTACCGGGTTACTCATGGATCGATTCGGGAAGTGTCACACTGACTCTGCTGCGGTACGCAGAGAGCAACGTGCCTTGTCCGTGAAGCTGTGTCACAGGGCAATATGCGAGCACCGTGGCTGTGGATAGACAATGGAAGACCGTGACCAAGGTCAAATTGAAAGGTAGGTTATCACCCAGCAGTCAAAGAGACGGGGGAATGTGCGAGCTGATGAGATTGAAAGGAATCTGAAGAGCAGAGATGCCTATGAGACAACTGCAAGTTAAGGCATCCAAGCCAAGCTTCGTGTACTTGACAGATCAGAGAGAAACGAACGACCATCAGGCCACACTCAATATACATCCAGCCGCCACTTTGAGCAAAAATGCAAGACGCGGCCGGTCCAGCATAGCGTCAAAGCGTCAACAAGGGAGACCGACCGGCTTTGTCGATGCGGGGATCGGCCGTACCGCGATGCAAAGATCCCTGCCGTCCCAAGAGATGCACGGCGTTAAGATCTGGTCGATGAGATGAGATTCGCTAGATGCGAGTGCCTTATGTATCGCCCTCAGCCCATAATGGGAAGAGATGCAGCTGATGCTACGATGCTCACTGCTTCCCCTGTAAGCCTCGTCGAATCACGCCCCGATCTTGGTACGCCACAGCTGCAGTGCCAAGACTATAATCTCCTTATTATTCCTTGTCTTTTACGAGCCATACTTTTTCCTTTTTCCAGGCCTAGCCCTGGATGGCAGAGAATGAGACATGTTTTGGGCGATACAGCAGCCAACGTGACAGAATCCGGGTATTCGTTCCCTGGTCTTGGCTTCAATCTGGCTTCTGTCCGCCTTTCCCTCGCATTATATGTCCCAGTAGGTATTTCATCACCCTATGATCTCAACCTGGGCGCTTTCACTACTGGCAGAGGAGCACTCGCTTACTTCTTCCTAGGCCGTCTCAAGACAGCCTCCCTATCAAGATGTCTCTCATTACTCTACGCATCCAGAAGCCAGCGGTGACACAGCATCTATTAGCCCAGTGATCAACAACATTGAAGCAGACTTACAAAGAGATCTGCCGCATTGTCCCAGGCAAACGATCCAAGACAGACCATCTTATGTAATGGAAGAATTGCGGTAATACTTTCACCATGCCTCGAAGCAGACATAACAGATGTAGCATCCCCTCCGTCCAACCCCTTTCCCAACACCTGGAGCTTCCTTATTAGCATAATTCTGCCTTGAGCATGCTTCGCAAGCCCTCCCCTCCCTGAGCACCTCGAATCTCTTCTTTCATCGAGTTTCTTCATAGAACAGCTGCCACCATGGCATCCGCCTACACACTCCCGCCAAGTTCCCCCAACTGGGACGGCGTCGGCATCTTCTACATCTCGTGGTGCGCAACATGGACGACCCTCGTCCTCGCCGGCATGATCTTCTGCTGGCTCAACCGCAGCCTCCCCGTCCTCAAGATCCGCGGCCTCCCGCTGTCCTTTTGCGCCATCGCCTTCCTGCACTTCTACTGGATCCTCGCACAAATCACGTATCCCGTGGGGCGCACCCTGCCGCTCGTCCTCGCGTACGACATCCAGTACTTCTTCATGAGCCTCTGGTTCCCGCTCGGCGTGGCCTTGTTCCACGCGTCGAACCTGCGCTTCCTCCGCGTGGCTCAGCTGCAGAGGCAGTTTACGCATCCGGCTGCTCGTCGGGTTGAGCCGGCCTGCAGCGGCGGCAAGGCCTCATGGCTTTGTCGTCTGAGGGGTTATGATCATACGAAGCGGTCGCTGCTCTTCATTGGCCTTGGGATGGTCGTTCAGGTGCGTTGTACTCTCGACGCCGCGCTTCCAGACAAGGCAGCACCGCTTGCTCTTCTGTCTTTGATGTGCTGACCGGTTGTATTCAGCTCCTGCTTGCCGTTGGCATGTGGCTAGCTTGTCGAAAATACCATCCCACGTTTGGCATTCCTGGAACCGAACTTCGCGGCGCGACAATCGCGGAGCAAGTGGTTGAGCTGGGCCGCGGCTGGGAGTGGTGGCCTTCGGTTCTTTGGCAGGTCGTCTGGACGTGGATTGTATGTCACGCTTATAACGCGAACCGTCGTCGCCTTGGCTAATGTTCTCCTAGGTTGCGCCCTTTCTGACATGGCGAGCATGGGGGATCCGTGATACCATGGGATGGCGGACACAAACCATCGGCTGCTGCATCTCCAAGTAAGCTGGGCCTGTCCTCCGCCAGTGTTGATACCCGTTTCCATACGACTAACCATTGATTCAGTCTCCATGCGACACCAATGTTCATGATAGCATCCTACGTTCCCGCCTTTGATAAAGTGAATCAGTATTTTTCACCTAGCCAATGGTGAGTGCAAGTCATCGCAAACGCAATGTTTATCCATCGAACAGGCGGACTGATTCACCATTCTCCGTCCAGGATTCACCTTTCCATCCTCATGTTTGAGATATTCACAGTCTTCGTCCCCGTCGTCCAGGTGTTCAGATTCTGGGCTCAGCAGAAGAAGGCAGCCCGTCTGAATGCCGAATGGGACAGCTTGTCAACTGCCCACACGCTCTGCGCGTCTCCATCGGAAGACTGGATAATCTCCACCAAGTCCTCGACATCAAAGATGAGAGCGGTCGATTTATTTGATGAAGATCTCGGCGACCGCTTCCTGACAATGAACGTCCTGGAGCAGGTCCTCAGCGAGGATCCCGGCCCGCTGCAGGAGTTCTCCGCCCTGAGGGACTTTTCGGGAGAGAATATTGCCTTTTTGACCACCGTTGCGAAATGGAAATCCTCCTGGACCGAGAAAGTGAGCAGCGAACAGAGGCTGCAGGTGTACAACGGCGCACTGGAGATTTACATCGACTATATCAGTCCCAAAGACGCCGAGTTTCCCCTCAATCTGTCGTCCAGCGAAGTCGGGCGTATGCAGGACATGTTTGAGGAGGCCGCTCGCATCGTCTGCGGAGAGTCCAATGTCAACTCAGCAACACCTTTCGACGTTGAAGTCGCGCCTTTTCAGATTTGTGAGACCGACAGTCCTTTCAAGTCAAATTGCAGGGGCACCCACAGGGCGAAATACCATGGGGAAGTCCCTGACGTGTTTGATGCAACAGTTTTTGACAGCATAGAGAGCCATGTCAAGTACCTTGTCTTGACAAATACTTGGCCAAAGTTTGTCGACGAGATGACGCGGTCTAGGAGGCGGCGGTCGACTGAGACGGCGCGAACAGAAGGGACGTGGAAGTCGGGATCAACCCTCACGAATAGGATAATGCATTTGGTCAATCGGATTATCTAGGTATGGTTTCGTGGGCGAGGGGTGCGTCATTATGTCCAGAGAGATTTAGAGGGACGGGTATTGTGGGTTCATCACATGTTGATGTAATAGGAGGAAATATATAAAGACGACTCGGATAGATTGTGGGATTCGAATAGTCAGCCTATGGTCTTCGTCCCCACGTTCCGTGTGGGATGGTTGAGAACGAATTACACGTAAATCGGGCAATTCCTCAGCCCTAGCATGCAAGTTGCTGCATGTGAATGACGGATCCAACTGTCGAAGGAAAGGAGGTCTCCATCGCATGTCCTGATTACCGATGCAGCCCTGTCCATAGTTGTGGCTCGACGGTAAATATGCAATTGGTCAGTCCAGTCGTTCACTCAAAAGCTCCCTCAAGCCCCCCGTCTTTGATTCCAAAAGGTGTGGATAATCGAGATTGATGGACAGGGGAGGCCATTGGCTCGATTATGTCAAGCCTTTCAAGCGACCAGTCGTCGAGATTCCCCTGCTTACGGAATGTGGGAAATGTAAGCATGTGGGAGGACGAGACTATGTGGGATAAGGGACGCTATAGAGTCGATTGGCGATGGTTGAGCTAGAACAACCTTAGCTGTGAAGTCAATTCGCCGACCTTGTAAGTTGTCAGCACTCTAGTGTAGTCAGTCTTTACAAAGAATTGAGGTTATCTGCTAGTATGACGGATTCGGCAAAAGTGCACATCGAGTTGCTAAAACAGTTGTCGAAGGGGTCAAGCTGTTGAAAGATATAAGTAGAGCGATTGAGAACAACAATGGCAACTCGATCATCAAGCAACATCTTCAGCAGCTCGACAATCCTCACATCCACAGCATAATCATCAAGATGCACTTCCATCAGCTACTTCCCCTCCTTGCTGCGGCAGCTCAGGCACTACCGCAGTCAACTTCATCTTTGGCCAAATGCCGCGACGTTCAGATCCCCATCACCGTTTCTACGCCGCGCTTCATCGTGACTGCTTCTATCCAGGATGATTGGGATGTCGCTGCTCTGACTCTCAACTTGACTCGTCGGGACTCGACCATGTCCGCCGATCCTCTTCCCCTCGCCGGGCAGACATCTGAGTCTGTGAAGAGCACTTACACCGTTGGAGCGACTCTGTGCGGCAACGGAGGGCCTACGCTGGTGCTTACGCACGGAATCATTGAGTCGAAACTGTGAGTTCTCTTTGAAAAAGATCCCGTTCGAAGTAAAGGAATTGGATGTTGACCTTGCTGTTGCAGGTATTGGAACCCAAGCTTTCCCGGCAGCTCGACGTACAACTTCATAGAGGCTGCGCTTGCCCAGGGCTACTCGGTGCTCAGCTACGACCGTATCGGCGTCGGTTCATCAGCAAAGTAGGCTATTATCGCCTCACTGCAACACAACAAAGACTGTATACTCACGCTCGCAATAGGGTCAACTCCTTGACAGACGCCCAATTCCAGGTCGAAGTCGCCGTCCTCGAGGGCCTCGTCAACTACGCCAAGACCAAGGCCAAGGCCACCAAAGTCGCCCTCATCGGCCACAGCTACGGCTCCTACATCTCCTCCGGCGCCGCCTCGCACATCTCCGTCGACGGCCTCGTCCTGACCGGCTTCAGCGGCACCTTCCAGTACTTTGCTCCCTTTGTCGCCGGTGCCGGCCTTCGCGTTGCTAAGACGCAGAACCCTCTGCGCTGGGGACACCTGGACTCCGGATACCTGACAACGTCTGACCTGTACGCCGAGACCTATGTCTACTACGCTGAGCCTTACTTTGAGCACAGCGTGGCCGAGTACACCTACACTATTGGCAGCGAGCCTTTTGCTGTGGGCGAGCTTCCTTCGGTGCTTGCCACGACGATCAACTACCAGGACATCAAGGCGCCTACTCTTGTGCTGCAGGGACAGTTTGATGTTTCTGCCTGCGGTGGAAACTGCGTTGGTGTCGTCAACGGCACCAAGGCCCTGTTTACGGGCGCAAAGACCCTTGAATATGTCGACAACCTGCCTGCAGGGTGAGACTTTCGTGATCTTCATTCCCCTTTGAGTAGCAGAGTGCTAACTTGATCGCAGACACAACCTCAACTTCCACAAGGTTGCTCCCCAGGCATTCCAGAAGATCTTTACTTTCTTGAAGGCGCAGGGCGTGAAGCCATAGAAGACTTTCAAATCAGCGTATCCATGCTACTTAAATTAGACTTGTGGTTCCTTCTCTTCGCCAGTATTTAGAATTTTACCAATTATAATTGTCATACCATTTTTGAGGCACAATCAAGTCGCCAATAATCAAGTTCCATCGTCTCTTCATCATCCTAATCAGTCGTGAAAGCAGCTGCTACTCGGGCAGTGTCAAAATACTCCCGAAACAACACAATTTTGCCATTCTCAACGCGAAAATACGAGATATAGTCCTGCTCATACAGCTTCCTCGTCGTCTTCACCGTTCCAACCATAACGTACTCGACAAACGCTGCGTCGTCGCCTTCCACTGGGTACATCTTTTTGATCTGCACGTTGAAGTCGTCTGCCATGCACATGGCAAACCACCATGCCGTAGTGGCGATGGCATCGATTCCCTCCACCCTGGTGGGGTGGGGAGCGGCTGCGTATGGCATTTCCAGGATGGCGTCGGGGGCCCAGAGGGTGCGCCAGGTTTGGGGGTCGGATCTGAGGGTTTGGAAGTGCTTTTCGATGAGCTGAGTGACGCTCATGTTGATGATTGTATGATGTCTAAGGAGGGATTTGGTCAGAACATAGACTTGTGTAATGATTGAATCTGTTACTTAGAGGGCCTTTTTTCAGGAACTTTTACGCTATCGCGCTATCAACAATGCAGCATACGTATACCTTTGCTTGACAATATCTACCTACATATATGACGACCTGCGTCTATGTCAGTTTGAAGTAGTTGGATATACTCGTAAAGGGAAGTTGTTGACAATGGAGAGGAATCCAATCCCCGCTTATTGCTATAAGTGGCATTCTTGTTAGTGGTCACCGGGTAAGCTTATCATGAATACAGGTCGTATCAAGGTAATAGCCTGATTACATGGAGGTACTCATAAGCAATGAGTGTCGTTCAATGTAACTGGCTTGTGATGGGAGGCAATTTCCAGTCGCTCCAACCACGTGCTGAAACTTTCTCGATATCATTTGTCCAGCTCGGTTGACCATTTCAGGCAATCTTCTCTCTGAACTGAGGTAGCAATGGTAGTACTCGTAAACCTACGCACTGTGGCATCAGCTACACCAGCACCAATTGATAGTCTAGTACACGACACCAAAACAAGTCTCAGTCTTGACGATAATGGGAACAGAGCCATGACTATCTGACTAGGTACTCTTGTTGGAACCGAATAAATTTTGTAACAGCCCAAACGACCAAGTTCCTGCAGAGACACAGCCTGAGATTGTCCGCTCGAGTTGCAATGATGTCATTGTGAGAGGACGGTTCCCATTATGTCAGCCTCAATGGCTAGAAGGAACTGCCATGGCATGGTAAATGAAGCTGAAGCTGTAGGGCTTCACGCTTTTCTATCACGGTAAATTCATTGGAATCGAGCGTCACACAGATAAATCTTCAATCGCAATTCCAGATGCCAAGGATACACAGGACACAGCAGATCGACACGCTGCTATTTTAAGCCGTCGCAGATTTCAATGTTGCTTCGGCATCCAAAACCGACGCACCGTGTCATCAGCCGTTGACACTGTGCGCCTCCCTTGGAGCTTCCATCCAATGACATGCCAGTCGCGTTCGTGTCCTTTTTGCTGCATCATCCAATCTTATCGCCTCCTTCCTTCGTTTCCTCTTCTACGAATCTCGACTTCGGATCGTGCAGCTGTCGCTGATTAGATATCCGTCTTCTTTCCCTTTCTTCTTTTCTCTCCTTCGCCTCTTTCACTTGTCCAGTCCAGGGCCATCATGGCGCTCAACGTCTTCCGTGTTGCGGGTGAGTGGCGCCTTTTCGCCGTGCTAACACGAAGCTCTTCAGCGACATCCCCATGATGGCCGGACAGCAGATGCGCTAACGCAGGAACAGGGGATTTCTCGCATCTGGCGAGTATCCTCATACTGCTGCACAAGATGGTGCAGCTCAAGGTGCGTCCTCCCTCTCGAATGCTGTCTGTCACAGCTTCGTCCTTCAGATAGCTCGTCAGCTAACCCGCCGCCCTGCAGAGCTGCTCCGGCATCTCTTTCAAGTCGCAAGGGCTCTACCTCCTCGTCTACCTCACCAGATACCTCGGTATGCAGCTCAACAACCCCGGACGAGACCCAATGGCGGGACCCAGTCAAGCTAACCGCGCGGAACAGACCTCTTCTCGACCGACAGCATCTACAACCTCGTCTTCAAGATCCTCTTCATCGGCTCGCAGGGTTACATCATCTACCTCATGACCAACGCCTACAAGCCCACCAACGCCGCCAACCTCGACACCTTCCGCGTGCAGTACCTCCTGGCCGGCGCTGCCGTTCTCGCCATCCTCTTCCCCGTCAAGTACACGCCGTCCGAGATCCTCTGGGCCTTTTCCATCTGGCTCGAGTCTGTGGCCATCCTCCCGCAGCTGTTTATGTTGCAGCGCACCGGCGAGGCCGAGACCATCACGACCCATTACCTCTTCGCCCTCGGCAGCTACCGCGCGCTCTACATCCCGAACTGGATCTACCGCTACCTTGCCGATCCCAAGTATAAGGTTGATTGGATCGCCATCATCGCCGGTATCATCCAGACGATCCTCTACAGCGACTTTTTCTACATCTACTACACCAAGGTTCTCAAGGGCAAGAAGTTCAAGCTGCCTGTGTAAGGGCGAGGAATTTTACCGGCTGTTTAGCGGGCGAGAGACAAGTGATGGTTTGACATGCGGCGTTGCACGGAACAAGCCATCAGCAGTATGCTTAGGGGATGACGTGACGACAGCTTCACGGTAGAAGGGGGCCAGGATTCTGCTTGCCACGGGGAAAGCGGGAGTGGCACGGCTACGACAATCTACAGGATCGATCCAGTCTTTTTTTCCGGGGGGCATTGATTGCATTGGCGGCGTTTGATGGTAATGCTCGGTTTGACGGCAGTAAGGGAATGGGCGTCATCTCTACATGTGAGGATTCCATGAGTTTGGGCCACGTACGTTGTGGATGAAAAAAAAATTAGAAGGCAGTCAATTGAATGTGTTTGATTTATGGTAGCTTATGTACCTTAGCTCGAGATGAGCTTGATGGAAGCTATCCTTTACGTGATGGAGGCTACACAAATCAGCTATATTATAGGTAACGGTGAGAATAACGTGAGAGGAAGAAAGAAAAGCAATCAAAAGCGACGGTCATGCACCAGCTTATTTTGAAGCAACGTTCTCCCCGTTGTTCTCTACGTCTATGCACTGTCGCAATGAAGAGGAGCTTCTGTGTTGACGCGCAAAGTACGCCAATCACGTGACGGCCATCTATCATCATCATCCATCAAGGCCTCCAACGTGAATCTCAGCCTCCAACTTCCAGCACCCTCCATTTAAATTCCTGCGCCTTCTCGCACCAGTCAATCAACTCCATCATGGAAAGTGACGCGCCGCCCGAGAACGTCGAGAAGCAAGTCGCCCCCGAAAGCGGCCCGCCCGACGCAGTCCCCGATGCCCTCGCGCAAGGTCAGGACCTCAACAAGCTTCCCACGCGCAAGGACGTTTCGCTGCGAGAGTTCCTCAGCAAGATTGACGATTATGCGCCCATTGTACGTCCCTGCTCTACCCACAGATATCAAATTTGGAGATGGCAGTCGGCTTGCTGACCATCTTTGCTTTGATAGATTCCGGATGCAGTGACGCACTACTACATGACCAAAGCCGGTCTCCCTCCGCCGCCGCAGACGGACCCCAAGCTCGCCCGCCTGCTCGCCCTCGCGACGCAAAAGTTCATCGCCGACATCGCGGCGGACGCGTACCAGTACAGCCGGATCCGCGGGGCGAGCAACACCAACAACCCCATGGGCACGCTCGGCGCCGCAGCCGGGTTCCCCATCCCGGGACAGCAGTCTGGGCAGCCGGGCAGCAAGGAGCAGGGCAAGGGCGCTCCGTTGGGGATTCAGAGGCCGGGCTTTGGAGGTGGTGGACAGGGAGGGAGTCAGAACCGGACGGTGTTGACGATGGAGGATTTGGGGATGGCGGTTGGGGAGTATGGTGTTAACGTTAAGAGGAGCGAGTTTTACCGATGAAGGGGTGCTCGTTTGATCAGAGGAGAGGACGAGAGGGGGGAAACTGAGGTACAATTACGGCTGGAAGAGGGATTGATATGGCGTTGGGGATATGGCGTTGGATACGGTTATCAAGGGTAGACCGATGGGTCTTTGTTTAATTGGTTCGATACGATACAAGCTGCTTTTCCTTCTCTCTCAGATCTGCTTCTCATGCGCCATTGATGTGAAATCATGCAAAAGTCGTTGGCATTACGGCGTTGACACAGTATTTGTACAATTCTTCCTCTCTTCTCCAACTCCATCACCCTACTTATTTCCTATCCCAAATATTCGGTTTCCGCGTCCTACCCTCCAGCAATCAGCAAAACGAAACCCTCACGAACAGAAATCCAGTAAAGCAAGAAAAGAGGGGGCTACTCACGGCGCAAACTCGCCCAGCTTGTGTCCCACCATGTCTTCCGTGATCGTCACCTGATGGTAGTCCTTGCCATTGTGAATCTCAAAGTTGAGCCCGACAAAGTTGGGCAGGATGGTCGCTGATCGGGCCTGCGTTCGGACGGGGGGCACCTTGTCGTTGGGGCCCTTGGGGAAGACGATGTTTAGACTGAAAGGTTTTGCGTGAGTGAGTGTTTTCGGTTTTGGTGATGCTTGGAGGGGTCTCTTTCTTACGGGACGAGGTTCGGGCCTGTGAGGGTTTGTCGTTAGCTTTGGAGGATTTTCTTTGGCGGTTTGGGAGATTGGGGTATTACCTTTCCAGACGGAGCGCTTGAGGAGCGCTCTTGTGGGCAGCATTATGGCCTTGATGTGATCTTGATGTCCGTCTTGGAGTTTACTGATGGTGATGATCTAGAAATCTTTCGGAGCGATTGGGTCACGTGATGGAGAATAGTGACATGTGCTGGTTCCACATGTTGCGTTCTACCACCATGATTGTACCCATATGTGGCTGTACTATAACTCTTTGGTGACAAATAGCCGACTACAATCAAGCATGCCATGCTTATTCGCCCAGATCAATGGCTATTGAGGCTCGAAATTGCGTGACAGAAATATGGCCATGTCCCGAACCTCAGTTCAAATGGCGCCCCAATTCCTTGAGCATTCCATAAGCAAAGTCCGGGCATTCGGTGATCAGCTCCTGCAAATCCTTGCCCTTGGTTATCTCCTTCGTATAACAGGCGCAGTACTGGATCAAGAGAGAGCGCAGCTTGTCATGTTCAACCGTGTTCTCGAACGAATATCTCACCAGGCTGATAATGTCTCCGATGCGGTCGTGGTAGAGCGTGAAGTGTATCAGGGTTTCGTGAAGATTGTGCAGAGAGAGCTTACGCAACTCTGGTATATCATACTTGTCCGCCAAGACGTAGAGTTTGGCGTGGCAGAGGAAAACTTGAGTGTAGACTTCGCAACTCTCCTTGTTCGTGCGACTCAAACGGCGCACCGGCGTTGGAAAAATGTATTCCGCATTTGTGACGAATTGAGCGACCATGGATTGTACTGGCGGGTATGAACCCACTGCACCTTTCTTTCGACAACTCCCACAAGTCGGGAACCGACGACATAAGCAAGAGCTGCAATATTGGGAGGCGTAAGACGAGTTACATGTGACGCAAGTGTATTGCTTAGCGCTGGAAGTCCAATCACGGCCACAATGTTGCGCAGGGTCTATCATCTGGAATAGTGTAGCTAGTGATTTCGCGATGGGTTCTTGTTTCGTCACAGGTGATGGATCTTGATCGGAAGTCGCGATCTGGGAAGAGTCGAGAAGAATTTCCGACCCTTCAGCCTTGTAGCCTCCAGTATATGCCCATTCACCGAAGCGGATGAACGTTTTCTCGTCGGTATCTTCCCAGCAAACGCAGCGATTCTGAGCTTCTTTCATGGGTCCGTTCACAAGTTGATCCAGACTTTTTGAAAGAGTCGCAACTGCAATTTTGTGCATCGTGAATCGTTTCTTCTCGGGTCCGATGAGAAATGTGATCGGCTCGGAGAGCAGGACGCTGGGTTGATGGTCAGCATCACGTATGGTTACTTTCTAAAGCAGTCAGGTAGAAGTGAATTTCACGAACCTCTCATAGTTAGCGCTCATCTTAGTTACTCCTCGTTATCCACCTTTTCAGGTAAATACTGATTATATCGGTGCGATATCTCCGTCGGAACGACTCGTAGTGGATTGACTCATGGAGTCAGGCATCAAGTGAGGTCCTGGACGATGTTAGAAGTGTGATTTGCCTAATGTTAACCGCTCGGCGAATCAGAGCAGACCCCGACTTAAAGAGACATACAGCTGGCGGAAGCCTGGCACCCTGGTTGCGGTCAGCTGCATCCCCAGTATGACTTGTGAAGACCTCTTCTATAAAGCCCGAGAGTATCTGTAAATATAAGAATCTATAACAAGCCCGAATTCAATGGAAATAAACCCGGATAAAGGAGATGTCTTATCGACAATATCTTGCTTAAGTGCACTTTAGTGTACCTACCAGGTAGCTGGAGAGTTGGGCTTCGCAACCTCTCTTGAGAGGAAAAAGCGATACTTGGGCGTGATGAAAGCCTCACTGCAAATTGTTTCCTTACAGTTTGGCTGGCTGCCAACTACCTTGGAGCCTGTGATTAACATGGCCATGCCTCATAATGAACAACACATCTGGTCTAACCATGTCGTTGGAATGGAGATCAATCATCCATGTGCACGAGTTCGAGTACAATGAGATTGGCATTGTGTGAGAACAATCTTCGCAAGAGGGAGCTCTCCGGGTAATTTGGCCATGAATACATTGACATCACCGAAGAGAACCCAAAAAATGCTGGTCAAGTCTCCTCGAAAAGGTGCTCGAGCGTCGACGAAACCATGACCCCGGATCCTGGCATCTTGGTCCAGGGTAGCCGTGCATCACGTGTCGGCAACGCTTATCAGCAGCGGCCCTCATGGACCAAAAGTTCCAGCGAATCGACATGTCGCAAAAGTTGCATTGCGCTGCGTCAACGAAATTCGACCAGCTCAGAGACGCTCAAATCCAGCGGGTCGTGTTGCTGTGCATTGATTCGCACATCTCGATCTCGACGGCATTGCGTATTTGATTCGTCGAGCTTTGTTGATTCTCGCCGCCTGTCTGTTGTTTTTTTTTGCTGTTGCTTGTCGGGCCGCTTTCTCGAACGTTTCTTGGAAGAAGCCACGCTTCCAGCTTGTCACTGGCAAGAAAACGGAGCCAAACAAGCATCTGTCTGTTTCTCTTCGATACGATTTCCATCTACAGTCCGCTCGAGCCTCGTCGAGTCCTTCATCGTCATCAACTCGAGCTCTTCGCTTCCGCCCCTCGACCCTCGACATCTCGAATCTCCCCCCTTCCGCTCCTCGCCATCCGATAAATGCCAGACGCCACGGCTTCAGGTGCCGACACGGGCGGTGCTGCTCGCTCTCGCGAGCACAACCAGGGCAACCAGGGCCGCACGTACACTGTCGAGCAGAAGGCGGCCGTCCTGCGCATCCGGAAATGCAAGCCCACCGCCTTTTACGACATCCTGGGCCTCGAGGCCGTCCGCACCACCTGCACCGATGCGGACATCAAGAAGGCGTACAGGAAACAGTCGCTGCTGACGCACCCCGACAAGAACGGCCACGAACACGCCGATGAGGCCTTCAAGATGGTCAGCCGCGCCTTTGGCATCCTGGGCGACAAGGAGAAGCGGGAAAAGTACGACAAATACGGCACCGATCCGGACAGCCGCTTCGAGAGCGCCCGCGCACAGAACCCATTCTCAGGCTTCGGGTCGCGACAAGCTGCGGCGGCGGGAGGCGGTGGCGGCGGCTGGGACGATGAGATGACGCCCGAGGAGATGTTTGCGCGCTTCTTTGGCGCTGGGGGTGGTCCATTCGGCGGAGGAGGCTTTGGAGGTGAGTGAAGCTGGCAAGATCGGAAGTGAACATGATGCTGACTACTGAGCGTTCGATATAGGTCCCCAGTTCGTCTTCAACTTTGGTGGCGGCCCCGGTATTCGAGTGCACCAATTCGGCGGCGGCATGCCTCGAGCGAGACCCCGAGAGGCCCAGGGAGCGGCTCCTCAGCAAGAGCAGCACGGCCTTCAGACGCTGCTCGGCCTGCTCCCGATCCTCCTCTTCTTTTTCCTGCCCCTCATCACCTCCCTCTTCTCTGGCGGTTCCTCCACCCCCGCCACTCCGCGCATGGTTTTCGACAGCCCGCAAGCTCCCTTTACTGAGGGCCGCACGACGCCCAATCTCAACGTCAAATACTTTGTTGTACCCTCCGAGGTGGCCTCATATAGCAAATCCAAGTTGCTTCAGCTGGACCGGACAGCCGAGCTGAATCTGGTGCGGCAGCTGCGGTACGAGTGCGAGAACGAAATGATGCACAAGAGACAGCTGAGAGATGAGGCCACCGGTTGGTTCTACCAGGACCCAGTCAAGATGGCCGCTGCCGATGCGTATAAGATGCCCTCGTGCCAGCGCCTGGAGACTTTGGGCGTGAGCCGGTCATAACCCCAAGGGGAACGAAGACAAAAAAAGCCGCGTGGGCACTTTTCATGAGGAATTACGGACATCAAAGACACTTGTTGATATGCTATTTTATATATACACTTGAAACGGAGTTGGGTTTTCTTTGTACGATGGCGAGAGAATACGAAGCTTGTATGGCATGGATGAGCATGAGCGAGTAGAGCGACGTTGATGGCGTGTGAGGATACATGTAGGGCTCCATTCATATACCTTATGTATATCTTTATAATTATATCATATGATATTCGATAAGACGTTGCGAGCAGGCCTCTAGACACACTTGTCGTATTCGAAGAACCGCCGCCCTATTGGACGCATGTGATGGAAGCTATTGATTCAGCTGAGGACCACGACAAGCTCTAGCCATTCTTGTCCCTGGAAATGGCCTCCAATGTCAATCAATCCAAGACGTGCCGCACTACTGACGAGATGCTGCATGCACTCCGTACGGCCTCATGGATTGATTGGCCTGATGCCGCAGCCCCGCCAATGCAGCCCGCGATGCTAATTATTGGTTTCTGTGTATAATAAGACAGCACCCCGCTCAGGATCATCACTTCGACTCTTGTCTCTTCTCATATTCCAGCGTTGCCTTCTCTGTGGCACTTGATGGCCTACCGTGACCATGGCAGACTCACAGGGCAAAACGATCCTGCACATCAACTTCGCCGACATCGTCGACCAGCCGCTCTCCCTCACCGGAGCTACCAAACACAGATTCCGGTTCATCGACGGTGATGCCCTCGCCCATAACTCGATCATTCATGTCCTGGAGTTTGAGACTCTTCCTACGTCGCCGTATGCCGTCATTTCATACGTCTGGCGAGGCCTACCACCTCTTCCCAACGAGACGTCGACGCTGCCCAAGATCAACGTCAAAGGAGCCGAGGGAGCTGATCCCATTTCCGTCGAAGTGCTGAAGATTGTGTCACTTGCGGCGGAAAGACAAGGATGCAAATTGATCTGGTTGGACGCCTTGTGTATCCTCCAAGACGACGACGACGACAAAGCATGGCAGATCCAGCGCATGTACGACATTTACCGCTCCAGTACCGACTGCATCGTCGCTCCAGGCGGACTTCAGAGACTCGTCTCCCTCACCGAGGAGACGACCTGGGCAAGTCGCGCGTGGACCCTCCAGGAAGCCATTGCGCCGCCCTCGGTGCACTGTTTATTCGCATGGGATCGTGGCAGCTGTTACTTTCAGTCGAATTTCCCGCTGCCGGTGGTGCAGCTTGAGAATACAAAGGCGGCAGTTGCGCCGCTGAAGAGTGCGTTGGAGATGTCGATGAAGGGGAGCGTGGGCCTTTACGATATGAAGGGGAAGCAGATGGATTTGCCGTCTGAGGACTACAGGATCATGTTGTTTGGGGATTCGAGGAGGGATCGGCCGCGGATTAGGGAGTTGATTGATGCGATGGACATGAAGGGCAAGACGGGCATGTTCACAGCGATATGGCGCTCTTCGTTTATGAGGGCGGCAAAATACCCCGTTGATACGGTGTTTAGTATTATGGGTATCATGGGAGTGACGCTTGACACGAGCAAGTTTGGGCTGGAAGATCGATTGGGTGCAACGATTGCCTTGATGAGGGCGATTCTGGCGCGGGGTGGACGGGCGGAGTGGTTGGGCATTGCGACAAAGGCGCTGCCGAATCCGAAGTTGTCGACTCTGCCTGTGTTTCCGCAGGTTGATGCTGCGAAGAGGCCGATACTGGAGACGAAGGATGGAATGAAGGATATTGCGGATATCATGGACACGGGGTGGAGGCTTGAAAATACCCCGGTAGGAGTCATGGAAGATGATGGGCATTTCCGGTTCAGCGCATTTTCGACGTCTGTGAGGCGGACGAAGGAGGAAGGGGAGTCTGCGACGGTGTTTCGGTCGGAGACGTTGGGGAATTGGGAGGTTGTGGAAAAGGAGGAGGGATCACATACGGCTGTTTTGATTGGCAAGTGGGAGCAGTATAACAACGGGGCGTTTGGAGTGCTGCAGAACCCGTGGGATCAGGCGTTGATGATACTGGAGGAGGGGGGTGGTGGGAGGTTTAGTAATGTTGGGTATGCTTTTGTGAAGGAGGAGGTTGTGAAGACGGGAAATTGGGAGGAGAGGACAGTTGTTGTTGGAGGGCCGAATTAGTTTGTGCTTTGAAGGTGAATATGATGTCGTGGTTCTTCCGGGGATGGCGAGGAGGCGAATGCGGAGCGGACTCGGGTATTCGGAGAAGAGGAGAACATGGTCGAGAACTTGTCGAGAACGTTGGAAGTGGCTCTGAGTTGGATGAAGTGAGCTGTTGATTGATGAGCAATCCAGCTATATGCTTATTGAAGTATGCTGTTTGGGTCAGCACTTGACTCTCCGATGTTGAAAGATCATGTCAGCGTGGTCGTGTATAGGTATGCAACAGCTTTACTAGGAGAAAAACTCCGTTTCTAGAATTCCCATCGGGTTTACAACAAAACTCACCATCCGGATACCGAAAAATTGGGTTTAAACCCGTCGGTAGACAACAAACAGGTGAGAACCTAATCAAGTCTTATTGTTCATCTGCTTGCTCAGTCTAACTTGTTCACATCTCCTGATGCTTCTGTAATCCGCTCCGCAAGCCACACGCCCCGCTTAACTCTAAATTCTCTCTGATTTCCGCTTTTGGCAATTTCTTCTCAATCCGCCGTCGTTGGACTAGAGGTACTTGAGTACTTGGTCTATCGGGAGCAGTTCAGTCAGCGCGAGATCGAGATCGAGGTCTATTTGCTCTAGGAGAGGCACCAGGACTGGACCTCTATAGTAACTGAGTACTCGTCAATTGCATTGACGGTCTACATTGATGTGGTCAATTTGCACTGGTATTGCATCTCACGGTGTATCGTTCCTCTCGCAGAGTCAATGTTGTAATCGTGTATAAAAAACGACCTCGTTGGTATGCCAGTCAATCACTACTTGAATATGAACCGTGGGATTATAATTCCGCCTGATACAGATATTTTAACAACAGCTTCTTTCCTCATCAATCGTAGTTATCCTATACACAGAGCCCGTTGTTGTTCACAGATCAAATGCCTTCAGACGAATGCGAATGCGAATGCCTTTATTTCCGTATTTGTCAGCTTGGAGGTGTTGCAACTTACACTGGGCGATAGTACTCCCGTAGTTCTGACAAGCTGAGTTACCATCGTTCTGACACTGCAAGAAATGGGAAATATTTCAACAGAAGGAAATTAAATCTTGCTTTGAAACGTTAGTAATTCCCTATATGTAGTTATAGACTAGTTCTCGCAAGCTGGATCCTGCAAAATAGGATAATCTCCGAAAAGGCGTGCACCTCCTGTCCGGCTATACCCGATGGCTGAAAGGTGCCATCAAAATGGGTTGCATCGAACCCCATCAAGCCCATCAATGTCGAATTTCTAATCGGCGGGGTGGAACAAAATCGACGGATGACGAAACTTTCTTCTGATGCGCAGATCAGGACATGTGCGATAGTGGAGGACGAGCATGTCATGCGTTGTGATAGTATCGCGATTCAATGTTGGCAGGGGGGAGTTGTATATAAGATGCCGGATGCCGTCACTGAAGTTTGCTCTTTTTCGTCACACCAGCTCGTGCTTTATCACTACACAAGTTTGTTCCTTCTAAGCGACAGATAGACTTATAGAGACCAAGAATATTTTGATCAGCGCATCGCCAACTTCGACTTCGTTTATTCAACAGCGACAACTGCAGCAACAAATCGACTCAACAACAGTCAACACAATGGCCGTCCCCGAGACTTTCAAAGCCTGGCGCCGCACCTCTGGCGAGCTCCCCCTCTCCGTCGCCCCAAGCACCGAAACGACCCCCAAGAGCCTCGGCCCCAAAGATGTGCTCGTCAAGGTCCACTCCGTCTCCCTCAACTTCCGCGACGTGGCCATGCTGCACGGGCAATATCCCATCTCCGTCATCGACAAGGGCATCCCGGCCTCTGATGCCGCCACCGAGGTCGTGGCCGTCGGCTCGGACGTGAAGAAGTTTGCCGTGGGAGACCATGTGTCGCCCAATTTCTTCCTCAGATATCTCACGGGTGAGGAGACTGGAGGAAGGGAGCCGCTGGGAGGAGATGTGGATGGTGTTTTGGCAGAGTATGCGGTTTTCAAGGAGGAAGCCCTTGTGAAGCTGCCCGATTATCTTTCTTGGGATGAGGTAAGATCAGTTAACTGTGGTTTGTATGATATGGATGGAACCGTTTCGCTGACTGAATCGACGTGTATAGGCCTCTACGATCCCTTGCGCAGGCGTTACAGCTTGGGTCTCGCTTGATGGATTGAAGAAGCTGAAGCCGGGCAAGAGCTACGTCCTCCTGGAAGGTAAGTTATTGGTGTTTACCATTCACAAGTCTCATTTCTGACTGGCGAATGTTCCAGGCACTGGCGGTGTCAGCATGTTTGCCCTCCTTCTCCTCATCGACGCCGGCATCAACACCATCATCACGTCCTCGTCCGACGCCAAGATCGCCCAGCTCGAGAAGCTCAGCCCGCTCATCACAGGCGTCAACTACAAGACGCACGGCGACGTCAGCGGCGAGGTCAAGCGCATCACCGGCGGCAGGGGCGTCGACATTGTCATCAACAACAGCGGCATCAGCAACATTCCGTCCAACATTGAATCTGTCGGCACCAATGCAGACATTGCGATTGTGGGATTCCTTGGCGGCTGGGATGCAGACTGGAGTCCGAGCGAGCTGCTGAAGCTCATCTTCAAGCCTGCCTCTCTGCGGTAAGTTTCATGGACGAACGCACATTGAGTTGAAAGGTTTACTGACATGGGTTTAGCGGAATTGGCGTCGGCACGAGACTCGACTTTGAGAACCTGAGTGCCTATCTGGCAGAGCGAAAGATTGCGCTCAAGACGCTCATCGACAAGGTGTTTGCGTTTGACGAGTCCAAGGAGGCATTTGACTACTTGTACTCGGGCCGCCACGTCGGCAAGCTGATTATCAAGGTGGCCGAGTAGGCGGTATGATGTTGGTTGCAGATGTGAAGATGGCTTTGTTAGTATAGTGCGAGGTGACGAGGTAGAGTAGCAATAGAAGCAGGGTGCGGCAAGGGCCTTGTACGACAGGATTTGTGTGTTGAAACTTTGATACAGAGTAGATAGATTCTATATACGACCTTATACACTGCATCACAGAAAGCAATACTAGTCCCAGGGGTCAGCAGGTTCTGACGGGGTTCAAGGCAATGGGGACGTGGTTAGGTGCGTACCCCTGATCTTCTGCCAATACCTTGAGCTTTGTTCCGACCTTACTGTTGTCAGTCGAGCAGCTTAAGGTTATTTGACAAGCGTATCCAAATGCGCATATTCACTATCCCTGTCCTGATACGCTTTCTCTTATACAATACCTACACAAAGCAAATCAATCTCGATTAGCGCCAAGTCCCTCCAGCAATTGCGCATCATTTCCATTGAAACAACCTCCCTTCACCACCGCTCATCTCAATGTTATCCTTGCAACCTGAGCTCAATAACCCGCTCGATACTACACCGGCACGGCGCCCCAAACTCTTCATAGATTGCCTTCGCCCGCTGTAACCGTTCACTTTGGACTATCTGTTATTTCACAACGTTTGCCATCAAAGTGTTGCCAATAAGGGCTTTCGCCGCCTCGCTGAGCCTTTGTCCCTACTCCGACGCCCGTCAACTGGCCCAACTCGCCTTTTAACATCGCTTGAGCCGTTTAGGCTTCGGCAGATAGAACGTGGGGCTCTTCGTGGTTCAAGTCACTCAGGAAGCCGCCCAGATAGTCAGTCTGGTCTGACAGTAGAGCCATCGGTTCGAGCGGTTTGCCCCTTAGAAGGATTGATCTACTATACTGTTCCATACCTACTTAGGTAGGTACCGGTTCATCATATCATCCACTGCTACTAGCAGTGTTCGCGGAACGGAACATCCCGCGCAGCCTTCGTTATCTTCACATTAATAAAGATTCATTTGCTCACCAATCTGCCCCTCAGGAGATTTCCTGTATAAGAAATAAGCGATATCGGGACAGGGGTAATGAAATAAGCGTATTGAATACGCTTGTCGAATCCTCCGCACAAGCTGCAGCTACTAGTATAGTCTGCAAATTCCACAGCTGCATGCCATAACTGCAGGGACAACCGAGTCAGGCTGGCCAGTCGAGTTAGGCTCATGGCCATGAGTATAATTGCAATACTAGTAGTATTGTATTGCACTTGGGGTGTATCAAGAATGGGGAACTCATGCGAGAGGCCTAGCCCTTACTTACTAGAACTGGCTGGTGTCACAGCCGATAAGGCTGCCTCTCTCACGTTTCGAGAGCTGCCTTGCCTTTGTGGGAACTCGGCCATTTCCCGATTCCCACTCTTGCCCTATTTGAGAGCGACCAGGGTTCCCCATTATTAACAACCCGCTGGCGGCCTTACTAGTCCTGTTCAATCCTGGCTCCAAGTTTGCTGCCAGGTTCAGAGGATCTGCCGTTCCTAACTTGCTAACGTCGCGCAACGTGCCATGGTGGTCGAGACGCTCTCTTTCATCTTGATCGAACCATGGCCCAGAACGACACATCCAGGTCAGAATAGGCCTAACTGATGAACTGATATAGCTCAGGGTCCATGTAGATGGCGAGCCTCCCTGTCGCGGACTTGGAGTCAGCACTATCAGGAAATATTACAGGTAGGATTCAACTGAGCATCTCGTGGCCTCTCGTCCCCATTCAGGATTCCGAGGTTCCACTTGGCGGTGCGAACAAGATCCTTCATGGGAGCTGTGAGTCGACATATAAATGATGCTCTCCGACTGTAGACTCTCTAGAAAACTACAGCCCATGGTCTTCGACCTTATTCCTCTCCTTGTTCCTAAGCCGCACTCTGCCCTTGTTGCGGTCTACCGACCATGCGGTCTCTGCGATCGCTACTGTTGGTGATCGGGGCTTTGCTCCAGGGTCCCGTTGGAGCCCTCCATATTCCTATAACTGAGAACATCTCTTTTCCTTTCCACGACATCCACCATCCCGAGGGCGTTCCGCTTGTTCGGCGTGATGATCCCCTCGTGGATCTGCGCATTATGCCATTGGGTGCTTCCATCGTTCACGGCATCGGATCCGAACCCGAGCTGAATGGGTTTGTCTTCGGTTGACTTGCAGTCAAGTAATGCAATGAGGGCTGACCAGTTTGTTTCCTTTCTCAAGCTTCCGAGGGTATTTGCGACAGGCACTCAGGTTCAATGGTTTCCAAGTGGACATGGTGGGTTCCATGCAGACGGGAACCATCGAGGATAACGTAAGTCCAATGTTTTTGTCACCTCATGCTATAGGTAAACTTGGGTGAGCCGGAATTCCGCTAACAAGACCCGTGGACCTCAAGGACAATGAGGGTACGCCGGGAGCCATCATCGACGAGACAGAAAAGCATTTCGACAACTCAAGGAGCCTCAAGCCCAATGTCATTGTGATGAACCTCGGCACAAACGATGCCAATAGAAACATAGATGTGGCTAATGGGAAGACGCGGATGAACACGTTACTCATGCATATCTGGGGATCTGAAGGCATGGCCGATGCTTGCATCATATTGTCGACTCTTATTCCGAGTGGCCTTGCCGCTGGCCAACAGAACAACCCCATCCTCAATGCGGGCTACAGGGAGCTGGTCACCGAGCTTCAAGGCCAGCACTGCATCTACCTGGCCGACATGGATCCTGTTGATGGCCCTGCCCATGGTTGGCTCGCTCCGGACATCAATCCGGATGGCATTCACCCCAACAAGGTCGGCCATAGCAAGATGGCGTACATTTTCTGGCAGGCCATCTTACGAGCATACAACGATGGAAATATCATGGATCCCCTCCCCATCGACGAAGGCCAGACAGACCCTGGGACGGGCTGCGACAAGGTGTACAATTCGGGCTCATACGCCGGGTTGACGCAGCTTGGCTCCGGGGTTGACGATGGAATCTATTATCATTCGCAAACATCTGAAGGAATTCTATTGAATCATACCTCCCAATACGACCAAGGGCAGTTCTTCTTTGCTGCTTTGTACGGCCGCAAGTACGATGACTTCCTTGGCTGGTATAATGGTTCTGATCTTCCCTATCAGAACAAATTTGCTGTCTGGAAGAACTCTGGCGGCGTGTTCACGAGGATTGCAGACCTAGACCCTGATCTACACTGCCTACCACGGGGGATCCAATTCGTCGATATGAATTGTAAGTAATATTCTTGTCGTTCTTGTTCCTCTTTCATACTTTGTCTTTCCACTATTTCTTTTTTCCTCGCCTAGGGGCTAATGAACTGGTAGCCGATGGACTCGATGATATTGTCTGCATTGATCCAGATGGCAATGCATACCTCTCAATCAACCAGGGAGATGGTACGGCCACGACACCGCCAACCTTCAAGCGCGTCAGCAGTACGGCCAAGATCAGGGACACTGTGGGATTCAAGCAGGATCGCATCCGTTTCGCCGACATCGATGGAGATGGCCGCGGCGACTACCTTGCCCTTGACGATGGCGGAAACATCCAGGCTTGGCGCAACGGCTGGGTTGACGATATTCCCCAGTACTGGGAGTACCTCGGCACGCGGTTCCAGGCCAAAGGCAAGGACACCATCGACGGGGTCCGGATGCTGGACATTAACGGCGACGGCAGGGCAGACTGGCTCTTTGTTGACAAGACTGGCGGAGTGGAAACGTGGACCAACTCGAGAACCTGCCAGAGCGGCCACTCCGGTGATGGCCTCAAGGTTGATTGGCGTCAGGGGTTTGCACTGGGAGCTTCGTCTGGCAACACGCATCCCGGTGTGGGAAAGGCCAGCGATGGGGATATCCGCGATCGTATCCTCTTTGGTCGTGTCTGGGGCGAACCCCAGGATTTCGGTAACTTTGGCCGCAAGGACTATGTCTATCTTGAACACAGCCTTGATGGAACGACCCACACATTCCGGATGAGGGCTTGGAAGAGCGCCGGTCGCGGCGGCTCCAAGGTCAAGGCAGATGGAGTCAAGTACTGCAACATGCTGAACCATCCGAATGGCGAGGTAGACTACGTATGGACGTGGTCAAACGGTAAAATGATCCTGTACCCCAATGCCGGCAAGGGCACGGTCGAGGCTGGGGAGTCCTACTGGGGTCCCAGCGAGACCATCTTCGACCCGAAGGCACTCATCGGCAAGGATCTCGACCGGCGGGATCTCCATCTGATGGACTGGGACGGTGATGGCGATTGCGACATTGTCTGGACGGATCCCGACAACGACAACCGGCCTTCGGTGTGGCTCAATCTCTACCACACAACAGGGTCCTGGACAGACCCCAACACGTGGAGTTACTTTCCCAACGCACAGTCTTCAGCCTCGGCCGTCTCCTGTAAGGAGAAGCGCGGTTTCAATCTCCATGATCACGCTGTTCAGTTTGCGGATCTTGATGGCAACGGGCGAGACGACTTCCTCTGCCTCAGGCGAGATGGCTACATCTCTGCGTGGCTCCATAACGACGACAACAGCTGGACGAGCGTAGGCCAGGTCAAATTTGCCGAGGGTAAAGATCGAGCCAACTTGCGGTTTGCCGATGTCAACGGAGACGGCGTAGACGACATGCTCTGGGTCGACAAGTACTTCGGCGATGGCTATGTTTATTACAACCGAGGTCCTGGAGACCGAGCGGCGGACGCCGGATCATACATCCACTGGGATCATGTCACAAAACCTGTATACAACAGCGACCGTGCGGGGACCTGCGTCTACTTTGAGGACTTCGACGGCAATGGCATCGCAGATATCCATGCCATCCGGGATGTGTACAGCAACCAAGCCGCGACATGGCTCAGCCCGTCCTGCTCCGTCAAGAACAACAAAGGTGACGGAGGAACGTGTTGTGATGACCCCCAGCTGCCGGTGCAGCCCGGAACAGCCGGTGGCGGGTCCGGCGGCAGCGATGGAGGCGGAAACCAGTGCATCAAGGGCCACGGCCCTGACGACTTCAACGACCTCTGCGTCTTCGCGTGCCAGTACGGCTTCTGCCCAACTCCTTGTGTCTGCGACGAGCGGGGCACGCCGGAACCGGAGCCGGCCAGAAGCCGTGCTCCGGGAGTTCCAGCCTCCGACAAGGGCAGAGAGTACTCCCTGCTCTGTGCATGGTCGTGCGCCCGTGGGAAGTGCCCCTCGGCGACCTGCCAGGCCTCGCCCGGCGGCGTCTTCGCATACCAGCCATATCCACCTGACAACACTGACCCCAACGTCATCCCGACGGAGTGCTCATTCTACGGATATGCGATTCTTGTAGGCTGCAACGTGGACTCGTGGAAGAAAGACATGAGTTACGACCCTCTTGCTCCGAACCAGGACTGCTCGAACCCGGCCGATGCAACAACGCCTTGGAAGTGTGCCTGCAACAACTGCGGCAAAGCAGGCAACGACCTCAACCTGGGTCCGGCCGAGCGCTGGAACTCCGTCTTTGCGCAAGAATGCATGGAGGATCTCACCGAGTGGTACTGGCAGGAGACGGATGCCGGCCGAGTCGACGCCTCCCAGCGGAGCCTGCCCGACGTGGTGGGAAAAGAATTCGGAGGCCTTGACGGCAACTGCGCGTTCAAATCGCCACCGGAATTCTACTGTGATGTGATTGGAGATTCTGGATGGTATGTATTTTGCTTGATCTACTTTGTGGAGAGATGTTGCCAACGTACACGGAAACTGTTTGCTGATATCAACATCAAATGCGTTGTAGTATCCCTGTCACTTGCGGTAAGACCTTGTACGCAGCGGTTGACCTGGTCCTCAATTCGTTCTACAACGTCTTCAATGTACATAACAAAATGTATCATTCGCTCGACAAGGTTGCCCAAGATGTCACGCATGCGGCCGATACGGTATGTCTATTGAACCCTTAGTACTGCCATGCGTTCCACTGCTAAATTGACGACACGTCGTTAGATTCACGATACATTTTCCAAAGCCAATTCGGCCACTCTGCTAGAGGTTCTTCAGACAGCTTTAGACGTCTTTGATGGCATCTTCTCCATTGCGGGAGCTGGAATATGGGAGAAGGTAAGTTGTGCAGTGGCGATGTGCTAGCAGTGTATGGGCAGCTAACCGTCTCGATATTTGATAGTTCCTAAGCGCTGGGGTCTTTAAAGCCCTCACGGCGGGTGTGGATAAAGGCTCACAACTCCAAGAGAGCGTCAACGGAGCGATATCAATCTACAAATCAGCCGCTGGTGACGCGAAAACATCGTAAGCTATACCGTTACATATACTCCCTTTGTCGTTGCTCTTTTGGATTGCTCGCTAATCTATACTTGTAGGAAGGAAAAGGACATGGACGATGCCAAGGAGATTGCAGACGCCGCTCAAGTGTACGCCGACGCCGCCATGGAATCCATTGACAACTTCATGAAGTACATCTACAGCGCCGGCTATTTTGGCACGGCGGCCCTGCAAAACCTCCTCAGCGGCGGCGTCTTCCTCGACGACCCGAGCGCCAAGTACTCGGAGCTCGACTTCAGCAGCATGTTTGAGACGTGCATCTACGCACAGCTGATCCAGTTGGCCTGGAGTCTGGGCACGAACCAATACCCAGTCGTCGTGTACGATTTGCCCGACGTCAAGGCGCCCGATAGTCTGGAAGGCTCTGCCCAATTCCTTGACGAGGACGCGGCCAAGGTCCGGTATCCCGGAAACTACAAAGCCTCCAATGGAAAGGAGTACTCGCTTTTCCTGTTTAGCTTTGGGGACATCATCGAGCTGGCCGACATCACCCTCGAGCCGCTCAAGGGCCACGACGACATCGACGACGAGGACAACCAGTGGGGCGTGACATGGCGCGACATTGTCGAGAGCTCCTTTTCCGGCTTCATCGCCGCCGGCAAGAAGAACCCGTACCCGATGGCGGATGACGACGGAGACTACGGCGACGCTTCCAGCGGCAATTTCTTTGCGCATCAGCAGGGCGTCAAGTCGGCGGGCTTCGCCTCCCTGCCCGTGTGCACGGTCAACCTTGCCTTTGAGAACTATATTCACTTTGCCTTGAGCTCGGAACCGTGTGATTCGTACCCGTGCTGCGAGAGGACTTGGGACGCCGAGACTCATTATTGCAAAGGCCTGAATTCATGGTGCGAGCCAGATGGATTGTGAGCTCGGGTTTGCCCAATGAGTGCTGCATGATAATAAACCGGCGTCTATAGGTTGGTACCTTATAGGTTACGGCTTTCCAAGGATAGCCTATACAAGCAGATACAGTACTTTATTTAAGAAAATACCTAGTATTTATATATTAGAAAGTCAGGTAGTATTCATGTTAGCATAACTGGCGAGATATAGACAAGTACCTAATTGCTAGATAGCTAAAGCTACGATTCAACTTGGTAAGCACCTTTGATTGCCGAGAAGAGAAGTTCTATTGTACATAAGAGAGCATTCTATATTTCTGTGACTCTCCGGGGAACCCGTTTACATCCATGAGCACTAGCGAATCTTGTTGATCCTGTAACGCGGAGAAATCTGATCATTGCCATGAGAACGCCACGCTTCCCAGATCTCGGGGAAATGCAAGGGTCCGGCCGGAGTTTACTTAATTCTCCGCACTCCCTCATCAGCCACCCCGCCCACCAGCCCTACGGCAGATTCTCGGGAGGCAAGAATCTTGCGGCTGAGGCTGGCTTGCTAAGCTGTGGCGCAGCAACCTCCCCTCGCTGTTCGCTGCTTCGTTGCAAGGAAACGAGGCAAGGAGGGGCTGACAGATGGCGCTTTACCAGAAAGAGCATAAAAAGGGGGGTCGAGAGAGGCCGCCGTGACGTATTACCAAGCACCCTGCCGAAGGTGCCCGAATCACCGACAGGGAACAGAAGCAAGTGCTAGTAGTAGTCTAAGCAGGCGATTCGCTCTTGCCGATCGTCTTGAATCGCATCGCGTTGCAGAACGGGAAAGAAACTGAGTAAGCCATGGCTGATATTCTGTTCATTTGCCCTGGAAAAGATTTTAAAAGGCTTTTTCTTGATATGATGCTATAAAGGAGGTCTGCTGATACGCGTATCTGCGGAATCTTATGTTAGCAATCCCGTATTGCAGGTGTACGTATGCTTCGCTCTTGCCCCCAGCTGAGCACGGTCTATATATATCGGTCGCATCTCCGAGAAACATCACCTGTTAGATTTGTAATCATCACGCAAACTCTCCCTTTTCCTGTACACTCGATCCATTCCAAGGCTATATAGGTGCCTCTTGGTATTTATATGGTTTTTTTATCTGATAGTCTAACAAGACAACTGAATCTATCAACTACTTGACGCCACAAATCACAGCTCATTGCAACACTTGCTACCTACCACCTCTTATACCTGAGTCAGGCGCAAGACACCAAATCGCAACACATCATGGATGTCGCATCGCATCCAAGCGAACGCTCCATGGACTACAGCAACGAAGATACAGCATCAAGACAGCCGCAGACGATGGATCCTATAGCAAACGACCACAGCGACAACAAACACACAACTGCCGACATGGAAGTCGACTGTACGACGTCAGCACCCGCGTCAGCACCGTCAGCATCGCAAGATGCGGACCTTCACAGCGAAAACGACAGCGAGTGCGATAGCGAACCCGAGGGTCGACCAGAAATGGTCGCCATCACCGTGTCGCATCGCGGCCACAGGTTTCCCTTCGAGCTCGATGCCGACCTCACCGTCACCGACCTGTTCCGCGAGATTGAAAACGTGCTCGAGATACCCTTTGAGAACATCAAGGTCATGGTGCCCAAGGGCCCCTTCCTCAAGTACCCCTTCAAAGACGCCGAGTATTCGGTCAAGAACCTCGCCGGAAAGACGGTCACCGTCATGGGCTCGACCAACGCCGACGTACAAGCCGTCCAGTCAATGTGCCAGAAACTCAACAACATCAAAGCGGCTCGCGAGGCGCAGCGATCCAAGGCAAAGAGCAAGACACCAGCCAGACGCCGCGGCGTGCAGTCTGCCGAAGACTCCAAATACACATTCTTGCAAGTGCGGCCGCTTAGCGGGTTGCCTCATCCCGAGCGCAGCCTCAAGCTGCTGATGCGACTCAAGGAGGATCCTGGCATCAGGGCGGCCATGCGCAAGCACAAGTTCACCGTTGCGCTCCTGACGGAGATGGAACCGCTGGCACACACGCAGTCGACGCATGAAGGAACGACGCGCATCCTGGGTCTCAACCGCAACCAGGGCGAGGTAATTGAGCTGCGACTGCGGACCGATGCCCACGACGGCTACCGCGACTACAAGACGATTCGCAAGACTTTGTGCCACGAGCTTGCCCACAACGTTCACGGGCCGCACGACAGGCAGTTCTGGGATCTGTGCCACCAGATTGAGCGCGAGGTCGACGCTGCCGACTGGAAGTCCGGCGGCCACACCCTCGGCGAGACGTCGCGATACCACATTTCGGGCCAGGACCAGGAAGAGGAGGACGTCCACGAGGATGACGGCGGCTGGACTGGCGGCGAGTTTGTGCTGGGCGGCAGCAGAAAAGCGAGCAGCGCGGGTCTAAGTCGACGGGAGATTCTGGCGCAGGCTGCGCTGGAGAGGCAGAGGAAGGAGGCGGAGGAGGAGGCGACTGCGGTGGAAGCGGTGGAGAGGGGATGGAGGCCGTGCCAGAGGCCGCAGCCGAACAATGATGGCAACATGTGAGGTTCGAGAGTATAAAGAGGAGGAAGCATTGCATCGGTTTGGCGTTATCATGGTCGGGGAGTTGGCAGCTGGTTTGGATTTGCAGCGTGTTTGATGGAAGCATTTGAACGGGTTTGTGCATGAGATTGCATTGTTGTTTGGCGATCAAAAGGAGATTTGGTTCGTCTTGTCAAAGTATAGCATCTTATTTGTATAATTTCCGAGTACTGATTAATGCCCATATTTATCTGTTATTTTACACGTTGACAATCTGCCTGAACTGCGTTACGTATCGCCCTCAATAAGGCAGAGGATCCAAATCCAACCCGTCAACCGTCAGCTTGAACGCATCGTTCCTCGAATAACTTCCCGCCGTGTCCAGATCCAGTCTCCCACGGATACAATCCCGTAGATCGATATCTGCATAAATGAGATTATCCTCGTCTTCCCACTGCGGACCGGCGAGGACGTCACCAAACGGAGAGACGATGGAGGAGCCGCCGCGGGAGAGGAAGACGGGCGCTTTTGGTACGGACGCGGGCTGTTGATTCTGTGTTGTGTCGTCTTCTGTGACTTTGGGGAGCTGTTTTTGCTTCTGTTGCTCTTGCGCCTGCGCTTGTGCTTTTGCTTGGGCATGTGCTTGGTCTTCTGCTTCGTCTTCGGCTTGGACGTCGCCATTGTCTGCGGGACACGACAGCACAATCTCGTTCCCATCCTCGTCAAACACGCTCTTCCGCCGTCCATGCCTCACCTTTGGCGGCGGCACCGCAAACTCGAACCCATCATCCATAACCACCGCCGAACTCCTCCTCGCACCCCCAAACCCTCCTCCTCCACTAAACACCCCGGCCCCGGCCCCGGCCCCGGTCCCGCGCCTCTTACCCCCGGCCACCGGCACGACATCCCGGTCCCCCGCATCCGTGCCGTCCGCCTCGTCGCCCCGGACGCACATGTTGCTGCTGACGACGAAGCAGCGGCCCTCGACGCCGATGGTGCGCATGAGGCTGAGCCAGCCCTCGCGGCCGTCGGCCGTGGGCGCGAGGTAGAGGTTGATGTTTTGCGCGTAGAGGGCCTGCCGGACGAGGGGCATGTAGTTCTCCCAGCAGATGGCGGCGGCGAGGTTGATGCGCTGGCCGCGGATGAAGGTGGACACGGCGCGGAGGGTCGAGGGGTGGCCCTGGGCCCAGATGAGGCGTTCCGTGCCTGTCTATAATACGATCATGTTAGTTAAGGGCATGTGAACGAGATAATGTGATGAGTTGGAGCTTCACGCACTGGCATCACCTTGCGCCGCTTGCCGATGATGCCCTCCTTCGGACACACATATACCGCCGCGCAATACAAGCTCCCCCCGGCCTTCTCAATACAACCCGTAACATAGAACACGCCCGTATCCCGCGCGATCCGCTCCAGCTCCTCCCTCGATCCGTCCCCGCGTCCAGCACCACCCTGCTCGTAACCCGGCAGCTCCCGCCGCACCCACTTCAATCCGGCGCCGGCGCTGCCATCGCCGACGGTGTCGCCGAGGTCAATGGCCTGGTCAAAGTATCGCGCGTACGCCTCGCGGCCCTCGGCGGTGCGGCTGCCGACGACGCAGCCGAAGGCAGTGCCGCGCGGGTAGCCGCCGATGAAGGCCTCCGGGAGGAGGAGGATGTCGATGCGCTGGGCGGCGGCGCGGGAGGCGATGGAGTGCAGGAGGGAGAGGGTGAGGGGGGTGGTAGGCTGGGTATTGGGCGAGGCTGTTCCTACGCGGATTGTCATGGCGGGGGAAAGATGTGCTGGTTCTATATCGTTACGAGAGATGAGGAAGATGCGGATATGAGAGAGATGAGGGGAGATGAGAAGATGGAGATGGTGTTGAGGCTATATAAGTGCCGCTGGGGGATCATCATGCAAGCTGCCCGCACTTGGCCCAGGCAAATCATCAATCAAGTTTTGCGCCATGTCAGCTCAGCTCACCCATCATCATGCCAACTTAGTCAACCTTTTGCCGCTTCCAGGCCTTTTCTTCTCCTCACTTATTACCATTCTTGGATCGCCGTAGCCTAGTCGCTTCTTGTCTCGTTTAGGAATTGTCGGTCGAGTCGTTCATTTTTCTTTTTACTTGGCGATGGCTTATATACACCTGTTAAAACAAACAATGACCGATATATGGGGTTGCATGGGTTCAGGACGCCGAATTCGGCTGCTGAGATGGTGCGGCATCTGCGGCATTGGCGGTATTAGTATGTATTTCTTGGACGTTTGCGGCTGGCTGGGTTAGACTCCAAATGCTTAGCAGCATAGCGAGGAGCTGGACCGGATTGCATATAAGTAGCATTACCTACCTATCCTCGTCCGGTTGCTGCATTACCTGGCAAGCATGATAGATGATCATACGTGGCTGCACCTGGCGTCGGTATATTCCGCCTCACCGAAGCTGCGGGCTGTATATAAAACACATATGCTTTTGCCTAATCATACGGGTATCCTATGGCTATCACTGGACATATAGGTAGGAACAGGCCTGTGTATTTCCATCTTTGCCTCACATACTTGCATTGTATCAGTAGGTAGTAGAATATTGGCGCCGGTCCTCTGTGTCTCCAAAGGGGTTCCTGAGCCGCAAGGCCGAGGTCAAGCGTCAACTATATAGCAACCAAGGACCATTAGGAAAAAGGACGGCTGCTGGTCGGCCACTCCGTAATGATATTCTCGGGAATCATTCCGTCAAAAGTCCATCATCTGATAGCCCAATAAGGTATGGGTTGCCGCAGCCACGTAGAATTGCAATATTTGACCCTGAAGCAGCAGCTCCTACTGGTCGATAATCCGGCGGTAGCCACAGCAACTTCTCACTATGCCTCATGATCCATTCGCCATCATGACTTATATGATGCTTGATCAGATATTCGTCCCATGATATTTCCTCTGGTATATCGGCAGCGATCTCGAAATCGAACTTGACGAAGCTCGGATCTATGCGCCAAGGGCTCCTCGCAAACATGTAATGGAGGCACTCCCTCAAATATGCACCTGTTGCGCAATCCCAAATAGCCCCTCGTCCGTCCTTAGGGACAGCTGCTAGTCGATTCCCACTGGGAGAAAATGCCAACTTTGGGACATATGACCCAGATAAATTTATAGATGTGAACTTGTCCCCAGTCGAACCCTCAATCCAGATCGAGCCATCAGCGTAGGAAGCAACCTGATCACCATCAGCAGAGATGACCACTGGGAACCACCTGGATAGATCTTCTCGGCGCCGCATCTCTTTCAGCAACTTGCCCGTACGAGACTCCCATAACCCGATTCTCCCATCCTCTGAAGCTATCACAAGTCTCTCGCCATTCGCTGAGAGGGCTATCGAGTTGATGTGTTTGTAATCGTGAAGGGGCGTAGGGAGGCTCCTTCCTGTTTCCACGTCCTGCAATTCAAGGTGTGCGTGATTGAAGGCCCCAGAGATGTTGCCTTCCGCACAAATGATTGATCTGTTGTCTGTTGGGAATGGCACCGTGACGCATTTCTTCCCATAGTCGTCCCACAATTTATACTCAGATGCAAACGCGTCGGAAGTAACAAATCTCCGGCCATCCATTGCTATTGCAATGCTGCGCATTAACGGACGATGCCTTGGCATTTCCTCTTTGTCAGCTTCTATTGAAAGGTCCCAGATTTTGACCGTCCCGTCACGGGATGCCGAGGCAAGCCAAGCTCCGTCTTGCGTGAATGCCAACGAGGAAACAGACGATATATGCCCTGTGAGGGCACTTAGGCGGGTGCCTCCTTTCCACTCCCAGATGAGGATATTTCCTTGGAGGCCTCCCGTGGCTATCCATCGACCATCCGGTGAAAATGTCGCCGATTCTATGCGGGTTCCGCCATCGAGAGTCTGTAAGCACGCCGCTGATGCAACGTCCCAGATCCTGATACTGTAGCCATAGTAACTCGCTGCCAAATACTTATTATCTCGTGAGAAACACGCCCAGCGAGGGTTTCTTGTGTCGAAGTTCTTGCTAAGATCCATCTTCACACCGGATGGAGGCCTATCCTTGCACCTCATGTCGAAGACGCTGATTCCTCCCTGGCCTACACAAGCAGCCCGTTCTCCATTGGAGGATAGGACCAGCTGTCTCCGACCATTATACCTGAAGTATTCCGGAAGATCATAGGTCAGGTCCGATTCAAAAACCTTGACTAAGCCTCCGACTGTGAATAACAGTGTTTGCTCATCTTGAAAAGCTACTGTGGAGCTATATGCACCCCTAAAGCTTGAAACATCTTCATCAAGTGAAAGCGTACAGTCCAGCTTTTGGAAACAATTTTGCTGACTCATGTCCCACAATGAAGTTGATCGGATTGTCCGGCAGGCAAGTTTGCCGCATTTAGAGAAGGCTATTGAGAGGACCATGGGGCCTATATCATCTTCGCACAGTGTTTGCAGGCAGACACCTGATTTAGGGTCCCATATATTGACAGTTCCTGCCGAATTACCGGATGCGAGGATACCTTGAGCGGAGAAGGCGACACAAATAGGCTCACCATCATGACCTTCAAGAGTTTGTAAACATGAGCTCCACGTTGGGTCAACGATTGGTGTTCGAATAATCCACTTATGACGACAGGTGTCGAACGTTTTCCGGATAACACTGTTGGTCGGAGAAAAGGTCAATGCCGAGCTGTAGAGCTGCAATGGCGCAGTATCAATGATTTGACTGAAGTAGAGGATGAAGCGATCGGCATCGTCTAAGAAGGCTCTCATTTCTGCACCATCGGTCGACTATGGGGATCAGCATAGCTAGACAGCAGCAAGGTTGAGGATAACTCACATGTAAGATGACCTTCAATTCCCTGACCATTGACACTATCTCTGAGGTCCTTTCTAGCCAACTCAATGCTTCCACCCAGTGGAGAAGGTGAGAGGAGAGGAACGTATGCCAGTCATCGCCGCCAATTGGGTGCAGTCCGCACTTCATCAAGTGGTAGATCCAAAATCTGCAAGCATATTGTATCTCCTGTGACAGTGACATCTGGATAGTTTCCTCTGCAACTTCGCTTCGGTACGTTCCAGGGCTCTTCAATTTGCATATATTCTCCCTCAAAGCTCCACGTAGAAGCTTAATGCATTGAGTAGTGAGAAAAGTATGCACTTTGGCAGAGTCAGGTTTGAATTCTTCATTTGCGTCGGGTCCAAGAGTAAAGTCTCTGAATGATTCGTGGAACAAACTGATCGGCGTCGAGCTGTCCTGCTCCTCTGGGACTACCAAGACCGACCGAAAGTGCGACAGCTCTTTGCGGACTGCTGCCTCAGGCTGGTCCAAAAGTTTTGCAAGACAAGGAATTGTGATGGAATCCGCGAGGCAAAGGACTGATCCAATAACCTTCTGAAACTGTTTCTTTGCTGTAATGCGATTCTTATTATTGAGGCCGAAGAATCTTCGATTCATAATCGGGAGATATACTCCGTCAAGGTCTCCGTAATTACTGGACTCCAGTATATCCTGAAGTAGATCCCTTGGTTGTCCCGGGATCTCTGTCTGTCCAATAAATCGACAAGCAGCAGCGGCAAATTCGAATAACGGAGAAGCTCGATCTGTGAGTTTCCTGAGGATTTCGACATTTGCAGGATTTGACCACGGGCTAGAATTTGGCAGCCGCTCCAAGAGGCCGTCGATATTTTGTAGGTGAATCCTCAAATAGCACTCAATATCTTGCTTAATGGTGTCAGATGTGGCTCTCTCAAGCTCAGTCTTCTCGTATGCTTCCTCGGGAAGTCTGTTGAAACCAGATTGTGTGCGATGGTCCAGGCGACTGGTGACAAAATATTTGACAAGAAGTTGTCCCGGAGAGGTTTTATCCCCCTGTGTACGAACCATGGATTGCGAGAGCTGCTCAACGAGAGTTTCCAGATCCCCTTTTGAGTCGCATTCATCGAGGGCGTCGACGACAACCACGATAGCTTTATGAGAGCCGAACTTTTGCTTCTGCAAGGGTTCTTGGACGAGCTTCTTGAATTGAACTCCTGGATCCTGTTCTGGCAATGAAGGCTCTGATTCTAAAGCATCTTGTACTATTGTAGCGAAACCGGGTAGCTTCCTGACGAGTTGAGCTGACAGTGTCGTGAAGAAGCGCTTCAATCTGGCCCTGTCTCCTTCACCTCTTTTGAAGAAAAAGTTGGCAACAATCCGTTTCCTTTGAGTCATCCTGCTGACAACAGTGCGCGCAATTGTGGACTTTCCTGTCCCAGCTTTGCCCTGGAGCCAGTAAAGGTGCTTTTGAGACGATTCGAAGTCATCAAGCCAGTCGCAGATATCGTCGAGAAGCTGTACTCGCGTTTGTGGAAGACATTCCATACGGCCTCGGCCATCCTCGTCGAAGCTAGGGTGGAACTCCGCCTCAGGGGCAATCACGGGTGTGAGACGATCAATGACGACTTGCTGGACTTTGTTAATCTTGGGAGGTGTATTCCTAGGTCTGTTAGTTGAGAGTAGACTTGCGCGCCGACATTCATCACTTACGGCTGAATCTTTCGTAGTTGTGCTGTAAGCTCTTTATACAGAGGATCCTCAGGGCTGGAACACTTGTTGAGTCCAGAGTGGTCTTTGTCCACGTGGAAAACTTGCATAAAATTGGTACCGAAAGTAGCCGACTCGGATGGGACAATCTGTATCGCATGAGACACTCACTCACACCTTGGTGAAGACCGGGACGAGACAAACCTTGCCTGCGTAGAGCCAGTTTAGCAAGTATGTGGGCTTTTGTTCGCAGATGGAGACAATGCTAGTTTCCTTCCCCAGATCCTCCTTTTTTTGGTAGAGGCTACGTTGAAACGCTTCGCTGAGCTTCCTTAGCGACTGTCCGCTGCTTCGCAGCGAGAGAAGCAGACCCGTATCGGAGCCCAAGAAGCCGGTCAAATAGGCAATGGTCGCCCCATAGCCGGCGATTGGGCTGCCCAAGTGAGGTGTACCTAAGAAAATGATGCCGCATGTGTCTTCTAGGATCTTCTCAGTGTCGTCTTTGTCGATAGACAAAGCCTAGAGAAGAATTGTTAATGGAGGTGACAAAGGTTGGCCGGAGAGGACGACGCTGAGGAGCGATGAACATACCTCTTTGATGACGATCCCACCAAAACTATGTCCTACGAAGATCAAAGGCAAACGCTAATCATCCCGTCAGTTACCACCTATATGAGCCGCCGTTCTTGCTACTTACCGCATGGGTTTCCCTATGCTTGATGAGTGATTCCATGAGGCGAAGCCCAATATCGTGAGCCGACTCGAAACAGGCATCAACAAGCCAGTCGGCGTTGTACGCAAAATGGAGGATGCGAGCATCTGCGAAACGCTCGTCTTTCATGAGAAGATCTTTGAGCAAATGGACGCGTTCCGAATTCTTGCCGTCTATTGACTCCGAGCTGGTTTTGCACGTCCAGGTATGCTCAGGGTCCGCCCCAAGGCCATGTACGGCAATGATTCTAAGCTGTCAGCCACCGAGTACCATCGAATCTTGAGCAGACACAACATACTCGTATTTGGGTTCACGGTCTGGAGATGTTTCGGAGAGAATATGAAGGCCGACGGAACGCCCGTCACGTCTTCGAATCTTTGCGTAGAGACGATATACCAGGGAACATAAGAAAGGCAGCAACAGAAGAAATGTTGCGGTGGCTTCTTGCAAAGTCGGCTTTCGTGGTACAGGCGCTGATTGCATCAGATTCCATGCCATGATGCTTTCGACATTCGGATTGACAAGAACGAAAGTAGTCAGAGATACGAGTGCGGGAAATTGATCGACGGAAACCAACTCATGAGAATGAAAGGTTGGAAAGTCGTGAACCAAGAGTCAGATGGCAAGGCTCATGCCGGATGCTGAGGGGTCTTGGAGCGGAGGCTTCGCGGCAAGGAATACAGCTGAGGCTGAGCTACGTGTCTCCTCTCGTTTGGGCATCAATGGCGAGCTCCCATGCATGGCTTTTCAGCTCACCGAACGACAAAAGAACCAATCAAATCAGATAGCAAAGATGCATAGAACAGCTGCATGTACTTTGGATTGAAACAATACTTTTGCGCAGAGCTGATACCACCTTGCCCCACAACCGCAGCTCAGTGGCGTCTCACGGCGCTTAAATCCCATCCAGTCATTCAGGATTGGGCGAGCATTGGGCGAGGATTCGATACAGCCTCGATCAGGCTGGGCAGTGCAGAGAGGGAGAGCAGGCTCGAGGGTGGCGATACACAGAGACGTCGGCGATTGCTGTTGTAATGAGAAACAGACAGAGCATAGTCCCACGGGAGAAAAGGGAAGAGAGAAGGGGAAAAACAAACCCTCACTTGGGACGGAATGAATATGGCAGAGCATGATGGTGTTGAGATACGAAGTAAGTCAAAAGAGAACCAGAAGTCAGCTGGCACAAGGCTTTATAATACAAGATAGTTTGACCAATGACAACTGGATCTGATCCGCTACACCGGCGCTAAAAGCGCAGGTAAATATCTTCCGTAGTATAGTGGTCAGTATGCAAGCTTGTCACGCTTGAGACCCGGGTTCAATTCCCGGCGGGAGAGACCGCCAGCAGTTCAAAACTGTAAATTTTTTTTTTAGATTTGTTTTAAATTCAGATCTCGAGTCTGTGCATTTATTTTATGCAAAAGGCACTCGCTAGCCTATCCGACAACGACGTCTCCCTCAAGGCATCTCATTACTCAAAGTACTACGAGTGGATGAAAGCGGTCGAAATTCAAAAGTATTTTACACCTCCTGACCATTTTCCGTACTTTGAATACAAGAACGTATGGGCAGAAAAGGGACATAGAGTCATGTTGCTCCTAATCACTTTTGTAGAAGATAGACAACGCTCTGCTCTGTGCAGTCATGGCCACTCATATTCCGAGTATATGCGTCATCATCCACATCATCAACACAGGTCTCGAAGCGAGGCAAGACGCTCTTTGGACTTCGTCACCTCTTCCTCGTCCGACTGGCTACCGGCGCCGGCTCAAATGCATCGTCATCCGAAACCTCGTCATCGCTAATCTCCAGCGCTTTATCCTGCGTCGCTCCCTGGGAGAAATTGAGCTTCGTCTGCCGCGACTTGGCCGCAGCGCCCCTTGCCGGCGTCTTCCTCGTCGCCGCGGGCTTGCTGGTAGCCGCCGTGCTTTTTGCATTACGCCCCCGTCCAGTGGTCCGCGCAGTTGTTTTTGGCGGCGGCGGCGCTTCTTCTTCCTCTGACTCCATCACCACGTCGTAATCTTTCTCAGCCTCTTCTTCCTCCTCGCTGTCCTCAAACGCCTTTGGGCCGCGTCGCGCCGGTGCCTTCTTGGCTGGGGCTTTCTTGGCAGGAGCCTTTGCTGCGCGTGTGGCTGTTTTCTTCGCCTTTGCTGGCGGCGGCGGCTCATCTTCATTTAAATCCAGCATGTCCTCATCCTGTTGTGGCTTTCGCGACGAACGACCCGCCGCCCGAGGCCTTGCTGGCGCTTCGTCTTCTTCCGCGGCATCTTCATACTCCCAGGCGTTCGGTTCGTCTTCCCAGTTGCCATCGAAATCTGAATCCCACGTGTCCGGCTTGGGCTTCAGCACTCTCTTTCGTTCCCGTGGTGCCATTTCGCGCATGCTGCCGGCCGTAGCCATCCGCTGCTCCATTCTCTCCTTGTAAAGCTCCATAGCATGGTTCAAATCCTCATCGTCCGATTCTAGACCCAGCATTTGCCTGACCTGGCCGGACAAGTGTTCTGAGACGAAGAGTTCCATTGCATGGTTATCGTCCTTGGCGACGAACTGATTGACCGCCTCGCCAAAAGGACCTTGTGGCAGGACTTTGAGGGACTGTTTCGCAAGCAGCTCGTTGACGAGGTTTTCCACTTTAACCATTTCAGTCGCATCATCACCCAATGGCTCGATAAGCTGTGCCGAGTTGGCCTCTTTCTTTTCTATAGGAATTGTTAGCACAGGGTCGAAGGGCAGTTTCGACAGATGAAGCCTCACTCGAAGTTTTCTTCTTCCTGTAGTAGTACACCACGTCGTTGGTATTGGCGACTTTTCCCTGGAACCGATTGGAAAATCGCTGCGGATTTTCACACTCAAAGTCGCCACCATCTGGTGCGGAATACTCAACCTTTAGGCGGATCAGCGGCAGCGGTCGCTCTTCCAAGGCTTCCTCGTCCGTCTGGATGGCCTCCCATTCTGCATTTGCAGTGGCAATCATCTCCTCGACAATTTCCATCAGTCGAATCGTGACTTCGTGTTTGTTGTCCAGTTTCTTGTCCAAGCCTTTGAATCGTTTCTCCTGGGAGAGGGAGATTTCCCGCGTGACAAAGGGCCGCACCGTCTTGAGAGGAATTTTGTCGACCTTGAACGACTTGCTATTCACACTAACAACGGCGACGTGCTTCTGTACAGCCTCACCAGGGACTAGTGATGTGGCCACTGATGATCCAGGCTGCATTACGTGGAATCCGGTCTCTGGATTCTTTGTCGGGTCAATCAGGCACTCGTGTTCGTGGCCCCAGACCACCAGGTCCAGCCAATCTGGAAGCACGTTCTCGGGCAAGTATGACGTCGCTGTGTGTGCGTGGTGGTTCTGGTGGACGGCCAGCAAGTTGAACCACTCGCCTGTCTGCTGACCGGGGCGGAACCACTTGACCTTGTGGTCTCTGAACGTCCTGAACATGCGCTCGTCGCGAACGTTGCTTAGCCCGTACAGCGCAAGCTTCGTGTCTCCTTTCTGTAGCAGAATGGGCTTTGCCTCGATATTATCAGCCTCGGCAACTCTGCCATAGTAGTTGAGAAGACCCGCCGCCTGCAACAGGTCGAGTGAGCAGTAGTTGCCGTCGCCAGAGGGGTCGTCGTGGTTGCCGTGAATGGAAAAGACAGGGATAGAGATGTTGATGTCGGGATCTTCGTAGTTGACGTGCGGGAATGCACCCTGGAAGACCTCGGCGGCGTCTGACAGAAACTCGAGCGGGCACGGCTTCATGCCAAGGCAGTTTTTTCGAAGTGTCCGCATGACTTGGTAGAGAGACTTGCGGGAGGGTTTGTTGTCGTGGAAGAGATCGCCGGCAAGCAACACCATGTCGACCTGTGATGATGCGTGAGCTTGGATGCAGAGGCAAGCAGGAGCTGGCAACAAACGTCTTCGCTGCGGGCAATTGTCATGATCTCGTCAAACGTCCGCCAGCTGTCATCCTTGCGGATCGCATCTCGCTCTTCGTATCCGACATGGTTGTCCGTCGCAACCAGGATGCGGATCGTGTCTGCCTCTGCCGAATCATGAGCGGGGCAATCTAATATGATGCCAGCATTTCTGAGCTTACCAGGAAATTCGGGCATCTTGGCAGATAATGTATCGCCCGTATTCGGTGTCTAGAATCGAGACTCCATCAATTATAGGGCGAAACGAAAGAAAATATGCTGAAGTCACACTCTAAATGGGCGATAATGGCGTCTACAGCTTGGGCAATTCACGGTGGGAGACGCGATGCCTTTGGCAATTAACGCGACTTGATACGAAGTCACGTGCAGGCCTTGAACCACTGAATCCTCATAGCTGCTACCCTAGAGGGAGCGAAAATTAGGGGGTCATGAACATATTACCATGCATCATATCACCAAATGAGCTGGATCGAGTGGTTTCTTTTCTCTTCAAGTTTCCCTTGTTCTATCTTGCTTTTGGCTCTCTTATTTCATTTCAGAGTCATAAAGATGACGAAGCATCATTATTAGTTTCTCATGTTGCCGTTTATTGGACGAATGGCTGGTACTATTGGGGTGAACATTGTTCTTCGAAGTCAGATAAACTAAACTATGGCCGGTTTCAGATGCATCGTTGCTGGGAAGAGAAAAGGAATGTCTAGAAGTGATAAGCAAGGGCATCCTCGCCAATCTCCTCAGCAACGGCGTTAACCGCATCAACAAGCTCTTGAGGCAGCGGCCCCTGCTCAAGTATGTCCAGATTCTCATTCAACTGCGCAACGCTCGAAGCTCCAACGATGATTGCATCCCCATGCTCAGCAGAAAGAACACCATGATAGGCCGTCCATCGGAGAGAGGCTGCGTGGCCAGAGATGCCGTGCTTGGTGGCAAGTTCTCTCACCTTGTCGGCGGCGGCCTCGATCTTGGGCTTGAGATACAACGAGGAATAAAACTTGCCAACGTTGTGCTGGAAACGAACATTTAGCATTTCGAGATCTCGAAGTGCTCTTTTGAGAAGGGAGGCTTACCGAGGGGTCGTAACGACTTCCGGGTTGAGGGTTCTTGTGGTTGCCGTTGAAGAAGCCGGCAGCTCCAGGGCTGTTTCACGAACAGAGTCAGTTCGGCGACAGTTTTCTAAGTCGTGAGTGGTAATAACATACCTGAAGGCGTAAAACGAGATTCCATGCTTTCGCAGCACGGGGAACAGCTCCTTTTCGCCCGTCCTCACAATCGGGTTATACTGTCCCTGGTACACAGTCGGCTTCACAAAGCCTCGCTCCTCGGCAATCTTGACAAACTGCTCGACTTCATCGGCCGTGTAGTTGGACAGCCCGAATCGCTTAAACTTTCCCTCTCGGTAAGCTTTGTCAATGGCCTCTGCCGTCTCCTCGAAAGGAACACTCCGGTTAGGCACATGCAAGTACATAATGTCCACCTGGGAGACCTTCAGATCCTCGAGCGAACCGTTGATGCTCTCCTCAATCTTGTCCTTGGAGTGAGATCCTTCAGGGCGAGAGAGAACCTTGGTGCCGATTTGGAAGCGCTCGCCGGCGTTAACTGCGCCGAGGCGAGGCTCGCTGGACTTTGGAGCGTGTACCGAGTAGCTCCTGGCGGTGTCGATTTGACGGTAGCCTCGCTGGTAGAAGGCATTGAGAAATGCTTCGACTTCCTCGGGGGTGTCGTATCGGACCGTTGGGTCAAGGGATCTGTCGCCAACCTGACGGTGGGGGGCTCTTTAGCAAGTGTGCTGTAAGTGTTATTTGTGAAGTATCAACTTACACTGGCAACTCCCAGGACAATCTCGACCGGTGCTTTCGGCATTGTTCTTGAATCGTTTCCTGTAATTGCTTCTAAAAAGGCTTCAAAACTTGGCTTATTCGATTGAGAAACTACTCGATATTGTCTTTCTTCCTTCAATCCCATTTGCATCAGTCGACTTATATAACCGTGCTCGTACACTACACATCTCCATACTCCGCTTAGAAATCCACAGGTCGTTGACGTTATTTAGTGGCTCGCGTAACTTGTCGTTCAACGTCTGCCAATCATTCTCAGTATTGACCATGCGGCTACGGATGCCGGCAATGGCATCACAATCGCTCTATGAGGGGCAGCATTGATCAAGAAGCCCGACAGCCGTAAAGAGGACGCTGACAAATGCGGGCCATCGGCCTCGGGGTCAATGCCATTATGCGTGCCGATGGAGGTGAAACTCAAGCTAAATGAGGAAATCCTGGCATCACAATGATCCTGTCAAGAGATTTGGTTATGCTCGGCGGACACTCTGATTCGTCTTTGCTATGAGTTGAGCTCGCTCTATCTCCCACAAATTGGTTGCAAATTAATAAGCAGTATTAGGCAGAATTCATGGCGTGTTCGATTGGTCAACCTGATTTCAAATTCTTCAATCTCATCCTTCTGAAGAAGTCGAGCTTGGCATCCTGTCGGACTATAGAGTTGCTATTTCTAGAATCATCGATGATGTGCGTGTGGATGTGCACCTTCGGCTTTTACTTGCGGCCGCTATTCACGGAGTGCGGAGTGAGATTTTGGGCATGATCAAACGCCATCCCGCCAGCCACTTGCATAAGCCCAAGGAACCGGCCGATTGATCCAGGAACTGGTGGCCTGTCCGCTTGCAAGGAGAGTGCAACTCCGAGGCTCCGTCCTGATAGGTCTGAGAATACTATTTGCGAAGAATAGGACACGAAACAGCGTCAAGAACCATCGGAGGGTCGGTCTCTGTTTTGCCGTTGTGCTCGGATGATCAGTAGACTCTTCTTCTTTCTCTTGTTGATCCCCGTTCTCACTATGCCAGATCTCGTGCATCTTGCGCGGAGATGCCGCGGACATACCGGCGTTTAAGAGGACATGGCAAAGAAGCCATCCACCGATATCGACACAGAGCTTGCGTTAAGTAAACATCGCGCAAGCATGGCCTGACATATATAGTAACAGTGAAGAACATATTCACTATGAGTTGGAACGAATATAGTCTTGGTCAGGAACTTCTTATAGTCCAGCCGCATCCTGGACGTCTGGATCCACAGGCCACATTCTGTACTTTCGGTTTCCCCATTATTCGTTACCGCGATGCTACCTCAAAACCCACACCCACGGCCTCAGCAGAATATAACACTATACCTTTATAGTGGTATATACCTCAGAGCCAAGGCAAGGAAGTTCTACTGCGTTCCATATTCCATAGCAGAACGTGACACTGAGCAACGACCAAGCGTTAAGCGCGTGCCAGGTGTTGAGATATTGAGTGGTGAGACCATCACCTTGTACAGTGCCTCGTATTACTTGATCCACAGAATCTGCAAAGTGGAGGATATCGACAGCCAAAAAGGGAAGATACGACAACGATAGTAGTAAGCCCAGAGACAGCTGGCCCAGGCATCCTTCTACTGGATTGTTGCAGCGGCCGCCAAGTATGGTGAGAAGTTTATTCATATGCAAAGGATTCTGCGTTTCTGACCCCCAGATGTTACTTGAACGTGAATACTACAGTAGGGTATCAAAAGTCACGGATAAAAACGCGCTTCTAGACCCTGCAATGCGTTTTTGCAAATCCCTTTAACATAACCATTAATAATAAAAAATTTATAATTAATTACTATATTATTAATTTAGCGCTGTTTTAGTACTAAAGTAACTGGAAATCGTTAAAGAAAACATAAAGTTAATCCCTAAGCCTATGCAGCTATTATTTTAGCTATAAACGCTAGTTAAAAAAAGAGTGCTATTGCTTGCGATTTTGCAGTCTTAAGGACTATAGTATATAGTATACTTAAATGCTATAATTTATATAGCTTAGTCTTCTTATAGCTATAATCCAGGCGGCTAAAGGTAGTTATGCCTTAAGGCATTTAATTAATAGTATGCATAGTTAAGCAGGACTTCTATAGTATAAGAAAACAGCTTATATTTAAACTCCCTCTAGATATTAGCCCTTTAACCCTTTAATAAACTTTAAACTATAAGGGCATTTATAAATAGCTATTAAAATAAAAGCTGTTTATTATAAAAGATATAATAAAGTAATAGCTTTAATTTACTATATAGTAGTAAGAAAATAAAAAAGAATTACTAGCAGTATATATATTTAAAGTTAGCTAGTTTATTTAAGGTCTAATTATAATTTTAAGGCTGTCTTTTTAAATAAGTCTATTATATAGAATTTAAGCTTAAATCTAGGTTCTTAAGTATAAAGATATTTTTAAAAAGCTAATAATCTAAAGTATATTAATAAAACAGCATATATTAAAGCTAAAGTCTTAATTATAGTATAAGCAGTAATATTATAAGAAAAAAAATCTAACCTTATTTTTATTATTAAGAACTTACTTACTAAATAATAAGGATTTAACTTTATACAATATGTTAATACTTTAAAAAAAGGCCTGCTTTTAATTTATAATAGGATATATTATTTTTAATAAAATAATGCTTTTATTTATAAAGCAGCTGTAGTTAAAAAGTTTACCCTAAAGTATGTAATTTCAGTCTTAAAGTAGCTGCTTTACAGCCCTAATCTTAACCTTATTAAGAACGTTTAATACCTTCTAAAGCAGCGGCTTTTTAGAATGTTCCTTAATCTCTTTAATCTTAGGCATAATTTAGCAGATATTAAAGAATTTAAAGAATGCTTATAAAAGGCATAGGCTATAATTATATAGGAGGAAATTTAAGGACTGATTAACTTATTACCTTATAGGCTTATAGCAGTATAAGCAGTAAAGGGTTAGTATACTAAATATTAATCTATAATAAAAGAGCTTTCTAGAAATATAAATACCTTATTTTTCTTATGCTTTTTAGTTAAGATATTTATATTTTTATTTTCTAGTTTATAATGCCGGGTAGGCTTATAATACGTTTTATCCGTGACTTTTAATACCCTACTGTACGTCCATACTGAACACGGCCGGGCAGCTTATGCGCCATTACCAAGCTGCAGCTCACCAAAACGGAGAAGTTACTTACATGCACTTTCCCATCTAAGATGCACAATTTTCCGTCTACCGTCAGCTTCACAGGCTTCCCCCTGTCAGTTCGATACTCACGGATTGCGCAATTGGCACAAAATCTTGCCGCACAGAATGAGATTTCAAGATTCTATGACAAACCCTACTGAACTGTAACGTTACGCATATCGTGGAATGTCTGTCATACCAGGCGTCCATGTGTGCTACCTTACATCGTGAGGAGGGCATCATGAGAAGGAGAACAAGACGGACGTTGATGGGAGAGAGGAATGGTATAAGTGGAAGCATGGCCAAAGCGTCCAGTAGCTGCCTTCAGACTTGGCCTCTATCTACCAGGGACGCTTTAACAGAATCCTACCGGCCAGGGATCACCATGCTTGACGATAAAGCGACTGCACGGTCGACACTAGTCGACATACCGGTAGACGTCACAAAGCCATACCTACCAAAAGGACTGCCAAACGGTATTACACTTCTGTCTCCCGACAAGTTTGACCATCGAACCGATGAGGAGATTGCGGCATGGCTTCAGAAGCGCCACCCTGTGACTTCAGAGAAGAACATCTGGGGATTCTGGCATAATGGCTTCGCCAACATGAAGCCTTGGACACAGCGGAATGTCATCAACTGGGTCCGACGCCTAGGCCCTGAGTGGAATGTCCACATCGTTGATCGCCTGGACGGCTCGGAAACAAACGTCTTGAACTACGTCGAGGAGTCATACTTCCCAAGGACTTTCATCGAGGGCACGATGGATGGCCACAAGGCTCACATGGGAGACCTGGTTCGTCTGCCGTTACTGTGGAAGTACGGCGGCGTGTGGATGGATGTGGGTCTCATCCTGCTGCGGCACGTCGACGATATCTGCTGGAAGCGCATCGAGGACCCCGAGTTGCCTTACGAGCTATGTGCGGTGGCATTGCAGCACCTACCAGGCACTTACACCCCCCTCAACGGATTCCTAGGCACCAAAAGCGGCAATGCGTTCATAAAGAGGTGGCACGACGTCTATCTCGCGCTATGGGAAGACGGAGTCACAAACGCAAAGGGCTTCCACAAGCATCCCTTGCTCCGGCATCTGCCCCTTTTCAAACCTGATATGGAAACTGTCAACCTAAAGGATGTCAACATCGACCGCGAGTTCTTCTCCGACTACGTGGCGCATTACCTGTGTGGCGAGCGCATCCGCAAGCTCGTCGACCCCAACGACGGCTTCAACGGCGTGGAATGGTACGACAAGCACATGCTCATCTTTGACGCCGCAGATGAGATGCTTTATGCTCAGATCATCACAAAATGGGACGTGGAAACACAGTTCCGGCTTCTTTCTCTGAAACGCTCTGGAGAAGGCGCGGTTGTTAACGAGGAGTGGCACGAGGCGGAGGAGTTTGTGAATACTCTGCTGGCGAAGACGGCCATGCTCAAGTTCCCTCACGGGCCGGGTGGCGATGGGCTCAAGGTGCAGATGCTGGCGGACTTGTGGGATGCGGATGAGAACCGGGACAAGGACCATGAGGAGGGAACGTTTGCCGCGTATCTGAGGTACGGGTCGGTGCATTTTGATCAAATGAGGGAGGTGAAGAAGCTGGAGTGGCAGAACCCGAAGGGGGAGACTTTTACGGTTGGATATCTGGAGCCTGTGCAGCTGTAATTGATCTCTGTCTGTTGTGTGTTATGAGATGCTGTTTGCACTGGGATTCGACTCGGTCATTTTCTGCGGTAAGAGGGAAAGCCTCATTGCAGGACATTACCATCCTAGCATAGGTATATACCTTCTATATAGGCGTGTCGGTTGTGAGCATATAAAAGACGCAACTGCTTATTCAGAAGCTGCCGATTTCAGTGTGCGGTCTTTTCTTTGTGACACAACTGAATAACCATGTCCACAACCTTGGTCAAATCTCGACCAGCGTCACCGAAAAGAGGTTAGAAGCATTAACTTACCAGATCATGCCATGATCCCCAATTGATCACAGACAGGTAAATACCTAGATAGTAGAGAATTACGGTGGGCATGGCAAAGTGAGAGCCCGATTGGCCAATGCCGATCAATACTCGTGCTATCTTAATTAGGACGTGGTGCTGTAGGTATGCGGGGTCGGAGAGACAGACAGATATATAACTTTACATAAATCAGTGTGAGTCACGAACGAAGTATTGCTTTTGATTCACTCTAAAACTTCTCCAGAAATACTGTGATCGAGATGCCCTACTCTCTCAAAGGAAGAAACGTCCTGGTCACCGGTGGCTCCAGGTCAGTGAAACCCGTCCACTTATGCGCCATAACGAGAGCTATGATGTATGCTAACAACTAGAAAAGAGGCCTCGGGGCCGTCATTTGCAAGAAGTTCGCCGAGGAGGGAGCCAATATTGCAATCAACTATTTCTCTAATGTCGATGCTGCTCAGAATGTGGCTGATTCACTACAGCCGTATTCTGTTAAGACATTCATTATTCAAGGTGTAAGTCTCTCACCAATCGTGCTCTTATGCATTATGCTGCCCCGGTTGGGATCCTGACACTGCGGGTAACAGGACGCCGAGAAGAGGGAGGATAATGTTCGTATCGTCCAAGAGACCGTCAAGAAACTTGGTGGACTTGATATCATCATTGCGAATGCCGGTTGGACCAAGATGTCTCCGTTTGCCGACCTGCATGCGTTATCCGACGAGGACTGGAACAAGGTGAATGAATGCATGGGAAGAGAAACTGGATGTTAAGCGGCTGACCAGGTTGACAGTGCTGGGCAGTCAATGTCATGTCTCATCTGCATCTCATGCAGGAAGCAGCGCCCATTTTCAATGCGAATCCCGATGGTGGCGTCTACCTGATTACCTCCTCTATCGCTGTAAGCAGAAAAGTTAACATCTCAGCATAAATGTGCATGACTGATTCAAGTCGAATAGGGCGCAACTCAGAGCGGTAGCAGCATGGCGTATTCCGTTGCGAAGGCCGCTGGTTTGCAGCTCATGAAGAATCTTGCCTATACTCAAGGCCCCAAGATACGAGTCAATGCTGTTCTTCCTGGACTGTTATTGACCGAATGGGTGTGTTCTCTCTACGAAATATACTAGATCAACTGTTATTTCTTGGTAGATGCTTACTAGCGTTGCACAGGGCCGACTTTTCCCGGAAGAAGTCATCGACGGATACAAAAGGATATCTACACTGAGAGACGTGGTATGGGAATGTGTCCTTATTGATATGAATGGAACTTGATCTGACGATTTAGGTTGAACTCGATGACTGTGCCGATGTGTTTGTTTCGTTGGCCAAGAATTCTTCTATGACTGGTCAGCAGATTGTCGTCGGTGAGTATCATGTAACTCAGCTCTGAGATGAGTCGAACTGACTGTTGCAGATTCTGGTGCTATTTTGGGGCACCCCGGGACGAAACCCATCCATAGACAAGAGTAGCTGCGGTTCAACATAAAGCTGAGAGCATGTAACCACGTTCGATATCTGTTTGATAGACGATGACCAAGCTTGTGTGCTCAAAGGAAGTACTTGGCAGACAGTACTAGGTATGTTGGCAGTGCTGGGGTTGTGGACTCAAAGCACTTCATAGCTAGTAGTATGCTTCGCACGCACGTGAGGTAGTCAACCTCCAGACCCCTGACTGATTAACCTTGCCAGTAAAGGCTTGTTATGAATGAAGATTATGTTTGATTAACGTATTTTATAGGTGGCTTCGTGTCTTGAGAACAATCAACCGTGAATCAAGTACATGCACATAGATGCAAGATGCCCAAACCAGAACCATATCCACAGCATCTTCCAATTCCCATCACCCGTCCTCCATGCACCGCACATGCTGTCATTAAAAGCAAAGCATACCACCACAACTGAAGGACGTATACTTCCACCTCACATGATCACTGACACCCGTGCCGTCGCCTATAAATCCACCGACACTTCCGTCCCAAATCCAGCCCTCCTCCTCTCCCCTTTACACCTCCATCCTCTGTTCAGGCTTTTCCATTGCACATAATCACATTTCGACCCATCCACTTTACATATTCTTCAAAAGCCCAAGTACTACGCTAAGAGAATGTGCCTGCCGTCGTCCCTGAGCCTTCCGTCCAACCCGATGTTCTTTATAAGAAACCCCCATGTCAGTGGGACGCTACCAGATGGAATACTGACGAGCCGTATTTTGTAGACCTCGGCCAGCGAATGGAGTACGATTCGAAGATAGGTTGCTTCCGGTGCGTCTCGGCCTGCAAATTTGTAGTTAGATTGTTAGTTGCAGAGTAGAATCAGAATAGACGGGGTAGGGAGACTGTGTGCATCTTATACTTGTGATTTACTGTGACCACGGAAAACGAAGCACTGAGTTCAACGTGTAATCCTTGTTCCGTCGGGTGCAAGGTGTAACAGAGAGAAGCGGGGATTCAACGAGCATCAAACGGTACCTCAAAGCCACCTCGGACATGCCGCGTGTGATTTCGACCACTATTCGATAGACTCAATATGCAGCTCTGGTTGTAATAGAAGAACCATTGCGAGGATGTGCTGTCGCTCCAACTATAGAAGGCCCGATACTCAGTTGCGACGCTTAGGCAGACATGATTTCAGCCAATGAGTGACAACGAGGCTGCCAATCATGATGCTAATCACCGTACATCGTCCCATGGCTGCAGATGCATGCAGTATAACCCTGCGGAGATGCTGGCAGGATGTGACAGTTTGAGCTTATCGAGAGGTAGAGTATTGCTTTCCATGATTTGAAACCGGGATTTTTACAAGTGTGAGGGCTGATGGTTGAATGGCGACTGGGGCATTGGCTGTCAAGACATCCAATATGTCTATTGGAACAGAGTAGCCGTGACAAACAAGAAGTGAAGGCGCCATAGCCTTGAGCCATCACGCACATGTTCAATTTACCGAAGTGTCTTGACTCTGATATGCCTCTTTGAACTGGGTAATCTGGGATGTCATTGAGCCAGCGAACCCCCACGTCCACAATCAACTCCTCACAGACAGATATGGGCGGAGATAGCATGCGACGCCGCGAATGCTTATGTTTAAGGCTGTCTAAGCATAAGGCACAGATACATGACCTGCATATACCATGCTGAATCAGTGTCAGCACCGCCATTTTTGTGTTCAACTACCCCGGTGACTAGAGACGATAACACGCCAAGGCTTTCTGAGTATGGAATTGAATCCATGACACCGATTATCACCCACTCAAAGACAAATTAAATATTAACCATCACACCTCATGACTAGACGACCTACACTTTGAGCTAGTACACCATTTAGCAACATCGTCAACCCCAGAGTCTTCCAGTTCTTTGTAACAGGCCCAACATGCCTCGGAGATCGGGAACAGCACTTTAAGTGGATTTGCGTAATCACTAGAACAACTTCCCCAGAATGACCAGCTCTTTAGCTCTCTTCGTTCAATCTGAATTGAGAATAGTTCTTACACGGAGTTTTTTGCTAGTACTAGATACAGATCTCCGTAAGGTAATCCCACTAGTCAGGGGACGGGAGTTTAGGTTGGCCCACAGATGACGACCGGAATGTTTACGTTAACGTCATCTTACATGTTCCTCGTATAAAACTCCTCCTCTCCGAGAATCGTGATATTCCCAACATCATTCCCAACTCATCCAGCAGCTCACCATGTCAGAACGCATCAAGCGCCGCAAACTCAACCCCCAGACGGCAACAAGCCCAGAACCAGACCCATCACCAACTCCGCCCAACTTCGAAACCATCCCAGAAAAGATCCTGCTCCAAATCATCACATATGTCCCCGGCCTCGACACCCTCTGGAACCTCCTCACGGCGTCACCGCGCTGCTTCCGACTCTTCAACAATCAGCCCCTTATCATCATCGAACAAATCTTTTCCAGCCCGACGTCAATCTTACCACCAAAGATACAGGAACTCGTCCGTGCTGTTATTCTCACTAGGGGCGGCGTCCTTCCGTTCAAAAACCTGAATGAGTTCAAATATCGCTTCATACAGCATAAAATACCCGTCCAAGTAGTCAAAGACAAGACAAGCATTACTCTCGGTCCCGAAAGCTTAACAAACCGCGACATACCAGCCTCAGTATATCGCTCCGTCGTCGCGACAGCGATTCACATCTCAGCCCTAGCACACGCCTGTCTAACATTCTACCTCTCCCAAGTCCACAGCCCCAACATCTTCGCCCCCCAACACGCACAGCTCCCGCTCCCGAAATACCGTTTGCGGGGCTCGAATCCTCCAGAGGGCGATACAACGCCAGCATGGCATCAGGTTTTCTATGGGTTGCCTTACGAGGTCGCTGATGCTGGGCCGCCGAGCTGGGTGGAGGAAATGCGCGCTGTGCGGGCGTTGTGGGTAATTCATCTAGTTGGAGACGTACGCTGTCTGGTCTTGAAGGATTTGAGTTCATCGGGATGGTCGTATGATGATATCAATAGGACGCTGCCGAAATGGGCGGATGCGCTTGCGCAGGATGGAACCATGAACAGTGGCGCTGAAGAGATACGGACCGTGTTGGCATATCTCGAGAAGCTCGGCATCACAAACAAGGGAGAACTATTCTACAAACTACCAAAGTTGCCTCCCGACGCAAAGCCCGTCAATCCAGTCCCTCCCCTCCCTGACCCCTGCGAAGCAACATGGGGCGGCATCGGCATCATCTTCAACTATGGCCACAAAACCGTCAAACTACCCCCTCCTCCCGACGCCCTCCAACGCGCCTCAGGTCCCCAACTCAGCAAATCTTCCCTCCTCGGCTGAACGAGAACAAGTCTCGAACAAGAGAGCCCGGCAGTGACCACGCTTCGACACTTCACTGATGGAAAAAGTAGATACGGGCTGCCCATTACGAATGCGAGGCTGGAAACGTATCGGCCGTTTGGGCTGGCGCTATGGGATAGGAGGAGATTGTTTCTGCTGGGACTTTTAGGGGAGGGACGGATGGATGATAGGGACCTTGATTTCTATTGCTTTGCGTGGGAAAGTTTGCTGGACAGGGAGTGGGTGAAGCATGTGAGGAGGGTGTTGAGGGAGGGGGTGAGGTTGGAGGAAGATGGTGGTGGATCTGGATCTGGATCTGGATCTGAGAAGGATGATGATGACGACGACGACGACGACGACGATGATGATGATGAGTAAATCTTGGTATAGATTGGAGTGTCATGAAGTTGTGACCATTGACCAATGGCTGCTCATCATAAAGCACTGATCTGTTATACGCACATACCTTGTAACAACATTCACCTTTCACAAAACATCAACAGCAACGACACAATTCCCATTCATCAAAGAAAACGTAAAAAGCACAAAGTACGCACAAATTCCACCCCATAAATACAAATCCGCCAATAGACAGGCCCATCAACCCCAAAATCGGACATGCATTCTCTCCACGGCCCCCAAACACGGCACGTCTTCGTCTCTCTTCCCCATCTCGCACGCCATTCACACCGAGACGAATCATTGGCCGCCCCCGTGCCGTCTCGTTATCTGGACGACATGCGTGCTCGTCACACCGCCAGTTTGTTTGTGTGACCCGAGATGAGATATATGGACGTGATTTGCTATCGTTTTGCATCAAAGTGCATACCTCAGGAATTTCAATAATCGTGCGTCTTGCTGCGTTGATGGTACCGTTGGTGTGTGCAAACAGTCTGGAACATGCGTCGGAAGTGTAGATGACATTGATGGACCACGAATTGACGGAAGCTGGTAAAAAGCACAGGTAGGTGAGAGGAGCTGGTATCAATGAGAAAGTAATAGTATTAGCATTACCAACGCCACCAACACCAGATGCGTATATCGCTAAAGAAATCTGAGCCGGTATAATCCCCAAACCAAGTAAATCCCAAAGCATAAGAAACGTTGAATGCGGGGTGCGAACCCAAGTCCAGTCTCGTCAACATTCTTCAGATGCCAAATCCAAACAAGAAAGATAGCCAAGCAAGTCAAAACGGAAAGGAAAGAAGATGCAAGGGCGTCTGTCAAAACCGTCTAGATCACGATTCCCCGCTGGCTCCAGCCTCCCTTGCCCTTCCAAGCCCACAGCAGCATAAAGCACGCAGCGATAACGCAAAGCCCCTCAGCCCAAAAAGTCGCCGCGTAACAATGCTTCCCGTAGCAAACAGAATCATCTGAGCCGCCGTCACTACCGTCGCCGTTATCATCGCCGAGGTGTGACGGGACGGTCGTGCGCCGTGCGCCAGCTTCGTACACCGCCGAGTAGACGAGACCCCAGAAAGTAGAACCAAAAGCGGGCAGCATGGCAATGATGCCAAAGTTGGTAGCGAAATTCTCAACGCCCCAGATAATGGTCACGATGAGCGGCGTCAGGCTAAAGATGGCACCGTAGCCAGCCCCGACGAGCCCCGAAACAACCCAGAACCGGTCGGCATGGTTCTGGGCCGCACCACTGGCCAGGAATAAGAGACCAATGGCTAGAAGAACAGCAAAGAAGAGCATAAAGACGACGCGGGAGATGGCAAAGCGTTTGAGCGGAGATGAAGGGCGGGCGGGAGCGACCTGAACGTGCTGCGTCTCTGGTGCCGGAGCCAGAATATCCGTCAGAGTGCCAATCATGAGGCGCGCCAGGGTGCTGGTAACGCCAAAGACAGAAACGTGGGTGGCCGCCGACGTCTTGTGATTGACATCCTCGGTGATGGGAGGCGTGAGAGTGCCGATGACGGTGCCCAGGTTGTTGATAAAGGCCTCGCCGGGTCCAATCATCAGGAGGAAAGCCAGCGCAAACGGCCACATGGTGTGGTCGCCCAAGAAGCGGCGTGTCTCTGCATTGAGAACCCAGTTCTTCTTCCACCGTGCATCATCACCAGTGCTCTCCTCACCGTCCTCCTCAGCGTCGGCGGGAATGGCACCGTAGCCTGAGACAGACCTCCGACTTTCGGACCGCGCGAGCAGAGAGCTTCCATCAAGAAGGCCACTTTGCTCTAGCTCCTCAATGGCCTCCTCAATCAGGTCCTGCTCGTCGACAACCTTGAGGGTGAAGACGCCGAGAATGCCAATGACAAACAGCAACACGGCCAGGAAGACGAAGAAGCGGAACACGTCGACGTCGCCCTTGGACCCGTCAGGGTTCTTCTCGTAGAGAAAGCGGCTGGCAAACTGACTCAACCACATGCCGCTGAGGCCGAAGCCGGTGATGGGCATGGCCAGGGCCAGTCCCCTATATTTGCCCTTGCCAAAGTTCTTGGCGCACGTCGACACGGAGCTGATGTACATGGCACAGGTGCCGGCGCCGATCATGACGAAGGCCAGCACCATGAGCGGATACGACCAGCCGTTCTCGGCGCCGTGGGACTTGCCCAGCGTGTTGTACTCGTAGTCGAGCTTCTTGTAGATGCCTGCCGCCAGGCCGTAGCCGCCGCCAAACAGCACCGCCGACAGCAGGGCCAGCGGCGCGACGCCCACGCGGTCGCAGACGTAGCCCATGACGGAGATGGGCAGATAGAGGGCGAGCGAGCTGCCGATGGCGACGCCGTTGACCTGGAACTGCGTGTAGTGCAGCCGCGAAAGGAATTTGGGGGCGTAGAGCGAGAAGACGACGATGGAGCCCGCGCAGAGGGCAGCGATGGTGGCCGACACCAGCGACACGAAGCGCACGATTTGCTTGGCTCTTATCTGACGGCGGCGCTGCACGGGGTCGGAGGCGCCAGACGATACGTCGTCCTCGTCGTCGCTCGAGAGAACGGAGGAGTGGTCGTCATCGTGGAAGGACGTGGGAGCTGTCGGGTAGATGAATTGCTGCTGGTCGGGAGGCGAAGCCGAGGCCGGCATGGCGATGAGCTTGGAGGAAGAAGTGGCCGCGATGAGCGCAGCGAGGGAACGGATCGGTCGGACGGAGGTGGGCTTATGAACGAATTGGCATCGCTGATTGCAATGAGACGAGGAATGAAGAAGAGGAGAAGAAAGACAAAAGAGAAGAGAGAGAAAAGGGGGTCGGCGGGCGGAAGAGAGCAAGAGTTGCAGGATGAGGAGATGACGGAATCGAGTTGGACAAGAGAGGACAAAAGGGTGCAGCTCGCATTGGGTGCAGGTGAGACAACCGAGCTCTTATCAGCGATAGCGTGACTGCATGTGCCGATAACGCGTCCAGCCGGAAGTGATTGAGTGCTGGGAGTCCGGGGTCGAACGGAGCTGGAGCCCTGTAGCGGCCGTCATGACACATCGCAGGCTCCCGATGTCCTGTAGCGTCGCCCCTAGGGGTCCATTCAGCGGCCCCCGTAGTGGTTCCCGCAGTGGAGACTTGGGGGATGCTAGGGGCTGTCGCAGCAGGCGCGATTTGATGCTACAGTGGATGCGGGTCGGTTGACGCTGATACTAAAGGGGATCATGGGGAGGCGTACTCCGTAATCGAGAGCCTCGGGAATGGATCGTCATGCGTGCATCTGACCGAGTCTCGTGAGCCCAAAGCACTGGACCTGAACCACGTTGAACAGCTTGACTGTGTACTATTCTTAATCTCCCGTGCTTCTCTCGATAAAAGTGATAGTTTAAAGAAAGGGAGAGAACTCTCACCGACCGAGTCAAAGAAGTCACATACTTTTCAGCCAATCAGGCAAAGATCCCTCCCTGCTAATTCCATCGCGCCTTGATACTCCCATATGCAATCCCAAACGCTTTTTCCTAACCTCGAGGTTGATTCAGTCAGTTCCCATACCCGTTCCCGGCTTGTATATCCTGTCGTCCAGTCATTAATCCCACACGGTCTCAGTTTCCACGCTGCCATTTCGCCCCCCTCCGGTCTCAAAGAGCGACGTCTTCATCCGCTGGAATCTTCTCCAGGCTCGTCACCTTTCTCGTGTCCCACGAACCGGGCAGCCTCGGTGGCTCCATCCGCTCCCCCGCGACAGGCCACGGCGGGTTGGTAGACATCTTGGGCACGCCATTCTCATCGACGGTGACGAGGCCGGGAAGATCAATTCCGTCGCTGCACGTGAGCACCATATAGCCCTGCCCCGTCGTGATGATGAGAAAGTCGTTGTCCAAGAAGATTCTCCGGGCAAAGCCAATCTCCAGCATGTAGCCTGCCACGTCTGCCCGCTCCCGCCGGGTCGCCAAATCGGCCTCGGTGGTGCGCGGGCATCCGGCGGCTCCCTCCTCGACAGGGATCGCCTCCAGCCACTGCATGCCGTACGAGTAGTGTCTGCTAACGAGGTACTCGTCGTACCAGGCAATGATGAACTGGTCATCCCACGCACACAAATCAAAGGGTTTCACATGTGGCGGGTGCGGTCTTCGGTGGCTCTCGTACTTGTTAAGCTGGAATGACTCCGTCAGCACGTTGAAGCAGATGCAGAGCCACTCGGGATTCTTGGTGGCCTCGCTCATGTCCCAGGCAGCTCCTTCTTCGTGGAGCACGTATTGCACGAATCCGATGGCGAAACCGCCATGGGCGTTCATCTTATGGCAAGAGAGTGCCAAGCGCAGCGACGGACACGAGTGTCGACTGCTGGGGTGGCGCCGGTAGCCGGGGTGGGAGAGGTCAGTCTCATACCGCCTCACGGGCACGCCGCGCTCAAACTTGACGACGACGACGATGTGAATACGAGGATCTGCACAATGGCGACAATCAGAAATTAGCACGTAGAAGTCACAAGTCATGCAAAACTTGTTGGATTGTCTGATGTTTTGCTTGGACTTACCCGGTGGCGCAGGCGAGTGTAGCCATACGGCAAAGACGATGTCTGTGTCCGTTGGGTGGAACAAGATACCGGGCACGCCTCCCAAGTCCCTATCCCAGTTCAGAGGCTCCCGGAGGTTCTCGCTGCGGTGGTCCATATCCAGCTCGTACGCACTGTCGCTCCAGCCCCAGATCACAACCTGCCTCTGCTTGGTGACAAAGGCGACCATGTCGCCGTAGGCGTAGCACTGCGCAAGGTTGCCTGGTAGGACAACGTTCTTGGATCGCCGGTATTGTAAGTGGAACACGGTTCTACAGTTGGATGTCAGTGAGATGGAAGTGGGGCGCTCTTGAACACATCTGCAACCTACATGGTCTGTCCGTTGTCCAGTATGCGTGTGGCCCTGGCTTCACGGGTCTGGGACGAGCTCGAAGCCAGAACGACGAGGCTATCGGTGACGACCTGGAGCTGCAGAGGCCGGCCCGTGATGTAGTCGACGCCGAAGCTGAAGCGAGCCCTCTCGCGCGTGTTCAGGTCATCGACGATGATGTGGCAGTTGTCCGGCTGCCAAGCAATCTTGCCGCTGGAGTAGCAAATGGTCAGGGGGGCGAACCCAAAGTCGACGAGCCGCAGGTCGCCCAGCTGACGTGCCGACGGTGGCACTTCGATGTTGGTGAAGTAATCGGAGCTCCAGCCGACATCCCACGAGACAAAGGAACGCTTGGTGCGGCTCATGAAGTGCTTCCGCAGATAGATCTTGGCCGTGGCGACAAACAGCTCGTGGCGGTCCGGCACGTCGCCGCCGTAGAGCTCCAGGAGACCCGGGAAGAAGCGCCGGCACAGGGCGGTGGCCACGGCACCGTTACTCCACGTATCTCGCCAGTCCCTGCTGACCAGGTAGCAGTTGAGCACGTCCTGCAGCCGCAGGTGAGGCACGATTGAGTCGAAGACCTCTGGCGGTAGCTCCTTGAGGCCCGCGAAGCCGTCCATCTTGACGTGGCCGTCGCGCAGGCGGTTCCGCATGTAGAGCAAGTCCCAAGACGAGAGGCTGTCGAGCAGGGCGTCGAGCGACTCTCTTCGACGCCGCGGCTTGGGGGCGAGCACTGTCGAGGGGTGCTTCGACTGATCGGATTGCTGCTCGGGCTGCTGCTCGACCTGCTCCTTCACACTGTGCTGGGGAGGCTCTGCCGGAGAAATTGATGGGGGTGGGAAGGAAAAGGATGAGGAGGGAGGCGATGGAGACGGAGACGGTGGAAGCGAGGCCATGGTCAGGGCATCGTGATGGATTGCTCCGCGGTCACAGTGCCTGGGTTGGGACGCTGAGTCAAAAAGAAATGAGCTATAATCGACGGGGAAGGAGAGGGATGAGGCGGAGAGAATGTGTGAGACAGTTCGGGGCAAAGATTCGACAGAAGCAGAGGTCAAAAATGAGTGGAAAAGCCAGGAGTTGGGGGGAGGAAGGGATAGAAGCAGAATGAGGCAAGGTAAGCTGAAGCCTCAAAGTCATCCGATGCCTGCGGGCTACCAGCAAATCATCGCGGACTGAGACCGGACGGACGGTTGGCGCAGCTGCAGAGGGGGTCACGTGTGGGTATCGGTACCTGACGGTCTCTGGGGCTTCAATTTAAATGATTTGTGCTGCAGGCAGAGACGGTACAAGCGGGTGACTTGTTGAGCCAGAACCAGGATGAGTTGAGAGTGGTTGCTTCTGGTGGTGCTCGCCGGTGCGTGCCGCGCCAGGTTATTGAAAGTGATGTGTCAGAATACCTAGACGAGGAGAAAAGGTTAAGGGTTGGGGGGCTTGTGGGCTTTAGCGGGAGAGGGGTTAAGGTGCAGCACTACAGTTGATCTGCGCAGAGGGTATAGCTTCTATGGTCCTCACATCGCATAAAATGCCACAATGAAGACGAGGCGTCTGCTAAGAGCGTATGCTTTCTTCAACATGCTCGATGACTAAACCGATATCCCCCAGCCTCAACTGACCAATGCCTCTTTCAAGTATAGCATCAAGCCCTCAGATAGTACCGAGGAGGTACACCTTCATATTGCGCGGTTCCACTGCCACGGGCCGGGTTCATTGCCAAGATCAGATAAGCTGCGCGCCCTTGCGTCTATCCTCCGCTTTTTTCTCGGCCTGTCTCTGTCCGCCCAACCTTTTGATGCCCTGTCAACTTGTGTCTCTGCCAATGACTAATTTGCGTTCGCTCTCGATCTGCGTCTCTATACTCTATTCTGCGAATCTCTGGATTGGCAGGATCGGCACGGGCTGGCCTTATGTATGGGGTTGTTGTTATAGTATTTTGGGGCGATCGTCTGCGTCTAGAAGCACCTTGGATCTCGTCTCGGCTGTCGGGGCTTCAGACATGCATGGGCATAACCTGTACTTGTGTACTTCGTACTGTGCAGGCAGCTCCAAGTCTGTGGAAGTCGGGGCAGTCTGGCTATCAGGGTACTGATCGTGACCTTTCTTTATAATATGTGTCGTTCTGCCTGATGGTGGCCTCTAGACAATGCTCTTGTACCGTCTTTGACTTATGGGACATGAATCATGGGGAGTTGGCCGCCGAGATGTACGAAACCCTCACAGGTTATTCATAGAAATGTCGCCTTGTACAGTCTGATGTACACTGTACCGGCCAAGACACGGCCCAAACTGATTCACATCGGACTTGTGTCACGCTCTCGGCCGCCTCGCCGGAGATGTATATAACGTGCTCCATCTGAGGTAAATAGGATATTCATGGGCAATCAGACAATGCTGCCATTTTTATCTTGTCACCTTTGTAAGAAATAAACAGACCATACATCTGGGCGGAAGAGAGAATGGAGACAAGAGGTGATATGATCACTCCCAGACCCCCATTTCCAAGGATCATTGAGCTGACGATGCTTGGCTTATTCACTACTCGTGCTCAGCTCGAGGGCAACATAATCTGGATGCATGTCTTCTCCGACTAGTGCCCTGTTACGCTCGATGTAAAGCATAAAATAGCACCCATTTTAAGTCTACGTATGCAATGGACAATCCTCAAGCGATAGTCTCCAGCACAATGTTTCATATGCCCGATCGTTTCATGGTGGTGGAAGGCATCTTGCTACTAAGATAAACACGTTGGGTATTGTTTCATCTCATCTAGATATTCTCATCAAGATGCCGATGCCTCATCCTCTCCCATGCTCTGCCACCAGCTTTTGATCCCCGCCACATTCAGCCACGCCAGCTCCCACGGGTCCTCAAACCACCATCTCCTACCTACATCTCTATTCCCGTCGCTCGCATACTTCTTCAAGCTCCCGCCGTCGAAGCGGTGATTCTTGACACCCACCAGCAGCACCGCGCTGCCCACCTTGGGAGTGAAGTCCTCCGGGTCCAGAAACACTGTCAAGTGCACCTGCTTGGCCGTCGAGGGATCGGCGATGCGTGCCGTGCGCTGCTTGCCGGGCGGCAGGTGGGACGGCTCGACGGCCGAGAGCGAGGTCACAATGGCGAGCACGTTGACGGACCAGTTCTGGGCATAGGGGAGGTGGGGTATCTGCCGCAGCGTCGTGAGCTTGAGCGGCACCTGGGGGTCGTGCCAGTCCTTGGGCAGGGCGACGGGCTGCATGTGCCGTGGCTGCTGCTGGCGAGACCTGTCGGTGCTGCCACTGGCTGTGGATGTCGCCCTTGCATCGGCTACCGCGGGCTTTTTCGGTGTCGCGGGCTTTTTGGGCGTCGTCTTCCTGGAGGGAAATGTGCGTGCTTCGAAAGCCTCGAAGGCGTCCTCCAGATCCTCCTCGTCGATTTCTCCGTGTGCATTGTCTCCCCAGTGCCTGGTCGTAGTGCTGGCCTTGGCTTTCCCCTTGTCTTGGGATCTAGTCTTCGTAGGAGTCTGCGGATCTGTAAATCTGACAGCGCCTTTTTTCGATGTGGAGGCAGTTGGAGTGGCCTTTGGTTCCCTCGAGGGCGTCGTCATCTTATTCTCTGGTACCGGTCCCTCCTTCATGCTGGTCGTGCTGGTGACCATAGTTGGCTCCTCGACATCTTTCCCCTTTTCATGGCGACGCCACATTGCCATGTACCATTCGTTCCAGCCGATCGTCTCCAGATCGTTCAATATCAAATACACCATGCTCTTATCGTCGCCCCTCTCTTTCCTTTTCTCTTCCTCCTCGTCCCCATCATCCAAGAATCCCCGTCCAATGCCGCCTCGTTCGGGCTCTTCGAACCGCAAGATGAGATCCTTCACCTTCACATAGCATCCCACGAAGACATCTCGCTTCTCGACGAGTTTGAACATGTCCGGGTGGAGCAAAGCCTGAATGCACAGCTCGCCGTCCCCGAGCACCAGTCTGACAGCATAAGTGTCGTCGTCCTCAGGCGTCGCAGCTGGAATCGGAATCCTATCGATGCCCTCGACGATAAATATGGAATCGGCTGTGCAGCGGCGAGTGCTGAGCATCTCCCTAATGACTGGCTGGATCGTGAATGGCTCCTGGCTGGGCGCAATTGTTACGGCTGCAGGGTTGGGGCGAGCCATCGTTGCACATAGCCTTTGCGCACTGGCATCTTGCAGAAGAGAAGCTGTGCTTTTTATTCGCCACTTCAGGTTGTGAGCGTCACATAAATCGCCCGCGATATTCGTGAACTCACGGTGACAGAGTGAAGTGATTTCACCAAGTTAGCAGTTGGTTAGTAGTGCAGACGGCGTCAAGGTGTCATGGTAGCAGCTAACACTTGCCTGATGCATCTATCCGAGTTTGTCTCAATCGGGGCATTCCGAACAGGCAGGCCACGCAAGAGACTGAATCCGCAATGGACGTCACTCGCTTTTATCCCTCTCATCCAATTGAAAGACTATCTTGGTGATTCATGTGAACGTCACATCATGAGCCATCCAGAGACTGGCTTCCAGAAAGAGCTGGACACAGCCTTTGGAGCCCTCCGACAAGCCGCCAAACTCAGCCAGCTCATCGTCTCTTCCCACGACAAGGGCACCGTCACAAAGGAGGATCTCAGTCCGGTCACGATCGCTGATTTCGCCGTCCAGGCCCTCCTGATTTCCACTTTTAAAGATGCATTCCCCGAGGACACGTTTGTAGGAGAAGAAGATGCCGCCGATTTGCGAGCCAACGAGGCGCTGCTGAGCCGCGTCTGGGACCTCCTCAACACCATTGCCCAGGACGACGACACCCAGAGAGGCGCCTGCAAGCTGCCCCAGTCCAAGGACCACATATGCGATCTGATTGACCAGGCGGGCACGAGCCGTCCGGGTGGTCCGGGATCGGGCAGGGTCTGGGTGTTTGATCCAATCGACGGCACCAAGACGTATCTGAGAGGCGAGCTGTATGCCATCAATATCGGCCTGATTGTCGACGGCAAGCAGACCCTGGGAGTTATTGCGGGACCGAACCTGTCGCTGAATCAGAAGGGTCCCCTGCGTAACAGCGACATCGACCCTGAAGGCAAGGGCTGCATCGTGTATGCCGTCAAAGGTCACGGCGCCTATGCGCGCTCTTTACATGGGGAGTCGTCTGTGATACAGCTACAGAAACAAACCACAACCCAGGATCTCAGCTTCGTGACGTGCACCGGTCTGGTTGATTCGGCCCTCGACGGTGTTCACGAAGTAGTTGCTCAGCGCCTGGGCGTCCCATTCCCCGGGAGCGATCTCGTGCCCTGGGTCTTGCGATGGGCTTCCATGGCTCTGGGCATCGGCAACACGACTGTCTGGGTGTACAAGCGCCGTGATCGCTATGCCAAAGTATGGGACCATGCGGGCGCTATGCTGCTGTTTGAAGAGACAGGCGGCAAGATCACGGACGTGCACGGCAAGGACATTGACTTGTCGGCCGGGAGGAAGATGAGTGCCAACTTTGGTTTCGTGGCTGCGCCGGTAGCGGTCCATGAGAGAGTCCTCAAGACTGTGCATGATGTGCTGAAGGATCAGGGGCGGGAGGAGTTTCTGCAATAGTTTTGTAAATTCTAGGTATAGAGTATAGATTCCGGAAGATGGAGCGGGAGCGCTGTGCGACTCGTCCTTTGTATCTCTACGGCAACATCTACGGCCAGAGACAAGTTGATTGCTATTTCGAAGTATATACGCCGTGGCTCACTGCATGATATCCCTTCCGTCCCACCTTTTCGACCAGTTCGCTTCGCCAGTCTTCGCCTCGAGCCAACTTGTCGATGATGCGCTCAAACGTGTATTCGGGCTTCCAGCCCAGCTCGCGAACCGCCTTGTGTGAATCATAGACGCGATCAATCCGATTCAAATACTTCCATCCCCTCTCGCGGAACACGGCGGCTGCTGCTGGAACAACCTTCTTATACACTTCCTCGGGGTTTCTGTCCAAAGCAGCAAGAGTCTCTGGATCGTTTGAGAAAGGCGGCGGCGCGCTGATGATGTACTTTGCCCAGCCAATTTGTCTCGCCTTGTTCATCGCGCACACCGTTGCCGACACAATATCTGCTATGTCGCAGCGCCGGTACGCCATTTCCAGTACTTTCAGATTCTCATCGCTCATCGCATTGCGTCGGTCCTCATCGTCGTCTTCCTCCGGGAAAAAGCGACTCACGCGAAGCACAAGAATTGGCAGGCCATGCTGCTTGTGGAAAAGCTGACATATGTCTTCCGCCGCGACCTTTGTCACCCCGTAGATGTTCTTGGGAATGGGCACGACGGCCTCGTCAATCCACGCGGCGGGGTAGCCGGGACGGGGGCTGAGCGCGGAGCCGAATGCGCTGGTGGTGCTGAAGAAGACGAAGCTCTCGATCTGGGGGCCGAGCTTGGCGGCTTCTTCGAGGAGGGCTAGAGTTCCGGCGATGTTTGTCTGGACGAAATCGCTTTTGGGATGGGATGTGACGTGAGGCTTGTGGAGGGTCGCTGCGTGGAGAATGTGCTTGATGGGGTGCTCTTGGAGGATACTTGAGATGAGCGGCTGGTCTGTTATTGAGCCGACGCAGGTGGCTGTCGGAGAGGAGAGGATGTCGAGTCCAAGAGGGGTGAAGCCGAGGGTTGGGAGGGTGATCATGAGGGCATGGCCGAGGTGGCCGGATGAGCCTGTGACGAGGACATCGTACTGGATGTCTTTAGCAGGTTGCATTTTGTGAACTTCTTGCTCAATAGCAGGTTGGGTATGGGATGTATAGAAACAGAGACACTCAAAACGATGTTCGGCTTGGACGTCCAGTGCTCTCATAACATAGCCAATCATCAAGTAGTGGGGGCGTCACTGAGGGAGTTGCGGCGAATGACTCCAATGGCCGGTCGCGTTAGTCTCGAAGAGGAAAAAAAAGTAGACGGCGAAGAGATCGAGTTAACGCATCTACGAGCCGTTCGTCTCGTCACATCGACCTCCTGCATTGCAATGCTGGGGCTGAATTTGAATTGGGCCAGCTTAACTGCCTCTCATCATTGAGCAGCTACTAGCTGCATCATACAGGTCTATGTATGTTGTCTCACAGGGAAGCAGTTTACACTCAATGTAATCAACTCAGAAGAAACGAGATATAAGGGGAGGTGTCCTGCACATGCGATCGACCTGGTGTGAGGCAGATTTTTAATAAAGGAAAGTGTGCAAGTCCGAGTCCGCAGGTTAATAAGCGGCATCCTCAAATCATTTTACATCAATTGCCGTCGAGGAAGCAAGAAAGAGTACTGATGCAATGTAAGAGAAGGGGATGTCGCACACCACGGTGCCAGTTCCCAACAGCAACCTGGTGTAAGAGAAAGCCACACATGGCAGAAGGTATCAGAAGAATACATGGTTATTGCAAACCGCTAAACATTGTGATGGCTCGGGTGAGTCACGAGAACTACAGGAGCGCAGACGTCTATTGCTCGAAGCAAGAGCGCAGTAGTAGGACGACAAGCCACCAGGGACTGCACGCACCACATGATGTAGGAATAAAACATGATGATACAGTTCCATCTTCCTACGGACTGATTCCCTTCCTTCTCACACATGATGTCATCCATCTCACTGCCCAATCTTGTACGGCCGCCCAGACTTCAAGATGAGGCTGGGCTTCCTCTCCGCCAGGTCAAGAACCATCTCGGCAAAGTAGCTGTTCGCCCACGCGAACCACGGCCGCGTGTAAGAGCTCGTGTTGTAGATGCTGACGCTCTCGTGGATCAGCCCCAGGCCGCTGGTGTTCTCCAGGATGACTGCCAGGCGCTGCTTGATCTCCTGGTCGCTGTCGGTGCCGAAGATGGCGGAGATTTGGCTCATGGGCCAGGGATACGTGGCGTTGACGTGGGGGCCTCTGCGGGTTTTCCGTCAACACGGCTGGGATTCATGAGAAAGGGGTAGCGTGTTGTGTTAGGGGGAGGAAGGCAAAGAGAACCAGGCAGATGTCAGACGTACCCAATACCGTCAAACGACTTTCCCCGAGCATAGTACGGATTCGCCCTCGAGAACATGGCCGCCTTGGTCTTCTGGTACGTCGGGTCGCTCCTCTCGAGGAAGCCGAGGTACGGCAGCGAGACGAGACTCGGGACGTTGGCGTCGTCCATGATGTACTGCGCCCCGAGGCCGTTGGTCTCGTACGCGAAGATGCCGTTGGAGGCGCGGGTGTGCGCCCAGACGGCCTGCTTGATGGTGTCGGAATACTGGCGCAGTTGCTTGGCGAGGGTCTTCTGGGTGCCGATAGTCCCGAGCATGTCTGCGACGTTGGCGAGCTCGACGGACATCATGGCGTTGTCGGAGGTGATGAAGTCTGTGGTGTTAGCAAAAGGGCTTTCGATCTGTGGCTTCTGTTGATACGCCTCCTTGAGGGAGAACTTACTGAAGACGCAGAGGTCGTCTGAAGGCCTGTGGCTCGAGGCAACCAGGCCGTTTGCCTGCTTCGGCTCACCGTTGCCGCTGTTGGGCACCATGGGGGAGAGCGCGCCGGCTGTGCCCGTCCAGTTGTAGTAGCTGACCCATTGGTAGTCTTCCGTCCAGCTGCTCTGAGACTGCTCGTAGAGAACCCTGACTATCTGGGCCATTGCGGCATTCCCTTGTAGTCTGCGTTAGCCAAGTAGCCTGAGACTGGGTGTCTGTTGGGGTGGGTTTTTCGTTTACAGTTGTCGTTGATAAAGGACGAGTCCTTTGTGTTGGCGTAGTACGAGCGCGTAAGTTTGAGAAAGCCGGCGAGGGAGTCGAGCTCGTACTGCTTGTTTGTGAGAAGGCTGGTTCTTGTAAGCGGAAGGGGTGGCTGCCACGATACCTTGCATTCGAACACTGTCTGGTTGTCCACAGGTCTGTTATAAGGAGCGCAAGTGTTAGCGGGAGTGCTGCCTCTCGTGTAAGTGGTGGCGGCTGGACGAGATACATACGGATTCACCACGACATCGGTTGCCCAGTCCTAAAATCCTATGTTAATAAGAAAGAAAAGTCCACAATGTGATGGAACTGCTCGGAATGACTTACGTTCACGGATGGAGCCAGGCCACTCTCGGGAGGCGGCTGGAACGAGCCTACACGTGAGAGTTTTCATCAGTTGTCACGCCTTCGTAGCACGCCGACGCAAGTTGAACGCACCGCAATATGGATACTGTGAAATGTACCGCGCCTCTGTGTTGATGACCGCCTTGACCAGAGCCTGCAGGTTCTTGTCGTGGGGCAGAAGCTTGTACAAGTGAGCAAACTGGTTGCCTGTGTCTCGAAGCCATTGTGCACTTTGCGGATCAGCTCAGAACTCTGTTCTAGCGTAGATTAATCACGGCTGGCAGTATATCTGCATTTACGTACGTGATATCCTAGCAAGATGGTCAGGCCGGAGGACACGTGGAAAATTGTCAGGGCAATATCGGGGATCAACTTACACCCGTGATGATGAATGCCAGGTTCAGTGACGGGTCGAAATATTTGACGGTCGTGTCCAATGTCGACGGGAAGGTGTTCTCGAACAGCCGGGCGAGATCCGGATCCTTGAGCTGAGATTTCAAGTCGCTAATAACTTTCTGTACGGAACAACACGACAGAAGAGATCGTCTCTTGTCAGTGCCTCTATCGTGTCTGGGTGTTGCAATCAAACGCAATGCTTCGGCAATCCAGAGGATGACGCTCACCTCGACTGCCGGGCTCTTGAAGGTCCTACACTCCTCGCTCGGCCTCATGTAAGGCAGCTTCAGAGGGCCAGACGAGTACGGGCCGTGCGGCTGAGCCGAATAGCTGGTGTAGTCCGGGCACGAGGACGCCGTGCGGCGCTGGGGCGGGAAGGCAGACGCGGAGGCGGGGAACGCGGCCAGGACGCCGATGGCAGCGCCGATGACGCGGTGGGGAGACAGGTGCAGAGGCATCTTTGGAGTGCGCTGGTGGATGACTTTTTCGCGATGCCCGTTGGTAGACGGAAACAGAGACGCCGCGAGGTGTTGCAACGGCGGGCCTCGAGGAGGGAGTCGACGGATCGAATTGACTGTCTCAGGGTTGATGTCCCGGGCCAGCCATTTTATTTATCCCGTCTCCCTCGCCATCGATGTATGTCCCTGTTCCTGTTCCTCCCTACGTACGTCTAGAAACTACTGTCACGGTTACATCCAGATCCCGTTAGGTGGGGGACGGGCTTCCAGAAAGGAACAGGCGTTGACGGCGATCTTTTGCCTCGGGAGCCGCATCCTTGGGTTCGAGGTGACAGAGCAGTGCGGGGGAAAGCGGGGAGAAAAGACGAAGGAGGACAAGGAAGAGGGCGAGGGCATCGCCAACAAGGTTCGGATGACGGTGGAACATACGGCAAGACGTTGGGTGAGGGCGCGCTGCGTCATGCGGCATGACGAAGGTATGCGGTGGGACGATGTGCTTTGTTGAAAGAGGAAGCTGGAGGATGAGGGCGATGCTGTCCGTCTTTTTGTTGGTTGACGAAGGTGAATGTGTTGGTAATTAATTAGCAGTTGAAGGAGTCTGTAGGAGACTGGAGCATCCTTGGTCGTGGATGATTGTTCGGATTTAAAGACGCGAGCTCATCGTATAAGAGCACGAGGTCAATAAGCCGGACAAGCGATGTAGGAGTGATGGTGATGAGAGTACTACGTAGGTACTCTAATGTATGAATCGCACACAGAACCCGAGTATAACTCCGTGTCCCCCTCTTCATCTTCCCCGCCTTGCCGGCTGTTTTCTGGCCTTGATGCTACCTCTTGGCATCGAATGCCGATGGTCTTCTTCCTGTGCGCGTGCAAGTTGGAGCGTCGGATGGAGTCGCCCTTCTTGACACTAACATGGCGTATGTCCTCCTCTCTGCGGAGTAGCTCCATTCATCACACGCATTGCAGTTCGCTTACACCCACATGTACTAGACCAACCGCCCACTTCTACTGCATCTAGTCGACGATATCCCTGTATTGTTATTCTGAATCAACGAAGGATGCGTTATGTAATCTTGCAGCTGCCCAAGGATAGCGACGGTCCATGACAAGGCGAGAATCCTTTAGCTGCGGGTAAACCACCAGCATCATCGCCATCACCAATATCAACACCAACATCTACGCCCCCTCACATCAAGCTCAAAGCAATCTCTAACCTCCCAATGCCACCTCTCCAAAATGCCTCTCCCATCCCGCACATCCACGCCCTCTGCATGGACGACATATACAGCACCGCCCTCCAGGCGGCAGTCGCCTCGTCGGACAGCCTCTCGTCCATCTCCATCACATACCACAACTGCGCCCTATCCTTCGTAGAGGCCGAGTTCGACCTCATCGTTTCCCCCGCAAACTCGTATGGCCGGCTGGACGGCGGCTTTGACGACGCCATCTCGCGCTCATTCTCTCCCCGCGACGACTACCTCGCGCTCACGAGGGCCGCTCAGGCCAAGCTGTACGACGAATGGCGCGGCTTCGCTCCTCCGGGTACCTGCACGCTGCTTCGCATCCCCGACGACTTTCACGCGCGCTCGCGGAACACCTGGGGCACCAAGTATCTGGCGCTGTGCCCGACCATGCGCGTCCCGCAGAGCATCACCTGGGATCGTGAGGTCATCTATGAGTGCACCTGGAGCCTCTTGTGCGCAGTCGACAGACACAACCGGGCAGTTCGCAATGCTAGATCGCAACAGCAGCAGCAGCAGCAGAAGCATGACGAGATCCGCAGCCTGCTCATGGTCCCCATGGGGACCGGCGTGGGAGGCGTGAGTTCAGAGAAGTGGGCAAATCAGACGGCTCTTGCGCTGGAGCATTATCTCGATGCCGTGAACAATGAGGCCAGATGGAGCGCACTTGAGCCAGACGACATTACTGACTATGCGCGCGAGGTTCAGGAGACCTGGGGGCTCTGAAGTTGATGAAGCTACCAAGCAAGACCTGCTCGGACTTTGATGCACCTATATATATACCATTACAAAAGGACGACCGGCTATCATTGTTTCATCAGAGCATAACGTGGCATACCTCATACACATGAGCTCATTAGGCAGCATCTCCAGACTTGTGCAACCAAATACCTGGTACTCATTCGCCGTTACATATGAAAAAGCGCCCAGTAAATCCCAGACCAAAGCAGATGAAGACAAAAAGAAGAGAGGGAGAAAGAAAAGCATCAGCCGCGACAGCAAGCACCGAAGCACATATCTGAATCTATTCCCATCAGCATCACATCGTCTTGTTCACACTTGGAGGCAAAACTTACTTCTTCCATGTGACGACACGCACATTGACGAAGCCATTTCCCTTGCGATCCACCTCCAGCATCTTGACAACGTGCCCAATCTGCCTTTGGCAGATGGAAAGATGCGATCTGATATCCGCGTCTCGTCAGCCGCGGCTACTTGGTCGAATTGTTGGCTGTAGTATGGCGGAGGAAGCAGAAGCAGTGCATGTTGACGATGAGATCCGTAGCTCGGTGGCGAGTCGGCGATGTTGTCCATTGAGGTTGTATCGGATGCTACCCGGCTGCGTGTCTGCATCATGTACGTATGCGTAAGGTGTATGAGATGTTCTGAGCGGTAAAGAGACCCGTTATCTTTAACAACCTTACGTCGACAATACTTGGGGTCTTCTGGTTTTCCTTCTTTGAACGAAATGTACGAACGCCTTTCCACCAACACACGGAGAACTCTCGGTCTTTAAATCTGTCCCCGAGCAGAGCTATTACACGCCAAGTTGTTCAGCTACCAAGGTGCCCTCATTCCTAGTTCAGGCAAGAAAGGAATCCAGAACCTTGTCTTGAGCCAATTAAGCTTAAACGATATGCATCACAAGGCCTGCACGAGGCCTGTGCGGCTTTGGAGCCCACTTGAGCGAAGCATCTAGGGCGAGAGATTGAGGTCAGAGCTGAAGATACTGCGCCAATCTCATGCATGTTGGTCAAGTTTGTCTGGTCACGGGAAAAAGTTTCCCTCTTGGAACTACGCGTATCTTGGGTAAAGCGAGAAAGCTGAGTGGAGATAGAGGCTTGACAAACAGGCATTGCAGGGATCGCAGGGATCACCAGCATTTCTAGATCGATGGATGCATCCGATCTGAACGTGGGATTGACAGCGTACGAGGGGTTGGATCGCCTTGTATGCTCACAGTCCATCTTAGTACAAAGCCGTGAGGAGATGGGTTTCTAGTGGCTCATCCGATCTATCCTTCTTCGCAGACTACAGCAGACGTTTGGCGCAGGCGCATGTCATCCAAACTGTAGCCGCACCCTTTAAGGATGAATTCACGACAATTGGAGTCAAAGCTTTCCGATCCGTCGAGGTTGGGTTGACCAACATAGTTCATATCTATCTATGTACTCACATGCTATTAGTATGTTCGGATTATCACGCTGTCAAAGGCAGATATTGCTTCGAAATCTCACACTTGATAACTGAATTCTATTACCTCTACATCTATTTTACAAAAGATGAAGAAGGCCTCAGGGTTGAGGGTGGTGCAGACCGCTGACTCGAACATGTCTGTTATAGTATATATTGTCACGTCTTCTCCTCATCGCTGACATAAGGCAAGGTCGGATGCGCCTTTGTAGGATCTGACGAACCCCTCACTTCTCACATATTGGAAGTCCATCTCCTATCCTCCAACGGAGCCTTCATTCGTCTGGTAGCCGCCGCTTTTGAAGTGTCATATACCGAAGGCGATCATAGTTCTCATCTAACTTCCCTCTGATGCGAGGGCATGTATCAGCATCCCCAGGGGAGTATCTATGAGCATATGGCCCTCATTTTACAACGTGTATTTTCTTCGGCAATTTCCGTACAAAGGTTCAACATGGAGCCCCGCCGCCTCCTAGATTCAGCCCTTGTCACAATTCAGGCGATATTATCCCAATATGAGAATGAGATGGAAGAGTTGGCCAACCCGCCACTTGAGTCCAGAGAGGTGCAACAGTACCTATCTCTCACGCAAACTGCCCTCCACTACGCTCGTGATCATCAAGCCTGGGATGAATCGTCTCAAGCAGCCGTCTGCTCCTTAATTACCAGTATCGAGAAAAGGGCGAAGATGCTACAGGGGATATTCAGCCAAGTTGCGGAAGATGCAGGGCAGCATACAAGTGACAGATCAGTCTCGGACAGCTATCACTTCACTCTATCAAAGCTGGGTAAATCCTACTCTGTGGAAGCTCTTATGCTCGGCATCTTGAAGGATTTGGATGCATTATTTGCCAACCAGTTACTTGTACCGGCAAGTAGTAACTTGGCAGCAGAGCTCAAGGATGCCATTGATGTGATGTCCAAGGTGGCATCCTCTCTTAAAGATGGGGATACCAGGAGCTCTGGAACAAGTTTTACTCAGCATATTGCTTCCGGCGGAACAGGTCATCAATCTCACTATAGTGGTCAGGGGCAACATATCAACACTGGCAGTGGGGCTATGAACAATTATCACGCAACGTCAATGAACTTTGGTAGGAAATAGTAAGAGTATAGCGTACAGATTCAGTACCAGATAGCTGACGCGTTCCATCTCAAAGCTTCGTCACTTCGAGACGACGAGACGCCAAAGCAGAAAGGTCAATCTTGTTACGTGCCGCGACGTGTCGATGGGAAGAATCGGGATTGTGATAAGACAACAAGCCGCCGCTCTGAAATCTATGGTCACGTCCAGCTTCGACGCCGCTCTGAAATCTATGGTCACGTCCAGCTTCGGCGCAAACATCCAGAGATGGAATCGCCCAGATATTGTAGTAAAGTCTACACAGCTTTGACACCATACAAGCTCAATGGCCTTTGTCACATATGCTGCTCCGTACACATGCTCACGCACATCAGAAAACTATGAAGAATTGAGATATCGATCTACATCCCCTCTATTTCTCATCCATTGCTTCCAAAATCACTCGGCTTAAAACCTACAAGATCCCAGGAATCAGAATTCCTCCAAGAAGCCCGCCTCTACGCAGCCCTCCAAACAGTCCTCCCAAACCGCCCAGGCCTCCCAGTCCTCCCAGTCCACCGAGGCCACCGAGTCCTCCCAGACCTCCCAAGCCACCGGTCAACCCCCCCAAACCACCAAGTCCCGTCAAGTTTCCAAGCCCACCAGTCAATCCTCCCAGACCACCCGTCGTATTCGTCGTCGTTCCGTTCGTCAATCCTCCCAAACCACCAAGTCCTGTCAAGTTTCCAAGCCCACCCGTCAATCCTCCCAAACCGCCCGTCGTATTCGTCGGCGCTCCTCCCAGCAAACTCGCCAACCCAGGAATAAGCTTCAGGATATCCAACAAGATCGCCGTCGCATTCGGCGCAGCCCCCGGAGCCGCCCCGAGCAGAGCACCCCCAGTCGCAGTCACATTCAAGCCGCTCAACGGATCGGCCGCCGCGCCACCCGAGGTGCCGCTGCCGCTGCCAGAGCCCAGCAGAGTGGTGTTCCCGTCCGCAGCACCCGTCGCGTTGGTAGGAGGGATGGTAGGGATAGTAGTATTCGTGCCATCACCGGGAAGGAGAAAGGGGAGGAGCTGTCGCTTGACATTGATGCTGACGTTGTCCCGGAGGGCCTTCATGAAGGTGTCGAGGATCTCGGCCTCCTTTTCGCTGAGGCCCAGGTCTTGCTTGTGCGAGGAGAGGACCTTGAGGACAGCGACCTGGCGGTCCGAGAAGATGTCGGTGAGATGCAGCTGCATGTCTGCGAGGGACGCCGGTCCGTGTGAGGCCATGGCGGAGGCGGTGCCCTCGGAGGATTGCTCGGTGGGAGCGGCGAGGGCGGTGCTCGCCAGGAGGGAGATGAGGGTGGTTGCGGTGAACCTCATTTTGACAAGTGGTTGATTTCCTCTGCGGTAAAGAGATGTGGGTGACTTGTGTGTCTTGGGTCAAATGATGTTATGTTGTGTGAGCTGTTTGACAACCTCTTCCATTGGGATAACCCCGTCCTTATATCCTTTCTTTGCTGTAAAGAACTCCAACAGATTGCCAGAGCTGTGTTGCCCAAGAGATGATACATAGGACTGGCGTCTTTTCCTTCAAGAATGTTGCCCAGGGCAATCGCTTTCATACCTGACAAAAATGTGTCAAGACATCACCGGAATGCAAAAGCAGCCCTATTGTCCCTTTTCGAAACAGTTTCCTCACCATGTCTCAGGACCAAAGGAATCGTAAAATCACACCTGGTATTCGGTAGCCGCAAATCATCACACAAAGGCCGTCATTGTCTCACTCCTCTGGCATCAAACGCCTTGGTACAACGTCCTTCCCCGGAAGTCTCACTCTCCTCCTTGGCATGGAAGCGTCTCGTCTACTCCTGAAACCCCCGAAAACCCCTGAGGAAGGCTCGTCTCATGCTATACATAGTAACGATTAATCGACATGCCCAAATCAAATTACGTGACGATGTAAACAACCGTGTCATACCTATTCATCACGCCGTAAACCATTCCAGCAAACCCCTCATATATTCAAAATCTTGCGGCAGTTCGAAGCGTCAAGCATGTCGGCAATGGCGGCACATCAGAATACACGGATATGTGGTGTATATATAAGGTATGTACAGTTGTAAAGACCTCGTCATGTCAGTCATCAAGCACCATTCCAACATGCAGTCTCATCCAAATCTAATTCCCGAACCGGCGCTCCATGTTCCTTCCTGGCCGGACGACCCTCCGGTCGGTGGTCCTCCAAACTTGATGCCCATAGAGGGATTCCACGTTCCAGGCAATTGACCAGGTTGTTGTCCGGGCTGTGGCGGCTTCTGCTGCGGAGTCGGCGGCTGCATTTGGCTTCCGGCCCACGACTGTATTGGAGCCTCGGCCGGACTCTGAATAGCTGATCTAGAGTATACGGGCTGTTGTTGTGGTGGTTGTTGATACTGCTGTTGTGGCTGCAACGGTGGCTGTTGATATGAAGATTGTTGGTACGTCTGCTGCTGGTACGCAGGCTGATACTGGTCATGCTGCTGTTGGGCAGGTTGGTGAGCCACAGGCTGAGCTGCGAATCCTGATGGCGGATTCTGAACGGGCTGCTGGTGGTTGATGTTGAGAGTCGAGAGCGGCGGCATAGTCAGTTCCCTATGTCGGTGTTAGCAAGTAAACAACCATCGTGCTCTTCGTTCTGCGGTGACATACTCTTCCAACCTCTGGGCTTCCAATCGCCGCTCCGCCACCCATGCTTTGATGGCATCCCGGAAACCATGCGCAACTATCCTGTTCAGGTCATTGTAGAATTTCCTTCCCACTTCCAGGTTGGCCACGATTTCCTTGTACTTGAAATAGGCGCCGTTGAGTTTCTGCAGCACTTGCTCACGATCACGGTGTCCTTTGGAGTCAACGAGGCGCTTCTGAGCCTCAAACTCCCTGTTTGCGCGCTCCAAAAGGATCAGCAGATTTTCTTGGTCCTGTGCTTCCTTCTCGACGGCCTCAAGCTCCGGCTCGTACAGCTTGTCCAGTCGTTTTTCGAAGAACTCTTCAAAGTGGACCGTCTGCAGAGGCGTTGAGGGATACGTTCGCTCCAGGCGAGCCGCTTCCTTAAGAATATCGGGTTTGATGTCGTCGCGCCGCGCCGCTTCCCTCAGGCTCTCAACCTTCTTCCTCCTCCTAGTCTCCATCCGCAGCACATCATTGTACACGCTCCGCAGCCGCCCAACCGCTGCTTTCAGCTCTCCTGAGCTTTCCACGGGTGCGCTCGAAGGCACGTAGTTCATCAGAGACTGGTTCGACCCTGAGAGAATCTCCAACAACTCTTTGTTGGCCATGAACTTGTCTCGAACCGCCTCGTCGCTGCTCGCGCTGTTCTGGAAATAACCCCCAATTTCGTTGATCGCGGCCCAAAATTTCGCGCCGGTGGGCTCTGCTTGGCTCTCGGGACGCCGCCATCTGCTGGTGCCGTACTTCCTCCGCAGCTGCTCGTCTTCCTCCTCTTCAGCGGCCAGCGCTGCTTTCCCCTCCTCGAAAATCGCCCAGTCGTTGGATCGCAGTTTTTCGATATCGGCGAAGCTCCTCTGGATCTTGTTGATTGCGTCAGCTTGTCGAATCTCCTCCGCGTGCTGTATCAGGCTAGGCGGAAGGCCGAGAGGCTTCTCCAACGCTTGCAGAGATCCTGGCAAACCAATAGAGCTGAGAAGCGTGTGAATCTTGTCGGTCAGATTTTCCAACTCCTGGATGATGTTTTGGTTCACCAATCGATCTCTGCGCTCCTCGTAGATGGAAATGGCAACATGAACTGAGAAGGGTACCAGCTTCGAGAACAGCGCCGGCCCGAGCTCGGCATGGTCGCCCAAGTAGTCGAGGGGGTTGGCCACCTGAGGAGGTGTTCTAGCAATGGCCATGTTGGCCCTCTCCAGGATCTTCAATTCAGCCTTCGGGGGGACGGGATCTGTTGTTAACTGTCAGCGGTGTGAAGAGCTTCGGTTGAACGCGCAGGAACAACGTACTCAGAAAGATGAGGTCGTTGTCTTTCTCGGCCCTCTTCAGGTCCTCTTCTAGCTTTCGTTTCAAGGCCTGCAAATCCTCCATGACCGTCTTGTTCAGGGGGGCAACCCGGCCCTCTTTGATGCCGTCATTGGCACAGATGACGGCATCTTTCAGCCGGGCAATCTCCTCACCATATCTTCTCTTCTCTAAGCAATCGCAGGCGGCGCGATACTGAGCGGCGGCCGCGAAGTGGTGATGCTTTGCATTCATATGATGTATCCATGCGCTGCTAATGGCCTCACTGCTCACCGCAGCCTCGGCAGCCAGGTTGTACAGGTCAGAAACCCGTGCAGCCAGCTTTGCGATTGAGGCGTCCTTGTAGCCGTCCATGACGGCCTTCTGCCAGAAGCACTCCTGGCTCTGTGCCAGAAACAGCTGCACCAGCGATTCGAGAGTGTTATTATCCATGTCATCGGGCGGGTCGGACATGCGCAGCTCGGGAAGCACGGCCTTCTGAATGTGGGACAGGACGCCGGCGGCCAGCGAAAAGTAGTTCGCGGCAGATTTGAGGCCTTCAGTGTCGCCGCGAGGCGTGTTGAGGGCGAGTTGGGAGTACAGGGCGGCGAGATTATAGAGGACGTTCATGAGCTCGTACTTGAGGTTGTTGCGCGCCATCGGCCGGTCGGTGTGGTAGCCCAGGGCCGGATACCAGGTGAACTCGGCGCCAATCTGTTATTCGAGCAGCGTCAGCATCTCGTCTGCTTCTTCCTCCTCTTCGTCTTGCTCTTCGCTACATCAACCCGCGCCTACGCACATCAATCGGAAACTTGCCGCCAATCCACACCAGCTGGCCCGCATACACCTGCAGCTTCTTGATGCCGCTCAGATGCGGCTCGCGCACGTTGACGGCGTCGCGGCGCAGCGCATCGATGGCCTCGAGGTCGTGCTGGAACATGTCCGGGTGCTGGTCATATTTGGTGTTGATGTACTGCCGGATCGTCGTCGACAGCGACAGGTGCAGCGACCGGCGGAACGGGATGCAGAGGATATTGGTGGTTGGCCTGCGAGTTACAGGTGAGCGTGTTAGAGACGACACAGGAGAGAAGGCATAGACCGTCAGGGAGATGGGGGTGAGAGAGAATCACATACGTAGACATGTTGGGCGCCGGGCCGCCTTCGAGCCTCGAGCAGGAAACTTGCAAATAGCTGCAAATACAGAGAGAAGCGGTGCAGGAGAGTATAAGCAGGAGCTAGAAGCTATTCGCCAGGTATCATGATGTTATTTTGCATCCGAGCGGCTGTTGGCGGGGCATTGCCGTTTACCCAGGCAGACCACGGAGGGGCGTCGATGACTCAGCATGACGCACCGCTTCACGGACTTTGTCAAGCATCAGGTTGTCTTGCTGGTTACCCTGAATCTCTGACGGATCGATGGGAGGCAATCCGGGGACAAAGAAGAATCCAATGCCAGAGGCGTGTAGAGGCTCAAATAAAGTAGTTTGTTTGCTTATGGGTGCATTGGAGACACCGTGAGCCAAAAGCGCGAGGCTCGCAACGAATATCCCCCAGTATTCCAGACAACATGCTTACATTGAGCTTTTTACACCAGTCAGCTCTAGGTAAATGCCTACATGTATCTATCTTACCTATGCAGACCAACGCAGAGCTTATACAGCAACTCATCATATAGCAGCTGATGTCGTGAAAGCAGAAAGCAATCCATGGTCACGTATATCAGGTATTGGTCTCGAAAATTCCGTATTCGTCTAAATTCGGAGCAATGTGGCGCTGCACTAGGCCATCATCGCGAAAAGTCTACGTCAAATGACATGATACATCCCATAGCCCCATGTTCCAGGCCGAAAGTAAAAGGCAAAATGTTGACAAAACGAAAAGGGAAGAAGAGAAAAGACACCCTCCATTTGTCAATGTGTCACAGCCAATCCCGCTGTCCGACTCTATCAAACAGGCTGCATGGAGATATCGATATCCAGCCTGCCTTCCGAAACGCCGATTCCCTGAACAAGAAAAAAGAAAAAGGAAGAAACAGATCAAAGAACGAGAACACTCATCAGGTCTGCCCATTTCTCGACGTCAGGGACCCCACCAATAATGGGTTTCACTCCTGCCCATGGTCATGATCAAACGCATGCCTCGTTGAGTTTTCCACCCAGAAGCGTATAAGCGCGATGCCCTCACACTAAGTACATGTAACTCAAAAAGTTACACCCAGCCATGCTGTACCACTTGGTGCGTCGTACGGTCGACGATACAGGTAAAGCGTATCCGTTCGATCTTGGTGACATCCGGTAGGTAAACAGTCTCATGCCGTCCAACGGTAGCCGTCTGTCCTCCGGACTTGGGAAAGCAGGGTGGATAAGGTCGCACCGTGTCGAGTTGTGTGTGGCTTTATGAAGGAATCCAAACAAGCTCGATGATACCGTCGATATTGCTCATCGGCTGTTTGTCGAGGTGGACCCATCGCTCGTCATTCTTACTTCGGGTATATGTTTGCAGGACGGAACCATCTGATTGGATCTCGGACTCCTGGAGTTCCCAGGCGATCTTGCGTCCCGTCTTGAGGAGGGACTGCCGCCGCGGCCCAAACATGAAGTCGAGGTTCCAGCCCTTGTTCTCGGGCGCAGCGTACAGAGTCGCCTCCATCTGGTTGGTGTCAAACGTGATGCCCTGGGGGTAGTGGGCGATGGAGTAGCCCGAGATGATGAAGTCGTCCGGCGTTTGGAAGCGCATGAGGGTGCAGTCCTCACCACACGAGTGGGCAAGCTTAGTGTACTGGGCAGGCTTGGCGCTGTGCCAGCCACCGCCGCGATAGTGATGCAGTGAGAGCGGCTTGATGCCCCATTCGTAGAAGCCGCTGGGGTGGCCAAAGAAGTCGAGTTGCCAAAGATCCCAGAGCGTGGTCAGTCGTACCTCGGTGTTTTCGTAAATGCACTTGCGCAGGATAATGTCTCCCTGAGGACCCCAGCCCGAGTTCGACTCGAGAATCTTGGCCTGCGTGGTGCAGCTGCCATAGAGGCCCGTAATCTTCTCAGCCATAGACCGCGACAAAAAGACGCCGGCTCCTCCAAAGGCCTGAGAGCCGTGGCGCTCGATGGCACCGACATCTTCCGACAGTGTGCCAATATACATGTCCCTGGTGTGGTCAAAGGTGCTCATCTTTTCAATCAGGCCGTGCATGCTGGGGAAGAAGGTGTCGTCGTCGCAGGTGACGAGCCACTTTTTGCTCGCCGACTCGGGATGCGTGTAGAGAGTCGGCACCAGAGTCAGGTAGCGGACGGCCATCTCGACCGACGAGTCGGAGTGGTAGACGTCGACGTCGATGCCCACGTCGCCCAGCATGTCGGCTACCTGCTGAAGCTGTTCATCCGTAGCGTCGAGCAGCATGAGCAGCAGCTTGCCGCCGTTGGAGTTGCCCTGGTTGTCGGTGAGCCAGAAGACCCATTCGTTAATGGGCGTCGTGCTGGGGTCCATGAAGCGCTTGTAGGTTGTCGAGACTCCAAACATGAAGTCAGAAGCATTCACGGTGCGAGGGAAGCCCGACGCGGGGACATCGACTTCCAGGGGAGCCGCGCACGCATCGCCGCCGCCGAAGCCTGCGCCCAAATCGACCGTTCTGAAGCTGTCGGTGAGCAGGTTCTGGGAGAGCTTGGTCATTCGCTTGCGCTCGAGGCCTTCCTTGCGAGTAAATTTGACGTAGCGCTTCATGTACTGGAACCTGTTTTCGAGTCTGTAGCGCTCCTTGATCTGGGCGAGGTGAGCGAGGTCGGCGTTGCAATCCATCTTGAAGTTGGTCTTAGCAGGGCTAGGTTGCTCAAGACCAAGCGTTGGAGCAGGTACGGGCACGGCGTCCAGAGGCTGCTGGGCGTTGCCATGTGGCTCGGATGGTGCCCTGGCGTCGGCTTGTTCGAGAATCTTGTGGTGAACGTGGAAAGTCTCGCTCTTCATGGTGGCCATGATGATGAGGAAGACGCACAGGGCGCCCACAATGGAGCGGAAAATGGGGCTTTTCATGCTGATGACTCGCTGAGGGCCTGGTAGCATCTTGACACCCATCCTAGAGATGCTATTGTAGTCGAGGCTTGTCTGCATCTCCCGTTTCTTATGAGCGGGTTGGGTTCTGAAGCATGTGTGTGCTTGGGGAAAACGTGCCCTCGGAGGAGAGAATCGTGGAACTTGTCGCTTCCAGTTGCGATGAACTTTGGGTCATAGGATCCTAAAATCGTCGAAGGCAAGAATCTGGCCTGAAACGAGCGTAGAGAATCGGAAGGAAATAGGCGATGGCCCGATCAACGGTGCAGACGGAACTGGGTTCCCGTAAGGTGAAGGCACGGGAAGGGTGACACAATCGATCTGGCTCGAGGAAGCTTGATCCGAAAGTTGAAAAACACGGGGAAATGCACGCAAACACGCAAACAGCCGGCCGCGAACTCGAGCCCGAAAGAGAGAGGGGAGGAGCGAGCGCCGCTTCGTCGAAATGAAGGAGTCGACGATAGCTGAACGAGGGAGACGAAGTCGGCGGAAGACAGAGAGTGTTTAGTTAGGGAGAAGGGAGAAAGGAGGAGAAGAGGGAAAACCAGAAGAGAGGAATCGGATCAGGTGGAAGGCAAACGACAGGAGGAAGAACGAAGAGGCCGGCAGTTCAGTTCCTTGGAGGAGCTCCAGCCAGAAGCCAGAGCAAACGAGTCAAAGAGATTCCACGTTGATGAAAAGAGGGTCGACCCATGCAGGCAGGGATTCTGCTTGATCTCGAGGCGGTTCTTCTCTGGCTGGCGTTGGACAGGGGAGGAAGATGGAAGATTTTGGTGGGGGCAGTTGTTTTGGATACAGCATGGGGCGGTGGTGACACACCAGACCTGGGGGAGGCACCAGGCCGGCAGAAGGGCAGCAGGTACAAGGACGGAGGGGAGGCGCGTGGTGGCTAACAGCTGGTGGCGCGGATGTGCAGCACGAGTTGTTAGGCTGGCGGGTTTCGTCTACGTCAGGTGTTTCAGAGGCGGGAGTACTCCGTACATGGCTGCTCTGAAGCACTGTATTTCCGTTCTCAGGTAGGTGCCTTATCTTGCTCGAAAAGCGGGCGTGCAGTTATCACCAGAGGCGCTGTGAAGGTTTGCATAGGAGGAGGAGGGCGAAGAGACGGGCCAGTGAGGCGTCAGGATTTGGCACGTTGGATTCGTGTCCCCGAGGTCGAGTCTTCACAAGCGCAGCCTGGTACGACATCCAGTGCCTGTAACTTCCATCTACTATCGTATTTCTGATTCGAATCCGCCTTCACACGTATTAATACGAACCGTTCACGATCTGGGGCACAGCTGAGAAATCCAGAAACCGACCCCATCGTGAACAAGCTTTTCCAGCCAACGATGCCTTGCCTTGATTCGCCCTAGCCCGCAGCTGCGATCCCCTGTCATCAGCTAGCCGGAAGCTTGGCCCTCTGTCTGGTTGGCTGACGGAGCCGAATGAGGCAGCTCACGGCCTTCACGATGGTTGCTGCGGCCCGCTATTGGGGCTGCTAAGGCAGGCGAGCTACGGAGGATTATCAGGACAATAGCAGCCGGTGCCGGCATAGGATTGTTTGGGATGGGATTCCGTCCTTTTATTGTCGCATGAGGGTAGAGAGCGACCAAGAGACTCCAAGCTTGGAGATCTGAAGAACCATGATCCGTCCTGCAGAGGTGGATAAAGAGAAGACGTCGTCAAAGGGATAATCACACTGTCCATGATGCCATCGCCCACCGACGCAGTCAGCGACATGGCGATCTACAGGCAGGCGGCTTCCGAAGAAAGGGGCAGCATGTCTTCGTCTCCGTTTTCCTTGGTCAAATCATCTCCCTCACGCTGCTAAAACCACGCAAGTGCAGCCTCAGCCCTTGGGGGTCGCCATTGATCGCCGCCCTCTCTCCACAGGCGCCCGCAATTGCATGTCAGGGGTCATTTCGGCGGCATCTCTCTGCATGTACTGTGCTGTACTGTACCTACGGTGCCTTCTTACTCGCGCGCGGGAGGTGACAGTATCACTTCGAAGGTATCATCAACTGCATTGGATGCAACTCTCTCTGGCCGTCCGACCCGAGGAGAGACTTACCTTGACCGCTGGACAGAGAGAGGTGATGGCGAGCATGCAGGGCAAGGAATGACTTTCTTCTCCCTGTCTATCACTCTGCGATTCCTGATACGCGTGATGCCTAGCAGATAATACTGATGTCGAACATGGCACATGTTGCGAAAAAGCCTCGCAAGCCACCTTTTGAGGGCTTCGACTTGATAATTTCCCCAGAACTTCTCTCTTCTTCAGTTCTTCCATGAACCTTATCATCAACATCACCATTACAGTATGAGTACGCTACATACCAGTGCAGATATGCCTGCTCCTATCTCCATACAGTGTGATCCATTCCTAGCATCACCGCCCCATCTGTAACAGTCTAGGCGGAGCCAGAATAACGCCGCACCGAAACAAAAATAACAGAAGCCAGAAGCCAAGTTTTTCGCCTTCTGTGGGCCGTGCTTCTACGTTTCTCCATCATGCCAACCTGAACGATCCACCCACGCCACGGCAACATGAACGGGACGTTTCGCTGCGGCTTTGAGACGTCATTGGTGTCACGACTCTCCCTTTAGCCTTTGTCTTGGACAGGATTGGCAAAATTGGATTGGCTGGAGATCGCCGTTTTAGAATCTCGAGCAGCCGCGCAAGCTGTGTTTGATTGACGCGTTTGAGACTCCCTTTTGGCTAGACGAGATTCTGATGATCCAGATTGGCGCTGAAGGGCGGAGAGCACATACGTACATACAGATGGAATATCATACCATCAATGTTTGCCTGGTCGTAAGCAGGAGCTCAACGCAACCATCATCACTACTCAGTCCGTTCATACCAATCGCTGAAGAGAAAACAATTGACATCGAACAAGGCGACTCTGTTTCCTCTAATCAGGTACTCCGTAGTCTAGACTTCCAAAAGAACAAAATCCATACAGGCCATACCATGTACGGCTCTATCTTGTTCGCTTCGGATGCGAGAAAAAGGAGAAGGATGTCCAGCCGTCCAGGGCCCCCAAACACGATCTACACAAACATCCCTACACGGCGACCAGGCACAAATCTGCCGCTTCGCTCGGCTTTCTTGATTGGACTTGGTGCCTCGACGATCCCTGTCGCCCTGATACGGCTCGCAAAGAGCTCGCTAAGGACTTGCCGTAGTGGGTGAAAGCTAGATACCTGCCTGACTCGTGCTGGAACTAGTTGTAGATAGGGGAATGCTTTCCTGAAATACGTACATATAGATCCGACCAGGTCACGTAAGAAATCACACGAGTCTCAGCAATGCCGATGAAGAAATTCGCATGATACATACTCCATAAAGAGCGAGTGCTGTTGGTAGGCAACATCTACGGTGCATGGATGAAGAGAGCACACGTGCTCGTCGCATGGCTTCATGTTCAAAGCCAACAGCCTTTCCGCCAGTTCAACCACATACCCTATCCCAAGACGAGCGCATCATAGTCGATAGTATCCCCATAACTGAGAAGGAACGCCTAGAGCCATCCCCGAAAAGTGAAAACTCGGGACTCAGCAGTTGGTTGACGTCTCTTGAACTGCGATATTGCGCTGAACCACGAGTTTGTTCGTTGCTGCTCTCCCATCATCACGGTCGTTTCCGGCATCAGGAGAACTGGGTTCTCGGTTGACAGAAGCAGTTTGCGGATAAAATGGCTGAGAAAATGCGTCGATTCTTCAGAGCATTACTCTGAATTCACTGAAGGGCTGATACATGAAGTCGGCGCTCCAATAACCGTACGTTTGGCAGTTAATTGGGTTTCAAGATTTGTACTCGTAAAGGTGTATCTGCATCACGGAACTCATGACGGTGGTTCTATCATTGAGGACGGTAACGAGTCGACTTTACGACCCTGAAACTCTTAGACAAGGGATTCATACATCATTGGTCCAAGGGCCGTCTGGTATCAACCTCGACGAGATTCTGCAGTAATAAGCCGTTTGTACTTGATGCGGCCTTACGGGTTCGACTTGTGGCTGTCTTTCGCGAGTATGAGTGAGTCCCCATCGGGAATGGAGTAGACCGGTGCAAGGCACATGGTCTGTAAGGAATTGCAGTCGTGGCATTTCCCAAAAGTTAGTTCCCACTGAGGGCTTCAGTCCGGCATAGTAAGTCCATTTGTCACACAGTTGATACTCAAGCTCTCATCAGGGTCAGACGTGGTAGCATCACCCAGTGTCTGCAACTCAGATGCGTATTTGTCAATCTCCATACTCGAAACCATGCCATTTACTCGATAACAAACCCTCAGATTACTTCCCAGGATATCGCGTAGCCGTACGAGTCGAACCAACATCACTGCCAATGCCCTTGTTCAGTAGGGACGGACCTTCTGCGGGCGCGATGTTCAACAGAATCGAGCTCGTGCAAAACGTCTTCCATGATAGGCATAGGGGTGACGCAGCCTTCGCCATGATCCGCATGGGACGACCCGAGCGAGGAAAACCCAGCGATCTCGGACGATACAAGCCCACCATATACGTCGCGTCAAATACAACCTCTCGGTCTAAACTTCAATCCCTAGATGGATTCCACCCCATATACCAGTATTTATTCCCACGTGCTGCAAATGCGGCTTGCAACCAACAACCACACGACAGGAATGCGAAAAGGGACTTAACCAAGCAAAGAATGGCGATCCTCCGCGAGCTAAGGAAATTCCATATGTCTCCCATGTTTTCCCAGACCAAAGTATCACGATACAATAAGTACGAAGTCCAACCGGCAGAGTAGACCGAACTGGCCAGGAAGATCAACTGAACCCTTTGCGTCCCGGCAGAAAAAGTAGAGTCCGGCACATACTCACCGGATTGTACCTGTACGCACCAAGTCGTGGGCTTTCCTTATTACAATAGTGAAGACGCGGAAGCTTCTTCAAGCCATGTCTTTTTGATCTTGCGTCGATCTCCCAGAGTTCTTGCCGGCCCCATCATTCGTCTGCTCATACACTCGTTAAACTACCAACCAAAGCCTGGCCAACATGTCGAGCTGCTTACCATCATCAAGCGCCACACCAAATGGTCTTGAACCACGATTTTCCCTTCCACTAACAACTCCTCGATCCAGCAAAACGTCGCTGGTAATTGGCGGCATTACCATATACATCTATGGCCTGTTAGAGCTGGAGCAGAAGTCAGGGGTGGATGTGGCTGTCTTGTATCTTGCTCATAATCGGACGAGGACGTATCTAGTGACACAAGGCATCGCACATGAGATTCTGCATAGATATCGATCTGATGGGAGGAAGAAGAAGGTTGAGATGATTGCTGTTACGATGAATATGAGGAATCATGGAGATCGTGAGGTACTTATCAGTTCTACTGCTTTTCCCTCGATGGTCACTTACAAAAATGGACTCCAATAGGTCAGTCGAGAGGCAAACATGACTTGGTCAGGCGGCAACGAGAACCATGCGTAAGTTTCGAGCTTATTCGATGAATCGATTTACTCTGCAACATCTTCCCTTCAGAAGGTATAACTTCTGAATCATCACATACACAGTCTCGATTTGATATCAATGATATCCGGAGCAACTCAAGATTTTAAGCTCGTCGTCGACTTCTTGCCAGCTTATTTCCCACAATTTAATCGCATGCATAACATCATGCTCGGCGTCTCTTTAGGCGCCCACACCGCTTGGCGCATGTCATTGGCAGCCCCCGGCCAATTCGAGGCGTATGCGATGGTCGTCGGATGCCCAAGCCTGTCATCTCTTCTATTGAAACGCCTGGGTGTTGACGCGGTAGCTATGGGTGTCAAAGCAGAGGAGCTGGATACGGTCACTTACGAAGACCTGGAGAAGGCAATGGACGAGCAGCAAAGACTTCGATGGCCGCGAGCATTGGCAGAGCTCGTTCGTCAAGACGACAAGAGAGTTTTCGAAGATTTTCCCAGTGAGTTGCCATTGTTCTTGTGCCATGGAGAGTGCGATAGACTGGTCCCTGCGCGGTATACGACATCTTGGCTGCAAAGAAGGAGCGCGATTTTGAAAAGAAACGTGATGTCGGAGAATGGCAAGACCAGGGTCTTTATACAGGAGAATACAGGGCATAGTTGCACGAAAGAGATGGTAGCGATGCTTGCTGATTGGTTAGGTGGTTTATATGAGCTGCCGAAGTGAGAGCTGGGGCGTGGTGGAATACGATTGATAGTCTGATGAGGATGGATGGGAACGGTTACAATGACCAAGCGCGTGGAGTATACAAGGTCTATTGAGATCCCCAGATGAGTACGAATATCTTTCAATGAGCTCATCAGTTGGGAGAATCAGTGGTGAGCAGCATCGCTCAAGATGAATAACAGAAGATAGAAGCCTTGTCAGCTTATCCCAGTCCTCACTGTTGACTTTTACGTCAAATGTAGTCTTCAAGCTCTTATAGTCTTACACCATCTATTCGAGTTCATTTTGTTCTAGGACCGTGTGAAATGTCTGTGTACGTGGATTCGCAGCGGGGACCCAGGGATGGCCTTGAGTGACGAGGCAATCCATATACTAACCCCACGAGTGGTCCTAGAGCTCAAGTACAGAAGAGTCTGACAGAAGAGTCCACCCAATTTGGGCCGTAGATGATGGGTAGTTCATGGGCTGGGCCCAAAATGGGGCGCCCAATTTGGGCACCATGAGAGATAGGTATACCGAATACAGCCAAATTCGAGAATATGATGCTTTCTGGACAAGCATACGATGGAAACAATAGGAACATGTATGTCGCAGGCCCTTACAAGTATTGGTGAGAAGATGCTGGTATATAAAAGGTGTGTCGGAATGACTAGATGTTGTTGTGGTATATCTGAATTGGGACAAATGACTGAGTGCAAGCGAATTCAGCGTCCATCTCAAACATCTCACCAAGACGCCCAAATGTATGTCAAAAAGAATGGAGGTAGAGTATCCGGGCATTCCTCATGAGCGACTTCAAATAGAAAGTTTGATGGCTCTCACAACTTCGAAACCTGACGATGCACGATAACACCAAGAGTACCTTAGCTAACCTACAGCTGAACTGTTCCTAAGTAAATACAAAAGCAGGTTGAGAGAGGTAAAGTGTGAAGAGATCAACCTCACGCATGGTACAAAGAACAATTTTACAGCCAACAGGCAAGGGCATGTTCAAGTGCTTTACTTGCCTATTTGATGCAAAGAGTTGCACTTCAAACCTTGTCTAAATCAATTGGAGGCGGTGATGGTGACTCAGCCTGATTACATAATATCGCCTTGAAGGGTGCAAGCAGTACCTGGCTGTTCGTACCTGCGGTCCGATGAATGGCCGAGTCGCAAAAACCACCCCGCCAAATCCAATTGTGAGTCAATCTGCCCCGCGATAACACGGACGTTTTTTTATTTTGGCTTGATATTAGCAAAAGAGTTGCCATACCGACGACTGACGACGAGAAGCGCTGCACTGTCGAATTGCGCCAACGAAGACGACCAGAGGGCAAAAAGACGTTTCTTGAGGAATATTTATACGAAAGGGGAGCACCATGGCCGCCGCAGATGCCGCAGAGAGGCTCGCCCTGATCCGCGAGAATCTGACTGAGATTCTAAACCCGGAGATCATCGAGAAGATCCTGGAGGAGGGCCGCCATCCCAAGATCTACTGGGGTACGTTTGGCATGATGGTGATCGTTCTAGCTGGAGACACTGAGCTGGTTACTAACGAATGGCCGCTGCTGCTCCCCTGTAGGCACTGCGACAACCGGCCGGCCTCACTGTGGCTACTTTGTTCCCGCCATCAAGATTGCCCAGTATCTGGCTGCCGGCTGCCATGTGACGATCCTGCTGGCCGACATCCACGGCTTCCTCGACAACCTCAAGGCGCCCATCGAGCTGGTCGAGCACCGAGTCGAGTTCTACCGCTTCGTCATCACCTCCATCTTCAAGGCCGTGGGCGTGTCGACCGAGAAGCTCAAGTTTGTGCAGGGCAGCTCATACCAGAAGAGCCCCGAGTACATCATGGACGTCTACAAGCTGTCATCTGTCATCTCAGAGCACGACGCCAAGCGCGCCGGTGCTGAAGTGGTCAAGCAGACGGACAATGCGCCCCTGTCCGGTCTGCTCTACCCGATTCTTCAGGTAGGCGGAGTTGCGGATGCGAAGAGAGGCCCCGATTCTAAAAATGTCGTATTTGTAGGTTTTGGATGAACAATACCTGGACGTCGATGCTCAGTTTGGTGGTATGTGCATACAAATACGTTTCCGCCGGGTGATTCAGCCTGTTCTGACGTGCTTCAGGTCTTGACCAGCGCAAACTGTTCATCGCCGCCAAGGACTGGCTGCCCAAGCTGGGATACAAGGAGGTGAGTCTACAAAGATGATTCACCAGAATATCAGCGATTCTAATCCAAATTCTACAGCGTTGCCATCTCATGAACCCTATGGTTCCCGGCCTCAAGGGCTCCAAGATGAGCTCCAGTGACGAGGGTAAGCGAACCTGCATTAAGAATGACTGCCCAGCGGCGCGATGCTAACGCAGTGCCAACAGACAGCAAAATCGACCTCTTGGATGCCCCAGATGTCGTCGCCAAGAAGATTAAGAAGGCGGTTGCCGCCCCCAAGGTGGTCGAAGAGAACGGTATCCTGGCCTTTGTTGAATACGTCCTTCTGCCGGCTGCCGGCTTGCGCGGAAAGCGGGAGTTCATTGTTGAGCGCGAGAGAGACGGCCTGGAGCCGCTGGTCTACAGCACGGTTGAGCAGATGCACGAAGACTACAGGAATGACGTGGTATGTACACTTATCATCAGTTCATGCACGAGGTGAACAGACTCTGACCATTGAACTAGCTATCACCACAACTCCTCAAGGCGGCAGTCACAAAGTCACTAAACGAGCTCTTGGCCCCAATCCAGGAGGAGTTCCAGGCCTCCAAGGAATGGCAGGAGATTGCCCTCAAAGCTTACCCCCCACCGCCGAAGAAGGAGAAGAAGGTCAAGGACAAGGGCAGCCGACACCCCGGAGCCGCAAAAGCGAAAGAAGGGCAGATAGACGTCAAGGACCTGAAGGAGGCCGTGAACGAGGTGTAACCATCAACCATGTAAATACAACTACGCAGCGTGTGGCATTCACAGAGAGTGGGAGCTTTCCAACAATCTTCAAACTGCGGCATAGAGGCGCAGGGAGCAACAATAAGTTTAGAATACCCGATATATACCGAGTACACGCGATTATGAATATATTAGCTGGCCTTGATTAACTGGTTTCAAAGTGGGTCGTCAATGATCTTGTAACACATGGCTCAGAATACTCTCAGCATCTTTCATCCAAATTGCTGCATTTCCTCCAAGGCCCAATACCACTGCTTTAACGTCTCGTATCTCTGTGTCAAAGACGATTCCTGATGTCGAACGATTTCATGTAATATTCTGGTAAACGATATCTAGAAGTCGTTTCAACTGCAGCGACTTCAGTCAGAAGCTAGCAATGTCGTCCTACGAACCCCATCGGGACGCGAGTTTTTGCTATTCGTGCGAAGATTGAATTCTAATATCTCATTTCATCTTACTAAGTAAGGACACGGGCCCGAGAAGCCTGTCAATGTTAGGCTGCCTTGCCAGTTGCCGGCCTTGCTTCGTTCATGCAACTCCCCTCCATATGCCGGGATCGGGAATTCTATGCCACCCTATCGGGACCAAAGTCTCCGGCCCAATTCCTGGACGAGATGGATCATCACCTTCATTGACACTACTGTGCCTTTCCGGCGTAAGCATGCAAGCAAGCTTCATGGTATTGTAGCGTCAGGGAGTTTGCGCGAGTAATGTGTCGAGATTTAGACTCGGGGGACCCCGTAGTTGATGTCTTTTGCCGGGCTATCTTCAAAGGGGCAGGAGTTTGTCTGCGTTGGTTACCTATAGACACTCTGCTTGACAATGCGCGAGCTTTTACATGAGAAATTTGAACGTTATCCTACAGTCTACCAATCTGTTTTGTGAGTCAAGAAGTACTAATAAACTCAAGAGTCGCGCGTGTGGTATAAGTTATTAGGCATTGCGACAACTCGACTATCCAAGAAACACAGACTGCAGAGACTCAAAGGCTCCCAAAACTCCGTATACTCCGTATCATGTTCGTCACGGCCGCTACATGGTAGACAGACCTGCCCTCTCCATAGACCCTTTTATTAGTGAGACAGGCTTTTGCCACATTATGCCTTCTATCTATGGCTTTCGCATGAGAATGCAGGCAAGCGAAACTCCCTTACAGCGGTCCTATGGTTTCGGCCGCGGCGCAGATGTGCAAGCGGCCGATGCTGCATCTACGAGACACGCCATCCTCTACCTATACAATGACTACTGGTAGGTGCAGCAAAGGCGGACTTTTGGGTTACATTGGGACTTGACGACGTTTGTTCCGCAACTACGCGGCTTGAACACGACAGATCTGCCTTGCGGCGTCAAATCCAACCTTTCAGACAGCTTAGACTGTCCATGCAGCCAGTTGAACCTGGAGATTTCGCGTCTTCGCCCCATCCTGTTGTCCCTTGGGGTTACATCCAAGCCGCCGCGGTTAAAGCCGTCCATACTAGTAATTGGTGCAGGGGCCCAATCTTGATCTTTGCTCACATCAGTCTGCGCACGGCTCAGACTCCGAGGAGTTTCCACGGATGTGGTACCAAATTAGTCACGTCTTTCCCCTTTTGCAATTACTCTCTTTGGGTTTCTCTATGTCGCCAGTCAACACATGAGGCAGTGTCTCTATAAGACCATGCAAGTGCGGGCTACTGACAACTTCCCGAGAGGGGGGCGGATCGCGGATCAAAGACACCCGGGATGGTTAAATGCCGGAATGTTCAATTAGATGCAATGAGTCGCTGCGGAGTTGATGGGTAGCATCGAATGAGCTGCGTCAACGAGTAAGTAACGAGAGTTTGATAGCAACAGCCAAGTTATGCCGAATGGCTACTACTCCTTATGGGTTCGTGTAATTTGCATGCAGCAGGGAGTGAACACGAATGTGTGGAGGAGGTGGGACGTCCAGATGATGTTACAACTGCTCAACTCTCCGTATATAAACGAGATTTGCCGCTGCCCATTGTTTGAAGAATATTCAAGCAGCGTTGTCCATTCTTCTCCCTATCACGTCTTTTGGAGTTTTGAAGTCTCGGCTGCTGAGTACGGAGGTAGTACATCGGGAGCACTATACGATGGGTGTTCTCCTTGCAAGCGACGCATCAGGCGTCGTCACTCCGGTCAAGCTTAGTGTAGCCCTCCCACTGGCTGTGGTAGCACTGGTATGTCAAATTCTAAACTCAGCATCTCCCACCATCTCCGCTAAATGTGTCAATAACTCAGAGCTTTGGCTACTTTGTCTGGAGCTGCATCTACAATGTCTTCTTCCACCCTCTCAGCAAGTTCCCGGGCCCCAAACTGGCAGCCATTTCTCGCATCCCCTATTCTCGCATTCTTCTCAACGGAGTTGGTCACCGCGCGGTGTTAGATCTTCACATCAAGTATGGTCCCATTGTCCGTGTGGCTCCCGACTTCCTCTCCTTCAGCCACCCCGACGCCATGAACGACATCCGTGGTCATCGCAAAGCCGGACAGCCAGAGCATCGCAAGGATCCTTTCCGCCAGGAGCTGAACGTGCACAACATTATTGGCGCCGACCGCCACGCTCACACTCGCTTCCGACGAGCTCTCGCAAACGGATTCTCTCACCAGGCCATGCTGGACCAGGAGCCCATCATCAGCGACTACGTCGAGCAGCTCATGGAGTCCCTTGAAAAGCAATCCGAAGGAGGATCGAAGCCAGTTGACATGGTTCGATGGTTCAACTACACTACGTTCGACATCATTGGCGACTTGGCCTTTGGCGAGCCATTCGGCTGTCTGCAGAGCTCCAAATACGACCCTTGGATTCAACTGCTGTTCGAGAGTGTCAAAGCCTTGGTTTGGTTGGGAGCGCTCAAGCATTTTGAAATGATTCCCCGGTGGGTTATCAAGTATGTCATGCCCAAGGGGCTACAGGAAAAGTACGCAGAGAACCAGCGTCTTTCCACCATGAAGGTTCAGAAGCGTCTCGAGACTGGTTCCAACCGACCTGATTTCATTACTTCAATGACTGCGAAGCGTAACGGAGAGGTATGGTTGCACAAAGTCAACACCCACCAGGAAATCCGAAGAAGTAGTAATACTGACAGCTGGGGCCAATAGTGTCTCACTTTCGAGGAGCTCACAGCTAATGCCTCCATCCTCATCATCGCCGGTTCTGAGACCACCGCCACGGCTTTATCTGCAGTAGCCTACTTCCTGAGTCTGCATCCGGAGGTCCAAGCAAAACTTGCCCAGGAAGTGCGGTCGACGTTTAGCAGCCCTCAAGAGATTACCATTACGAGTGTCCAGCATCTTACGTATATGCTCGCGGTAATTGACGAGGCCATGCGCCTGTACCCTCCTGTTGTAGCCGGTTTGACGCGCCTCATTTCTGAGGGCGGTGCTATCGTTGCTGGCGAATACGTTCCCGAAGGTGTAAGTCGGTGCTCTCCTTTACCTCGTGTCCTATTGAGGTATGAGTGAACAGTATCTGACTTATGATTTAGACCTATGCGGAAGTTTGGCAGTGGCCTTTGTTCCACAACCCAAACTACTGGAAGCAGCCTGAAGAGTTCATTCCCGAACGCTGGCTCGGCGACCCTAGGTTTGCAAGTGACAAGCGAGAGGCATTCCAGCCATTCTCTACCGGTCCCCGTAACTGTGTTGGCAAGAAGTAAGTCTCAATACCCCTGAATTGGACGAACAGCAGCTAACGTGTCTTAGTCTTGCGTACTCTGAGATGCGTCTCATCTTGGCTCGTGTAATCATGCAATACGATCTCAAGGCTGCTGAAGGAACTGAGGGCTGGGACTCCAGAAGCAAGGCTTTCACCCTGTGGGATAAAGGCCCTGTGAATGTTTATATGATCCCGAGAAAGACGGAGTGAAGATGTGTTCGGTAGATTAGAACGGTACAATTTGGGTATAGGTAGCATGCTTTTGTTCTCAGTTCATGTGTGGCTGTCTACCTACATAGGTGCATTGTGAAATCTCGACTGTGAGACTTGGTCACTAATATAAGTTCTTGCAGTCGTCATTTATCATTTCTACTATAGTCTGACGGATTGTACGGAGTAGATCTACAATATGCTACACACCAGCTCCGCTTTCACGCAGCCAGAGCTTCTAATACGCGGCCAGTCATTTGCAGCACTTTTTCCTCTTCCAGCCTCCGGGCCACCAGCTGCAGACTGATTGGCAGTCCATGCATCAAATCAGGTTCATCTACAAATTGCCTTTGTTAGATATCGTGCTCATAAATTATTTCAGTAGAATAATGGCTGATACGTACACGTCTCGTGAACAGCTTTGCAATCGACGCTGAGAGGCTTGTATTCGGGGGACTCTACGTCGATATCTTTGTCGACCTTTAAGCCCGTAGGGAATGATACGGCGGAATAGTCGACCACATTATATACACCAGTGTATGCAACTGCGCCTGTTAGCAGATGAAGTGGACAGAATCTCAGAAAAGAGCGCAAGACAAAGGCATACCGTGCTTAAAGGTTCCGCTTCTGACGGTGTTAAACGGCATGGTGGGCAGCAAAAGAGCATCAAGACCCGCCTTGATCCATCTATCCAGATGGCGGTTTTGGAACTCCGACCTCTCCAGGTGTAGCTTCCACATCTCCGCAGTGCCGAGTTCCCTTGCCACTGAATAAGGCTCCATCTCGGGCCTCATTGGTTCGTCGGTGGGTTCAAGCTGCGACTTGATGGTCTTGCCGCCGTCAGCATGGAACATGCGCTGCATCAGCATGTAGCCCTCCGCCTGGTCAGAGTTGTCCCATTCGACAATCTCGTGCCCGGCGGCCTTTAGTCTGGCAACTGTGTGCTTCAGGGCGCGTGCAACGGGGGCAGTGGGCTGGACCATGCCGTCGTGCCACATGACGCCGATGCGCAGCTTCTCGGGAAGCGCGGCCTCTCTCCAAGGAATCGGGAGGCATTTGGCATCTCGCAGCCACGGCTGGGAGTCGATGACGGCCTTCGTGTAGAGCTTAATGTCGTCGAGCGTCGGAGCAAGAGGGCCGTTGACGGAGGCGATGGCTTCCTGGCCGGCCATGCCGGAGCGGCAGTTTCGGACGGGGAAGCGGCCAAAGGAGGGACGGAGTGTGAAGATGCCGGTGGCGGCAGCGGGGATGCGGAGAGAGCCGCCTTTTATTTTTGTGTTGCAACGATGTTAGTCATGTCTGATCTGATCTCCAATCTCCTCTCAGTGAAACGTGAGTGGGTGCTTCATACCAATGTCTGATCCGACACCAATGGGGCTGCCTTTCAAGACAATCAACGCAGACTCTCCTCCAGAGCTTCCACCGCTCGTCGTCTGCCTGTTCCTCGGGTTCAAGGTCCGCCCAAACACATTGTTAACGGTCTCGGCAATCATCATAGCCGTGGGCACATTCGTCTTGACATAGAAGACGGCGCCAGCCTCGGCTAGCATCTGGGCCAGCGTTGCGTCTGCCTTGGCCGGGTCACCCACATGGACGGCCATGCCGACTGTGGAGTCAACGTCCTTGACGTTGATGTTGTCTTTGAGGGAGATTGGGAGGCCGTGGAGAGGACCGACGGGCTTGCCGGTCTGCGCAAAGTATTGATCGCGCTCACGGGCCATGGCGATGGCACGGTCAAAGAAGATCTCGGAAAGACAGTTTGTCTAGATGAACAAGTCAGAATGATACCTTTGAAGGGTGCCATGGAGGTAAAACGAACAAGCTGGTGAGCGGCAGATGCCCGCTTACAAAACGCCAGAGTCACATCCTCCGACTTCAGCTCGCCCGTCGCCATCTTGGCCAGCAGCTCTTTTGCAGTCAAGTTGGTGATGGCCAGCTCTTCTTTTGTGAACCATCCGCTCTCTTCTGGCCAGCCCGTCACATCATCTTGAGTCAGTGGAGGCAGCAGGCTCTCCGGGATGCGCCATTCCCTGGGAATAGACGCCTGCAGGTCGCTTCGCTTCTTTGCGCCGAGCTCCTCCCACGACGGCTTTACGCCGTTGGGGATGGCGGCTGCGGTGCTGGTGAGGTTGGAGTCTCCAGAGACTGTCATTTTCAGTGCGTCTCTGCTCGAGTATCAACCTTGTCTTGACTGAGAAGACAAAGAATAGATGAGCTATGTTTATGGGGGCAAGAAAAAGTCCTGATCGATGACAAGTGAACTTGGTGAGGAGAATGGAACAAGGGTGAACTCCCACAAAACGAGGCTGCCTCCGTTATCCGTTTGTTGTCATGTATTATATCTTTGATTCTTGGCTTTTCTCCCTCTTCAGAGAGATATGAAGGAAAACATTTCCAAACGCCAAGTCTCAGCTAAATCCCATTGCCCGCCACCCGATGCCGGATGCCCCGTCCTGTGATACGACGAGAGCCGCACGTTTTTGGCGATTCGACACCAGCTGTGCTTCGGGGACGGATCAAAATGCTTCAAAGTGAGGTCCAGTGCGGGGTTCCTCTTGCTTATCCCGGTTGCCAATGGGTCCCGTATGCCGATACGACGAATGCATGTGGGCTGCTCAAGAGGGACTATGAGAAGATGCTAGTTTTTGCGATGCAGAAGGTGGATCTATCGGCTTGGGATGGGGGCCGTCTCGAGACTGTTTGCCTCGGATCTGTTCCGTTGTTGAGCAGGTGGGAGGTTTCCCCAAATCATATCGCAAGTCTGTGGTGAGGAGATGCTGGCTGTATGACGGCGATAGATTGATTGCCTGTTTCGGTATGGACAATGGCCGTTTAAGGTTCCGATATCTGTTCAGGTCATTAGTTGCGGAGATGGTGGATGAGGAGGGGCGTGGTCACAGCTAGTCGCCGGTGGCTTGATATCGAGGCCATGCACCCCAGTTTTTAGCAGCCGGAGACAAAGATTGCTCTAGATGATATGGCCGATATGAATGATATGATGATAAGTTCTGAGAGTTGGTGTTTACTGGTCGTTATGTCTGTCCCGTGGATGATTGATAATGGTCACTAGCAGGGAGGTAGAAACGGCAAGCTGAATCCCGAGCTCACGCAGAGGCGGTGACAACTCGTTAGCTTCAGCGAATTTCGTCATGACCCAGCTGATCTGTGAATGCAGAGCCAATGGGAGTGGACCTGTCTGGATGGACGAGCCTCCGCGATAGGACGCACAGTTGAACCAAAAAGGAAGCGCGGTGACTTACATGGTCATGATCGTAGGCATGCAGAACAGCGTTACGTACAAGTAAGTCGTAGAGGGAAAGACCGTTTTTAGAGCTTCTCATTATACGAGGTGAAAGTAATCAAAAGATAGAGCCCGCTTGCCTCATTCGATAACTGTCTCAGAAAGAAAAGCCCAGCTCGCTGATCTCTTCCTTCCTGCCACAGACAGCTGGTATCATTTTGAGTCGTCCCGTAAATAACTTTCCAAGAATAAGACGCAATCGCAAGACAGAGAATAGAGAGAAGAACAGTAACTCCATCGCTAGAATCCAGAAAGATAGATGAGAGGGCAGCTCTTAGATTAAGCCAACCCTTTCATCTTCCAGCGATCCTCACATCTGGCTAGACCATCCGGATATCGTCGGACACCAGCGTGATTGCAGTTGCGCCAATACGCTCGGATCACATCACATTGCTTCATCGAGCTGGCGTTAATGCCGGCCAGATACGCTGGAACAGCCATGTGTATGTAAAACTGCGAAGACGATGGCGTTGCTGCAATGATCTGGCACGTCCGGTCCACAGCCAGCGAGATCGCCGACTCTGTAGATTGCTCAGCGCTCACTCTGGTCAGGACGGCAATGACCCCCGCACAGCGATAAGCATCGGCTGAGCGATCCCAGTCTGAAGAGCCCTGGCCCAACTTGAGCAGTTGCTCCATGGCGAGAATCACGCTGGTGGACGGATTAGACGCCACTTCACCGCTGGCAACGCGCGTGAAGAGATGGAATGTGTCTGAAGCGCACCCGACGGTGCGAAAGAAGCTCTCCGTCAACAGCTCACGATGCCAAGATTCGAAGATAAGGTCTGTCGTGCCCCTGATGATGCTACCGCAGGTGTCGAACCACACCAGCCGAACCACCATCTCCCCCAGGCCAGTAACGCTCTTCGATAGCGTATCTAATTCCTCGCGGCTCTTGCAGTGAACGTCCAACAGCGACTTTGCCCCGTATAGATGGCGCTGCCAGTGGCCGAAGCCGCTATCACACACCTCGAAGAAGGCAAAAGCCGCGATGCCGATGAAAGCAAACGGGTTGGTGGCCCTGAGTGTGTCCTTGAGGCTCATGAGGGCATCCAGTCGGTATCTCGCCATGGCCTCTGATTCCCAATGATCGCTCGGGGCTCGGGCCGGGTGTCCATCGATCCGTGCCTGGACGAAGTCGCGTAGCCGCGAGATGAGGCGCAGAGCCTCGACGGACAGGTAACGATTGCTGCTCAGGGCATCGCCGTCCAACGAGATGATTTGCTGGCACAGCGATACTAAGGGGCGGATGAAGCTGTTCTGGTCGGCTTCAGCCCAGTTAATAGGCTCATCTCCAGGGCTGGACACCAATCGTTCTGAAGGCGACAACGAAGAGTCTGGGGGTCGGTCAGGGGGGCGATCCGAGGTGAGACTCGAGTCGCTGGACGGAGACAACGTTGACTGGTGAGATCTGGCTTGTCGTTGGGTACGGGCGGACGCGGTTGTTGTCATGGGAGAGGCATCTTTCGCGGACGAGGTGGAACCGACCCAGATGACTCGTTGGGGGTAGCCTCCACAGGGAACACCGGCAGCGATGCACTATTACATGATGAGCGTTGCTGTGTTGCAGAGCTTGAACGAAGGAGATATGACGAGGCCATGGTAATGTGAGATGTGAGAACAGATAGGGGGCATGAGGGCGTGGGAACAACAAGGGAAGTTCAGAACAGCAGGCAATGACATGCCTTCTTGGGAAGATGGGAATTTGAGAGAGCAGAACAGAGCATCAGCGTTCACACAGCAAGGATGAGGGTCTACCCACTTCTCCGCACGAGGGTCTGTTCAGATCGCACTTGACATCTCTTAGCTTGCAGCTGCGACAGTCCCGATCCCGGCGCATGCCACGCGGCTTTCCAACCGGCTTGCTGCGCTGCTGCTGCTGACGGTGATGGGGAGGAGCCCCGTCCATGGTGTTGCTAGCGTTGGTATTGGAGGCCATGTTATTCCCAGGAGCTTGCTTGCGTGCGTCGATTTGATAACTTGCCAAATCGGGCAGAGGCAGAGGCAAGGGGGGGAGGGCGGAGAGGAGACAGAAAGCAAAGAAAGATCAAGTGTGGAAAAGAGAGAGAAGGAGAGAGATCAGGGGGTAGAGTGATAGTTTGCTTTAGTTTAGCAAACCTCGATGCGCCCTCTGGTGCGGATAAAAGGACTTGTATGGCCAGAGTATGCTTTGTATGTAGGGGAGGGAAAAGGATTCCGGGTTGGTTCAGCCGTATGCGGGGGATTTTTTGTTCTCCTCGTTGCTGTGCTCGTTATCGCAGCTCTATAGACCGAGTACGACTCTGGTTAATAATTGCTCGGCAAGACTCTAGTAGGCCTAGTGCTCTTGCATGGGGAGGCGAGTTGGAGAAGATATACATATAATAATAGCTCGATGGGAGGAAGTCCTCTGTATACACAGTTACTCCTAGAAGATGAAGAGATAACTGGATGGATCTTCACCTCAACAAGAGTATTTTGCCCCCCTTAGAACTGACCAGTTACCCCAGCTTTTCGTCTTGCCTCGCCTTTCCAAAGAGGGGACTCTTCGCCGCCTTGTGCTCCCCCACGCTTTGCGACGATTTCGCCGGCCCAGTGAGTTGACAAACTCCCAGCCAGTGGCTTGAGACTACTAATCGACACGGCTGTTAGTGCTATCATTACAGGTATGCTTCGTCAAGCTACTGCTGTACCACCCACGAAGCCGGAAGTAAATGGCTGGTTGAATCAACGCTAGGCAGGTTCCATACCATACCACAAGCAGGGATTTCGAAGTCGGCGAACCTGTTAGTTTCGGAACCATTTTGAAGCCCTCTTGCTGTTCCAGTAGCCAAAAGCCATTCCCGGCAGAAGGGGCGTTATCTGGCGCTCTCCTTGACTCCAGATTCCAGCTCAAACGCCGCCTTACGCGACAAGGTGTCGGAAGGGCGCAAAGCTCCGGACGTAAACGACATGTGGAAAACTCAACTTAGCACTGAGTTAGCTCGAATCTTGGCTATCGTACTGCCCGGGTGCTAATAAACTAAAGCTTGGAGATAACGGGGGAGGCCAGTAGTCTCGTCTTGCCACTACGACGCTCGCACAGTCCAACCCTATACTCCGTACTCCGTACTGTTGCCCTCAACTGTATGTTATCGCCGCCATTATTTCCCGTCTAGGATTCTTTGCTAGACAGGCAGTGATTTTCCGACGGTGGTGGCCAGTTGATGCATCTCTGAAGGATCATAAAGATGCAGCCAACACCCTCGTAAATCTTCCTTTATTGTGACTCACCATTCAGACCACTCTGCTGCGAGGGTTTGCTTTTCTTCCGTCGCCCTCATTGGCGAACGTAAAACATAGCAAGAAATTTTCTTTCCATACAGCCGCATCTCCTAAAAGGCCAACACGATCTTTCACCTCGGCAGTACAAGATGCTGCGTCAACGCGTTCGCGACTATTTCCATACAGAGTATCAGCCTGGCGAGGCTACGCTGATACGCAAGATTGACTTTTTCATCCTGACTTTCTGCTGTCTGAGCTACTTTATCAACTATGTATGTGCCCGGTGATACCCTTGTCTTCTTTGATGATTTCTCACAATGCTGACTGAACCACCACCAGCTGGACCGCTCCAACCTCGCCAATGCCTATGTCTCTGGCATGAGGGAGGACTTGGGCTTCACCGGTGATCAGCTCAATGTCATCAACACTTGCTTCACAGTTGGGTAAGAGGCTCTCCTATCCAGTCGATCTTGTTTCATCAGCATATCATCCAAGTGTCTAATCTTGAGTTATATGAACAGCTACGTTCTGGGCCAGATTCCCTCCAACCTCTCGCTCTACTACGTCAAGCCGCGCATATGGTTCCCCTCCATGATGCTCATCTGGGGCGGCCTCACCATGGTCACCGCCTCCGTCCACAACCCGCAGTCCATCATGGCCATCCGCTTCTTCCAAGGCATCTTTGAGGCGTCGACCTTTGTCGGCACGCACTACATTCTCGGCGCTTGGTATACCGAGCGTGAGCTTGGTAAGCGCAGCGGCATCTTTACAGCATCTGGTCTTGCTGGCAGCATGATTGGCGGCTTCATTCAGACGGGCATTCACTCGAGCCTCAACGGCCGCAGCGGACTCGCAGGATGGCGATGGCTCTTCATCATCGATGGCCTACTCACGATTCCTGTTGCGGCGTACGGCTTCTTCTTCTTCCCAGACACCCCTCGGAACACTACCGCCTTCTATCTTACCGACGATGAAAAGCGCCTGGCTATTGTCCGTGTGCCTGTTGTCGAGGAGCACTCGCCCATTACGCTTCGCTTCCTCAAAAAGGTGCTCACCTCATGGTACTGGTGGGGGTTCGTCATGCTCTGGGTTATCGCTGGCGAGACAGAGTCGTTCTCGTCCAACTCTCTGCTTGCCCTCTACCTTAAGAGCCATCCCACACACAAGTACACAGTCTCTCAGCTCAACAATTACCCAACTGGTGTTCCCGCCGTCGGCATCGTCTCGACTCTGTTCTGGGCCACACTGACCGATTTCCTCAACGGCAAGCGGTATCTTGTCGGTTATTGGATTGGAATCGTTGGCATTGCCACGTCCATCATGATTCTCGTGGCCTCTCAGCATCCCACCAGCTCTCAGTCGACCTCCGTTGTTATGGCAGCATATTACATCGCCGGCTCGGTGTATGCGTGCCAGGCCACATTCTTCGCCTGGTGCAACGACTCTATGAGACATGAAGAGCACGTCTTCCGGGCCGTTGTCTTGGCCGGCATGAATCTGGGTAACAATGCCGTGAATGCGTGGTGGAGCATTATCTTTTATGGAGCTTCCGAAGCGCCGTGGTTCAATGTGAGTTATCATCGTGCTCGTTCCTCTGTATCATCAAGAATGTCTTTGTTGACTTGTGACCTTGTAGCGCGGTATGTGGGCCATGATTGCTTGCAGCATTGCCCTTGCTATATGGACTGCCATCTTGCAATACACGGATCGCCGCAACAAGAAGATGCGTGAACTTGAGGAGATTAATGCCAGTCTCAGCTTCGTAGTGGAGGGCAAGGACTAATGGTGAACCTGCTTGTTTTATTGCTTATGCCATTGTTACGAGTTATCGATTCCATAGTATCGTGTTTAATCCAGCTATCATATGCGTCTTTTATATCATGACTTCATTTCGCACTCGTACTACAGTTCGCATGCATATTCCGAGATGCGCCGCGGTCATGTAGCCACGTTGCAGCCGGATGCATACCTCCGAACCCCCAATACCACCTCTGCTGGAAGACATGTCCTTGGCTCCGTACATGATACGAGGCCATACTGGTTTGCTGAGGGCATACGCAGGTACGAGGTACAGAGTACGAGTGGTTCTTGTAACATATCATTTCTACTTCTACATGTAAGGTATGAATCCTTCAGCTCGCTTGCAAAAGCCTCCGAACCTCCCCGGCAATAGCATCCCCGACCTCTTTGGTCCCCGCCTCGCCTCCCATGTCCCGTGTCCGAATTCCAAGCCCTCCCGCCTCCTTCGAGTCAAACACAGTCTCAACCGACTTCTCAATAGCCGCGGCTTCGTCAACAAGCACGCAAGAGTACCGCAGCAGCATGGCCAGACTGAGAATCTGTGCAACAGGGTTGACGATCCCCTTGCCGGCGATATCAGGCGCGCTCCCATGCACCGGCTCGTAGATCCCCTTGCAGCGCTGGCCAGGGATGCCGGAAATGCTCGCGCTCGGCAACGTGCCGAGACTGCCTACGATGCCGCCGGAGATGTCAGAGAGGATGTCTCCAAAGGTGTTGTCCGTGTGGATCACGCCATTGAAGCCGCGCGGGTTCTTGACCATGAGCATCGCCATGCTGTCAGCGAGCTGATGTCGCAGCTCAATATCGGGGAACTCCCTAGTGAAGATGTCCTGGGTGACTCTCCGCCAGAGTCTGCCGCTGGCGAGGACATTTGCCTTGTCGGCGCTCCATACAATGGCTGGACCACCGCCGCCTTTGCCGTCTCCGTTTCTGCCCAGGATACGGGCTACTGCTGCTGACACTCGAGCACAACGCTCAACTTCGTCAGGCTTGTAGACCCAGAGATCAGACGCAACTTCGGGCTTCTCAACTTTGTCTCCAAAGTAAGCACCGCCACAGTTTTCTCTGACGACGATGAATTTGGTGCCCTTGACAATCTCTGGCTTCAGGGGAGATGCTTCCAACAGGGACGGCACGAGGATCTCGCACGGCCTAAGATTGGCGAAGGCATCCAATTTCTGACGAAGCCCCAAGATGCCAGCCTCCGGGTTGGGAGAAGCATCTGCCCACTCCGGCCCTCCCACGCTTCCAAACAGGACCGCATCTGCCTTGCTGGCCTTATCGAGGACTTCTTCTGTGATCGGCACACCGTGCTTGTCGATGCTGCTGCCGCCAACGAGGTCGAATGTGCGCTCAAACTTGAGGTTGGGACGACATTCTTCCACGATGTCCAGGACTTTGAGGGCTTCGGCCATGACCTCGGGGCCAACGTGGTCACCCGGGAGGACGAGGATGTGGAATGTTTGAGACATGATGCACACTGTTGGACGTGCTGTGGTAAAAAGAGATAGCCTCCAGTGCAGCCCGTAGCCAAACTGTCGTTATCTTGCTGGCAGTGGTGGTATTTTGCCTGGTAAGCAACTGGCCGTCTTACAACCAGCGCTGCTTGTTAACTCTTTCTCCGGCTGCTTCACTTGGCTCTTCTCGTCCGAAATCGGCTCTCACGAACTTGTTCAACCACAGCTTCAACCTCCAGTGCCAAGACAAGTCGTTGTAATTTTCGTTATAATTCGATTCCACTTGGATAATGATTACTCAATTCGACCTCGGGCTATTGGGAATGACTCCATCCCATTTCCCTACCATTGCGATCATCTTCCCCCGCACAAACTCCCCCCGCTGCTATTCCCGCGGAAAGGCGATAATAAAGACACCCTTTTTACAAGCTTCCCCACGCCCGTCTTCCCCTTGGTTGAAGCAAAGAGCCCGGCACTAATTGTTTAGTTAGCGAATCTAAAATAGCTGGAGAGATGCCACACTGTGTACGGCTTTGGACGTATTCTCTCTGTGTTGATGAAACCATTTCAAAGAGATGGGGAGGACAGGGGTTCACTGTCGCATATGATATCAGATGAAAGTCCAGGTCTTGCCTCTACGTCCCTCACTCTTTTCAATACAGTGACTCTATTTCATTCGTCATTCAATATTGACAGTGACACTTGAATACTACCTCAAACTATATCAAAATGCCTTCAAACCGTCTCGAAGGCAAAGTCGCCGTCGTCACCGGCGCCGCATCCGGCTTCGGTAAAGGGATCGCCACCAAATTCGCCCAGGAAGGCGCAAAAGTCATCGTCGCGGACCTTTCCCAAGAGACGGGCCAGCAAGTCGCCTCTGAGCTCGGCGGTGTCTTCATACGTACCAACGTCACCCTGAGGAGTGACTGGGAAGCCGTTCTTGCGCTGGCTCTCAAGGAGTTCGGACAGCTGGATATTGTTGTCAACAATGCCGGAGCCTCGTACTCTAATAAGGCGACGGAGGGCGTGACAGAGCAGGAGTTCGACATGGTGATGAATGTCAATGTCAAGTCCATCTATTTTTCGACAAGCGTCATTGTGCCGTACTTCTTGAAGGAGAATCGCCCTGGCAACTTTATCCAGATCGCTTCAACGGCTGGAGTTCGGCCTCGAGGAGGTCTGGCGTGGTACAGCGCCTCCAAGGGCGCTGCTATCACGGCTACCAAAGCACTGGCCTCTGAATACGGCCCCAAGCAAATTCGTTTCAACGCTGTTTCTCCAGTGGTTGGCATCACGGGAATGTCAGTACATATGCTTCGCTTCAAGATGGCCTTCTGCTAACAACCTGTGATAGGACCAACCTCTTCTTGGGATCAACAGATATCTCGACCTTTGTGTCGACGGTTCCGCTTGGACGACCATCAACGCCTGCAGACATTGCCAATGCGTGCTGTTATCTCGCCAGCGATGAGGCGTCATTCATTACTGGAGTGAATCTTGAGGTGGATGGTGGGCGATGCGTGTGATAGCGACTAAATAGTTATCGCATTGTACGATAGACCAGAGCGCCTAGAAGACATAAATATCCTGCATTGTTGGCAGCAGTTAATGCGCTTTCATGATTTGAGAACGTCGTAAAAGTGCAGTCTGCCAAACAGGTTATGTCAATTATTTATGGAATGCTATACAGCCGCCGGTGATGCAGCAATCTAGTGATATCTGAGCGCCCGTGGAGTCTACAAGCCTTCAATGGTAAATGTTCCGCTCTTCGTCACCATGAACTCCTCAATCGCCACATCCTTGCCACTTTCCTTGCCTGAGCCGCTCTCTTTGATGCCTCCGAATGGCGCCTCTGCTGAAGAATTGTTGCCGGTGTTCTGCACAGAGTGTATTAGCGAGAGGCGTCTCATCACTGCTACCCAAGGCTCACTTACCAAGCCAACCATGCCTGCCTCAAGCGATTCAAACAGCCTCCAAAGTCGGTCAACATTCTTCGTAAAGGCATAGCTAGTCAAACCCATAGCTGTGTTGTTCGCCCTCTGGACGACCTCCTCTTCAGAGTCAAATACCGAAAGACCCAGCAAAGGTGCAAATATCTCATCCTGACTCATGAGCATGTCGTCCGTGACATTTGTCAAGATTGCCGGTGCCATGAAGTAGCCTCCGCTGCCTGAACCATCTCTGAGGCCAGTCCCAAGTACCAGCTTTGCTCCCTTTACAAGAGCATCCTTAGCCATGTATTCAGCCCTGTCAAGGCTCCTGGGTGTTGTGACTGGGCCCAGCGTTGTTCCCTCATTCATACCGTGGCCCATCTTTAGCTGAGACGTGGCACTGACAACGAGGTCGACAAACTTATCGTAGACGGCTCTCTGAACATACACTCGGTTTGAGGAAACGCAGGCCTGACCTGCATGTCGCCACTTGAGTGCCATCAGCTGTCCAAGCGCCTGGTCAAGATTGGCGTCATCAAAAATGATAAAGGGACAGTTTCCGCCGAGCTCCATTGTCGATTTCTTCAAGTTTCGCGCACACAGACTGGCGATGATCTTCCCGACTCTGGTACTTCCGGTAAATGTAACCTTTTTGACCAGCGGATGCAAACAAAGGGCCTCTGCTAGTTCTGGCGTGCCTTCAAGGCTTGTTGTCAGCACGTTGAGTGCCCCCGGGGGAAATCCCGCCTTCAATGCAAGTCGTGCTACCGACAGGGCCGTGATGGGAGTTTCGGGCGAGGGTTTGACGATCATGGTACAGCCAGCTGCGAGAGCAGCACTCGCCTTTCTGAGCGTCAAGGCAATGGGGAAGTTCCAAGGTACGAGAGCCGCAGCAACGCCAATCGGCTGCTTAATCGTAACTGCTCGCCGGCCAGGAATTGCCGAGACGATGGAGGTTCCCTGAACGCGCTCCGCCTCGCCAACAAACCACCAGGTAAAGGTCGTTGCATAGTCGATCTCGCCATAGGCTTCAGCAAGAGGCTTTCCCGTCTCATAGACGAGGATCTTGGCCAGATCATCCCGTGCAGCAACAATCTCCTGGTGCCATTTCAGCAGCGTCTGAGCTCTCTGCCTAGGCGTCCATTTGGAGTACGTCTGGAAAGCTCGATATGACGACTGAACGGCGGCTTCCACGTCTTCTTGGCGACAATCCGGACAGGATGCCCAGGATTTCCCAGAGCCTGGATCGACAACATGGAAGCGTTTGCCGGATTTGGCAGCGACAGATTGACCATTGACAAGACAATCCAGATCGCCGAGGTTTGGATCAGATAAAACGAAGGAAAACTCGCTGCCCATGGCGTCGTCAAGAGATGAGGAGCCAGTAAGGTGAGAGTTTTGGGGCTTGTGTGAGCTGCAGGAAAGGACGATGCTTCAACTCAGTCTCTCGTATCTCTCTACCATCATGATCTTTGTAGTTCACGTCTTCTACGCCTACAGACCTGACGTCGATTCTCAGTCCATGCGGGGATGATGCGGAGAGGCTGGTGGAACTCAGTGCCTGTTCAAACAGTGCGGGCCAGAATCCCCAACTTTCAAGGTTGCCGGTGGCTTCCCGCAGCTACGCCGTAAACAGAAGGCAATCTATCGCCAGCTTCCGGCGGTAGTAGCAGAGTATTGGCAATAGCTTCATGTTTCAAGGGCTTCAGACGCGGCTGTGGCGTTTGGAGATGACAGCTATCCGGATGAGGCAACCTTCCTGATGGTGATGGCTTTGTCCGCGTATCCCTGGATATGTATACCAGAGTTGCTGAGGTGACCATCTTATCGGATGCCTATTTCACGCCCTGAGCGAGGTCGGAGATTGCTTCAGATCGGCCAAGCCTGTTCTAAACGCCACCTTTTGTATCACAGGAACAAGAAAAAAGTAGATAGCGGCTGGACGTCATCGCGGCTGATAGCGGCTGGCTGCGGCCTGTCCGTCTAGTGCTCCAATCTCTATTTTGAACGGCATAGTATGTCATCGCCTCGGTCGCTACCTGCATCTATCTACGTCTACTAACCCATCAGAATTGGCGTATACACAATCACCTATTGCCAATCCTCCCCTATACCGGTGAGAAACAATCGCCTGTACTCCGTAGCTTCATCTGCGTCCGCTATCGGTCTCCTGAACTCCCAATCAAGCCACCGTGTAGCTGACCCGACTGATGCCTTTGCTCCTCCCAATCTTCTTCACCGTCGTCGCACCGCACAAGTCCGTCGTATCAACATGCGTCCCTCCACAGGGATAAACCTCCGCTCCCACAATCCGCACAACACGGAACTTGGTCTCTCCAGGCGGCAACAGGCTCTTGTCCGGAATCAAGCGCTCCAGACCCTCCCGTCGAAAGTCATCTTCGGTCCAAAAGTCGATCTCTACGGGCATTGAGCGGCGGATGTACTCGTCAACGCGGTCTTGGATCGGCTGCTTCCACTTGCCCTCGATCAGTCCGCGGAACTCGCATGCTGCGCTGTCTGGGAAGTGAGATGCCTTGAGCTCGTCAAAGCCGTCGATTTCCTTCTCCAGAAGATGTCTCACGGCCGATCCGAGAACATGGCCGGCAGTGTGCAGTCGTGAATAGAGGAGGCGCTTCTCCGCATCAATCTTTTGTTCAACAAGACTTCCTGGTTGAAGCTTTTCTGCCATCGAAGAATCTTGGAAGCGGCCAAGATGTAGCACCAGGCCATCATTAACAACGTCCATGCGTGCTGCCCTGATGTTGATGGAGATGGGTGTCTGCGTCTGGTCATCTGTTGATGGGGTTGCTGAGATTGTGCCCTCGTCCGATGGCTGACCACCGCCCTGCGGATGGAAAATAGTCTCTTTGGTTACGACGACATAGTCATCGTCGCCGGCGTCCTTGAACATGGCACGGTTCTGCTCTTCCAGGGCCGAGAAGGGGCGTATTGATATCAGCTCCGTCTTCAAAGTGAGCAGTTTTCCGTCGTGGTGAAAGGCCAGGTGTGTCCCGGCCGGCTTTTCCGATCCCATGGCTGCTGCTTTAACTTGTCGTAATTTTCCTTCTCTTCTCGCTTCAGTGTTCTCTTTTGTGAGATTATGTAGACACTCTCGCGCTTTTGATCCCGTTGCCTGGCCGTTGACTCGGTCTTGAGATGTCAACGATATGTATGGCATAGCATGTCTGACATAATTCGGTTTGATGCCTGGATTGACAAGTTTAGTGGGGGGCTGCGCCCTATTTGCTCGGTGGCTGATGGACCTGAACGGTACGGGGCGAATCATCACGGTATCGTCGGTTGGCATCTGAGACCAGGAACGACCTCACATCGCCGGGGTAATCAGAGCCCATCGGGTAGATACTGAGCGATGAAATATCGATGGTTATGATTCATGCGCATAATCATCTCACGTCGTTCCCTGTCCAAGACGTCGAAACGCCGTTGGTTCAGCTTCGGAATCTAGCGGCAGAACGCCTCGATCAAACGTCCCGACCCACTCCAGACAACTGACAATATTCATGTTCGGTGAGAAATAGAAGAGCTAAGGAGAAATTCTAATATCGGATGAATCAGAGAAGCAACAAAACGCAGACTGAAACGTGCCTGTTGGGCAAAGTAATATGCCTGCTAGACATAGACTCCTGTGCTCCGTCTCGCGGTTATGCATGAACCTAGACGCACATTGTCGTGAATTCGCAGTCCCAAAGACCCGTAATTACATCGTTTCGGCTGAGTTCACGGAGCATTGTTCGCTTTGGTTCTGATCATCGTGGCCTGTTCGCTAGTCATGCCAGCAACCCCCACGTATGAAGCAGATGCATGAAGGATGCATGCAACCTCAAGGCCAAAGTAACCAACAACTTGACATGGGAGTACATACATCGTACATGCTGTTGATTGATTATGTGTATCTTCACGTGAAAGAGAAGCATACCGAAAGGGGTTGGACGGCCGTTGATGCAGCGTCTGTGGAACCTGTCAACGCGGAATTGAGTTTCGTTTTCGTCAAACCCCCGAAGGAACCTTGTTCTGGACGCCGTCACGAGCAATCATCTTCCAATGAGGTGTGGAAGAATATCCTGACACTGGTCGGATATTCGTTCTGCATGAGAAAAGATTCGCGGTTTTTGCAAGTTGCTCGTACGTACGAAGCAGTTATTCACGCCTAAATGGAGCAGCAGCAGCAATGCAGGACTCGTTGGTAGGGTCAACAACTGTCGGCAAAGGGAGGAGAAAGAATGGCCGGATGGAGTGATGTATGAATCTCGGCCAGACTTGCGTAACACAGCAGCCCGAAATCAAAATGATGAGAGCGTAAAATAGCTTCGGCGTCTGATAGGTAGTAAATATTCGAAACCCTAGTAGATACATAAAGACAAAGGCTTGGTATTAGTAGAACAGGAGGTGCATACAATCTGAAAAGAGCTTCATTTCGTCTCTCCATCCAGTGGCTTCCTCGCCCAGACCACCTTTTGATTGTAGTATGGGTGGAAGTTCTTGGATCGGACTTCTCGCCGCAGCATGCCAATGTAAACCAGAATCTCTTCCCGCGTCCATCCGAGAGTGTTGGCCATGAAGACGATGTAGCCTTCCACATCTCTTTCGAGAACCATCTGGGCAAATTGTCCAAGCTCCTTCAGCTTGGGGTCCTTGGGCCAGCCTCCTATCGGCATCTGTACAGTTCCAAGATTGTCAGGGCTAGACCTAGTGAGTGGTATGGCCTGAGCTTACCTTGAAGTTGAATTCCTGAATATCGACAAAGCCAGCTGCCTCAATCGACTTCCTCTGTGTCTCATCCTCAATTACCGTAAATGACCTTCCAATCTTCTTGCCTCCATTGAGAAAGAACTTTCCCCATTGGCCCAGCGCTGACGTCTCAGTAACGCTACCGTCATCACTCCTCACAATGGCTGAAGTCTCCAAGCTTTCAACCCAGCCTCCTGGTTTCAATACTCGGTATGCTTGTTGTAGGAGAGCGTCCCAGTCCTGGATACTGCCGAGGAGCCAGCGCATGTGGACGTAGTCGAAGTCTTCGTTGCGGAACGTCCATTCTTGTGTGCAGTCTTCAATTTCGCTGGTTATGCAGGTCAGAGATTGGGGTAAGGTATACAAAGAACTGAAGAAGTGCTCAGAGGTAGTGGTAGAGTTGCTGGTGTTTACTCACAACTGCAGGTTGGGAGGGACCCAAGTTGGCTGAATGGGAGAAATATCTGTGCCAATGACCTGAGCATCGGGAAACTCGTCGGCGAAATCGCTATCAGAGTGTCAATCAGTGGTCACACTTCTCACACAATACGAGACACTAGGTTCTTACATAGCCCATATCCCTAGAGCGGAAAGGGTCAGGTTAGTTGGACAGAGTAGGACCTAGAAGCGCATGTGTGACACTCACCTGTACCGGTACCTATATCTAGAGCTTTCTAGCCGCGTTGATCCAGTGTCAGTTTCGATCTGTCCCGCAATGCATTGTCGGATGCCGGAGAGGTGGATTTACTTTGATGTTTTCTTTCTTCAAAGGAGCCATGAAAAGCTTGTCTCCTATTGCCATGGAAAGAACATGATGACTGTGGCGACGCAATATCAGTTAGCCGTTCTTTCGAACAGTTTGCACCCACTTCGACTACAAGACTATCGTCAACAGAGCATGGCTTACTTCATGTCTAAGGATTCGCTTGCCGCCTCGTCGTTGGATTGCCTGTTTTCATGAACTCGAGTAAGTAACAGCATCGACTTCGGATCTCCTCCGCGGAGAGTCCTTGCTGGGTATACGCGGATAGGAATACCTACCAATACTGCGCATTGCCCGTCTCGCCGTGAAATCTCCGCCCGTGAATCTCTCGATACTGCAGGATACTGGACGTAATTGAGGCTGTCGAGCTGCCGGCGTCTGAACCAAGCGCGGAATCATCGTCGTCGTCTTCGTCCTCGAGCCCGTTATCTCGTCTCTGTGCAATCTGGTTCGCATTGATTACTTCTTGCCTGGCACGAAAATAGAAGATTCCTCCGTGCAGATCCTCGATAGGATGCCACGAACCTCTTGCCAGTGACCAGCTGGGAGAATGCCTTCGGAGTTTGGTTCTTGTTGTTGGCTGCTTTCTCCGGCCGCGCCTGATGCGCTTCGTCCCGATGATTTGTCCACCATTTCGGTTGCCAATGAGAGCGAGTAGTGATATTCCTCTGCTGCTTATCCCTCTCCGCCGTCTTCCGCTGCTCTTTCTTTTCCTGTTATGCGCCCTGTTGGTTGTGTTCTCTCGTTCCTCCTTAGTTCTGACTTCAGCTTCGGGTTAAATTAAGCAGGGATATGGCGGAAAGCAGGATGACCGAGCAGGGGCGATGGCGGTCGATGTTAAGTCGAAATCAGTAACGTTAACGAATGCGTAGCAATGGGCATGCTCCGTATAAATACGCAGAAAAAAACGACCAGCCAGCTCGGCGTTTCCACCAATAAACCCCCCCTCGAAGTACGAGATGCAGGTATGTGGGATGCGGTATGTCTGCAGAGCGTCCACGCAGTGATTGTATGTATGCACTCCGTCTCGTATGCAGATGAGTAAATAGTCGAGTAAGCCTATGCAGTTACTCGCGCGCAATCATGCGTCTGTTTCGTTCTCTGTTTGGGTTGCCACAGCGGCAACAGCGTCGTTTCCACCGCCTTTGCCTCGGAACAGTTGCCAAGCAAGAGGGTAGGAGAATTTTGGAGGGAGCTGTCATTTACCCGATCGAGCCGGCCAACAGTCGGTTGTTCATGCTGTTGCAGGAAGTACGAGCGCGCTGTATGTCGCGAGTAGTAAGTGCATGTACTGTATGCTAGTATGTATGTACATGTATGTGCGACATCAGCAAGCCAACGGGGAAGAGCAGAGAAGCATGAAAAGAGGGCCAGGCCGCATGAGAGACGGGCGATGAAGATGATTCAAGAACGCCTGAGGTGGGATCGGCGTGGAGAAACGAGGGGAGAGGAGGGCATTCGGAGGGTGGGGAAGAAGCAGAGAACAGAGAAGGAAAAGTTGTTGGCTCTAGCAGCTGTGTGCAGCTCATAGGGAGCAGGGACAGGGAAGATGAGTTGTGATGAGTGACATTTGGCTGCTTATCCCATCCGCGGGAGCATCGCCGGCGGAGGCTAGCTTGAAGAAAAAAATAACGTGCAGCTAGGCGGGTGCTGGTCTTCCCGTCCCGCGGCCATGCATCGAGGTGCTTCGACTGCAGGTATTATCGGGCTTTATTTCTGAATCCAATCTACGCTTCTCTCCGACTCTTTCCTTGTCCGGACGTTGAAATGAGGGCAGCTGTCTGTCGAGGGTGGCAGGTGGCCATTGATGGGCCGTGGGAGGCGCTTGACTTTGAAGCCATCACGAACAGACAACTGCAAGTTACTCTCACGAACAAAGCAAACGAACAATGCCTTGACTACTTCCTCCAGCTCATTTCGAGATTCCAGAGAGCCCTCCAGGACAGAACCTTCATCCTTTCTCTCGTATGACAAACCCCTTGCCAGATCAGCAGCAAAAGGCCAAGCACCCACACCGCTGCAACGTGTCGTTCCGCGGCAGGTCGTTTTCCGCCTGCGTGACCCGTCGCGCTAGAACATTCAGAGCTTGCATGAACGAGTTTGTCATTTATGAGGGATCGGGTGGATGGAAGGCTAGAATCGGCCGCGAGAACTTGTTCAGAGAGAGCAAGGGGGAAAAGACGCGGTGCCTGTCAGAGATTGAGTGTTACAACAAGCATCATCACAGCGTGAAACAAATGCGAATGGCTCAAAGCTTGATTACTAGGGCGCCGACTGTCTAATTGCGATGAATGAGATCAATCTCTTTTATGTCCATTGAGGCCTCGCTAGAGGGCGGTTCAATAGAGAAGTTGAGCGCCACAATCTAGCCCTGCCATCCTCATCCTCACGCATAAGTAAGTCCTACCAAGTATCCCGCATTTAGCCCTCATGGGAAATACTATATGGGTAGTCGTCTGTCTGATTACTTATACAGCCCAACGGCAGCATGAGTGATCTGTGCGAGCAATGGACGGGGACCGCATATGTTGCCAGTCAATTGCTACGTTTGATGCTGACCGCTCTCCGTGCGAAGAAGCGAGTCGGTTACATGTCTCGGCACCAAGTAATGACCAGGCACAAGCACATTAAATCTCTATTTGTCTAAGGTCATCTCGTCTACATTACTATTACATCAGTTCATGGAATCACCTCCCTCTATCGTCTTTCATCCTGCGTGCTAGTAGCAGCAAGAATCGCATCTCCCTCAATCTAGTTCGACACAATCGCAACGGCTTGGGCCATCTGGGACGGGTCTGCCAGCAGCTCTACCGCAAGCTGAGCCTCTGCTCTGGCCACGATTTCCGTTTGCTCATACGCAAAGTCGGTGTTTGCAAGCTCCTTGAACAGCGGCTCGTGGTTAAAAGCACAGCCCGCACCCGAAGGGTTGGTGCAGATGCCGAAGTTTGCGTGAAGGACCGCCTTAGCTGCGCTCTTCAAATCGTGAGTGACAGGGTCGAGCACAGGATCCTGCACCCACGAGGCATCGGTCGAGGCGGGAGCAAAGGTGCTAGAGGGAAAGTTGGTCAGGCCGTAGTCGGGAGTGCCGACGATGTCGATGAAGGCCTGACCGAGAAACGGAGTCACCTCCAGGGCAGGATACTGGACGTCGTGAGAGATGCCGGCGGGCAGAGTGCCGAGAGCAGCACTGGCGAAGTTGGCCACCGAGTTGAGGTCGGCAGTGTAGCGAGTGCGGAAGTCGATGGTGATGTCGAGCTCGGTGACGGATGTGTTTCCTGGAAGATAGAACGAGACGCCGGAAGAGTTCTTGAGGGCATTGTAGGTGTTGACAGAGAGCGTCAGCGGGCTCTTTGTCGCTTCTGAAGCGTGGCCGCCAGGTCCGAGGATTGTCAGGGCAACGCCGTTGGCATCAGTGGCCGCTGAAAAGGTGACGTTGGGGTACGTGGAATCGAGGATGCTAGACACGGTGTTGCTGACAGTGTCGAGGCTCAGACCGGCGACGCCGAGCTGGATGATGGTCTGCACGATATTGGTCGCGTAGACGCCGACGTTCTCAATGCCCACGGCGCTGGAGCTGGTCCCCGGAAGGCCCGACAGGTTCTGCACAATGTCCAGGGCGTCGTAAGCCTTTGAGACGGCCTCGGAGTGCGTGCTGCCGACGAAGCGCGCAAAGTAATTGAGACGGGCGTTCATGGGCTGGATGGCGCTCGTCGTGGTTGGATGGGCCATGAGCCAGACATCCGAGCCGTTGAAGGCGCCCAGGTTGTTGAGCTTGAACTTGCCGGCCGCGTTCTCTTCGTCAGGAGTTCCAATGACGATGATGCGGCCGGGGATGTTGTAGTGCGTCAGCGCCTCGCTGGCAAACTTAGCTGCTGAGATGCCGTTGAGAGCGATGAGATTGTGGCCACAGGCATGGCCAAGGCCTACCAGCGCATCATATTCGGCCAGAAAGCCCACGGTGGGCAGATCACCAGTGAATCCTGATGGCCGGTTGTCGAACTCGGCTTTGAAGGCCGTGGGCAGGCCGGGGTACGCCGATGGCGAGACCGTCCAGCCTCCAACTGAGGAGAAGTAGTTGACGATGCGGTCATGAGCGTGGGTTTCGTTCAGACCAACCTCAGGGTCGTTCCAGATCTGCTGGCCAATGTTGAGGAGTGTTGGCCAGTTGGTGCTCGAACTGGACTTGATGAAGGCCGGGAGGTCGGACAGGTCGAAGGTTGACTGGGCCGCTGCTCCGGCCGCAGCCAGGAGGACTGTTGAAGACAGGTGCATGTTGGTTGAGGGATCGAGAGAAACAGTGCTTGGTCCTTGCGGCTGTTGCTGCTGCTACTTCCTGTCTCCAGAGGTGGTCGAGATCTACAACACTTTATATACTGCTCCTGCTTCGAGAGGAAGGGGGTCTCTTCAGACTCTTCGTACACCGATGACTCTCGACTAGACAAGTATGGAGCACATACAAGCAAGGCTCTCCTGACCAGCCGATGCATATAGACATGGTTTACTGCTTGGATTCCCCATCTACCCACCTTCAGGCGGCGACGAGTTCTACTCTAGGTATCATCACTAAGAGCACTGGTTTCCGAAGAGCATGTCTAGTTCAATTGCGTGACAGTCTCGCCGCTCTCACTTGAGCACTAAGAACCAAATCCCAGCCAGTACAACAAGTAAGTACCGAAATGATGCCGCTTCTAAGGAGTTTCCAGTTCTACGGGCTTGGGCTCACCCCCCGATGTGGTCGACGGAAGAATAGATAGGGCTTCTGAGTAGTAGTTCTATTCTTATCGCTCCCAGTATAATATGTTGTCAATCAGGTGGTAATTCGAGATGATGGTCCACAACTGCATTTGTTCCTGGGCCGTCCCGCCCGGCGGCTGCGAAGCTGTAAGCCCTAGAGGCAATTGACAACAAGGTAGGAGTGGATCAACGGTGAGTCTAAAGACTATGTGTAGCACAATTGCCAAGTCAATACCAAGATGCAATAGGACGCAATTGCAGTAAAACTCAATGGCGTTTCTCTTGAAAGACTGTCTGTTACCTTTGAGAATTAATCCTACAACTAGAGTTATACAGTAATTACGATACCGCTCCGATCATTCAGAGGAATAGTTCAAACACGAGCCCATTATCTTCTTCTACAGAATTCCATGTACTGCTAGTATCTATAAGGGGGCTGACCAAGTTCCACGATCCCTGTGAGAGTTGACGAGGATGTTTCTAGGAACGATGCACTTTTTCGTTCTTAGTTCGAGTCTAATGTGGAGCGGGATTCGGCACTGTTGTAAGGCATTTCGTCGGCGGTTTATACAAGGTAAAAAGACAAGGGTGCACTTTGAAATTTGTCTTCACAAGTCGCCAACAGGTAAGAAGGATACCAATGGTAGGATGCAGTATCATGTCGTGGCACCTTTTATGTAACAGCAGGATGTAACATAGTCCATACACGTCTCCAGATCTGATCTCGATGATCGGTCACGAAACACTACATCGTCTTTTATAGCGCTCCCGGCAGCTCGGCATGGGAATGTCCTGATGTTTGCACGACAGAAACAAATATCTGAGGTCAAGAGCCTTTCAGCCGTTGCCAGGATCTCACATTTGGAACATGTTTACCTACAGTACACTGGCTTTTACACGTCATGTCACGATTCACGGTCTTGTTAGCATTCTGTCCACAGCATAATAGTCCGCTATTCTGTCTAGAGTTGTCTTACTCTCGTCACAATGGGGCTGTGTTTTCTTTCGAGTGTCAAGACAGCAGAAGCTGGCCTACCTATGTGTGTATGTATGCCTCATGATCAATAGATCAGTAGTCGTAACAACTAAACGCCTTGACTTATATGCAAGACAACTCATCTTCCCTCCATTCGCATGCTAGACTAGCGCGCCAGTCAATGTAGGGCCATTCAATCATTACGACGCATCGTTACAAGTCTAATTCCTTTATGAGACTTCATATTCTTCATGTCAAGCTCTCTCAGTGGTAGACTCATCAGGAGCAAGTGTGGGTTTAAACTACAAAGTATCTATTTGTACTCCATAGACCTCTTCCAATCCCGGCCTAAAGTCATTGAGACGTAGATAAGCCCAGAGAAAAGCATCGGGGCGTGCACATCCCGCGCCCCGACGCCGAAGGTCTCGAACATTCATGTATTTCTCAAAATCTGCATGTCCACCGCCACTTACCGAGATGCTGACACGTCGGCCACCTACTGTAATGGAGCTCTACGTGAAATAGTATATGTGGGACGGAGCACATAATACAATCCCCAGATAATGCTCAAGTTTCCGTGTAATATCTGATGCTGGCTCAGAAGATAGAGAACGCTAGGACGCCGGATTCATGCCCGATCTTACACGTTCCCCAAAAAAGGGATTCAATGTTCTCCTTATCCATTCTAGTCTATCTCTAGTAAAGCAACTTGTAGAACTAGAAAGGGGGGATGGAGGTGAACTCAATTAGAAAGCTACGGATAAGAAAATAGCCTGTTAGGCTGGGTACAGAACAGAACACAACAGCGAACAAGAAAAAGACGGGTTGGGATATTGTGCACAATTTCTAGGGAAAAGCGCTATCAGGTCATCAAACAGAGAGATGGCTCTGGTCCGGTCCGACTTATATTAGTTCGTGTTGGTTGTGACGTCCTCTAAAAGATTCTTCCACTCCAGTTGGCCGTTACCTCTCATAATCTGGCGTCGACGTATCAGGAGACCATAGCCGTTTTGTTTGAGAGTGCTTACTAGACCAAAGGGCAGGAGTTTAAGCAGTCGCGCCTAAAACCAATATCGTCTTAGCCTGTACATGAGTCGTCATTAGCCTTTAGCCAACACGAGAACAACGTCGTGGGCGTATAGCTATAGTTCTCTTTTTGCGAGACTCGATGTAGCATTCAGGGGTGAGCCGCTTGCGTATTGTCGAGAGATGTCGATCATTTATTTACCCTAGCTGATTCTATCTCTGATGCTTGCTGCAGTCGCATCTTTTGTCGGAATGAAACTTCACGTGCTATAATAACGGCGGCGATGTTCAAACTCCTCATGGGGGGTTTCTGTGCCATGGCAACTTCATCTAGGCAAAGCCGGAATGTAACATCACAAATCAAGGAGTAAATCTATTCTGAGCTTTGTGAGTATTCCGCACGCAAAGCTTCCCAGCTAAGTTATAAGTTCTTGCATAGGCCCGGGAGAACTCGATCGCCGATGTGGCCAGCAACTGTAACCACGGCTAGGCCCCGGTATAAAATGCAAGATAACTTCTCAGCTTACCTAGTTCAAATCAGTACTTCGTTCCTTACACGCGAACAATAGGTTGATCGGTTGCCTGATGTAGAGCATAGGAGTGTGCTATGTAGAAGGCTTCACTCTACGTGCTCCGAGGAAAGGTACCAAAGTAAACAGCAGTAATTTCTTGGTACGATGCGCTCGAACACCCTCCCTCGGCAAATCCGGTTACTACGGTAGGGCACGATCCATTCCTGTCATGCTGCCAATAATCCTAAGCTAGTTTAACATGCAGAATGAACGGACTTGCTGATCTAGAATGTACAGAGAATATTGGCCAGTCTCCCAAGTCATGGCACGCTGCTGCGATGGACGGTGTCACTCGACCCTGCACTTTGAATATTCGCCTAATATAACTCTTTCTGGCGAAATTAAGCTGTTAGATTCCTAGTCCCATCCAGATGCAGCATGAAAGTGTAGTGTTAAGTCAGTGCTTGTGTCACGAGTTCACAAGGACTGCCCTCCAATGGGGCAGACCGGTGTCGAATGATATCAGACTTTGAAGATGAACCATGAAGTTGTCACCTTGTAACTACGTTACGACCCATGAGCGAGTCAACTAAATTGCCGCTGCAGGATAGGAACAGATGCGCACGTATTTGTAGAAGATCGCTGACAGGGTGAGTATCAAAGCTTGCTTACTGGCCGTCGATGCATAACAACATGGACATCAGAATTGGCAAGAGGCATATACTAGATTCGTCTTGCGGAATCGGAATCGCATCGATTTTTTGGGGGGATAAGAGCTTTCGGACTTATTGTCCCCAAGTAGCTGCTCTTCAAGGGCTCCCTTGACCTCCTATTCGGTTGAGGTTGACCTTGACAGGCAATACGGAGTAATAGCACGCGATTGCAATCTGCCCTCTGTTCAGCGCATGTACTTGAGGTTTAGATTAATAATCGTTCTCAGTAACCCGGCAGAAAATATCGCCAGATGCAGTTCACCATCAGCTCCCTGACTACGATGTGCTTGCACGGAACCTCCACCTGTTGGAAACGATTGGTGGAATTACTACCCTGTTGCCGTTCGATGGAAGTGGCAAGTGCAGGATTGGGTGGATGAGTGTACGTGCAGGATTGTTTCAAACTGAAATGCCGGCAGATAGTTTCTGTCCGTTGAAACAGGATATGGCAAGTTTATCCTCCGTACGGATAGACTCTGTACAACTACGATCATAGTCAACTAGTACTATAAGGTACTCCGTAGTTTGGAAGGTGAATGAGCCGGGGTCGGGGCTCCCCTTATCAGCAACGTCTCCAAACTCTTTATACAGAACGTCCACGCTTACAGGGCGGAAGACTCCCCCCATTACCGAACAAGTATTCATTATACTCCGCAACTCATTCTAGCACAACAAGCGCCGCTGTTTACTTCTAGGCTCCTCGAAAGTCTCCATCGTTCGCGGCCCTGGTTGCAAGTAGTACTTTTCTTCGACAAGGCAACCAGTCATCTTGTCCGTCGCTACGTAGTTGTATGGGGAATGGAGCTCTCCATAATGACTACCTAGCCGAAGCCCTACCCGAGCTTCTGGGTTCCAGCCCAAATGCAACAACCTGGTCCCCTGGTATGTACAAAGAGCAACCTAAGCACCTTTCCTGCCACGAATCCTGTGAAACAGGCACTGCAGGACTATCTTTACAAGCCTCTTCAGCGTCTTCCAGGAGTTTTCTTTTATGATGGAGAAGCGAAAAATACAAGCTTCACTAGAGGAACTGGGCAGGAGTTGTTGCCGGTGCCTTCGTATGAGGAGACGCGGCTCAGCCTCAGCCACATGTTCGTGCAAGCTCCAGTCAGCACTAGTGATAGCTCGCGAGGCCACCCAAAGTTGACACGCCGGAGGCTAATTACCTACCCAGCCTTATTAGTGGTTGTCCAGAAATTGACCAGGGGCACCCTACTTATTTGCATCGCCAACATGGTTGCAGCAGCCGTACTTGTATATTCAGTTGATCAGGGAACAAACAGCTCTTCAAAGCAAGTGCTAGGGTATCTCGGTAGCTATCAATGCTCTGATCCCCATGGCCTGACATCCAATTTTGCTTCAAAGGTACCTTAGATTCATACCGCGGAACAGAGTACATGCCTCCCCTCGATGAGCAAGTCAATGGCCTCCACTTTTTACCGTCGAATTAAGTTTCTTCAACTGCACAGAAGATTCTCGCCTCGACTCGTCGCTAATATTCTCTTCTGCCCAGCACCTCTGATTCATATTGGATCTCAACTGCCGCATGGACACAGCCCCGATCTCTTAGACCGGCTTCTCCTCCGAAGGTGATGGTTTCAACAGGGCCAATAGGGCATCTTGGGGGACTGGATTGGGGTGCCATTCACAGGAATGCCTGTAACTTAGCGTAAAATCTATCGCTGCAGACCTATTTTTGTATCAGGCTACGCGCTTACTGCATGCAAGGTTCCATCACGCCAGCTCCTACCGGAGTAAACGGCCATACTAGCCTGCGGTCGAGAGCAATGTTGACGATGTTTTGAAGGGCCAGAGCTGAAAACGGTGTCTGTGGGTGGAGACCTCCGTAGTCTCCAAGATGTGGCTCTTGCAGGGCCTTCGGCAGTTTGGGGTCGCCATTTGCAGCATACGAGTCGTGATTGGTGATCACGGTTATGTCCAAGTTGGGATAGCTGTGCTTCGCTAAGTAGTAGACCAATTGAAGTTCTTGTTAAGGCTGATCATCCCATCAATAGTGAGTGATCACTGGCTAGGCGGGAGGGAGTGCGATTCCGGCAGTCATAGCAAGGTATTAATATCAGAAAGCCGGCACCTCCAACACTAAACCTCCTTCTTGGCATTCATATCCCATTAAGTTTCTGCAGAGGGCGGATTGGTGTTTGTCAGTACCGCACTCGCTGGTCAAGATGACGGAGAAAGACAGCCATGAGCTCACCACTCGTGAGAAGCTTCGGCTTATGAAGAGTCCGGTTGTTCTGGGCTCTGAGAGAGGCGTGGAAATGCCTAATCTGAGCGAGTTTGGCGACCGTTACACAGACACATCGATCGAGTTTGCAAGAGTAAGTGATGATACCTTCATCAAGAATTTTTTCCAATGCGGGCATGTTTTTTCTGAAGGGAATCCCTTCAAATGTAGCACGAAGAAGCTGGCACGCTGGAAGTGTTCACCGACCTATTCTTTGCCGCCAATTACGCCGTTTTCTCCAAGACACAGTCAGTTACCAGCCATGAGCGAGTTGCATCATACGTCGGATACTTTTGGTAAGTTTTGAAAAGCAGTTGAGCTTCTGCTGAGCATGTTGATGGATCCTTAACACCTGCTTCATAGTATGCTGTGGATCACTTGGCTCGTTGTCGGCCTCTACGATGTTCGATTCGTAACGGACAGCATTTTCGGTTCGCCTCCCTTTGCGCCAATCTTATTATAATCCAAACTTGCGATTTATTCTAACAATCGGATGCAGAACGGGTTGTTCGAGCTATCCACCTTGGAGCCTTTGTTGGTTTCGCCGTCGTCGCCCCAAAGTTTGACCCAAGCAACCAGCAAGCAGCGACGATGAGAGCAATGTGTAGGCAAAACGGATTCTCCCCCTCATACAGAAAACATATGCTCACCCTCTTTTTAAGCTCTGATCCTGATGGCGTCTCGTTTGGGGCTGACCATCGAATACGGCAGTATCCTCTGGCACGTCAGGAAGTTCAAGAAAGTCCACTTGGCATTCTACCTCCAAATGTCCATCCACTTCATCGCTGCCATGATCTATCTTGGCGTCACTTTCCGGTTCACCGACACTCGCCACAGTAATGTGTTCGTCACCTGGTATATCGTTGGTGTCTTGGAGGCTCTCTTGACCTTTGGCCTGTCAATACACTATTCTGTACTCAGGTTGACCAAGACACACCTTATGAATCGGATGTTTCTTCTGAGTATCATCATCCTCGGCGACAGCATTGTTGTCATAGCGGACAAGGTGGTAATAATTGTCGATGCCCCTGACTCTTGGGGTGAGTTGCTCTATTCTCACTACTTTTCCCTGTCGTTAATATCGGAAGTTATTCTAACCAAAAGAAATAGACGCTATGACTATCGGCATATTAACTGCCGGCGTTGCAACAACTTATATGATCTTCTTGATCTATTTTGACTGGATGAAGGCGTCACATCTCCCACCCGTGCGTCAGATGATCTGGACCATGCTACATTTCCCGTTTCACCTAGCTCTCGTCCTCTTTTTGCAGGGATTTACGCAATTCATCCAGTGGTCCAAGGTGATCGATGTGTTCAACCACCTGCCAGCCAACTGGATATTGTTTGATCCAACTAGGCTACCTCGTGCTACCAGCCAGCTGGTACAACAAAACATGACCGACGAAATCGCCAGCTTCTTCAAGCTATATCCTCCAAAATACTCCGATACAGAGTTCGTCTTCCAACAGGCTCTGGATAACATCACGAACATCCCGGATTCCTTCTGGCCCAAATGGGCCGATGCATTAACGGATGACAATTACGAGTTGCCGACAGACAAAACCACGAACCTCTTCGCAAACATTATGAGGGCCCTGATTACTGCGGTGGAGAATAGTGTCTTTGCAAATTTTGACATCGATCTGGAAGCCGAGGCGGTCAAGGAACAGCGGGGAAAGGGCGAAGAGGTCAACCAGTCGGCTGCCGCATTCTCAGCTCAGATTGACCAAGCAACCTGGGACCGATACTGCCTAGTGGTATGTTTGACTCCAAATCCCTAGCAGTTTCCCTCTGCCGTCACATTGGCTAACCACTTGATATGCTCAGTTCACATATGGCTACGTCGCGGCTGGCGCTTGTCTGGCGCTGATGGTGCTTCTCTCCATCGTTGCCCGCGTGACCGCCTGGAAGCCTTGGCACGTAATCCGAACGGTTATTTACTTCCTTTTGGCGCTCGGCATGGCACTTACTGCACTCCTCAACCTCAACACGGACCAGTTGAATAGATACCTGACCACTCCCTGGCTTCTTCCCACCCTCTGCATCGCTTGGGCCATTGTCCTGTTTCTCACCCATATTCGTCGCGATACTCCTCTCTTCTTCAAAGGAGGCAGCCCCAGACCGTTGCGTCGTGGAACAAATCAGTCTGAATCGAACAACGACTCCGAGCATGCGCAGCCGATGGTCAGCAATATGGAGGGCTCGACTTCGTATTCTGGAGCAGCTGGAATGCACTATGGGTATCAACCAGCACCTCAGTCCCAACCTGGGCATGACTATGTGTGATTGCGGTTGGATCATCTCCCTTGACGGAGAGGGATAACTTCTTCTTCGGCACTGTCTGTGAAATGCGAAACAAGGAATTTCAGAAGGCAGTCCGTTCTAGATGTATAATATACAGACAAAATTGTTAGCGAGCGAGTGTTTTGATAGACGATACCAGTCAAGAGAGTTTCTTCACATATGTCACAATCGCTGCCGTGAGATAATGGCCTCTCTTGCGATGAACTGGCGGCAATTCGTTTCTCTTGCGTGCTATTGTCTGATGCTTGTGAGCGCCCTATCATGCGATAATGATGCTGATTCCGATTTCCTACCTGTTTCCTGTCCCTTTGATGGCTCAATCTTGACATGCAAGTCGTGCTTCCAGTGCTAATAAACCAAGGCGCAGACGCACTGTCATACCAACTCTCCGAGTCAGCTTTTGCGCCTCCTCGGACGCATCCGATTCAAGACATGCGGAGTTTGCACGCATTTGGACACGCCCCCTTTAGATCTTACGCGTCTTCTCCGACATTTTTCAAGAAAAGGCAGATCAATATATCAGTTATTCAACGCGAGAAGCCATGAGCCATCTCATTGTAAGCCGGAATTTGGAATTGGCTTGGTCTCGGTAGTTGGCACAGCCCTATGTCCGACCCCTGCCACCACCACACGCTCGGATCAAGCTTGTCGTATTGCATCGTAGATTGCATAGATACGATCGTCACAGGTCTTGGCTCGCCATCTCTCGAGATATTCATGGTAGAAGGAAACGTAAGCCCTTGGTCATGCAGTCAATCTACGAATAGCATCTCCAATCGAGTGCAGCCGACAATGACGAAGGATTCGACCCTCGTCTAGCGTCCGCCAATTCTTGACCCTAGCCTTAACCAAAGTGTCCGAGCTGATTGTTCCTTTGTCTTTGAAGCATCTGCAGAACAGCGGATGACCGCTCGATCGAAGCACTAACATGACGTTGATACTGTGCGTCATGACTAGCTTCTGCCAAGGTCTACTGTGGCGTATTCACATGGCGCCGCTGTTTTTGTGAGGCTCGGGACTATGCGACACAGTGTCTCCGTCCCAAGGGTGTACGAGCGGAAACTCTATCGTCATCGACTCGCCATCATTCGGTCGGATCGGACTCCTTCAGCCTCTCCCGGACTCTTGGGATGTCCGAAATAGAAGAGATTAAAAGGCCAAGGCCAACTGTTGGCCAAAGATGTGGAGTGGGCTGTCAAACGATACTAGCTGGTGGTGGCCTGGTGGTCTGAGGACAAATACCAGAGCTGTCCGTTGAGCCTCCGAGCTTTGTTGCACCAAAGCAACCCTCTTGGTCAACGACCAATTGCACCAATTCTACTGTCCTTTGCTCTCTCTGCCGGTAAATCATGAGTAAAGACCCAGGTCCGATGGAATCCAAAGAGACCGGCGCTTTGTCGCCTCAAGCTTCTTCGAGCGAAGCAAATACCACCCTTCACGATGAAACTCGCCACAAAGACCAAGAGGAAGCGTCGCTCGCCGACAGCCGAATCTCATCCAGTAGCGACGACTCCTCAACCCCAGGTCGTCGTCCCGGTCCATCAAGAACAGCAAGTGGTGCAAGCTTTCAGAATGAAGATGACCTTTTTCGGGCAATGTCTCGGCGCCGGACAACAGGGAGCTATGCCTCCGGCACAGAAGGCCCCGAGGAATCGGCAGAGATAGAACGGCTCATGTCACGCATGTTTGGGCATGCCAGGCAAGAAAATAACCCCGAAGAACAACTGCGACATAGCGGTGTCATTTTTCGAGACCTTACTGTCAAAGGCGTCGGACTAGGCGCCAGTCTTCAACCAACAGTCGGCGATATCTTCCTGGGGCTTCCACGAAAGATTAGGAACCTTTTCAGAGGCGGTCCAAAGGCTGCTCAGGCCAAGCCGCCTGTGAGAGAGCTGATCAGCCATTTTGACGGCTGCGTCCGACCTGGCGAACTTCTTCTTGTGCTGGGGCGTCCTGGATCTGGATGCTCGACTTTCCTCAAGGCATTTTGTAACCAGCGTTATGGCTTCGAAGCCGTGGAGGGAGACGTCACGTATGGCGGAACAGACGCCAAGGAGATATCCAAGCACTTCCGCGGCGAGGTCATTTACAATCCTGAAGACGACTTACACTATGCAACTCTGACGGTGAAGAGAACCCTGACCTTTGCTCTGCGGACACGCACACCGGGAAAAGAAGCGCGACTCGAGGGCGAAAGCCGTTCATCGTACATTAAAGAGTTCCTTCGTGTAGTGACGAAGCTCTTTTGGATTGAACACACTCTTGGGACCAAGGTCGGCAACGAATTTATCCGTGGTGTCTCTGGTGGTGAGCGAAAGCGTGTCAGTATCGCAGAGGCCATGATCACCCGTGCCTCAGTGCAAGGCTGGGACAACTCAAGTAAAGGCCTGGATGCAAGCACCGCACTGGAGTATGTTAGGGCCATACGAGCAATGACCAATATGGGAAGAATCTCCACCGCTGTCTCATTATACCAGGCCGGAGAATCGCTATACGAGCTCGTGGACAAGGTGCTGCTCATTGACGGTGGAAAGTGCCTTTACTTTGGCCCATCGGAAAAAGCCAAGCAGTATTTCCTGGACCTGGGCTTCGACTGTCCCGAGAGATGGACAACGGCCGATTTCTTGACATCTGTCAGCGACAAGCACGAACGAAGTATTCGGCCTGGCTGGGAGCAGCGCATCCCGCGGTCACCCGAGGAGTTCTTCGACGCGTATCGAAAGAGTGACATATACCGCGAGAATGTGGCTGACATAGAGGCCTTTGAAAAGGAACTTCGCACCCAAGTCGAAGAGCGGGAAGCAGCGCGGTCCAAGAAGACGGCGGAACACAACTACACCCTATCCTTCCATCAACAGGTCATCGCCTGCACCAAGCGCCAGTTCCTCATCATGCTGGGAGACTCCGCATCTCTCTTTGGTAAATGGGGTGGTCTCTTGTTCCAGGGCCTCATCGTGGGCAGCTTATTCTACAATCTACCTGCAACCGCGGCTGGGGCGTTTCCGAGAGGAGGAACGCTGTTCTTCCTGCTGCTGTTCAATGCGTTGCTTGCATTGGCTGAAATGACAGCGGCGTTCACATCAAAGCCCATCATGCTCAAACACAAGTCTTTTTCCTTCTATCGACCAGCGGCATACGCCATTGCGCAGACTGTGGTCGACGTGCCGCTTGTCTTCGTACAGATCGTACTATTCAACACCATCATCTACTTTATGGCCCATCTTTCACGAACGGCATCGCAGTACTTCATTACCACTCTCATCCTGTGGCTTGTCACTATGGTGACATATGCCTTCTTCCGGTGCATAGCGGCCTGGTGCCCGACTCTGGACGAGGCGACGCGGTTGACTGGCGTTGCAGTACAGATTCTGATTGTGTATACGGGATACTTGATTCCTCCATCCGAAATGCACCCCTGGTTCTCTTGGTTGCGGTGGATCAACTGGATTTTCTACGGCTTTGAGTGCCTCATGTCGAATGAGTTCAACGGTCTGCAACTCCAGTGCGTAAGTCCGTATCTGGTCCCTCAAGGACCGGGGACGTCGCCCCAGTTTCAGTCTTGCACCCTGGCAGGAAGCCAGCCAGGGCAGACGACCGTTGATGGCGCAGCGTACATTCAAGCTGCCTTTCAGTATAGTCGATCACATTTGTGGCGCAACTTTGGGTTCCTCTGGGCCTTTTTCATCTTCTTCGTTTTCTTGACGGCAGTCGGAATGGAAATCATGAAGCCAAATGCTGGTGGAGGAGCCATCACCATGTTCAAGAGAGGGCAAGTTCCGAAAGCTGTCGAGTCATCCATAGAGACCGGTGGCAGGGCTCGAGATAAGAAGGATGAGGAATCCGGAGCTGTAGCTCACATCACCCCAGCCATGGTCGAAGAAAAGGCGCAAGACCAGAGCGACTCAAGCAGCGGTCCTGAGATTGCCAAGAATGAAACTGTCTTTACCTTTCGCAACATCAACTACACCATACCGTACGAAAAAGGCGAGAGGAAGCTGCTTCAAGACGTTCAGGGTTATGTCAGGCCCGGAAAGCTCACGGCCCTCATGGGTGCATCAGGTATGTGATAAACTTTGAACAAACGACAGTGTTGCTTTTGCAAGCCTAACAGTTCATCAGGTGCGGGTAAGACGACGCTGCTCAACGCTTTAGCACAGCGTATTCGTTTCGGGACGATCAATGGCGAATTTCTTGTCGACGGCCGCCCTCTACCCAAATCGTTTCAGCGGGCCACGGGATTCGCAGAGCAAATGGACATACACGAACCGACTTCAACCGTGCGCGAAGCTCTGCAGTTTTCTGCCCTCTTGAGACAGCCGCAGGAGGTCCCCAGGGAAGAGAAGCTCGCGTACTGCGAAACCATCATTGATCTCCTCGAGATGAGGGACATTGCTGGCGCCACTATTGGCAAGATTGGCCAGGGTCTCAACCAGGAGCAGCGAAAACGACTGACAATTGGCGTTGAGCTGGCATCTAAGCCCGAGCTGCTCATGTTCCTCGACGAACCGACCTCTGGCCTCGACTCTGGCGCCGCCTTTAACATTGTCCGCTTCCTGCGAAAGCTAGCTGATGCTGGCCAGGCGGTTCTGTGCACCATCCACCAGCCGTCAGCGGTCTTGTTCGAACACTTTGACGAGCTGCTTCTGCTCAAGTCTGGCGGAAGAGTCGTCTATCACGGGCCCCTGGGCAAGGACAGCCAGCCCCTGATCCATTACTTCGAATCCAACGGTGCGCACAAGTGTCCTCCCAACGCCAATCCCGCCGAGTACATGCTGGAAGCTATCGGCGCAGGCGATCCCAACTATCACGGCCAGGACTGGGCCGACGTATGGGCGTCGTCGCCAGAGCATGAGCAGCGCTCCCAGGAGATCCAGGACATGATTTCAGCCCGACAGCAGGTCGAGCCATCCAGGAACCTCAAGGACGACCGCGAGTATGCCGCTCCGTTGTCTGTTCAAACCAAATTGGTCGTCAAGCGCGCCTTTGTCTCGTACTGGCGGTCCCCCAATTACATCGTGGGCAAGTTCATGCTGCACATCTTGACGGGTCTGTTCAACTGCTTCACATTCTGGCGCCTCGGTTACTCGACCATTGCGTATCAGAGCCGTCTGTTCTCCATCTTCATGACGCTCACCATCTCGCCGCCCCTGATCCAGCAGCTGCAGCCCGTCTTTCTCAGCTCGCGCAACCTGTTCCAGTCCCGCGAGAACAGCGCCAAGATCTACTCGTGGCTGGCCTGGGTCACGTCTGCTGTTGTTGTCGAGATTCCCTACGGCATCGTTGCTGGTGCAATCTACTTCAATTGCTGGTGGTGGGGAATCTTTGGGACGCGAGTCTCTAGCTTCACGTCCGGCTTCTCCTTCATACTTGTTCTACTGTTTGAGCTGTACTACATCAGCTTTGGCCAGGCCATTGCCTCCTTTGCTCCAAACGAGCTGCTGGCCAGTCTTCTAGTGCCCGTCTTCTTCCTCTTTGTCGTCAGTTTCTGCGGAGTTGTCGTGCCGCCCAACCAGCTTCCAACGTTCTGGAGAAGTTGGATGTACTGGCTGTCACCGTTCCACTATCTCCTCGAGGCTTTCCTCGGTGCCGCCATTCACGACCATCCTGTTCATTGTAAGAGCAGTGAATTCGCACGCTTCAGTGCTCCACCTGGCCAGACATGTGAAAGCTATGCCGCTTCATATATTGGCCAAGCTGGCGGGTCCGTGCAAACGGCTTCAGACGGCTTGTGTGAATTCTGCCAATTCGCAACGGGCGACCAGTTCGGAATGAGCTTCAGTGTCGAGTACAGCCATATTTGGAGGGATTTTGGCATCTTCTGCGGCTTTATCTTGTTTAACTACGGCGTTGTGTATCTGTCAACTTGGCTGAGGTTTTCAGCCAAGAACCCCTTCAGGATTGTCATGGCGAAATTGGGCAGACACGGCCACCACGGGGCTGACTAGGAACGGCAAAGATAGATTCGCCCATACCTCGGGCATTTTAAAGAATGATTGAATATGATATCATTCCCTTGTTGGGCATATCCAAGTAGGAAGAGTCTTTCCCAACTAGGAAGCTCTCCAGTGGCGCACTGCAAGAGCTGAACGACTCTCAGAGCTGTTTACCTCGGTTAGAAGATCAATCTGCTACTCCAATTTCACGTACTGCAAAATAAATATCTCAGTAATTCTACAATACTTCCATGTTCTAATATTTTGATCAACTATGCTTCCTTTCCTCCTTTTTGTCGGGGATTAGATATTTAGTATTTCATGCTCGTGTATTTCGGCGCTCGTCCCCAGACCAAAAATAGAGCTCGATTGCTGCAATAGTGGGGTAAATCTCGTCTCTGGTAATTGCATATCTAGCGCCAATGTGAAACAAAGCATGCAGCTATCCACCAATTACCCCACCAACATATGCCCTAACCAGGACCCTCCAATGCTACGGCTATAGAAAAACTTTTCCATCCTCAGCTTGAACCTTCTTCTCTCTTCTCTCTTCCATCCTCCAATCCTCCTCAGCGCTCCTTCCCTCCTCCAAACAAAACCCTCTCGGGGCCTCCCACATGGCACCCGCAGCACCGTCCTCGCCTCCATGACGCGGAGCTCTTTGCTCCACCGCTGCTCGTTCCTTGTGTCCGCTCAAAGATGCACCTCCTCCTGATCCGCCATGGCGAGACGGTCGACAACGTGGCTGGCATCTATGCCGGCTCGCGGGACTCGGCGCTGACCTCGCATGGCGTGCTGCAGATTCGAAGGCTGGCCTCGCACCTGGCCGAGGACGGGGAGGCGGCGATGGAATACATATTCTCATCCGATCTTCAGCGCGCGGTCAAGACGGCTGAGGCAATTGCGGCGGAACAGAAACGCGTTCACTCGCGGGACATTCCAATCGTTCAGCTCGCCGAGCTGCGGGAGAAAGACTTTGGAAGCGATGAGGGCATCAAGTTCGGAGACTCGCGAGGTCGTGCTCCAGATTCTGAGACTTCCGAGTCGATGAAAGCGAGGGTCGACTCCTTCCTGGACGAGCACTTGCTTCCGCTCCTGAGATCACAGACGGCTGAGGCTTCATCGACGTCGAGATGTGCCATCGTGTCTCACGGCATCATCCTCGGCGTCCTGTATCGCGAGCTCTGTGCTCGAGTCAGCCGTGGTGGAATCACTGTCGACCCCAATCCCAGCGCCGCCAGCTCCCTCATATCGCCTCCCTTCTGGGACAACACCGGCTTCCTCAAATGCACCGTTTCCATGGCCGAAGCCGGGGCGGGCGAGGACAAGTCGCTGCCGCTGAGGCTGCATGTCAGCCTCGTCAACTGCACCATACATCTCCGGGACTTGAAAAAGACTCGTGGCGGCATTGGCAGCGCCGCCTTTGATGAGAAACAGCGCACCTTGACGTCGTTTTTCCTTCCGGGTCCAACGAAGAAACGCAAGAGTCATGACATGAGTGCTGGGTAGCATAAGGCGGCGCTACCCAGCCATTCTTTGAAAAGGTACGTTTATTTGATTCATTTTTTTTTTCGTTCTCGCATTGCTTTGCCTGCCTTGATATGATGATACAACAAATAACTCACAGACCTGTTCTGAAAAACACAATGTGGAAAATATTTTGTCCAACCGCTGTCTGATAATTCACCTCTTATCACTCTTTTTACGTTTGCGCAATTGAGTGCTGTGTCCTTTGCTAACTTGGACACGTTTAGATGCGACATGAGACATGAACCGATACAGACAGAATAGTTATAATGAAACACGAATTTATGATACCTTCACACACATTTTCATTGTTGTCATGACTATGTACTCATCGTGATAACTACCTTGACGTAATAATAAAGACCTTGCGACTCGTCTCTTTAAAAACCACTGGGTGACATCTATCCTATACATTTATCCTATACATGCGTTCAATATCCATGCCAAGCTTCCAAGACAAATCGCGGACACTGGCAGTAAAGAGCATCATCACACATCCGTACTCGTCTCATCCCTCCCCGTAAACACCTTGTGAATCCTCCTACTCACAGCCTGTCCAACCGTCCGCTCCGACGCCACGCCATCCTTGTTCACGCTCTTTCGCACGCTCTCTAACGTCAACGGCCCTCCTTGCTCAAGGCCAGTAACAAGCTTGCTCACCGAGTCAAACTCCGACACGATGCCATACGCAATCGGAGCCGTAACGCGTGCAATCTCCTGCAGCATCCGGACGTAGGTATCGCGCGCATCGTCGCCCGTCCGAACCTGTCCGCTCTCCATGCAGAACCCTGCCGCAGAAGTCATCTTGTCGCGCATTTTCTTGTAGGGAATAGTCGATATGTGCTGAGTGAAGGCAACAATCCATTGTGCTGATTCTAGGGGCACATTGGTGTGGTGGATGAGAACATCGTGCTCGATTTGCAGGTGCAGCATGGCATCCTCGACAATGTCTTCGGCAATGTATTCCTCGGCAGCGGCGTTCTTACGGCGTCTACGAGGAGCAGTTGTCGTTGTCGTTGTCGATGAAGATGATGCTGCCGTTGCTTCGGGAGGCGGTTGATCTTGCGCGCGCACGCCTGATGTAAATCTGCGGTTTCGGATATTGCGGTTCTTCCTCAGCCAGAGGTTCATACCCTCGAGGATGTAAATGAGCTCGTGGCCAGGGAAGTGCCTCTTTGCTTGAGACACGCTGGAGTCTACGGTGTCCTCAACGGCCATGCCGACAAACTCATCGGCCGTCATCAAGATCAGAACGTGCTTCTCCGGCATGATACGTAGCGGCACAGGCTCCCAATGGCCCATCTCTTCGTCAAAACGACTCCGAACCTTCCTCTGCCACTTGAAGGCGTTGGTAACAGGGCTGTTCCAGGTGGTGTGTTCTACGCTTAGCCCATCCAGCAGTGTCTCCAGCTGGGCTTTGAGCCCTTCCGTTATGCCTGACGGCATGTTGAGAATCATTTCCGGAGTCGAGACCTTCTTGTCTGTGCGGACCTTGTTCACCTCTGCCAACGCAGTAGCACGCTCTTTTTCCAAGGCTTTGGCTTCCTTCAATTGCTCCTTCTCTCGCCGCTTTCTCTCCTTTTCTGCGGCTTTGGCCGCTGCCTGGGCTTCCTTATCACGAGCCCGTTGTTCTGCGGTTTTTGCTGTAGCCGCACCTGTAGCCGCTTTAGGCCTGCTACTCCTCGAGGATATGATATCGCTACGAGAGCGTCGAATGGGAGAGCGGGGACGTGGTCTGAAACTGGACACGCCGAAATCGGCAATGTCTGGAAACTCGTCGTCCGATGTGCCTGCTGAATCCGAGTCAATGCTGATAACGATCGGTCCGGCATCTCGCGATTCGGCAACAGGTCTCTTCGGAGGAGATACTCGTGGGGTCTGCTCTGGGGCCGAACTTGATATCGGATCCCAGTGTCTCCGCCTCCAAGATTGGTCAACCACCTCTACAGACACTGCCCTGCGAGAGGTGGAGGCATTGGCAGGCCGATGAAGGTTGTCGTCTTGGGAGCTGGCAAAAAGATCCGGTGATCCAGCAACGCTTGGCATCAGGTGACCATCAGGCAGAGGGGCTTGAGGTTGATGAGGAGGAAGCGGCGAGCTTGCGAAGGGGTCAGAGATATCATCGATTATGATGTTTGCAGTCGTATTTTGGCTGGATATTAGCTTCGATCCGGCAGCAGCCGCTGGCGGAGGAGGAGGAGAGCTTGCAAAAGGGTCGGAGCTCAAGCCTATGTGTGGAGGCGCCTGGTGTGTCTGATCAAGATTCGGTGCAGTCGAGGACTTGATAGCATGGTGTTGGATTTTGGGAGTGTCCGGGTCGATTGAGCTTGTGAACTCAATCGGATCAAATTCTGCTCTGTTTGGCCTGTTGGATATGGCGCTGAGGAACGGAGGTTGTGGCGGCCGAGGAAGATTGACAGGCGGTGATTCTGATACAGATACCCGCGGCCTCTTAGCGAGTCTGGCATCGTGCCGGGCAGCTTCGTCGTCGGTAATGCCCAAGTCGGAGGTGACAAACAGGTTCGGTGAACGTGACCGAGAACGCCCATGCTTGTTTCGCTGTGGACTGCCAATGGCAATGGGCGACGATGCCAATGGCGATGCTTCTCTGGCAGGCAAGGACGGGCTGGACGAGATCAGATCGATCACTTGGGAAGCCATGGCAGCTGAGAGAGCAGAAGAGCGGGCTTGATTTCGGAGAGCGGCTATCCAAGGCTGAAGCCGGCCAGGCCGTGATGCCGTGCCATCTCATATGCAACGTCAGCAAGGGTTCGTGCTGCAATCAGTTGCAGCTTCAATCTTATCGCAAGTCTCGAGTCGGACGCGATCCCGGTCGCGCGCCAACCGCCAAGTCACGTGTGGCTTGTTTCTACGGCATCTGTATGATTACTTAAGCTACTGCTCCCTCTTTGGTGCAGACATGCTGTTTTCCGCAAGTCAGCTGTAATATATGGCACCTTTTGATGATCTGGCGAGAATAATTGCCCGACCATCTATCGCTCGCTCGCCGGCTGAATTGACCTCTAGTGTAATGCGATGCACTGCTCCCCCCTTTATGTTGTGTCTCTTCAGGGTTAAGTTCAGCCTGGGGAAATGAAACTACAGCATCGATATTCGAGAGGAGAGTAATCGCCAGAAGTTGAAGTTGCTCATCCGGGAAGCCCACGTCGCTGTATAGGTTTGCCGACCTGGCGCCCTTGCCAAGTATGGCTTTGGGGAAAATGGCATTCTGGAGATGTGTGAGCAGAGATCTAGAGAGCCCGTCTACGCGAGAGAGCTGGTACGGCTAGTACGACCCATGGAAAAGCCAGAGCGGATGGCAGCTAATGTAGAGAAACGTTTGGATCCTCAACATAGACTGCGTGCATATAGCAGCTAACTATCAGAGACCGGAGTGGAAGCCTGCTATTCCTGCTTCTCGAGGATTCACTCGCTTGATCAGACCACGACGTTGTCTACGGCTACACGAACAAGCCCATTCCATGATGCCCTTGGATCATACACGTTTCCCGATTTCCTGCTTAGGGATACTGATTCATCTGCCATCGTATTTGTAATTCTTGGTGCAACTGAGACATCTCACCTGAACCCCGTTGACCTCAATCTCGGATTCATCCAATCACCTTTGAGTTGACCTTTCCTTTTCTCCTTCGCTGTTGGCGGATAGGCCGGCTGTAGGTCCCTTTTGACATCGCCGAATGCTTAGATGTGGATGTAAAATTCGTGGTAGGGAGCAGGGGCTCTCATTTGAATCTCCGCAGGTGTCCGGCAGCTCCATGAATCCAGTGACTAAGACTTACAGCATGAGGGTGTTCCTTTATTTTTGCCTTCCTCTTCTCTCTCCCACCTACAGCTTTGCAATCTGTATCATCGCCAATGACAAATGTAGTGGTGGTGTAGGGTAGCACAACACATGTAAACGAAGATCTGGGTCTTCCATCTCCCACCACAAAGTCTATGGCGCATGGGTTACGCAGCCCAGGCTTTCAGTGATAAGTATGGGTAGTACTCGTCAGGTGAAGGGGATTATCACAACGGCAGATCACAGATGCATATCCTTTACGAAGTACGAGCAATATTGGTCCTGTGCCTGCTGTGGTACGGAAGCACAAGTCATGCAGGCATTGCGATGCTAATCTCTGGAAGTAACACCTGGCGCTGCTCGTGTCGGTTCGGTTGAAGCGCCGATGTCTGGGTACAGCGGGCGAAGATCGCCCTGGTGTCGGCGACAGGTTTAATTGCCTGCGAACAATAGCCGGTTGCCCCTTGAAAAGCGCCATGGTGGTGATGTGACACGGCCATGTCCATCATGGATAATTAGCAGTCATGCCCCTTTTTATCATCGAGCAGTACTACTGTGAGTGCAAACAAGTGATGCCATCGATTTGTTCGGTGATTTGATGGAACGTGGTGCATCGCATGAAGAGGCGGCCAGGTGAAACGGCTTGGAGGACGTAGAGAGAGAGAAAAGCGATCTGAATCGTGAGAGAGCAGGCGGCAAAAATGACGGCAGCGGCGGAAATGAGACCCCGGTCTGGTGCGTCATCTTACTCACCGTGTTACGAAGCAATACGTGCTCCGTACGAAGTAGTACTACTAGGTACTACCTTGTAGCTGAAAGAGGCCTTGACCGGAGCTTTGGTACCCCGTTTGCAGATGAAGTGGGTGAGACAATGCACCGCAATCGCCATGAGACTGAAGATATCAAGGTGCTCAAAATCTGAGGGGCAATTTGACCTGTCAAGCGCCATTTCTGTAGGCAGAGATAGCCACATGTGAATAGGGCGCTTGGGCGTATCGTCGATAGCACAGGGTAGGTAGGTACTAACATACCAAGCATTCATTCCTCCGTTTGACTGTCAGTATCAGAAGTTGAAGCCATCTTGTAGAGGGAAATGACCAGACATGGACTCAGCCCGCCAGACGTTTTCCATCGCCGATTACCAACTTTGCCAACTAGGATGAGTCCGTACGGTAACAGCAATCACACGCTAGCACATGTTTCGCGTTCCACTTGCAGTCAGCCTTGATCGTCGGTTTCTTTGTCAATCGCGCGCGCATGTGGCAATATCGTGGAGAACGAGGAGCGGACACTTTTGTTCGTTCTCTGCGTTCGGTTATCGTGCAAGTAATTTCGAGACTCCACGGGTCACATTTTGACTTCACGAGTAGAATGAACAGGGGAAGAGAGAGACGATGATGTTGATACTGTACGAGATCTTGGTTGCATAGAGAGGAATGACTGCTCGCTGCTTCGACTGTTGCTTCGGACTTTGGCGGAGGAGCGCAGGTATAGGTACAAGCCAAAGGAGGTACCTACGCTTCTGTACCTGCGTTGATAAACCCGGCAAGGAGGACGCAGTCTAGCCCAAGAGGGCAAAACCAGGAACAAGCGAGAGTTCGATGCTCGCGTTTGTGCGAAATGGATCGATGGTGCATCAAGGTCGAAAAGCCACCAAAAGTACTCCGTACAAAGAATTCTGGAGGCCGTTTTCTCTCCGAAAGGTCGACAGGGTCTCCAGCCTCAGGGCTTGCGGTGGCTTTGCAGGGTGGCTAGTGCAGCCGTTACCCAAAATGGCCAAGGGCCAGGGGAGCAAAGCGCTAACTGGTCACCTCGCATCGGGACGCTAGTCCAATCAGGGAACGGGCAATTTCAGGGGTTCGGAGCGTCGCCAGCAATGCTAGCAAGTCTTCTGTACCTGGCCGTGGTCAATTGCCGGTGGTGAAATGAAAGTACCTGTACCTGTAACTTGACGGAGACCTGTGCTGCAATCTGCCTGCGCAAAGCTTCAGGTCTTTCGCGGTGGCTTTCTAGGGGCTATGCGAGGCAATTTGAGGTTGAGCTGCAGGCGTGTTAAGGCTCGCGGCTGAATTGGACCCAGCTCGTCCGTTCTGCTTCTCCCCTTCAGTCAATCTCCTTGCTTGTCTTGGGATGGACAGCCTCAGCCAAACGCGGCCGGCAATGGCGCAGTCTAGGGGCTCGTCTGTCGTTTTAGCAAGCAGCTTAGTACCTTCATACTGCCAATGGGTTTGCTTGCCGCTCTGATGGTGTTTTGCCCTGCTTTTGCTGCTCTGCTAACCTGAGCACTAGAGCAATTATTAATGATTTTCCATCGGATTGATTGCTTGAACTTCTCCCCCCCTACTGCGAGTACTAGCCAGGTACCTGCCAACTGTAGCAGACACCAGCACTTTCCCCCCCTTTTAATATCGGGCCGGAAAAAACACCACGTCTTTGGTCCTTTGGCTCTTCATCCGCCTTGTCGCTGCATCGCACTGCATTCTGCATTCTGCAGCCTCGTTTCCTCTGCAAGGACTCGCGCAGACTCGATTCGGCCTGCCACGCCCTCTGCATATCTGCACCCGGTCCTTTGTATTGGTACATACAAGATCCAGGCCCCATCGCGACTCTCTATCCGCTCCATTGGCAAGGCCTGGCGCCTTGTTTAATTAGGTACGGGACAGCAAATCCACTCGCTCCAAGGGCCCTGCCGTCTCCATCAAATGCCCAGCTCTGACATGCCCTGTTGATAGGCGAACAAGGACCCCGAGACCCTCCTCGCGAGCAGCCTGTTCGCCCGTCCGCCCATCCAGTCGTACAACCGCAATATCCCCACGAACGAAGACGACCGTCGAATCAGTGCTGCGCTGGACATGCATGCGTGCCTGCTGAGGTAGCGCTGCCCGACATACGCACACGCGTGTACATACGCACTCACACACGCGCACATACATCCGTCCTGTACCTGTAGCTCCGCTGTCCTCGTACCTCTACCTGTACGAGTTCATGCACCAGCATTGCGTCTCCACTGGCCAGTAGGTGCGCAAGATTGGATCAAACAGAGCAAGACAAGGGGGGACCATCAGAGACGGGAGTAAGAAAGAGCTCTAGAGGCACAGTGACAGAGAGACGAGAGGAAAAAGCAAAAAAGACAAAAAAAGAGAGATCCAGCTTATTAGCAGCGAACCTCGATCGGCGCAAAAGCTCTCTCTCTGGAGAAGGCCGCTCGTTGATCGCGAGGCTCTGACCATCGTCGTTCCTTTTCCTCCCTCTCTCCCCAAAGACACATCGCCAGCCGGCCTCATCCGTTTCTGTCTAATTCGCTCGCTATCCCTCACCGGTCCAGCGCTGCTCGTGCCCACGCCTTGGTCATTAACCTGCAGTCGCTTGTGCGCGTTTGCGCCGGCTTGTGCGCGCCGTCGACACGGGCCCCTACATGCGAATATTGGACCTTCGCTGCCTCGGTGACAACTGGCTCCGCCTCGCTTCGCATCTTCCGCCATGGCCACTTCTTCTCCGCCGGCGTCGCCATCGCCAGCGCATAAGCTTCAGCGTCCCCTGAGCGCGATTGCTACTCGTTCTCAACCAAGGAGCACCAGTCGGTTGAGTATGAACAGCAAGCAAGGCGGCGAGAGCAGAGCCTCTGATGAGGACAACCGGACGGCTGTCCGTGTTGGTACGTACGCACCTTTCGTTTTGTTTCCGACGCCTGTGAACCGTCTCGCCATGGCGTCGCTGCCCTTGATGTTTCTGGCTTGCTTCTCTTGATACCGATGAGCTGACGTTTGACGGTCGTTTCCACTACTTCCAGCTGTCCGAGTCCGACCGGCGTTGAATCCGGAAGATCCAGGATATGATTTGATTCCGCAGCGCTTCCAGC